AGCCCAAAAAATATTTTTTTGGTCGTCGTCGTCGAAGAGGTCGACCCCCAGATCCAGTTTGGCTGGTGGAGACATTGCGAAATCTGGGATTGGCAAGCTTGATCGTGAAACTGGCACCCAAGGTGCAGTTGGCCAAGCCGAGCACATTGCTCTATTCAAAACCCCACGTTTGATTGTAAAGTTTAGAGATACAGGCGTCTTTATGTTTTTACTATGTTGTAAGCGTGATGCTATATGAGAAGTGGTCTTTGTTTAATGCAAAGTAGTATGACTATAATAGAGCAAAAGATGCAGAGGACGTGTTTGTGTAACTTGAGTCATTCAGCACAGGCGATGCATGATTCTTGTACACTATTTAGGAATAGTTCAAAATGCCAGCTAATAACCTTAGTCCTCCCATTCTCCATTGTTGCCCAATCCAATGCATACGAACGATTGTCCTGCTCCAGCCCAGCATGCCCATCATTTAACTTCCATGATCCGAGCTAACCTGGTAGTAAGGTAATGGCTGTTGTTGGATCATCATTATCATGTAAAGTGTGAAATGACACACACCCTTTTGCTATACGTGAGGATCATGTCTTTTATTTACGTGTACCTATTGTCTATCGTGAGGGTGATGATGACGATGGTTGGATGGGTGTGTGGGGGGTCATTGAGTGGCCTCAGTGTAATAGCAGTAGGGGGATTTAAACTTGAGGGACAGCAGCTCCACGACTTGAGACAACGCTTCTCTTCTTTTTCTCCCACCTTTCCTTATTCCATTCACGACATCTCGATCAAGGTAATGTATTACAAAAAAGTGCTAATGTTGGCTGTGAGGTGTTAATGTAGTTCTGAACATGCATTGTCAGGGAGTGAGTGTGTGTCCAAGTGCTGAGGAATGAGCGTGGTTGGTGGTTGGTGGTTGCCATGGCGATTCCTTTTGCTCGTTGCTATTCCCGCTCTACGCTTGGTGTCAACAGGTACATTCAGAGTCCAATGTTGCAGCCGAATTGGTTCCATTGACGCGTCAGCTTGTATAGAGGGCAAGTTTGGTTTCAAGACGTTGGCTGGTTTGCCGTTTTGTTTCTGCTCAACTATACTACACCATGGTTTTCGGTTTCCAGTAACCAACAACAACGGGCCTTTGTGTACATGGAAAAGGCAAGTCAATGAAACAAACAATGAAAAGGGCGTTTATTGTATGTGTGTGCTAATAATGAATTGAATAGGTTTCTTTGGTCAGGCAATGCAACTTGGGGCATCATCATCATCTCTTTGGGTTCAAGTCCCAGCCTGTATCAAGTGGCCGCTGCGTCGCTCTGCACTAGCCAAGTGTGCTGGAAAAGCTTCTTGGAACGCGTCCAGGGCTCTATAGGCCAGCGTTTGACTTGATGGGTCGATGACGATGGGTTTTTGGAAGAGCATGGTCACCGTGTTGAGGTAAAAGGGGATTTGCAACAGCTCGTGAATGTGTTGAACCAACACGCTCTTCTCTTGATAGGCTCGTTCTTTCCTTTGAGGGTTTCTTTTCATGAGGTGGGAAATGATTGGAAGGCTTGGGGATCATTCTTTCTTTGGAGAGGATGAATGAGAACAACTATGTGCCTGGACTCTAGGTAAGTGATGTCCTTCCTTGCCATGGATCGAACCGGCCTTGCGTGATTCGTGCAGTGCTTTTTCAAGAACAAGGGATCACTCGACGTTGCTCGTATGGTGGTGATTTGGTTTGTGAATTCCTTCTGATTTGCTTTCTTCCCTTAGAGAGGATCGCCTAGCGGTATACCAAATCATCATCATTCCCGGTATCAGATGGTCTAACTTGGCTGCTTTTTATTTATAGAGAGGACCATTACGATGATTACCACATTCACAGCAATGTCAATGATAACGACAACGAAATTCAAAAGGAAACCTGCAAGATCCCATTCTTTTCTACTTGTGTGTTTTGGATATTGGGTGACGATGAGATTGACGACTGCTGACGAGCACGAGTACGAGTACGAATGATGACGGAGGACAAAGACGACGATGGTGGCAATGTAGCAAGATAGCTAGATGAAATAAAGCATTGTTTATTTATTACACGCTTGGAGTTTGCTAGCTTGTGGATTACATACTATTGCTTCGAAGATGGAATAATAAAGGTGGACCGGTAATCAGTCATGCGAGAAGTATATGGCGCTTGTGATATAATAAGGGGAGCGGGATGACCTTGAGAAGAGAAAAAGTGAAGTGATTCCTCCATTGAGTTTCAGGATGTGTGACCCATCAACATACATATCCAAAATCAAACAATGACAACATCCATAAATTACTTGCTATGTTCAAGTTGAGCAAAAAGTAAGACGTTGTATGAGGATGTTTGTGTGAGTGTCACCGATAAACAATGCTGACAACAAGCGTAAATGTTCCCTGCCACCACATGTGATGATATGATGGCTTCCCAAGATCGATGTTGGTACATCTGTACACCTGCATATACATGTCAAGCTCATTAGTACTTTCAGCTCTCCTATCTTATCATCATCTTGCACCCATTGGACCTTCATAAGAAACATCATCACTGTCAACATTCGTTTATGCGCGGAGATCGGGATCATCACGTCAAAGAAAAAAAAAGAGCGCAGCAAGCGCGTTCACTTTTTTTGTCCTTTCTATCACAGCCCAACCAACACCCCTGATAAGACAAGCCCGCATGACGATCAACGACACCACCGACATGACAACCAAGTCGTATAGCAAGTTTAATGAAGAAGAAGAGATCCTGAAGGATAACCCAAGACGATTTTGTCTCTTCCCTATAAAGTACCATGAGGTATACATTCAATTGGCATGGTGGGAAATGACTCTTTATGCTAAGCGATCGGCTATAGATCTGGCAGTTTTACAAAAAGGCAGAGGCTTCTTTCTGGACAGCGGAAGAAATTGATCTTTCAAAGGACCAAAACGACTGGGAGAATCGAATGACAGAGGACGAACGCTTCTTTATCTCTCGAGTGCTTGCTTTCTTTGCCAGCTCGGATGGTATTGTCAATGAGAACTTGGTGGAGCGTTTCTGCAACGAGGTGCAAATTGCCGAAGCCAAGTGCTTTTATGGATTCCAGATCATGATTGAGAACATCCACTCTGAGACCTACAGTCTTTTGATCGATACGTATATCAAGGATCCTCAAGAAAAGGAAATGCTCTTTGATGCTATTGAAACCAGTAAGTCGGCTGATTCAATTATTTGGTTGGTTGGGCAACGTATCTGATGGTATCCTATAGTACCTTGTATCAAGAAAAAGGCCGAATGGGCATTTCGATGGATCTCTTCCAATGGCTCTTTTGCTGAACGCTTAGTGGCATTCGCTGCAGTGGAAGGCATTTTCTTTTCTGGTTCCTTCGCTTCTATCTTTTGGCTCAAAAAGCGTGGCTTGATGCCGGGTTTGACATTCAGCAACGAACTCATTTCTCGTGATGAAGGTTTACATACCGATTTTGCATGTCTCTTGTTCTCCCATTTGCGTCATCAACCATCTCATGATCGTATCCGGGATATCATCATCGAAGCTGTCACTATTGAGCAAGAGTTCCTGACAGACGCTTTACCGGTTTCGTTGATTGGTATGAATGCCAAGCTCATGTGCCAGTATATTGAATTTGTGGCGGATCGTCTTTTGGTGGCTCTTGGTGTAGACAAGCATTATCATTCGACCAACCCATTCGATTTCATGGACATGATTTCTCTTCAAGGCAAAACCAATTTCTTTGAGAAGCGAGTGTCAGATTATCAACGTGCTGGTGTCATGAACAAGGCTCCTGCAGAAAAGGAATTCACCCTTGATGCCGACTTTTAACGATACAAACGCACCTTATCCCCTCATGTTCTTATTACATTTTACATTTCATCCCATCATATGCATTATGCTAATACTACTCTCACTTTGGATACATTAAATGTGGCATCTTTTTATTCATCATTAAAGCATTGATACAGCACCTGCATCTGTACATGTCTAATTTGCGTAATGAAGCAAGCTGAGGATAGCCATAATATTGTTTGTGTCGTCAGGTACAGTGATTCCATTTCAACCTCGTACCCTTTTGAGAGGAGCCTAGTTGGTGCCAGGTACATCGAAAGGATCCACCAAAACAGCCCTTCTCTAGTGATGCCACAGCATTGATAGCGGCCTTTGGCTTCATATACACCTTTGGCTTCGTGGCTAATAGATCCACGGCATGATTTGCCGCCTCCTTTGCAGCGTCATTGATTCTTCGTTTAAGTGGCACCTGGTCGATCCCTTCGGCGATAGAGTCCTAATCAACGTAATTGGGAATACAAAAGCACTAATAAAGAAAGGTACACAATCTCCAAAAAGGTATAACAATACCTCATCACAATGAAAGCGTGATAAACAATGAAGAGCTAAAGATCAGCACATAGCTCAGCTCTAATCTACCCACCATTATGATACGCACATTAACATGATGGGGTTATGATAGTGAGCGTATGATTTGACCATGGTGGAGAATCAAGCCTACTGGTTCTCTAACAAAGAGCCTTGGTTTAATGGTAGTCATAAATCAACAATGGGCATAACCCAATTAAGGCATCTGGCAATGTCCTTAGGTCCTTAGACTATTATCTTCCCTCACTCTACAAGCTCTAGCTTCAATATCAGAGCTGAAGAGCTCAAGTTCTTATGCTTTATTTTTCCCAGCTGTATAGACTTTGTCATCTACTTGAACTACCGACGGCATAAACCTGCTATGAAACGGAAGCTGGCTTCCACGGAACCTGTGATCCCGTTTTCTTCCCCGACTTTGCAATGATAAAAGGGGTAACTTTTCGTTGCTTCAACTTTATTCCTGGAACAAGAAACGTAGTATGTGGAAGCTGTATAACAAGCTACTCGCTCGACAGCCGATCCTGGTACAAAGCATCACCACCGGTACGTGGACTGAAATGGGTCAAGCCAAATGCACATGTTCCATTGAGCTCATTCTGTACATGGATAGCTTTTCTTTTTGCAACAGGTACCTACAAACGGGCTGGCAGTGTAGGTTGGATACAGCGATGGTGGTTGCTAACAGCATGAATGTAGGGGATGTGGTTGCCCAGCAATACGTGGAACGTAAAGGGATGGATAACCATGATACCTCAAGAACAATGCGTATGGCAGTATTCGGTGGATGCTTTGCAGGCCCTGTATTGGGTAACTGGTACCGATTCCTCGAGCTAAATGTCAAGGGATCAACACCTATTAAAGGTAAGTGAATGTTCATTATATGCATCTGGTATCCGGCATTAAGAACGATTATAAATAGCATTGGTGAAGAAGGTGGCAGTGGATCAATTCCTTTGTGCTCCTGTTTTTATCGGAAGTAAGGCTAAAGTAGTAATGATGTTGTGGGTGATATGCATTGTACATAGCTGACTTCTCTGCATATTAGTCTTTTTCTCAGCTCAGGGTCTATTGGAAGGCAAGTCGGTGAATGAGATCAAGGAGAAATTGCAGCAAGGCTACACCACAGCGGTTCTTGCCAATTATAAGGTGATTATGCGGATACTAATAATGTGTATGTACTCCCCGACTAATACCGATTACATACAATAGCTATGGCCAGCAGTACAGCTCGTCAATTTCTACGCTGTTCCCCTTTATTATCGCCTGGCGGTGACTAACGTGGTGGCAATTGGATGGAACGCTTACTTATCAAACGTCAACCAACGCTCATCATCCTCCGTACCTCAACCTGTAGAAGTCAACGAGAAGGAAAACATTGCTTCACCATTGTAAATATGTATGACATTCATTATATCATTGAACAAAGAGGACTCAAAAAAACATGGAGGATGATTATGTCATTTGTTGTTTACAAAGTATTGGGGTACTCGGGTCGTAAGGAATAGCAAGCCGTGATCTACAATGACTGCTGATCAACACAAATGATGGATGATATGGGCATCCTATTGGGAGAAGGATGATCTTGACTGTATGTGATCGAACACAATCCATGTCATCTTGTTTTTACGTACGTATGCTTGTCGATCAGTGGCTGCCCATGCGTTTGTGTAATGGCCCTTACAGGCTTCGTTTATAAACACAAGAGAGTGAAAAGGGAGAGATGTGTAACACATACACACGCACACACGCACACATGGATGATGATCTAAAACATTGCAGTAACATGCGTACATTTTGCAAGGAGTGTAATGCTACATACGTTTGTGCGGAGAGCAAAGAGAATGAGAGAAGGAGAGGAGAGGAGTCAACCATAGTAGAACAAACAACGCTGTGTAACGCATTCTCGACCACGGCCTCTATTTGGCTTGGAAGCTCCACTATGCCAAATTAAGCATGTTACCGGTGGATCAAGACTTTTACTTTCTGGCTCGTGCATCTTGCTGTAGTTCTATATTTTGCACTTGGTGTGACAAGTATGATAAATCAACAACGTCGCTGAGCAGCAAATAATAACAGGTTGAGGAGGAACGCAGTAGTGGGTAGCAGCTGCATAGCACCGATTTAGATATTGATGCATGCCCGGCTTGATGGAAGAAAAAGGATCCTGTTTTTGCTGCAAGTAAGAAACAAAGACAATGACCTACATCACGACTCGGGTCTGATTTTGGGGGGATCTTGAAATCACTAGAAAACGGTATGCGTGTGTGTGTAAAAGATCGACGATAGGTTCTACCAGAGACAGCAATCGTGTGCACGACCATATGGAGAGGAACGTAATGCAAACATGTCCATTGGCCGAAATCCAACAGTGTGGTCGGGCATGCAGTGTCACAGCATGCTACCAAAGAGTAATTACGCACCTTGTACAACTCCCCCCAAAAAAGACGCTGCCTGCAAATGATCCCTTTCTCCATCGCTTGGATTTCATAAAAGCGGTATTCCCCTTCTTTGTCACCCCTAAATTGTCAATTGCAGCAACAGAAAGCCAAATAAAAACTTGTTACTCCATCCGTGCTCTTCCCTTTTTCTCTCTTTTTTTCCCTTCACCTTGTCTTTTTATCGACAACAAGCACCACAAACGACACACATCATTACACACAAAATGCTGTCAAGCTATTATCCTATGGCTGATCAAGAACCTTTTCATGCAGCGGTTGACAAGCTGATGCCAATGCGTCCTATGGATTATGCTTTGCCACCGTTGATGATGCGATCACGTTCATCCTCTGCTACCTCTAGTGAAGTTACTCCTGTGTCTGAAGAAGCCATCAGCAATTTGCGACGTAATAACAGTGCTGAAAAGAGCATACGACAGCGAGCTGTGCCTACTCCACCACCACGTGCACCTTTGCCACCCACTCCACGTCCTAGTATCATGCACCATCAATTATCATGCCATCCCAAGTCACCTTCTGTTGGATCCATTTTAGCAAGTATACCCAACAAGCGTCCTACCACACCAGCATCCACCATCCATGACATACGACGCCCATCTTCAACATTGCAACTACCACCTTCACCTCCAAATCTCAGGGCATCGCCTTCTTTGCGCACTATGATCAGCTCAGCCAATCTCAGAATGAAACGTCAACGTCAACAACAACACCACGCTAATGCATGGGGATACATCCTTGAGCAAAATCATACCGAACAAGATCGATTGGTTGCTCAACATTACTTGCTACGCATGATGTTTGGAGGTGTGGATTACAATGCTCCTGTATCTCTCGACAATAGCAACAGCTTTGGCGCCAAATCCAACATCGTAGTATTGGATGTCGGATGTGGTCCTGGTGCATGGACCATGGAGATGGCCACTTCCTTTCCAAAAGCAACATTTATCGGTATTGATAAAGATGATTTCTTTCCACAAGACATCAAGCCCAAGAACTGCCATTTTCGTCAATACACTATTGGAGAGGATGGCACTCTGCCATTTCCTGACAACAGCTTTGATTTCATCTATCAGCGTGATTTCAATTGGGCACTCACCACTGACATGTGGACACGTCTTATCAACGAGTACATGCGTATCCTTAAACCAGGTGGATGGGTCGAGTTGGTCGAATCGGTAAGATCTTTGTACACCCCACGCGTATAACATGTATGTTTATTCATCGTACGTTATTACATTATAGGACGTGGAAACCAAAAGCAGTATGCGTATGGAATGTGCCATGAATGACAAATGTAAGTAATCCCATCATGTTGCATATCTGTGTTACCCATGTTGCTGACAACAGCGTGGGAATCATTATAGTGCTTGAAGGAATGGCCCTTCGTCATCAGGAACCCCATATTGCCCGTCATTTATCTACATTATTAGCGGTGAATGGGTTCAGGCGGGTCCAAAGTCAATTTCAATCCTTCCCATTAGGATGGGACAAGGAGCAGCAAGCTGAGAAGGAAAAACAAAATGACCCTTCAACCTTAACGCCAAGTGAACTTGCTCATCAACAAAAACAAAAACGCATTCGTTCGGAACTTGCAAGGTTGGCAGCAAGCCAATACTTGTTCTTGTTGCAATCTTTACGACCCTGGCTCTCTTTGGTCATGAATCTATCGACTGATAAGTATAATAATTACATTATTGGCCTACCCGAAGAATGGCGTCAGGGTCAAACATATACCAATTGGCATTGTGCAACGGCCCAAAAGCCTCCCATCAGCAGATTTTGAACCCTTTTGCTTATATCATTTACCATCTTATCTTACTGTATTCTTTTCCCTTTCCACCCCCAAGCCCTTCACTATCTCTTGTAATCATTCATCCTCATCATCATCATTGCCATATTACTCCTCCTCTTGTTGTACAAATGAAAAAAAGCTGAGAGTTTGATATTCTCTATTATGGATTACTGAAAACAACGATCTGCATAGCCATATTGGTTGGCCAATATCCAATACAAATGTACAAAAGTAGCCATGAGTCCACAATTTGGTAGTCTCGAATCATGATCGACAAGAGTTCCCCTAACGACTGGCCTGTGATCGTCACGTACATCAACGCAAGTCCACAAGGAGAGAGCATCGTCAACATCACCAATTGTACTACACGCCCAAGCCAAGAAGAGGTGGATCGGATCAAGCTGTAGGGAAGGACAATGCAAATGGCTGTCACCACCGCCAAGCTGAAATTGAGCAACGATACGGTGGATATCACCAAACCACTGAATGCCAAGCAAAATGATTTCAAGATACGGCCGTCATACTGTAAGGATGGGTGCAATGACATCCAAATAAAGGAGCAAATCACAAGTGCATGTGCTACGCAGGTGGATAGAATGAATTGGCTCTCGAGATTCTATACAATATCCTTTGTCATTTTTCTTCTTCCTTTCATTCCTCAGACCCCATCATCTTTACCTCGCTTGCATAGCCTTGACATTGCATGATGTAAAAGATCACAAATCCTGCAAGATGCGTCATGATCATGACCAAAAAGGCAAAAGATACATTGCGACCTCGAATGGTATATGCGGGTGGAATGGTCGTGGGAGATGCCTTTTGCACCGTGTTGGCGGCTGGTAACTTGGGTTCAATATAATACAAAACAAGCGAGTGCAGTGATAGTTAAGGAGCGATAACCATGAGTGGCAAGTGCCGAGCACGAGACAATACACATGTCCCCATTAAGAAAGAGGTGGTAAAAAAGGATATTTGAAAAACCAAGCTGCAGGCAAACAGAATGACAGGTGGCATGTAATCACCAATAGACACATATCGATTCGGCTTGAGCAAAAGATAGAAGAAGAACGATTGATGGAAATGCTCCAGCAAGTTGTTGAGACTGCGGAAAGTGGATTCTATCAAGCTTTTTGGAAGAGTCAACCATCAGTCAAGGTTATATGCAAAGGCAACTTACATTCCAATTTTGAAGAATCCAAATAATGCATTGAGATGGGTGCTGCCACGAATACCATGAATGGTCACTGCATCGATCTTGTATCTAAATACGTTGTCAGCTGATGGATAATCCCTCCCTCCTCGTTCTTGCATATACTACCTCAAATAAAGACCAGCGTCGCTTGAGGGGTGCCCCAAAGCCTGATATCGCATCGTACGCAACATGTGATAGAGCGACTCAAAGTAATCGGCCCAAGCTGTATCTCTGAAAGGATATGACGTTTCCTCGTGGAGTGTCAATGGGACGCGAACAAGCCTGTTTGTCACCGTATTGATTGTGTTTATCAAATCCAAGTTTGGGAGTTGTCCATTCACGCCCTCTTCAAAACAAAAAAGTCAACTTTGCCATTTTCTCACATCCTTGTAAACGAAACCTTACCGAAAAAGATGCCAAGGCTTTCATAGTCGTGTGTGCCTGGGAAGTCGAGATTGACCACACCTTGAATAGCTCCAGATCGAGGCATTACCACCGAAAACCCATCTACAGGTTATAGTGTCATTACCATAATCAATTCTATCACTCATTGTTTACATACCTTGGTCACCTGTTCCATGATATGCATCCACCCATGCTTGTGCTCCGGCCATTTCTTTGTCTGTTACCAGGAATATGATGTCTTTGGACCAATATACATTTCCTATTATGGTACCATGTGAGCTCTTGCCACTACTACTCCATGCGTGCATGCATCTTACGCTTGAATAATTTGGCCAAGGACAACAAAACAGCGACGCCATTGGTGTTATCTAACCAAACAAACAATCACTTGTTAAGTGCATCATGCCAGTGAATGAAGTCGTCTATACTCACAGTCATTGGTACGAGAGATCCAAGGTGCACTTAGAACCAGAGCTTCTTTTCCATCACTTCGTGGTGCACGATATACAGCAAAAGCATTGACTCCCTATACATTGAACATGTCAATCCATGATCTTTTCCAATACCACTCCTCTTTTATACCTTTTCACCATCAAGATCAAATCGTTGTATTGTGCTGGTGAAGCCCATGCGCTGAAACTCAGTTTGGATCCACGCACCGCGTCTGTACAAATGCGTAAGATATTGCATCCTTTCCACCCATGCGCCGAACTATGCCTTACGTTTCACTATCCTTGTTTTGGACATCCTTCAATTCATATCTGTAGTTTTCTGCAATTTGCATGTCATCATAGCCGTAGTATGCGTTTGCCTATCATGTTCCAATCAATAAAAGAGAAAAGATGTCAAGTGTGTGTGCTTGTAAACGAACCTGACCAGGCAACAAGGCGTTTTCAGAGATATACGTCCTTCGATTGAATTCTTGAAGAGGGAAGAGTAGAATCCATCCGATGCCCACAAAGAATAACAATAGACTATGGTAGCATGGGGTTAATGGGATGCTTGGCTTGGATCGTGAGTTCAGGTCCTCTTTTACCTTAATGGTGGAACGAACTTTTGAATCCTTTGTGCGATGCGTTCTCGTTGTGCTGCATTATACTGAGAGATGCCCGACTTGCGTGCTAATCGACGTTTGATCCATGTTCTCAGCATGGATGGCAGACACGGGTTGATATTCGACTGAGAAGGTAAGTTGAACGAGCATGCCACGCTTCACTCTCCTAATGCGCCTTTCATTTCCCGCCCAGGTCCTTCATTGCTTGTCAACCAATTTATGCGATCGCATGGATACCCTATAACACCCATCACAGCTTTTGTAAAAGGAAGACTAGCAACCAGGATAGCTTGCTTCGTTCGTAAACTTTAGCTTTCTCGTTGAATGACTTAATCGCTATCTTTGGCGTAATGATCTTACAATAAACTTACACGTTTATGCAACCATATTACAATCCCATAGTAGTCATCTTATAAGAGTTGCAATCCTCAGCCATGCATATTGACAACGAGAGACTCCTTCTGTAATAAGCTGCCATGGAAACAGTGTATCCTCTTTAATTTTCAGCCCATAAATTGCCAGCTAACAGCCACTTCCTTCCAATCAGCGTTGTTGCAAAATCCATTTCATGTGAACGATTCTCCTGCTCCAGCCCATCATTCCCATCTTTCAACTTTCTTGATCCGAGATGATTTGGCTGAACTACGCTCAAACAAAGAATGTGTCAATTCTTGAAAGACAGACCCTGCGAATGTCTCCGTCTTTCAAACTTTTGGACGCTCCCATTCCAAATTTTCAAATGAAGCGTGAGCTTTTTATTATGAAAAGGTTGATCAGCACGTTCGAGAGCACCCTTCTGACCAATTTTCAAGTTGGAGGTGGGCAACTTCGGGGCGATGGGGCGTCCGTTCTTATGTTCCCGCAGTACATCGTCTCTCCTCCGTTTGGGCCGCCCCGCGTTTAAGATCTTCATAATGAAGTCTGCGACTTTTAAATGAACAATGTTGATCAGCATGTCCAAGAGCATCTTGTATGAATGTTTCATGTTCAATAGGGGCAATCTCAATATCAACAAGGATTCATGTGCAGTGTACATGTATTTGTACAAGAGGTGTCCGCCCTATATAATTTCCACTCCTTCCACTCCCACAACTTCTTGTCTCTTCCTCCCATTCACAACTGTTGCCCATTCGAGTATACAACTACCACCTGCGAACGATTGCCCTGCTTCAACCCATCATGTCAATCCTACACTTCGCTTGATCCGATTGTCGTCGACTGAATGGCAAGTCCATGGCGTGTACACCCCACTACAACACACACTTTCCTTGATACAGCACACGCTCTTGCATACTCCTCTGCCACGACCAATGGTAACAGCATTCATTCCAGCAATTGCTATTAGCAAGGCCTTGACTCCATTGTCTCCAACAGCGTTCTTCACTAGCAGCAACGTGCCTTATAGTCTTCGTTATGTGGACAGCAGATAGACCTTGTATAGAAGCAGCTTTATTTACGTGTAACAACTTACTACAATACAAACGTATTCCTATGGATGTGGATATGGATATGGATATATGAGATGGAAGGATCTGGATATATACAACGCGTGGAAAGAGTGCATTGTTATGCATCCATTGACAACATGACCCTGATGCTATCATCCTGGTCGATTGGTTCATCCAATTACCGTAGTTTACTCGCTATTCCAAGGCAGCTGCAATCATCATCCTTTGTGCAACCTGTCAACCAAGTACAACCATCATCATCCAGGTCCATGTTTGGACACGCCATGCATCAAGTATCACTACACGTCCACCCATTCACCTTTGCACAATGCACACACCCAAAGTATAGAATCTCTCCAAATCGATGCATCTCCTCATTGAAGCAATTCGTTGTACCTCTCAATCTATCTCTTGTGAATGATGTTGGATTAAAGGATTACTTTAGCCAATATACGATTTTGCGATGGCCAACCATTTCTAAGTTTCTATAGCAATAGAGAGCTTCATTCTCCTGAGTTGGGCTTCGTCGTGTGAGGACACGTGACGCATTGTATTATGGTATGGCGAATGCAGGATTGTAGCAGTAATCCACTTGTAAATGCTATGATCAAGGGAAAAGGATCGGAAGAGAAAGGGCCTGGTTGATTCATTGTGCCTTGAACAAAGGCCACATTCGAGAGTAAAATCCACCTCCTTTTTAGTGATTTAGATCTCGTTACTGTATCATATACGGCGAGAGATGAAGATGCACAGAAGGCCCTTCGTGTTGTAAATGCGCAGTGGATATGCATGATCTTTTGAAATGATCAACAATCACTTGGTCGCATTGACACCGTTTCATGGCAACCAGGTAGCTCCGCGATCATGGAAGGTGATACGATGATATAGTAGACTACCTTGACAACTGAAATAGAGATGTATAATGTGTACTGCAGATGAGTCCCATAAACCATTAGACGCGTTTCATCATACCAACCATGCACTGTGTTCACTCACAAAGGACCCAAATCTGCTTTTAGTATTCTCAATGCCATACCGTTATTAGATTATGAATACGGTCATCATCAGCTGAAGCAGTAGTGCTATCTCCTTGTGCCACCTTCTCTCTCGTTTATAGGCATTATGACGTTTGATTGTGGCGATGTGTATGCAAAAAGAAAGGTCCTTGAGTGTTTTGGACTCGACATGCAAACACGCGTCGCCTGACTTTGCTCATTGTGTAACCCACTAAACGCGCGTCTTATATAAAGCGCCTCCTGCAGAATAAATTTAGACGCATTTTTTCTCTCTTGAATTATGGACCCGAACGCTTTTGCCCCCACGAATCCCGCAGATTTGGATGAATGGAAAGAAAGACTTTTGGGGAAAAAGTATGTTGAGAATGATGAGATGCATGTCGAGGGACAAGTAAGTGGAAAAAGATGAAACGCGATCATTCACTTTATAACAACAACCACTTTTACAGACATTTCCACGCTCACAATTACCACCCGTAAACCGTGTCCTTCCTCCTGGAGCCCCTGCTACCCGTGACTATGTCCCCAACCGTCTCAATGTGATCTTGGATGATGCAGATATTGTAACAAGTGTATATTATGCCTGAATAACTATAAAGGAGTGTTTACGTATTGGTACGCTGTGGCTGTGCTCCTAGTACTCGGTCAATGTCCCTTGGATCCACATAGGTATCTCGATGATGTGCCTCATAGGATGGCGGCGGTAGTTCCTCTTGCATTGAAAATGGATTATCGCTGTCAATAGCATTTGTGGCTGGTGTTGGAGGTAATGGGCGATTAGTTCTACTGTTTGTAGTGGTGGTGGTGGTGGTGGTGGTGGTGGGTGGTGTTGCTGGTAATTGTCGTTCTACTGAAGACGGGTTGCTTATGGATCGTGGCGGTGAAATGCGTGAGGATGAAGGAAGAGAAAGTGATGATGATGATGATGGACTATGCTGTCGTCTTGCATTGTGTGCCCTATTTACCCATGGATTCATCAATACTTGCACTAGCCTTATTATCATCCCATATTCTTACCATGCCGTTGATGCGTTGCCAGCATTTCTCATGTATTGGTGATTATCTGTCATTACTTGGTTGTAAAAAGAAGCTGCTTTACGCACACTCGCTATTGCAATGTTTGTGTAAATACAATAGCATGTGCTTTTTGTAAGAGAGCTTACCTGTTCCTACTTGGACGAAATCTCTGATGCGGTTGCGATCGTAGTGGTATGCTACAAAAGTGGTATAGCTCGAATAAGCATCTGAATAATTACACAAACATCCTTGTATTACCTGTCCAATCTTGGGGTATGGTCGACGAAAATGAAGATGACGCTGATTTCGATTGTAAGTAAAATCTAAAGACCATGATTCATTGAAAGAGTACTTACAAGATGAAGCTGTACGCATATTGGGTCGTTGTGCTTGTCGTTGTTTGCTTCTACTAGCAAGCTCTTGGCGCCATTGTGCGAGATCTTGCCGAGCCCTGGTGGTACCTCCGCCCGTGCCGTTCAAAAAAGGCTGATGATGATTCTTGGCATAAGCTGATCGTCTTTGAATGGGATGAATAAAGAGGTATACTCACATTGGTATTATCAGATACGGTGCGTGTTGGCTATATCAAATAAGGTTACAATGGGGTGATGATAAGCAAGATCGAGTACGTTGCTATATACCTGTGGTGGACGACGTCGCTCCGGCAACGGTGGACGTGGTTGTGCCGCTAGTGGTGGTGTTTGGTCAGTGCTAGTTTGAGCTGTTGGATCTGACAATTTCAGCATCATGTCGAAGGCCTCTTCTAAATTGTCGTTTGCCGATGCCAGAATGTCGTCGATAATTGCAGGATCAACGTTTGGGAAAGCATCAGCAAGGGTATCAGCTTTTGGTGCCTCGAAAGGGTTGGACATAATAGGGAAAGAAGGAAGGACCGTGGCAAATGCCGGGATAACTCAGCTGCCTTTAAGTGATCAATGCGCAATCACACACACAAGGGTCTTTGATCTCCCTTCCCTTTTCTTCATCATGTCATTTTCATTTCACAGCCTCAAAGTCGATACTTATGGTGATCAACCAGGCAATCCTGAACGTGTAAAGACTTGCTTAGCTGGTCAAGCTATTCTGGATAAACCTCTTCTCAATAAGGGTACGGCATTTACCAAGAAAGAACGCGAAAAGCTTCGGCTATGCGGCATGCTGCCGTATAAAATTAATACGTTGGATGAACAAACGGCTCGGTTGAAGGAGCAATATGACAAACTTCAGCGTCCCATTATTAAAAATGCCTTTATGCAAAGTATGTGGGGTTACATACATGATGATCTCGATACAAAAAAAAAACTCATGCTGGAATCTTGGTTAGACATCCATGACCAAAATGAGACTCTCTTTTATAACTTTGTGATCCAAAACCTTGAGAGCATCCTTCCCATCATTTATACGCCAACCGAAAGTGAATACATTGCAAGGTAAAGTTAAAGAAGACTACCACGTTACCATCCAAACTTGTGTATTCACTCATCATCTTGTAATCATCACCATAGTTATTCCCATGTCTTCCACAGGCCGTAAGTGTGTATAGAATCGTCTCTTGTATTGATCTAATACGCATGGGTGTGTATTACATAGCCGTGGTGTATATCTCAACTACCCCGAAGACGACAACCTTGAACATGTTCTCCTCGAAGGTGCATTGCAGAACGGCATTGCTCCAGAAAATGTCGACGTCATAGTGGTGACAGATAGCGGTGCCATTCTGGGCATAGGTGATCAAGGCGTGGGGGGCGTAGCAATCAGCGTACGTCATTCTTGTACATCCTTTCATCATTATTACGTTACTAAGTAATGCTATTATTATTCCAGGTAGCCAAACTTGTATTATACACAGCTATGGCAGGTATCAATCCAGCACGGGTACTTCCAGTGGTCCTTGATGTCGGCACCAACAATCAGAAGTTGCTTGACGATCCATTGTATCTTGGTTGGCGCCATCAACGTGTGGAGGGCAATGATTATGATTGCTTTGTTGACAAATTTACGCAATGTGTCCGAGCCCATTTTCCACGCGCCTTTTTACATTGGGAGGATTTTGGTGTACACAATGCTCGCAAACTACTCGTGAGGTACCAACCCGTCATGGCAACGTTCAATGATGATATCCAAGGCACTGGTGCCATCACCATCGCTTCCATCATGTCCGCACTCAAGATTTCAGGTGGTAAAATGCGAGATCAGCGATTTGTGATTTTCGGTTCGGGCACAGCTGGGATGGGTATTGCCGATCAAGTTCGCAGCTACTTGGAAACAAAGGATGGAATGGAGACACAGCATGCTGCAAAGCAAATTTGGTGCCTGGATAAGGAAGGCTTGCTTACGAAGGATATGGACGACTTGGCTGAACAACAAAAGCGATATGCAAGAGATCCAGAAGAATGGGGTGATGGGAGCAAAGGATTACTGGATGTTGTCAAACGTGTGCATCCCACAGTGCTGATTGGATGTTCAACACAACCAGGTGCATTTACTCAAGAAATTGTGGAGACAATGGCACAGCATTGCGATCATCCCATCATTTTCCCTTTATCAAACCCAACAAGGTTGCATGAAGCTAAGCCAAATGACCTCTTTAAATGGGTAAGCACATGTTTATTTTGAAAGGCGACAAGAAGGATGAATAGCTCATTCGTTAAAATAGACAAAGGGCAAGGTCTTTGTTGCAACGGGATCACCATTTGACCCAGTGGAGTACAATGGGGATAAGTACGCAGTAGCTGAATGCAACAACTCGTTTGTTTTCCCTGGAATTGGTTTGGGTTGTGTGGTCAGTCAAGCTAAACATTGCACCGATCCCATGATCTTTGCAGCTGCCAACGCTATTAGTGAATGCTCCCCATCCACACAATCCAAAGATAGAAAGCACAGCTTATTACCCGATGTCAAGGATGCTCGCGAAGTTAGTGTTCAGGTGGCCATAGCAGTTGCCAAAAAGGCAATCGAATTAGGAGAAGCCAAGGCACTTCCAAAAGATATCGAAGCAACTGTACGTGATTTCATGTGGGAACCACGATATGCCGATTATGAGCTTGTATGTGAGTGAGAGGATGAGGGAGTAATAAAAGATTGTTTTTGCATCACACTCAATTCAAATGACCCATGGTGGACATGCTACTATAATTAAAGTATAGGATGCTTCTTTATTCGTTGTTGAAATAAAGAGTTCATGGTGGAGAATGGATACTCCTTTGACTTTGCTATTATTACCAGCCCCATTATCTCCATTATGTAGGTACTTTTCAAATAACGATAGTAGATAAAGATATATAGATATTAGACCATTCCAAAACAAAGAGGATGTAATATGAAGGTGTGCATGTGTGTGTGTGTGTGTGTCTCTGCCTCAAATAGACCAGCTATTATTGGGTATCATGACGACGATGAAGATGAAGATGATGAAGGATGATGAGGTGCGGATGAATCTGGTGGTGTTGGAAGCTGTTGCTCTTCTTTTGAATGTCTTCTATTATCACCCTTGTCGATCGAGAGATGTCTTGCTACCTTGTGGACACGACTGTATTCATCTTGCTCCTCTTGTTGCGGTTCGTTTTCTTTTGTTGATGATAAGGCATCGTGTACTGCTGACATGCGGGGTGGAACACGACCTTCTGGGTATCCTTCTTGCTCTTTCATCCAATGCAATAGTAGTTGATCGCCATAATTTTGAAGCTCATCCACCGTGACAAAGAGCGCATAATCGTTGAGCACAATGAACTGCACTTCCAATACATTGAGTTCAGATACAGGCAATCCACCCACCTACAACAAGTAGCGTTAATGATCTTGAACGTCCACCTCAACAATGATCCTATACTTACTTTGGCGTAACGGGTATTTGTGTAAAAGATATCTGACATGAGCTTGCTCGAGACCATGATAGCAGCAATGACAAGTCGATGGATATTATATGAGTCGATGCGTAATGGTTGTCGAGAGGCTGGTGTTGTTTTCGACAGACGATCAAAATATACGAGAATAGCAAGAAAACACTCGTTTGCACACGGGCAATACTTTAAAATTCGCGAAAGGTAGGCGTGGATCGATATACTCGGAATGGAACGTGCATGGAAACAGGTGTATGGCGATGCATGGGATAAGCTACGAGACCGTCCATGGCGTGGTGGATCGCCATTCGCTGCTGGTGCTGGATGAAGACGATCGTTGGCAGAGGTGACCTTTTCCAACAACGAAGCCAACATCTTAATGGTGTCCTTGGTAGGATGTCGGGCAATATCGAATCGAAATGGCGGCAAGCTCATAGCATCAAGAGATGACGATACAGTTGTATGCGATAGTAATAGTAGTAGTAGAAGTAGTGAGCAATAAACGAAAGAGAGAAAGAAAGAAAGAGGAGTGAAAGTGATTTTAAAGAACCGTCGTCCTTCGACTAACGCGCCTATTGATCTCCACAACAACCCCCTCCTTCATTGTATATATAGACACCTTCTGATAGATAGTATTCATCGTACCATATTGTAAGGACGCCATCTTGCATGTGTCTATCACGCATCCCAAGGAATGACTTGCATGTGTTGTTTGGTCAAATAGTTACTACGCCTACTAGCGCCGATGCCGCGTGATACATTCAAAACCCATAAATTTTGTAACATATGAACACCTAATCCGTTTATAAAGTCAAACGTGCTTCATTCATATCCAAAACACTATAGTCTCATTGACATCATACGCATATACCTTATACCTTAACATGAGCTATCACTTTGATCCCGATACATTCAAAGCAGTTGCTCTCACGTGACATTGTCTTCATAGCCCTGTAATGTGGCACCAGCGACATGCTTCAACAAAGTACTTCAAACACTTGTACGATGCCTACATGTCATGCCTATATGACATGTCCAATAATAGATCGTAAACAAATACGCAAATGCTATTGCTTTCAACATGCAGCCAATATTTTGAGTCAAACAAGCACGCAGATGTAATGCAAAAAGGGTTCAATCATCACGTCAGGACGCGGTGCGTGATGCAACTACTATAACAAGCGAACTAATACTACGCTACCCATAATGACAGGAAGCACAATGATGCTCACATGGTCCTAACCAACCCGATACTACTATAGGGATGTTTTCATACATTGTCCATATTAGCTGTAGGGTAGAGATTGGTCACGTGCACTATAGAGCCTTGTATTCACCATCTTTTTCAATGCACACAATATGGCATCCATTGCTGATAATGTTTGTAATAGAAATTTGTTGCTTGGATGTTCCAGCTTGTGAGCTAAAGAGTGCTATTGTGCGAGAGAATAGTTCATTGCAAAGGAGATGAATGATGTGATTCGTGAAACCAGCTTGCAAATCTCTATGTGAAATCACGACCTTGTGCTTTCTCATTCGGAGGATGAAGATGGGGTTGTCATCACCCACAACACTTCTTTAATGATACATCATCATCACCATCATCTTAATGTCGATTAACTTGAAAAGAAATTTGATGATATAGCACACCACGGAATGAAGCAACAAATGGTATAATCGATAAATGATGATACAAAAGGTAATTCGATTGATAGAGAAAAGAGATCCGGAGATCAATGTTATGCTAATTATCGCGTCGCATCAAATGGGTAAACTTTATTCCCGATCGAGCAATTACTTTCTTCTTGAGTTTGCGATTACTACACGCTTTTCCCGCAGCCCATTGTTCAAGCCAAAACCCACGAGAGACGAACATATGGAATACCGATTCCTTGGCAATTCAGGTCTCAAGGTCAGCATTCTATCGTTGGGAACATGGATCACGTTTGGTAAGTCATTGTACCTTTTTTTTACACCCACCACTCCTACCTACTATGCAAAACGCTTCCCGCTCGAACCTGTCCATTGACTCATTCACCCATGTGTAGGTGCGCAAATCACGTCTGGTAAAAAAAGACATAGTGCCTATACCAAGGCGATGACTCAAATACTCGGGACCAACCATCTCCAATGTGCCACACACCTCTACATACAGAACAGGCGACAGCACTTGTCAAGACCGCTTTGGAATTGGGGATTAATCATTTCGATGTTGCCGAGTCTCATGCAGGTAATAGAAGGATGAAGGATTACGTGATGGGGAATGTTCATCATCATCATCATCGTATAATAGGCGGCCAAGGAGAGATCGATCTTGGATTAGCGTTGAGGAACCAAAAAGGCCTGAGACGATCCGATTTCATTATATCCACCAAAGTCTTTTGGGGTAATGGCAAAGGGCCCAACGATCGAGGTCTCTCTCGAAAGCATGTGTTTGAAGGCACCGTGGCATGTTTGCAAAGGCTGGAATTGGACTATGTGGATATTCTTTATGCACAAAGACCTGGTAAGTTGTTTTTTGTTGGATATGGGATCAGCATCCTACATCAGTATGTAACGCGTGAAACAGATCTGGATACCCCAATGGAGGAAATTGTGCGAGCATTCAACTGGTGTATCGATAAAGGCATGGCTCTCTATTGGGCTACCAGCGAATGGCCACCCTATCTTATCATGGAGGCTCATGCAGTGGCAGCCAAGTTACATTTGATCCCACCTATTACCGAGGTAAAGTTTGGATGAATAAGGAACACGTGTGCATAATGCAAGGGATGACTCACTCGCTCATTCTTTTTATCCCCACCCTCTATGTATGTATGTAGTCTCCTCAATACAACATGTTCAGCCGTGAACGAGTGGAAAAGGAATACCTGCCAATGTATCAAAAGTTTGGAATGGGCACTTGCGTTTGGTCGCCATTAGCATCCGGTATGACATTCTTGCTATTTGTTTATATCTGAGTACGCAGTCGGATGATCCTTACTGAAGATGGGATGTGATGGGGGGGGTGGTTGTTGATGTGCATGATTAGGTCTGTTGACTGGAAAGTATAATGACGGTGTGATTCCTCCATATTCACGACTTGCCATCCAAGACCATCCGCTGATCAATCGGCTACGAGAAGGTTTCTTTAGTGGGGAAGGAAAACGTAAAATCGATAAAGTCAAGGTTATCTGTGTAAGTGATTTGCCTCATTTCAGGGAGCGAGGATGCTAATGATGATGATGATTGTACTTTAGCAAATCGCAAGGCGCTTAAATTGCACACCTGCTCAACTTGCTATTGCTTGGTGTTTATGCAATCCAAACGTTACCAGTGTGATTATTGGGGCATCCACACCCGATCAAGCCAAAGAGAACATCCATGCACTAAAGATCAGACATCTAATGACAGACGACGTGATTGAGGAACTTGATCAGGTAAACAAGGACATGAAACTGTTTCATCTCTTTGCCATTTACTCATTTCACCGCTTTTAGATACTCGGCAACAAACCCGAAGCCGTCTTTGATTTTCGTCGTTCGTAGAAGGAAGGTTTGAAACCCCCATCAATTTTTTTCTTTTTCAGAATAAACAAAAACGCTGTGGATCATTCAAACAACAAAGAAGGGGATGGATTAACGATATTGGCTATTGGTATACATGTGTTTGTGCTGCTTGGTTATGTTGACTACGCAATGATGCATATACGTGATGCGTGTGGACGGTAGGTATGTGCGCGCGATATATGATTTGGGAATATGGATGACATCAAACAAGGTTGGTTGTTGGGGTAATATGGAAGACATTAAATTAATGGTTATGGTAATAGTAATAGAAATCATGCTGCTGCTGCATCTGCTCATCCTCTGGTTCTTGTAGATTCATCATGGATACAAAGGAAAACGGCATCATTTCTTGTTGATGTGGTGGAAAGATATCGGGTGTTCCTGGGGCCGAGTATTCGGAGAGGATGGAGGAGCTACCAAGTTGCCAAGAGGGACACTCTTCTTGTGGATGTTGCAGGGAGGGTTGTTGTTGTTGTTGTGTTGCTGCAGCAGCGGTTGATGCTGTACCATAATAATCTTGATGACAAAAGTAGGCAGTTGGATCGTCTTCAAACAAAGGATGAAGCATTTTATCAATGTTGAATTGTGCGGCAAGTGCTTTGGCACGTGCAAAGGTGATCCTATGTTGTGTGTACACGTAAACAAAGTGAGTGGTGGGGGATGAATAATAATGGGCGTTGGGGAAATGGCGTCGTCGTTCTCTTGCTTTGATCCTGAAGGGGGGAAATGATCGACTTACCATACGCCCTTGAGATGCATAGCTCCAACCTTGACTACCACACGACCGCGCTCATGTTTGAGTATGCCATCACGCTTGCCTCGAGAGATACCAGTAACATTGAGAAGCTTGGTGCCATTCACCATGTCATTGTCTACATAAAAAAAGGTCAAAAGTAAGGAACCCATTAAACAATAAACAACAACTCGGCATTACCTTGTCGTCTTGCTACGCATACGCCGTTCACATCGACTTGATAGCACAATGTGTTTTGATCTTCCCAAACGGATGTGGTAAGCTTTGGATAGGTGTTTGGAGGCGTTGGAGGTGGTGGTTGATGTTGTGTTGGGGATGTTGGTGTTGGGTAGTAATAATAAGAAGGTGCTGTTGGTGGTGGTGGTTGCACTGGCTCGTTTGCCTGGTGCTTCATGTTGAGAAAGTTCATATAGCTGAACATTGTAAATGGGGAGAAGAGGAGAAAAAAGCAAGGAAGAAAGGAAGAGAGAAGAGAGAGGGAAGAAAAGAGAAAAGAAATGGCAGTTTTTGACGACCAAAAATAGTTGCGTAGGAAGGTAAATAAGGCTGCATGGTTGTGTGGTGTGCATGCTCAGTTTTTTCTTCCAAACTTGTCGCTAGACGGCAATGAAGGCTTCTTTGGAAATGGTTGCATGGTGATGGGTGTTTTTGCTGGGAGTCAAAAAAACTACGCAAAACACATGATGATCGCGATCACACAGACAAGATGGAGGGTGCCACAGCATCATCATCTTGGCAGTCGTGATGCATATCTTGCAACGCTTTTTGTTCCCAGATACTGGTCTACCGGGAACAACAACATCTTACTTGGCGTGTAATTATGAGAGGTCCTATCCCACTTGCTCTTTTTTGTCCTTGATCCAATAATACGGCATCTTAGGTCAAACCTTATGCATCTCGGTGCATGATGAGGATATTAAATTGCTTCACTGTATCGTCGTTACGAAAGCTAAATGGCGCAACATGGCCAGCAGTAAGTTACTTCCTCATTAAAAGCTTTACTTTTTCTCTTTCACTATTCATGCATGCGGCAACGCATGTATCTGATCTATGTTGCTTATGGGTATAAGAGTGTAGGATGCGTGTATATATACAGCCGCTTGTATTAGGATTAAAGTGTGCGTGAGCAAGTGGGTGCGTGTGTGTGTGTGTTCGCGCGCCCTCTTGCTCCTTATTCCCTGGCTCTTTTTTTTCTTTTTTGTTGGCGTACCTTCCGTACGTCATGCATCAACCACCATCCCCTTGATTTCCCACACTTGCAAAACCATCTACAGTATTCCTCATCATAAGACGAAAAAAAAGTGGCCATTTACCATGTACGTCAATCAAAGTATAATTGTACAAACATGCACACACCACCACCCATAATATAAAGTGCGCATCCAGCCGCTTTGCCTTGGATGGATAAGTAAACAAAAGCTTGCAGCACGATCGGCAGCATCTTCAGCCCAAAACCGTTATCATTGCTTGTTTGTGAAAGTGCCTCAGCTTTGTTCACACACATATATACAAACAAGCTGCGCAAGTTTGACCTTTTTGCTACCTATACACAATCATCTCCCGTTGCATAATCCCCCCAAACATAGACCGCGGATCTTGTTTAAGTACCAACATCATGTTATCGCATGATTTGAGATGTTGGGAACTCCTCATAGAAACGACCTTTATGATTGGAACATGGGAATTCGTCCTTTATCACGGCATTAGGAAACTCAATCAAGTTGCATGTTCTTTGTTAAGATAAAAGATGGCAAGATAACAATCACAGAAAAGGAGAAAAAAAAGAGACACCATTCACTGTTTTCGGAATAAGGCACCGTTTTGGGAGACCACAACCTTTTTGTCATTCAGATTGGCCGCTGCCGTACCCCCAATGTCAATAGCACGGATATACTATGCATTTGGCAAAATGTGCTTGATACATGTGGTAGTGGAAGAACCATAATGGTTATTGACAGACATACACATTGAAAAGGTTCATGTCTAAACTCAACATGTTGTTGGCCTCTCACACACATGAGGACAATTCAGGTTGTTGTTATGTTGTTGTTATGTTTCTGGGGGGAGGGGGTGGAGGAGGGAGCTGAGAAAGCCTGCTCATCAGTCAAATCGTAAATACCTCCAACACGCAGACTAGAGTGTAAAGAAAACAGAATAAGAAAAAACAAAGCCCCTTCCTTCTCACCCCCTTGAGGAAAGCAAAAGGGGATCACAAGAAGTCTTTGGATGCAAAAGAGTGTCTATTCTCGTCACTCTTTCTACTTTTGAGAAAGCATCAATGATCCATTCAAGAAGGAGGATGCATCCATTCATTGCAAAACCTCATATACACCAAGGTATCCATGGTGGTATCATCACCCCCACATTCAAGTAACCATGCAAACGTTGTAAAAGTTGTAATCGCGTGTATCATGCATTTACTGTTCACAGGTTGATGATTGCATAAAGGTAACGTATATATATAACGTGTGTATTTTTTGAGTGTACCCTGGTGATGCAGCAGCAGCAATGTGGGTCTGTGGCGACATACACGCAGTTGCATTATTGGTGGTCTGATCCCCCTTTCGTCATTGGATGTTTACCAAAAATGAGGTGCACGGCATGCCAACAAGCTTTTCAAGTGATCCGATCCTAATACCTTCCGGATGTGTGTGCGTGCACTCCTCACTCGTTGTTCATCACTTTTTGTAATGGCTTTCGCCTCCTCATGATCACTCAACAATATCATAACAAAGGTGGAATTACTGGTTTAACTGATTAAATGTGTGCAAGTGTGTGGGGGTGAATGTAATGTGTATGTAGCTTCTTGTTATCGTTATTATTGTGCAGCGACGGCAGTAGTACTATTTGAGCGACCCATCATGAGTGAATACTCTCGATCCAATTCCTCCTTTTCAGTGTCCTCTGCTGAAGATTGTCGATCTAAAAAGCATGTTATTAAGCCGCCATCATCATGGATCATCATATCACTTACATTGTCGTTTACGTATGTCAGCTCGTTTTCGCAAGGAACGTTTCTTATGGTCTCGGAACATGGCAGTCAATGACGAGGATTGGTGATCTTTGTCTTCTTGGATTTGCTTCCTCTTGTCACGAATGATGGATAGCATGATCGTATTGACATTATCGCGTTCAGTGTTGTATTCTTTCTCGGTGGTTTCCAATTCCTTCTCGAAACGTTGATGGATGCATGACAGCTGGTAGTTCATCATGTCCTTCGCATGGGCGATCGTCGTTTCACGCTCCGCTTCTAAATCCGATACTGCTTCCATAAACGCCTCATGGGTCCCTTCAAAGACAGAGCTGTGTCAGAGACAAAACAAAGAATAACAATGGCCCATTCATAAAAAGGATAGGTCACTATTACCATCTTGTAATCGTTCAAGGTCCTCTCGAAGGGATTTCAACTTGTTGTGGTATATGCTGCATAATAAAACTGTCAATTAGAAAGAGAGAAAAAAGGGGGTTTTTTTCATTGATGGGATGGGTGGCGACATTGCTTACATGGTGCGATGATCTATAAACTCCCTATTCATGGCAGTCATCAAATCATTGTATTCTTGTAACTTGGTGGGTCCTATGATGATGGATGATGTTTTGAGTTTTCTCTATTTGTTATAGCCTCATTGTTAAATTTTCTACCTTGATCCCAAGGAGTGGCAGCATGATACAAATCATAAGACGTCATTGATGATGATGGTGGTGGAGGAGGTGGTGGTGGTGGCGATGGTTCATGATGCCATTTAGGTTGAGGAGGAAGATAATGTGTTGCTGGAGGAGGTGGCGGTGGTGGTGGTGTAAGACGAAAAGCGTTGTTGTTGTTGATAGTTGTACATTGCGATGGAGGAATAGAAGAATGAGAATGTGGTTGTTGAGGTGCTTGTGGAGGTGGAGGAGGAGGAGCTAATGAAGGTTGGAATGGCGGCAAGTGAGCATCGGCACCTGCTTGAGCTACGATGTAACCAAACTGAGGTAGCATTATATTGTTGTTGAATGTGAAACAAAAAGAGGAAGAAAAGGGAAAAGCATGTTCAGGCCTTTATTGCTTAGCTGCTATCGAATTGGGGGGTGGGGGAGTCGACACACTGACATGTACGATTCGTCATTCTTGTATCACACAGCTATCAGGTACAATTACTCTTCTTCTTGTGGGGAATCAGTGAATAGATGCTTGCCTCGTTGCTGGTAAGATGTCATTCCTCGTCCACTACCTACAACACCCACTATAGATACACATGTAAGTAAATCATCATCACTATAGAGGAGTCAATCATCCATCGATCCTTACCTTTACTATCAGGATTATCAGGTGTCTTGAAAATACTCTTTTTGTTAATAGGTGTTGCTGCCATCCTTCCTTTCTTCTTTTGTTTTTGTGCACTGGATGCAAAGTTCTGCCATGCATTCTTTTTGACCTCCACTTCAGATACTTTTTTCTTCTTTGGCTTTTGTTGTTGTTGCTGTTGTTGCTGTTGCCCCTCACTACTGCTGGGTTTCTCTTTGTTGCTATCCTTCTTGGTCTTTTTGGTGGGCATCACATCTTCAAAAATTCCCTTTTTCCTCTTATTGTCCAATGGTTTGATATCCTCGGCTTTGACGAATTCGTTCTCTTGATATCCACGGAATACAACGGAGAAAACCTGATCTGCACCACCAATAGCTGTAATCGTTGCTCGATAAAATTGACTATCACCAGACCATCTAGCCAATACTTCTTGACCTACTGAAAACTGATGTGTCTTAAGCACAGGTGCTGGTGATGATGAAGGAGATGATCCATAGGGTGTTGATGGTGTCACAGGGCTCGCCGACTTTGACGCTTGCTTCTTTGCTGACTGCGATGAAGGAGACTGTTGTTGCTGTTGTTGTTCTTCAAGCTGTGCCGTTAACGAGATCAGTTCTTTCAAATCGTGCTGCAGCTTCTTGAGCTCTTCATTGTTGGGATCGCTGCCCAATGCAAGCTCAACTTGCTCTAATTGGTATTGGTATGATTCAGGGTCGTCCATCGCAAAATATATACAAGTGGTGTGGGTTCAAAGGCAGCGCTTGCTTCAACTGGTACATTGGCTGCTGCATCATGCTCGTGACTGAGTATTTCCCCCCTCTTTCCTTCCTTCCTTCCTTCCCGCTTTATACTCTCGACTTTGCCCATGGAGATTCTCTACAAGGAGCCTAACGACAATGCTGCCGACAATGCCATCACTCAAACAGCCGTGCAATTACCTCCCAGTGGAAAAGCTCTGCATGTCTTGCTCAACGTGAACCAACACGTCTTTGACGAAGCTGCCAAAAATGATACTTCACAAAGTGAGCATACCATCCATCCCCCTTCAAGTTTGATACGCTTTGCTTACACATATGAATAGCTCCCACGGGTCGTGCGTTTCGTGCATTGAATGAGTATTTGAATCAAGGTCGATTTGGTGATGTCTTTGATCCATTGCAGGTAATTGGGATGCTCCCTTAAATTTCATGCAACTTTAACACATTTGACAACAGCTATTGAAACCCAAGAGCAGCCAACCATTTCTTCGATTGGGTCGTTACTTGCTACTCTCATCTACACATCGCACTGCATTTGCCGACTTTGTACGACATGATCTACTTGACGCATCCGATAAACGATTGCAATTAGCGGGGGCCGTACTACTCGAACACGTCGCCGATGATCCTATCAGTGTAAACTTCATCCCGGATTTATCACGTGTGGCCTTGAAATACAGGCAAGTGAGTGGATTGGACATGCAATATACATGTTGAATACCTAACGTACGTAACAGTGAGGAGCCTATGACGTTACTACCATCCACAGCTTGCAATGTCGCAATCAAGGCATCACGGCATGGTATCCATGACTACCAATCCATAAGAGACCTGATACCATTGATGAAAAAGGTAAATCTATTGCTAGGAGAGTGGAAAGATAAACGGTGCACGGTATTCATGGAAGCCTTTTTTGATTTCAGTGGTATCCATACGATATCATTGCAACAGCTGCGTGGGAGGCAATTGACAACTTGTTGCAATCAATGCAAGGTAGAATGATATCATCCTCCCCTTTTACATTTACACTAAATAGCCTTCGCTAGGTCCTTGCAAAACGTGGGATCAGCTATCCAACACTCTCTCTTCAAAACATTTGATGTCCAAGAAACCCCTTTCAACCAAACGACAATTGTCAAGCCTGAATAATGAGGTAGGATGTATACGGAAGCTTTTATGAAATTGTGTATTCACGATGGAAATGAAACATGCGTAGGAGCCTAATGCTGGTTTGATCTCTGTGGCAATGCTTCAAAAATCCCAATGGCTCAATGAAAGAGAATTACCTGATGATTTGGTGACCGTAATCCGGAAGCATGTTGCGTCTATGGTAAGAGGAGATGATAAGGGCTAGTATGATTTGGGGTATTTCTGATGGAGGGAATCATAGTTGGATGTCACATGGGCACAACCATTGATGATTGCCATGCTCCTTATGACACCTGGTCTGTGCGTTGTACACAAGATTCCGAAGCATCTTATTGTTCCACTGGCAAAATCAGCATGCATAAACCAAGAACGAGGAAAAGCTTTCTTACCCTATGCCATGGCCAATACGACTGATTCCATACATGCGCTTTCGGAGATGGTGGGAAAAGATTCAAATGAAGATGCAGCACGGATATTGGGGGATATGCTTGACAAGGCAACCGTTGGCATGGAAACCGATCTTGAGGAATTTAGGTAACACAAAGGAGCAAGTTCTTTATTTTGGTTGGTGATTTTTAATTAGTCCGCTGGTAGTATGCCACTTGTAGATGATATGCTGCAATGGGTTTGTGGCAACGATCTCGCATGCAAGGTGCTCATACGATACATTGATGTTGCTGGTAATGATAAAGGATATCTGTTGATAACATTAAAACCTGACATGTTTGCTCATAGATTTGAGATACGTGCTCACACGGCTTATGCGAATGGCTTATAGCAAGGATCCAAGGACAAATCAAGTGTGCAAGGCATTGATTGGGAAAACTATCCTCGCAGGGCAATGGGCCAATGGAGATGGGGTTCCTATATACGTTGACATGATCAGGTACGGAAGCGAAATACATCATCCATGTATCGAAGTGGTTGCTTAACCCATCTCGATCCTATATAGAAGCATGAAGAACACGCATGCTTTACCGCCACAACCAACAACCTCAATGTTGACATCCCCATCCGACCTTTTCCATCCCACCACACCAGAAGGATTGAAACTAGATGAGCAAGGTATTTATGATGGTGATCAAGCATGCCCATCACCTGTTGACATTGGCATCAGAAATAGAGCGATTTTCATTGGAGCTATTATCCGTACTTCAACTATGGGCTATGAAGGTAATTGATCATTCATCAATGATAGGAATGAGAAGACAAATTACTAACTCAGTATGCTAAAGGCCACCCCAGAAGGCGTCAAGCATGGGATACGTGAGCTTGTTTATCGATCTTATGCAGCTCCTCAAGATCCAACCTTTGTTCATGCATGGCAAAATCTTGCGAGCCCGCTGGTGCAACATCACCCAATGGCTGTTTGGATGGTCATGGAGCATTGTACCAAGATAATGAAAGAGCAAACAAAGTAAGGTTACTTGACATGTGTGGGTTTTGGTTTGCCAGAGTCACTTAACTTACATTGTTCTCAAAACAATAGATTAACATACGATCTCATTGATGCTGGGACTGAGGAGAGTGAACTTGCTGTATATACCATTACGATGAAAAGATTATCACCCATGTTGATTTTACGAGTATGTGGCTTCTCATTTTGATGATTTCTAAGTTATCTTACGATGGACTTGCTTAGGCACTTCAAGCAAATGCATATACCCATATCCGTTTACCTGCTATTGCTGAATCAGAAAAGATTGGATGGAGCGCTCTTGGCATTGATCGAGGCGATATCAAATGGGATACCGGTGACATGGATCCAAATTGCAAGCGAATAAGCCTTGCTCTTTTCCACGAATTAGAATACAGGTAGGCTTGTTATTGATTTTGCTTATAAGTTGGACGCTGATTATCCCATACTTTACAGAACAAATGATCCATCCGAGCTTGGCGAGATCCAAAAACTGGCATGTGGGCTCCTATCATTGATCTATTGTAGGAAAGATTAGGTGCGATGCTAGTTATCATGTATGGAAGGAGGATGAATGAAGGATCTGATGTTGCGATTATCCATGACACTACTTGGTCATATTTGTACACATGGTGTTACGTGTTTGAAAAGTCAACTAGGTCGGGTACATATGATGTCTTACGCATGACTACCAATGAATGATGCAGCAGATGACCCATAAGAGGGGGGTGGATGAGAAAATTATGCTTTGGAGGAAGAATAATGTACCATGTGCCTGGGTAGTACAATGACAAGATGTTGTATTGTGGAACACGGGTGCTAATGAACATGTTCTTTGTTTCAAAACAATATTACTTTTGTGGAGCACTGCTATTTCCTGGGGAACATTGGATGTCGACGACACGTCATGTAAAAGAACGGCTTCTCGGTACAATAATTCAAACCACCGCGGCGGTAACTGCGATTGGTGCGTACAAGCATTCCCGAGGGACGGGTTCAGTGAATTAGTGACTCAGAGAACCCCATCAATGACACAACACGGATACATACATGGATCAATGGTGGTTATTGTGTGACATGCGACATACGTACGCCTTTTCAAGTCTTGGGAAATTCACCTGGCCATGATCTAATACACTTTATCAATGGTGACAGGTGAAAAGTGTGCAAAGGAAAAGGCAACAATATTGGAAAAGAGTAAAGGCATTGTAATGAATAAAGGATGATACCCCTTTAATGGATCAAAAAAATTTGCCTGAAAGGATTGGTTATCGAGATTAGAAACATGAATACGTAGAGGAGAGAAAAGATAGGTGATGTGTACTACTTGAGACCACCAATCTCGATATTGGTCGGGGGATATGCATACCTCATTTTCCATCACCCCGCTGCTACAAGGAGGGCATATAGCGGCTTCTCACTCGTTACCGAGTTATAGCATAGGTTGTAAATACTATCAATATGCCGGCGACGAAGATTGATCGTTTGCTATGTGTTCCTTTCGTAATCTGACCTCGGAGATGAACCAATCGAAACAAGTGTGGGAACGAGACTATATATGGGTTGGGTGAGAAAATTGAGAGGCTGTCAATCGTAATAGGCGATCCGTGGGATTTCCGCTTAGAAATCCCAAGTCCATTGTTGGCCATTGTTCTCTCGTACCTGACAGAAATGGGGTGTTGCACTGATGATTTTGCCTTTTCCCATCAAGCTGTCAAAAAACCGTGTTTTGGGTACATTCACCAATAATGGATATATAATGCTTCAGATGCATGTTACATAACAAGGAGAGTAGCTGAGTGCTGTGGTAACAATAAAAAGATGTAACCATGGCGATTGTTGCTATGTGCATGCCATACAACCTTCCCCGCGCTCTAACCTTAGCCCCACATTTTCCCGACCCAGCTTATCGACGGGCGTGTATCCAGGCAATTTGGGCGGCGATAAGGTATATGTCATGTCGTGTATGTGGGGTGCAAAATGTCTGTGCAACATGTCCTTGATTATAAAAAGCCATCATGTCATTTGCAGTGAACTAAAAGGTCAATCCTTCCATCATCTTTTATCTCTTTTAACCACCATGAGCAAGGCCGAAGTAGCCCATAACGAAAACAGCAGCATCGTCTTGAACCTCGACGACCCCACACATGGTCCTCATCCTGGCAATGCTGGCACAGCTCCAGTATGCAATGTTCCTGAACACCAAAGAAAGCCATCTAATCCAATGGCTATTGGTTTTGGTGCTTTCGCTCTTGGTGCATTCATGGTGGGTCTCTACAACACCGGCTTGGTGATCCACATCCCTCAAGCAGTGATGGGCGTTGCACTTGGATTTTCTGCCATGGGCCAACTCGTATGCGGTATCGGTGAATTGCTACTTGGAAACACTTTTGGTGGCACCAGCATGTTGACCTACTCTGGATTTTGGTTCTCTTACGGTATCATGTTCTCTGGTGGTGGTGGTTTCTTTGATACCGCCATGGAAAGTGGCATGCACGAATTGGAAATGTGCCTTGGCTTGTGGCAGATTGCATTTGCCGTACCATCCTTCATCTTTTTGATTGGTACTTTCAAGCAGCCCTGGCTCATCCGTGTCCTATTGCTTCAAGTCTTTTGTACCTTCTTCTTTGGTGGCCTTGGTGCATTCACTGGTGTCACTAATCTCACTGTCGCTGGTGGTTGGTTCTCCTTCACTTTGGCTCTTAATGCGTGGTACATCATGGCCTGTATCCTCCTTGCCGAGGAGAAAATTGTGCATCTGCCCATGTTTTAAAAGAAAAAGCTTCTTACTTATAAAGACAAAATCATGAAGCTTTATCAACGACGCTATTCCCCCCTCTTCCCAATCATATGTGAAATCGTACATCGCAGCCATCCATACCCAAAAGATTTGTAAATACTTTGTATCCTGTTAGCTCTTCTTCTTTGTAGTACATTTGTTTATCTTGGCTCTAATAAATCAGCCGGACAGTATTCTTTCATATAACGACTATGCCATGTGGGAATGTATTTATGATATGGGTGTGTTTTCCTTGTTGATGGCCTTGTGTTTTATTGTGAGATGATGTAAGTTCAAAGTATCTTATGATATAAGCATACGTCTTGGTTTATAAGGGGAACCCAGGATTCATCAGTCAAAAGTGGAAGATGAAATTGAGCGTACATGCACCACTCGTCCAGCAGCAGCGTATGTGACTATAGCTCAGAAGCGACAATTTTTGTCCATATGCACTCTCTCTTTCACTTGTAATGTCGCAACCACCACCGCCACCACCACCGATCGCAGGACAAACACCACCTCCAAGACCTCCATTCCCTGCATCTGGTCCAATGCCACCAGCATCCATGCCTCCAGGCGGTGCTCCACCACCTTTTCCTCCACCACCTGGTGCTGTACCTCCTCCTGGCGCGCCTGCTGTACCACCTCCACCACCTCTCATTGCAGCCATTCCTGTTTCAAAACGTACTGTAAACACCGTGCCTAGCCGTACTGTCTACGCAAGCAATCTCAATGAGAAAGTGAAGCTTCCAGGTGAGTAGATCGTGATATGGCAGCAACGTGTATGGCTCAAACTAACAAGGGCTTTTCTATTCAGTGTTGAAGAACACATTACGAACCATGTTTAGCCAGTTTGGTGAAGTTTTGGACATTGTGGCATACTCCAACATCCGTATGAGAGGTCAAGCATTTATCGCATACGCCGATGAGGAAAGCGCAACCAAGGCCATCAAGGAGTTGCAGCACTTTGTGCTTTATGGCAAACCAATGGTAAAGCAAAGATGGATGATCGATCGATCAAAGGACATGAAGAATAATGACGGGATTGGATAGGTTGTGCAATATGCAAAGAACAAGTCTGATGTCCATGCGAAGAAGGATGGTGATTTTGATGAGCATTACAGTGAACGCATGAAGCGAAAAGGTACAATAGTGTACAGGATCAATGATATGGGAAATGAGTATGCTAAGTATGGCATCTTTTAGAAATGCGAGCATCGCTTCCACTTCCTGGATCACACAAGCCTACTTTCAAACCACCTCGATCATGTAAGGATCTCCTTATCCCTTGGTATACCTTTGTTTTCAATATTGACATGTTTCTTTTCTAGCTGCTGGTCCTGCTATATCGAATCCACAAATTCCAGACGAGTACTTGTCACCCAACAAGATTTTGTTTTTGCAGAATTTGCCAGAGTCTATCACGCAACAGCAAATTGTGGATCTTTTCTCAAGGTATCCTGGTTTCCGCGAAGTGCGCATGATTCCTACCAAAAAGACCATTGCCTTTGTCGAGTACGAAAACGAGATGCAATCGCACATTGCCAAAAACGAGTTGTCTGCACACCAATTCGAACCCGATCATCCTATCAAGATCACCTTTGCCAGAAAATAGAAGACGACTACTTCCATTCCCTGTTCCATAGCTGTCAATTTCTTGTGAACATTGCACTCCCGTTCAGTGTATCATAAACTTGGTTTCTACTACTACTACTACTACTACTACTCCTCTTATAAGCAAAATGTGACAATGGGGGTGTCGTAATACACGTGGCTCTTCTTTTGGACATGTCTTGCCCTAGATCATGGATGTTTGGTGTCACACAGCAGGTCTATTAGAGTAAAGTTGAAGCACCACTTGAAGAAAAAGTAGTCAAAACTATAATCATGTTGACACCTGCAGACTACTAGAATCACGAATATCATTTTGGGTTGAGCCCATGTCTCCAATAAAGGAACAAAGAAATTATGTACAAAGGGGGGATTATCTACAACAATGAACGATACCTATGGATTCATTTTGCCAAGGGACTTTTCATGTTAGGAACAAAGACATCTTGCCGTCTCGGCAAGAAACTTTCTCTCATGCTTGTTTGTGATGTTTCCCTGGGAAGTTTTTTATGACGCAACATTTCAAGGCCTACTGCAAGCTTTCGCAAACCATCCGGGTCAGCTCTTGATGCTCGGCTTCTTGATAGTAATCGGCTCTGTGCTTGATGGAATGGAGGTGCGGTATGGTGGGTGCGTGTATTTTGGAGACGTGCCTCCTTCGATATCCCGCCGCCTTTGACACCATCGTCATCATGCTTGCTTTGAACAAAGAGTGAAAGTATCTTGCGGATTGTACTCATTAAAATGCTATCAATAAAGCTCCAGGTCAAATCCGATTGTTCATGCATAGCGTTGCTTGCATGTGCAAAGGGGTCCGCAGACAATGAACGCTTTGAAGCCTTGCATTTGTTGACTTGTGTTGTGTATAATGATGCGGCGTTCATCATGACGAGAAAAAGATGAAAATGGCATGTTTACGCATGGCTGCCTTGTATTATATAGAGTTGGATGAGCCGCTTGCACTTTTTAAAACGGTTCCCCACAAACAAATGACGCCTCAGGAAGCATATTCTCTTATCTTTGTGATGGTCGCCTGATATCGCCTATCGCTACCATTTCTGGAACTTGCCCGATTAGAGTATTCATCCAACTTATCTTTGTTTACGGCTCAGCGGTTGAATTGTTGGACATCCAAAGTCATGCCTACACATATAGATTATCCGTTATCTGTTCTTCGGTTATACACAGTTACCAACTTTTGAACTCTTGAATCACCATCTAAGATAAGCACTTTTCGGTAGTAGTAAGAGCTGCATGAACTATAATTTACCATAGGTAATGGCAACAAAGTGATTGGTACCTGAATCACCATCATGCGGCTGCTCTCTATATGCCCGTATCAGCGTGGTGGAGGACCTTTATAAAGAAGCGGATTACACTTTGTTGGCCAAACTTTCATATGATTTAAAACGCACTCGCAAAAGTGTTTCAATGCACCGAATGATTTTGATCAAGGGCAGGAATCATGTATCAGTGTATCAGGAATCAGCTGTTACCATGTTAAGCATTCAATGGCCTTCGAATACAGCAGCTGTGATTTTGAGAACCTTAATTAATGTGTCTTGGAACACAAGTATCATGCCTTTGAATGTCTTCGAAGATCTTTGAATACAAGCATCGTGCCTCTGAATGCCTTTGAATGCCTTTGAAGGTCTTTGAATGCAACCACATGGTGCCTTTGAATACCTTTGAATGCAAACAACGTCCATTTGAATGCCTTTGAGGGTCGTGGAATGCAATCTAAACATCCATTTGAATGCCTTCGAAGATCTTTGAAGGTCTTTGAATACGAGCGCTATCCCTTTGAAGGTCCTGTATTGCAACCATGATGCCTTTGAAGATCTTGAAATGCAACGATGAGGACTTTGAATGCCTTCGAAGCTCTTGGAATGCAAGCAACATCCCTTTGAATGCCTTCGAAAGTATCTGAAGGTCTTTGAATACAAGCAACATTCATTTGAAAGCCTCTGAAGGTCTTTGAATACAATCATCATCATGTCTTTGGGTGCCTTGAAGGTATTCAAATGTAAACCTAATCCATTTGAGAACCTTCAAAAACATTAGAGACCATCAAGAGTCTTTAAAGACCTTTGAAGGAAGCCATTAACATTCGAAGGGAAATGGTTTTGACAATGACTATAGAGCACCTCGTCACTGGAAAGACAAGACAACGTCGATAGCGAGGATAATACAATGATGAGTACATCTATCAAGGGCCTCATTAGCGGTCAACATTATGCATCCAAAAGCAGCCACATTATGTCGTAACCATATTCACTGCATGGGTGGGTAATGCAAACATAGGGCAGCAAGGTTTGTGTAACGTGGCCAATGTTGCATGACTGGGGTATGTATGCTTGCTTACGATGTGCTTGGTAAGCTAACGGCAGCCACTAATTACCATATTAGTGTCAGCATCAAATACAACTAATTGTGGATTTTAGCACCGTGTTGGTGGTTCACATACGTCACCTTTAATCATGCTTTGTTCCTTCCACGCTGTGGCACGGGCCATATGGATGGTGTATTCGGACATGAATAATGAACCAGTGAGAGGAATGGATCCCTTGTTGCATACGCGCTATTATGATGCAAATAGCGGGTGATGGCAAATACGTACAACGCGTGTGAGCTTGGTATAGGAAGATCCGGGTTTTAGATGAGTCGATTCGCCAACTCAGCGGGTGTGCGTATAGTGGGGGTCATGTTACTTGGAGTCCTTGACCTGCATAAATAGGTTTTTCTCAACATTGATATTTTCAATCTTCCTTTTTTCCCACTGTATTTTCTTTCAACAAGCTACCAGCATCATGTCGAATCCAGTAGGACAAGAGCCTATAGAAGATACACGTTGTGACCTACGTACACGCGGCTACCTGCCCATTGAAAACTATGGCATCATTGGCAACTTGAGAACCGTTGCCTTGTGTGGCACCGATGGCAGTATGGACTTTTGCTGCTATCCAGAATTCGATAGCCCCAGCATCTTTTGCCGGCTTTTGGACAAGGAAAAGGGTGGTCATTTTTCTATTGGACCTCATGATCATACGAGCAACAAGCAGCAGTATCTCCCCAAGAGCAACATTTTGGTGACGCGTTTCATGTCTGAGGAAGGGGTATTGGAGATCACTGATTACATGCACATACCACGCAAGAATCAGCGTACATTATCCAAGCCATTTTTGCCATGGATTGTACGTGTAGCGCGTGTGGTGCGAGGCGAGGTGTCGATGAGCATGGAATGTTTTCCTGCATTCAACTATGCACGGGATACCCATACCACCAATTACATTCCAATGCCCGCTCAACCATCAGCAGCGACACTATCAGAGTATCCAGAAAACAACGTGCCACATTACGTATGCAAGGATCGTGTCGAGTTCAAATCAAAGGATATGACAATGGATTTACGCTATGTCGTGAAGCATACGGATGGACACAAGCCTGACTTGAATATGCAAATCCATAAAAATGGTCGCGGCGTTTATGCCGACTTTACAATGATCGAGGATGAAGAAGTGACCTTTATTTTACGTCAAGTGCCTGATAAGGGTGATATCCCTTCCATGGATCCCGCCCTCACACCGAGTCTCACAAATGCACTTTTCCGTCAAACATGGGGGTATTGGCAGGAATGGATTGATCAAAGCACGTATACAGGTCGTTGGCGTGAAAACATCATTCGCAGCGCTCTCACTTTGAAATTGTTGACATATGAACCAGTAAGCTCTTCTCCCTTACATACATTTACATACACTCCTACTTTATTCATTCATGCATATACTACTAGACTGGTGCAGTCGTGGCAGCTCCCACATTTGGTATTCCAGAATGTAAGTACATCAACTACTGTACAGGTCGTAATCTAACTAGCCGATCGATAGCCATTGGTGGTGAACGCAATTGGGACTACCGCTACCTATGGATCCGGGATTCGTCATTCACCATTTACGCATTCCTGAAGCTTGGGTTCACTGAGGAAGCTGCAAAATACATGAGCTTTGTCGAGGATCGTTGCAATGATTTGGTAAGCGTTTGATATGGAAGAAGAGGAGGTGGTTACTCAAGAAGACTAATGCAATGTTATCATTTGCAGAATCCAGATGGCTCTTTGAATATCATGTATGGCATTCGTGGCGAGAAAAGGCTGGATGAATTGGTATTGGATCATTTGGAGGGATATCGTGAATCGGCTCCTGTACGTATTGGCAATGGTGCCTATGACCATCTACAATTGGATATCTATGGTGAATTGCTTGATGGCATATACGTAAGTTGTTTATCATCAACGCCCATAATGTAAGAATGTCCCTCACTTGTAGCTCTGCTTAGTTGTTTAACAAATATGGCGCGCCTGTATCCTATACCATGTGGTGTGCTGTGAGGAAGCTTGTGGACTACGTATGCAACAATTACAACACGCCCGATATGTCCATTTGGTATGCACATGTCTAATGGATCTTCCAAAGCTTATCATTAACGCATTGGCATGAATAGGGAGGTGCGTGGTCGTAAGCAAAACTTTACATATTCACGCATCATGTGTTGGGTGGCTATCGATCGTGGATTGCGTTTGGCTGAAAAGCGCATGTTTCCTTGCCCTGATCGCAACCGTTGGCTGGCAACACGTGACACCATTTACGAAGAGATTCAGCACAAATGTTGGAACCCCACGCTCCAAATTTATACGCAAAGTATTGAAGCACAAGATGCAGTCGATGCGGCATGTCTGATTATGCCGTTGGTGTTCTTCATATCACCCGTGGACCCACGTTTCATGTCAACGGTGGAACGCATCCTGATGCCTCCTGAAAAAGGTAAGGCTCCTCTTGTAGCCATGGAAACGGTTGCTAAAGTTTGGGATCACATCCATGTAGGAGGATTGACTGCCAACAACTTGGTATTCCGATACAACGTGTTGACCACAGACGATGGATTCGGTGGTGGATTGGAAGGAGCATTTAGCATGTGCACTTTTTGGCTTGTGGAAGCGTTGGCACGTGCAGGCCGTTACGACAAGAAATACATGACCAAGGCCATCTTGATGTTTGAAGAGATGCTGTCATATGCAAACCACTTGGGATTGTTTTCAGAAGAAGTAGCACGATCCGGTGAATTGCTTGGTAATGTGCCACAAGCTTTCAGTCACCTTGCATTTATCAGTGGTGAGTACCTTATGGATGATGGTTGGAGTGATTAGAGTATTGATCCATGGCTGCTTTTCTTAGCTGCATTCAACTTGAACCGTGCGATCGGCCCGAAATAGGCATTGAGTAAAGAGCCAGCTTTCTTTTTGCTACGTATAATCGCTCAATGATTCGCTCTCATTAAATATTCGTTCTTCATTCTTGTACCCATATCACATTTTTCTTTTTCCATTGTCTCCATGAAAACAGTCAGGCTCCAACTTTTTGGTCGTAGATTTGATGACCAGTATACATTGGATCTTCAGGACTACGTAAGATCATCATCATGATACATATGGAATACGCCTTTTACATTATGATCCTCATCGTTTGTATACGCCAATTCACGTTAAACAGCTGTCGCTACAAGATTATACTTCTACCATGTGCTTATTTAATGAGGCAGTGAGACAACATCCACCACCAGGGCATAAGCTAGTATGGGCGACTACGTTGCTCAGCGTGTGGACTTTGGTGGGAGGCACAATCTACATTTGCTGGAATTATCTACTGCTCAGGGACAACCCTTACGTCTTACTCATTATTCCTGCCATCATACTTCTCAGCACTATTGCATGGATTTGGCGGTATCGATATTTGCAACGCACAGTAAGAAGATTGATACCTTTTCTTCCAACATTGAAGATGCGCATTATCGTTTGGTCTAAATAACGCGCCAAAACACAACTTTTTACTGTAGTTTCAATGCAGCCTTGTTGAATTATGCAGCCGGGTTAATGCAACTGAAAACATTCGCGGCATAAATTATCGGTTGACCAAGCACGGCAATGACGTTTTGCAACCACAAGGAGAGCGGCCCTACGGTCTCTTTCGGCATTCAACCTATGTAAGTATGCAATAGCTGCTAAAGAAGAGCATAAGGTAGCTGACTCATAATAGGCTTTGGTAATCGAATTTGATGACCGATATCGTGCATTGCAACATCTCCATCATCCACCTGCTTCAACTGTGGTACCCATGTATTATACTCCACCACCACCTAGTGCAGCCCATCATTGTCAACACGAAGAAAAAAGATTCAGTATGCATCATCCATACGATGGCAATTGTAGCAGTGTATATTATGAAAAGCAATAAAGAAATTCTCAATTGGACTAAAAGCGTAATGACAAGATTACTCACATTCCATCATCAACCAGCTCTTTCATCTCCCACTTTTTGGAATGCTAAAAGATAAAGAAGCCCCCCCCATTGTTTCCTTCATTTTGACAACCATCCTTCAACTCCCTCGAAACATGTCCTTTGCAATTTCTTCAATGAGGCCTCATTTATTGTTCAAAGACTATAAGCTGGAGGCTGATCATGACCATCGTAATCGGATGAAGCGTGCTGTGGTGAAGGATCGTCCTGGTGTGATGAATAAGCTGGCAGCTGTACATTGCGATGATTACTGCTATCATTGTGGTGAAGACCTCCAGATGATGATGATGACTCGGCAACCGCATCGACAACAGCAGATGAAGAACCGCCATCAGGTGAATATACCGGTAATGGGCCATTACGATCCGTCTCCACTTCTGAAGTATCCACCTCGAGCACATCATCGACTGTGACACGCCCACTGGCTTCGGATGATAATGTCATAATGGCTGCATTGGATCCCATACGTAAAACCGCCATCTCATGCTCCAAGCTTCGGTTCCTGAGTGCCCCATTCTCACGTAACACCGTCTCTAGAATGTTGATTTGTTGCTGTGTCCATTCAATAGTCTTTTGTTCATAATGGCATCGTGACACTGAGAGCTGGATTTGCAGTTGACTAAATCTCGGGTTGATGCGTGTGCGTAAAAGCGTTTCAATCTCGTGCTTGAGTGCGCTGTAAGCTGTCAGTGCAGATGTCACATCCATATCTATATCCATATAAAGTCAATGTTTGTTTCTTTTTCGCAACAAATGAACATCCACGTTACCTTTGTTTGCTGCTAGTGACTTTATTTCTGATACATCCTTGCATGATTTGGAGGCTCTCAGCACGTGACTTTGGGCTTGCTGTACAAGATCATCAGCATCTATACGCCACATTTCATTTAGCCCCTTGACATCAACCATCCATATACCCATTTACCTTTTGCTGTAGGTGCTGAAACTTCGAGATCCATGGATTGTTGAAACGTATCATTGCTGCCGATACCACGCGTCACCATGGCTTGTCTGTCGAGGAATCTAGATGCTCCTGGTAATAGCTTGATGGCCTTGTCGAGGCAATCCAAAGATGCATGTAACTCTTTTTGGGCCGTTTGATATCCTTGCATGTCGCTTTCAAACTTGAAAGAATCAGTCTTTTAGTTTCATTCATTCATTCACTCACTTCTCCAATCCAGTGACTTACATGTGGTATATTGTGTGCAAGCTGTGTCACTTCACGTTTGAGATTTTGTTCACCAGCAAAGAGAGGATCATCAGAAATTGCAGGTACGACCTAATTGAAAGGAATTAAAATCATGGTATCTCGTACATAGACAAGCAAGCCAAGCACATACCTCGTCATACAATGAATGTAACTCATCGCATACAGCGTCCAGCTCATGCTTATTAATCAGCAGGTCTTGGAGCTAATCCCCACCCGTTCGAAACCCGTTTGTCAGAAAGAGAGGAATCTTGCTGCATTAAAAAAGCTCACCATGTCGTCCGCTACTACTATCTGCTCTTGGATATTCTGCAGTTCATGCTGTAAGGTCTCCATCGAAAAGGACGTGTCAGCGTCTTTTGGTTGAACTCTATAGTGAACATAGACCATGGTTATTGCTGTTTCTAATACACAAAGCGATCATATCATCAACGTACTTACAAAGACTTTTTGATCCTCTTTTGGAGTCGTTGTTGCTTTAGCTGTAATCCGTCATAGTACTTTGAATGAGAGGGGAAGGATTCTCGGACCCATTGGAGTCGTGTGATTTCTCGTAGCAGTCGTAGAAAGGAATCTTCATAGGATAAGGATGAGGTGGAAGAATCGGAAGGCTGGGATGGGTGTAGAATGGTGGATGACGGGTTACTCATTGCTTTGTGCAAGTGAAGGGAGGGAGGAGAGAGAAGAACAATGCAACACCAAAAATGGGAGCACCAGCCGCATTGATTGACGATGTAGTGCCAGCTCACCCACTCACCCGCTATCGGATAATTTGAGTGTCCCACCTACACATCTATGATTTGACCACAGACCCACCCCATAATCCATCCCTGATCACTAAAAACCACACCACCCCCAAGTCAAAAAGTATGAAAAGGAGTAACTCCATCAAAGCTGCTGACAGTCGCCACATGTATTAAAAGGAGACAAATGATGGCATGTGCTCACTATATTACGCGTATAAAAGAACATTTCCTGCTGCATAGAAACCTCTGAAACATAAAGTGTGCAGGGGAAAAGCCTTCCAAGGAGAAAAATGAAATACATTTGTTACTGCAAGATGCTCGTGTTCACTACTACCCTTTTACTACAAGTCGTGTCTATGTATATCGGCTATGCCCGAGGACAAGAAGAACAACAAGATATGCCTGTAGCAGCACCACTTACACATGAACCAGCACCTACCAACTGGTGGGAAGAAGCCTATCGTAATGCCAAACTTGGTTACCACGCGGACAAGGTTGTTCATGGCCAGATAGATCACGTCAAAAGCGTTATTCCCAATGTGGAAAATGCATAGCGTGATGTTAAAAGATTTTAGGCTTACACAACAGGTTGATCATCATCATCTGCTTTTCTTGGTTTCAAATCTTTTTAATACAATAACGCAATGATGGATATAATAATACACTGTGAGACGGAGAAAGGAAGGAAAAGTTGTTAATATGGAGGAAAGAAGGAAATTTTGAAAGCTTAGAAGGACCAAGTGATGGAAACGCGGCCGTCGTCAAGGTCTGCTATGCGTGCAAAAGCGGCTGGTGAGAGGTCCAAATCACCTTTGGCGCATCCCGGACAGGTATCAATCTGTGATTCCACCAAAAAAGAGTAAGTAAACGATATACCAAGTCATAAGAATGCTTTGAACTTACAATCTTGACAGTAACCGATCCTTTGGGACCCTTCACTTTCACTTTTTTTCCGCAATTTTTGTTGGAATTTGGGTTGCCACTTGATCCCATTTGAGGTGCGTTCAAGGCTGCAATCATATCTTTGGCTGTACTCTCGATCCCGCATGATCCAAGTCCAGGAGTATAGTAGGTTCCTTGCCCCTTGTACTTCTTTCCTCGCTTCTCGATGGGTGCGGCCAGCGCACAAAGACTCAAGACAAGGAGACAGAGAAAGATTGGGATGAATTGTCGTGCCATTTTCGAATAGAGTGTTGTGTTGTTGTTGTTACTGATACAAGGATAGAACAGAGGAATGGAATGGGAAGGGAACGACCTGCGTTGAATGCAATGATTGAAAGAAAGGAAAGGGTGTGGAGGTGGTGAATAAGTCTATTCGTTTGTCGAAAAGAAAAAGAAATGAAGCTAGAAGTACGACCTTTCAAGAAGCTCCTTTTATATAAATAATTTTCGTTCTCCTCTTACTACCCGCATTTCGCCTCCTTATACTTTAGGATGCTCCTATCATCTCCTCGGGATACAGCGCCTCAAATATCCTTCGTCTCCTTTGAGAAGAATAATAAACCCGTTTCCCTTATAAGCTCTAGCGGGGTGGCTACCATCCTCCGGCTACCAGCGACATTTAGGTAAAGGGTCGTCTATTGTGTAACATCAAGTCAAAGGCCAGCGTTCCTATTCTTTTGAAGAACGTGCACGCGTGGTTTTATGAAACCCCGCGCCACCGATGCATGGTGCACCCTTATCGCCTTTGCTGTTATTCTATTCGGAAAAGATAATGGCATGATCACTCAAGTCAGCAGATGCGGTATTACTATTGTTAAAGCATACCAAAAAGGGTGCTGTAAAACTTTGCTCTATTGCTTAATTTGTCGGCTATCCATGAAAGTTAGCGGACTACAATCATCATTGCTGCTATGGCTAGTATATTATGCCGCTTGAATGAAGCTGACTCAACATAGCGATGCAGCGTTTGAGCATACGGCTCGATCGATATATTTGGCCAAAGCATTAAAAAGAAGCCTCCCATAATCCCCAACAACAACATATCACGTATGATGGCTTTTGGAGGGTAAATGTATGTAAGAGGGAAATAACCTTATAATCCCACTTTTATTATATCATTTCATTTAGCGTGTCTGTGAATTGCTCATCTACGATGATACAGCTTATTACTTCCTACAGCTCAACTGCCCTACACATTCGTATCATATACAAAAGTTGTCCTTTCCATGTGGTGGCCATAAGCCAGTAGCTTTTCCAAAGACAAGTCATTTTGAGACATCGACGCTGAAGAAGGTAATCGAAAGAAACTCACTGCTGACAACTTTGCATGACTCCGAATTACAACAACATCGGTCGATAGCACTTTTCGAACCTTGGCTTTCCCACATTTAGATTATTATATTGCGTCTGGCAATGATATGGTATGACGATCCATGCCTGGTTGAGCTACTATCAACAACGTTGTTGGGCAATGAATGCCATAATGAAATGAGCCATTATCATAGCTTGCGCGGCGTTGTATATCAGAGGGCTGCTGTTGGTATTATTGTCCAGACGCGTATGCATCATAAGACCCGATGTGCCATACTTTGAGCGAACCGTGTGAAGGTTAACAGCAAGAGAAGGTTTATTGATCAACGTCTACCCCTAATCCTAATCCTTATCATGTAGTCCAATTGTGTGCTCATTCTTGGTAGCTTGAGTGGTGTGGTTGCTTATGTTGGATTTTGCCAGAGCTTTGGATGGATAGGCGTGCCAGCACATGATGATGTCAATGTCGTGTGAATTGTAGTATGTAGTCGCAAAGGAAGCTGATGGGATCACGACAATTGCAATCAAAATACCACTGTTGAAACATACCTGTCAGCATCACCCTCCATGTTTATCCTGTAACATTCGAATGGCTTGATCCAAGGCTTCTTCCAACAAAGTCCCAAGCTTGTATTGCTCTCGACATTTCACTTCAAAGACGCTGTTGCACTTCCATGATAGCCATATCCGCCGTCTCCATCATCTTGATCACATGATACAGCTGGCTGCTGACGGTAACCTTGTTCCTTGCCAAAATGGTTGTTGTTGACCATTGATCCTTAATAGCACACTGGAACCTTCAGCTTGATGGTATCATACATAACGTCCTTGATACATGCTGCTTGATGTGGAAAGAGAGGTTGAGCGTGAGAGTGCAAGATGCTGCTGATCGGGTCTACTCAATGACACTGTAAATAGCATCGCCCAACGATGGACTTGATGGCGAACCTTTTTCTTCTTCTTCTTCCAGGGTATCAATCTTCACTCCCAGTTTGCATTGCGCGATCTGGTTTGCTTGTTGGGTGTCCAAATTAAGAGAAAGAAGCGTTATGCGTTGAGGCGACTCCTTCCGCTCTTCGTCTCCGCAGCCTTTATTCCGGAGCTTGGCTCCACTTTTGGTTGTTGGTGTCCCGTATTTGTGCCACAACCAAGTGTCAATGGAATCGATACTTGTGGTGCTGGTATCCCCTTTATAATACAAGTTTATAATAAACAATCAATGTAAGCTAATCCTTCATCCTTGATTCTCTTGGCAGTAACACTTGAAGTAGTAAACTTTATCGATCACGGGTTTCATTGGTCTTTCAGCCTTTCCTAATTGCTCACCTCTCCGAAAAGAGCACAGCCTTTATAACCAAGTTTGCCTCCCTTGTTTTCTTCCTTGCTCTCTCTTTTCCACGTATACCCATTCCGGCAGTGTACGTATGCCTCATTTGAATTCCTCTTTTCCGTATCCAAGCTGACTATGGGTTTATGCAATAGTTGCCACACACCATATACATAATGGATCCCATCAATCGTCAACCCCACGAGCCTACGTTGGCTGCCTTTTATTGGGAAGATCAATCAACGCTATGCTATCACTTGGATGTGAACGGCATCCTTGTCAGCCGTCGTCATGGTAACGCATCATCCTATCAATCGGGCCTGGTCCTGTGCTTTTCAATAACAACCAATGTTAACACATACATCATGTATCTCAGACAATGACATGGTCAATGGCACCAAGTTACTCAATCTCACCGGCATATCCCGTACCAGGCGTGATACGATTCTCAGAGGTATTGAGAACGGTGTTGTGATTCGTGTTGGTCCCCTTCACCTCAAAGGTATCTGGTAAGTGTGTCTTACAACAGGCATCTTTTGTATTTCGTTATTCTAACCTTTGCCATGTCATTGATAATCCAGGATCCCTTACCATAGTGCCCTGGAATTGGCTAATGGATACGATATCATGGATCGTGTACGTCCTTTGTTTGTGGAGAACCCTTCGGAGGTCGTCTCATGGGCAGCAACTGCTCAGTATAATCGTCTACCTGCTTCTTCGAGTTTATAGTCAAGGAACAAATTGGCAAGAGAATAAAGCTGTGATGCTTCCATATTGTTGTCGTAGTTGAGTCAAGTTGCCAGGTGAGCATTGGTGAGACTTTTTAAAAGCACAAGCCATCATCTTTCTAGAGCATACAACGAAGGATGCATAAGCTACATCGATCATACATGTGATTAGATATCTAGTCACCCTTCTCAAATACCAGTGGCAGAATCGATAATCAAGTATCTCTTCCCCAAGGGGCCAAGTTGATTCATCATGTTATCAACAATACCAGACAGCTATTGATTGCCGATATCAGAGTAAACCCTTATGGCTGTTAGAATACTAGAATGTGTACCACTCAAAGCCTGATAATGACAAATCTCTCTCGGTCATGGTCATGTAAATTAAAGCATAGTGGGTAAAATGGCCGATTCGTGCATGAGCAACATCACACGTAGGCTTCTCAGACTTAATGCTGCCACATGCGGGCCCCATCACTTTATCAGCTCACGCATCAATTTATCAATGCATCATCCCCAACAGACAACAATACCCACGCCCACCGTGCACAATAAAAGGATGTTGTCGCCGCTCATCATACTCCCACACGTCTCTTATTTCCTCTGTCATATTCCTTTGATTGCTTACAAGGTCAAACTTCCAAGGTTTTGTACGTATCCCATTTCTTGCAAACTTTGTGAAGAAGCGCTGATCTTTGTGGTCATTCATAGTGCTTTATTTTTATCCTACTCTCATTGCCGTTGTATTGCGGTATTGTATCTTGTAATGAGGTAAAGCCTGATAATGTTGGATGATGAGTCACTACTCATACACGCCACCTTGTCACTTTCGATATAGCTATCTCTGCTGGAATTGACATGGTGCAAATAGCATCGTCCATGAAGGTGGTGGCAGGTTAAACAACAGATTTCCGAGCTTTCATATGGTGATGCCATCCATGAATAGCCAACGCGCTCACAACGACGCCCAAACACAACAAAGACAAGACACCAGCCGAAGCGCCACCTGCGTGAAAGCGCGGTAGTTTCCTTCCTCCCTGATCTTTACCAGAATGGACGCCAACTTGCGGTCCGCATTCGACAAGCGTAAGTTTGATTCGTCTCATATTGGGCAGCAACTAATGCCTAGCATTGCCCCATAGCTGTCAAGGACCACTTCTCTCCTCATGAACAAGCAAATCTAGGCCAATTCATCGCTGATCACACTGGCTCTCTCGCTGCTCTTTACAAGCCATATCAACATTGATCAGCACTCGCTGCAACTGTTTCGAAGCATTTTTGTGAGGCTGTCTAGAACGGGGTGGACGCTCTAATCCTTGAGTAAGTACCACTAGTGCTGTAGACATTGGAACTAATATTATCATATGGAGACTAATGTTACCATTGTTCTTGGTAAAAGGTGCCGCAAGAGGTCTGGGATGCTCTTTTAAACCAGGTATGATACATTGTCACGGGGTTATTTCCATGGCTAATAGGGTTGCTTGTGACAGATCAAAAACATCGGAAGGCTGGTGGATCAAGGTTCATTTCTGGCAACACAAGCAGCCAGCGTAGCAAGCATGCGTATGGGAAACCCATTAGCAAAATGGAACAAGGTATACTCTATTCTCTTCCTTTAGCTTGTGATGATATCGGGCAATAACACAACTTGTCATAGTTATGACATCCAAAAGATCAGCACACGTGAGAAGACATCCCCGGCCAGTACAAGAAAGGGGGGAAGCTAACCGACTCTGACAGAAAAATCATGAGGTATATTGTAGTGATTGAACGCCGTTTCTTTGATACGTATTCTTATTTCCATTTAGCAATGGCCTATCTTCTGTTCTGGATCTCGCCGATATCCGTGATGGACAAAAAGCGTTATTTTGTGAAGAGAACTGGAAGGCGCTACAAGAGCGTTTCAAACGCTTGAGGATCGAAGCCGTGCATCCGAAGACTGAATCTATCATTGATGCATGGACGATAGCATCACAAGTAATACATCTCTGCCAGCTGTTATGTAACTATACAATAACTCATCAAATAACCTTTAGTCATCCAAGCAATCTGCATCCTCCCTGATAGGCGAGGAATACATATGCCGTTTAAGGATGGCAGAGACGGATCCAGAAACCCGCATGTTTATAAAGCCATGGAACACATGTAAGCATAGCAAGGTTACAGGTTTTCTTTCATATTGTTAACATGTCAATCACAGTGGAGAGAACATCTTCAAGTATACCACGGCGACGAAGAACATCCTTTATGACCAAGACACACACACCAAGGGATTCAAGATCGATACACGCTTTATTGTGGTTAAGGATGGCCAAGTGCACGATGTTGGGACATGTGAAATTGGAAAAGATGACTACCATGGCAAACTATTGCATGACGAAGGGAAGTTGTTGCGAGAGGGCATCATCATCAACACCATTGTCAACATCACCATGATTAGGATAGTCATCATTGTAATCATCATCACCATTATTCACGTATATAAATCATCACGTTCGTCTGTATTTGGAAATGATGCTATGATATCTTCTAGTGTAATGGAGTAGCCTGAAGAGGACCATAAAGAGAGCTGGCGCGCTTCTGGTGTGCTGCTGTTACGGATAACGGATCACCCAAAAAGTTAGGTGTGGGATAAGTCAATTGTTGAGCGACTGCTGTTTGTGAAGGTGGTTCAGGAGGTGAAAAACAATGCTTGGGGAATACACCTTGTTGTTGTCCAGTTGTCAAGTTCATGCCAAGACACCATCCATCATCATATTCAGCAATGATTTGCACCTGATCACCAGGATGTACTTGGATCTCATCACTTAATGCAGGCGTGTATCCAGCAACGATTGTATGTATTGGCTGCTGTGGTTGATTGTTGCCTGCCATGGTTGCCATGGTATTATTCTGTTGCTGTTGCTGTTGCATGGATCCAGCAGCAGCTATTGTGCCAGCAGCCATCATTGATTCAGCGATAGGAGCAGCGTATGGTTGTTGCATGGGTGAAGAATACACGGGTTGTTGTTGTTGTATGGAAGGTGATGGTTGAAATGGATCAGGATACGTGGATGATGACATTGGAGGTGGTGGATTGTTGTTCATGGCTGTTGAGTATCCAAAGCTTTGTTGTGGTTGTGGTTGTGGTGGAGCTGCTCCCATACCGGATGTTGCATTATATGTTGGACCCATTGAGAAGCGTGTCAACCTGTTGTTTGCCATTCCCTTGCGTTTCATGCGATGTCTCACTATCAAGTAGGATACAATACCAAGCACAACAATGACAACGATGGCGACAATAGCTGCAATAGCTCCCCCTGATAGTGTTTCACTCGACTGGGCATCATCCGCTGCTGCTGCTGAAGCTGAAGCTGAAGGTGTCAACGAATCTGTAGAACTTGCTGATACGCTTTCACTGGCGCTGCTGGTTGTGCTACTGCTGCTGCTGCTGCTGCTTGAGGAGCTCGTTGGCGATGATGAAGTTGACGATGCCGTACTGCTTTCGGTAGCTGAAGACGAGTGAGCGGCGTTGCTGCTGCTGCTGCTAGACTTCTCTGCAGTGGCTGTTGGGAATGCTTCAGAGACCGATTGGGATTCACCATTAGCGAAAGAAAAGAAGCCATCACCAAATAGCGAGTTGGAGTCTGGATAACAAAAGTCAACAAGGTCAAACAAGGATGATCGACAGGTCGCTTAATTTTTCAACCTTCATATACGTACCTTCAGACGCCGATGCTTGATCAGGCAATGATGGTTCTATAGCACGCTTGAATATGAGATGGCCCTGATCCACAGAGCGCAGATTAACCATCGAAGCTGATGATAAAGGAATGGAAGGAGTGAAAAGACTAGAAAGCTCAAGGACAGCAGCATACGGGATGGATAATAATCTCATTCAATGGCTCGTGTAACTTGATCTAAACCATACTCATCATGCAGCACATTCTATTATACTTTCCACACGATCGCTCTCATCTTTATTGGATTCGATATCAAAGTCCATCCCTCATTCTCTTTTTCCCCTATTGTTCATTCATACAAGATAATAGTAGTCGTTGAATCATCCAATCTAGCCCATTTTAAGTCATCATAAGGAATAACACTGAACAATGATTTTGTAATGCCCTTTCTCTCTCCAAAGTTTATCATACATGATCCATAAAAGTGTGCAAGTGATTAAAAGGGCCATATACAACAATTGCATAAGGGAATAGGTAGACAACATGATGATGATGATGATGATGACGATGGAGGAGGAGGAGGAAGTAGATCAAATGTGTGTAACCTATTAGGCGCACGATGATGCAAGACAAAAGATCCATAACTGGCCAATAACCCAGAAGATGACAAAATGCGTATCGACGACGTTCCTTTATCTTGACTTTGAACAATCCACCTTGTAAGCCCAAAGTGAGTACCTCCTTTCGCCTTCTATTATGCTGTCATATTGACACCGCTGCTATCCTTTTTCCAGCAGGCTGAACTCGAATATGGAACCACAGCAGCGAACTAGTGCGATCGCTTTAGCTGGCAACAACAACAACACCCATCTTGGTACAGGAAACGGTAAGCCATTACCACAAAGCCAATGCCTTTCAATGTGTGCTCTAATTCTCGGCAAGTGAACCAAAGACACCGATTCGTTTGAAATGAACGGCAACCCATTGAATAAACCTAGCAACAACAACCCTGCAACCACCTCTTCCAGCGACTTACGGCAGTCTGAAGACCATCCACACGATATGCAGACATTCTGGTTCTCTGAACAAGGCAGCATGACATATAAGGAACGAGCACGGCGGATACTTGAGCAATTACTGGATCGTAGACGACTATGGCAACTAATCAAGGATTGGCGGTGGGCCATATGCTTGTTTCTCATCTCATGGATAATGGGCATGATCATGTACTCTTATCGACACGAACTATACACCGCTCTTGAGGATCTCAGTAATCTGTTACGTGATATGGGATTTGGGTAAGATGACAAAAAAGGTCTTTCAGCTACCATATCATGATGCTCATGTATCACCCACATAGTGGCTATCTGCTATTGTCATTACTCATCTTCCTGAGCGCTTTCCCTCCAATGATTGGCTACGGCACCTATCAGACCTTATCAGGATTTACATTTGGCTTTGCTCAAGGATTCCCGGTATCATACTTTAGTGCATTGCTGGGCAGTGTCGTTTGCTTTGTGGTGTCTCGATTATGGCTCAAAGGTTTTGTTCAACGATTGATGGCTCGATATCCCAACTTGAAAGCCGTGGTGCATGCTGTCGAAAAGAAAGGATTCAAGGTAAACAATAACCATGTGATACCTCCATAATCACCCATTGACCAATGCATCCATTCCAATCATAGCTCTTTTTGCTCATCAGATTATCCCCGTATCCATTCAATCTCTTGGTAAGTATGCGTACAATGCAAGCTTAAATGATGGTGCTAATATCCATGTCCATTTTAGAATGTCTTGTTCGCCGCCACCAACATTTCGCTTTGGGACTACACCATCGGCACCGCTCTTACACTTACCAAGATTGCTCTTCATGTTTACATTGGCGCCAATTTGACATCCTTTGCAAAGCAATTCCTCGACGATGAAGATGACAGCGAAATGTCTGATAGCGAGAAGCGTGCCAATACCGCTCGATCAATTGCAATGATTATTGGTTCTGTACTTGCTACTGGTGTCATGATCTATATTTACATTGTCGCTAAGCGTGCTGTCAAGGAAGTTGAACAAGAGGAACGACAAGATGATCAAGAGTCATTGGCGTTTTTGAGTCGACAAGCACAAGAAGATGATGATGGTGCATCTTTGGAAGATTGGATGGAATGGCATGAAGATGATGATAATAGCGTAGAAATGGATGCAAGGTCTAGAGATGTAGAAAGAGGTCGTCAATGATTATATAAATGGAGCTATACACCAAAGTGTTAGATGGGATGAAAGGCATAGCTGGATGGTGGATCTTTGTAAAGGGCACGGTATTGAGATTGAAAGCAACCAATAGTAAGCTTGCATGTGATGACATAAAGCCCAAGAAATGAAAAAAAGGAACAATGGAGATTTAAGGGTAGCTTGTGCAACGTTGCACACAGGGTTAATTATATGTATATTTTGGATTTTGTACAGGTACTATGTTCATTACAAGGAGCGCTTCTTCAAGATATAGTGGGGTTCAATGCGAGCATTGGTGATTTGGGGGAAGTACTCAGCCTTCTCGCACTTTTCATTCTTGATACACGAGGCAACAATTTGGGCGGTGTCTTCACCAGTAACCCAAGCACCTTGCAAGAAACCATAAAACTCAACAGACATGGCTTCACCAGCAAAGTGGACACGGTTGTGCAAAGGTGCCTTCATGTTCACGTGATGTTCACCAGTCTCGCCAATGGGCCAGTTGGAGTAAGTGCCGCGGAAGAGAGGATTTGAGTGCCAACGGGGGAACAAGATCTCATTGGCTTCAGGGATATCATCACCATACATCTTGCGAAGAACATCCATAGCAAGGTCCTTGACTTCTTCATCCTCCATAGCTTCAACTTGGAATGCCAAATCTTGAGTAACAGTAGCAAAGAAGATGTTGGTGGAGGTGTTCTTGGGAAGGAAACCAGGAGCATTCAAGTTTTGCCAAGTGTTAAAGTAGCCACGACGATCAGGGTCAACCCACACAGCGTATTGGTTGTCGTCCCAGAATTGGTAAGGGAAGTTCAAAAAGATCTTGGTGTAAGTAGCCATGTCAAATCCATAAATGCCTTCCAACTTCCAATCGGGCAAGGGAGGGGACCATTCAATAGCATCAGACTTGAGCACACCAACGCTGAAAACGAATGTTGGTTAATCGGCTTGTAAAGTGGTGCAAGGGATGATGACTTACGAGAAGGTGGTGATAGCGTAATCGGCAAGAATCACATCGCTGGTATTGGTTTGGATGGCAACGCCGTTCTTGTCATACTCAATCTTGGTTACCAAGGTGTTGTAAAGTACACGGTCATCATCCTCCTTAAGGAATTTCTTTGCCTCTTCCAAGAAAATGTGTTTGAAACCACTATATGCGGGGATTAGCATGCATGCATTTATACATGAGTACCTTCCATTTTAGAATATTTACCGAGGATCAAGCGCAAAGCGATCACTGTCACTGTCGGGGCCGAAAACGGTGTCGCCATAAGTGAAGTTGTCGTTGTAGATGGTATAGATCGTCGACCTGGGTATCATGTTGTGTAAGGGTACAATGCATGTTGGATACAAAAATACGGATCAGCGTTGTACTTACGAAACTTCAGGGTTCTCCGCCATTTCCCAGTCAAAAAGGTAATACTCAACCGCTTGTTCAAGTGGAGTCTGGGGCTTGTAGCCAATAAGGTTGAATGCGGTTCTTGCAGAAATATCCACCTGGTTGTTGGCGAGACGCTTCTCTGGAAATGGGACAGGCCAAAATTAGAAATCATGCATTGGTATGCAGCATTCAATTGCCGTAGCGCAAATGTACCCACCTGTGAGATCCCAAATGGAATCATATGCATCGTTGTATCTAAGAACATCAAGGGTAAATATATAGGTATAATTTTACGCCGACATGCATAGGAGGCCCATGAAAAGAAAAACAAAGAACTTACTCATTGTACGCCTTGGTGTGGTTAACGACACCATCCTCGTCACGGAAGATAACATTGTCACCATCATTGGCCACAGTCTTCAATCCATGCTCCTTGCGAAGTTCATTGATGGGATTAGTGCCAAGGCCTTGGACCCAGTTACATCCCAATTCGACGTGGGTGCCGGCAAAAGGGGCATTTTGGGCACGTCCTAAAAACTCATTGTGAATACTCCAAGCGCTAAATTTCCCAAAGATTGATGATGAGAGTATACCTCCGAGAATATCACGGGCTTCCACAATGACAAAGTCATCGATGCCATTGGCAGTCAAATTGCGTGCGGCACTGATACCAGCAACACCACCACCTAAAATTGCGACCTTGGTGCGAATGGTTTCAGCACTAGCAGGTAAAGCCAATGCTGCAGAAGCTGCTATCCATGCCAAATTCTTGAAAAGCTGCATGTTGGAAGATGAAGAAGATGAGGAGGATGATCCAACATCGTTTGCAGCCAGGATCAAGCTCTATATATATGCAAAAAGCGACATGATACAAGCTGATCTGTACAACCTTAATCGCTGTGTGACCCCATTGAGGAGCCCGCCGTAACCAATTATCAGATACGGGTGCCGGCCGATGATAAGACATCGTAGTCTATATTCACTTTTCCCTTTTTACCAGGACCCCTTGCTTTTTTGATGCCATTCCATGTCCCATGTGTGCAGCTAATTTCTCTTGAATACACACACGTGAGACCTGTCAACAATGAAATCATCATTAAGCTCACTAAACACGTATTGGCCCTTCTATATCATTCGTCCCTTTATCTATGATACGTGTAACAAGCTATACCCCACCTTTTCTTGTTTTCGATGGGAGTAAGCAACAATGATAAGAAATCCTGTTACTCATCGGTGGAACGTGTAAATGCGTATAAGGTCAAAAGCCAACTCCATAAGGTTGTAAAGCTTTTCAACCCACCTATTGGAATCTTGTGCCGCACATTCTCACGTGTGCAACGATTATCTGGAACAATGTTCATAAGGATATGAAGGATTCCCATGATATCACCGCTGGGTATAAGGTCAAATTCACTAAGCCGTGCGAAGAGGCAAAATTGGGAAGAAGCATATTGTTGGTGTCCCATTACTACTACGCCATTGGTGGTGTGAGCCATTCTTCTACTATCACTCCCTACACACGATACATCCTACAACAACAACAAGCATGAAATGGGTCATTCTATCCCCACTCAATAGGTTGATGATATGCATCTATCAATTGTGGCTGTGTATTTTCACATGAAATGATCGTCCTCCATCTTTCTCTTCTTACAACAAGCACTTCTTCAATAGATGGGACTCTCGGCTACTATGTGCGCCACCCCGATTTTGTTCATTGGTTAATTTTCTCCCCGCAGCACACACGCTAGATAGTGCAAATGTGTGTTCCCACGCTAGCCCTTGAAGGTGCAAATTACTCATGACAGGTTCACAGTAAAGTATTGGCTTCTTTGGCAATGTCGCTTACCGATGGATCGGATTTTCCCTCAATTGGTGCTAGTGATGACAAAGAATGGAACTTCCAATGAAAATCAAGTCATTGTCCTTTGGTTGTACGATCGGACAGGTACCCCACAAAATCAACGATGAGCAGCTGGCGCTGTTAACGAGCTGCAAAACACACATTGGCTGCTGCTGCTGCTGTGCACAACATTAATGCTGTAATGCAAGATTACACATGACTACACCACCACATGATCATCGAGAAATGTCACCTCCGCCATACACACGCGCTACACAACAGCTCTTCAAAATCATGTTCAACAATGAAAATCAAGCATGTTCATGTCTATGAATAACGTAGAATTGGTTATGGACTCGATCTTATCATTAAATCAATCATGAAAGAAGATAACAATGCCATCAGATGTATAAGACTGGGGAATGCCAGCATATGAGTGGAAGTCCCATTGTCATGTCCTCTTGCTTCCTCCCCCTTTCAATGGGTGTTGTATTGCGTTCAGAGCTTTATCAACCTTGAGATACGATAAATGACGTGTGGTAAATGTTGCTTGCTGTATTATGGCCAAACGGCCTTAATTGCAGAGCCACAATAAGCGGGTTGTTATAGAGTCATAGACATGCTCATGATGTTGGTATTACACGCTTGCAGGATCTCATATCGATAACAGTGGTACTGATTTCATCAAAAAACAAAGCTGCTGCCAACGCTGATTGCATTTATGTAAGGGGCATGAATGGGATAGGAAATGTATGAAAATGAGCTTCTTCTCAGGGCTGTTCATGATATTGCTGGATGACTTTTTTCATACAACGTATGCATTTCTTTTCAATGGCTAGCTATACAATGGGATGATTGCCAATGGATGGTGAGCCCAAACTACCAATTGATGTATGCGTGCATGGATGCGGGAGGTATGTATATATGGAAGCGGTTGGAAATTTATTCCTTGTGTAACGAATCATTGCAAGATCAGCGTTGTTATCGCCTATCTGTGGCGTACAAACCATAAAGAATTGTGGATCCTCGTCCCGACGCACTATAACGATATGAAAGCTACATCGAACCTTGGCATCGATTGCAACCCGGGCGATCCCGACATAATCATCCGATCTAGCAAACGAATCCCAAACGAATAATTCACCAATGGCATTAATCAACAAGGAAAGTAGTCTTTAAAGACACCTCATCGCTTTAAACTAACTTTGTTTATTGCTATATTTATAAAAGTTTGGTGTTTGATGCATGAACAAGATGAAGCATTGGCTCGCCTTTTGCCGAGGTACACGCCCGTGAGAGTATTTTGGGTGACACAAGAAGGTGAGCTTTTATAGAATCTGGGAGGCTGTCGACTGGTGTCGTACATCATCAAATGTAATGAAAGTGCGTGAACAAAAGAATGCATGAGTGATGAGGAAGAATTGAGTAGTGGTCAATTCGCTATCTCTTATCATTGATGTTCACCACAATTGCGTTTTCTTTCTGACGGATCGATGCTTGGCTTTTACATGTATCCTCTCCAATTTATGCACAATATCGTCTCACAGCATCAACTGCCTCTTGTGATCTTGGATGATTTTCCTGCTTTGGCAAGCTAAATGTATCGAACATGCACACCAAAAGTGGACCCACATACTTAATCCACTTACAAAAACATTAAGGGTGAGTGGACTTCATCATGTATCGACCATCGACAACGTTACAGCTCCCTTGTCCTAGATTTATTCGATACTGGCTGACTGGATTCGCTTGACACGTTTCCAAACGAGTCAGCATGATGTATCCAAGGATACCAAGCGATGAGCGAAGATTGATGGCAGCCAAGAAACCAGTGAGCTGTTGTTGATGCGGCAGCTCCAACAATCTAATCCTTCTAACCAACTGTTTTTCACTTTGATCCATCACAGCATGGATAACTACTCACACTCCCATGCACATTATCAGTGTAAGATTGCTGTCATGAACACCCCCTTCATAATCTCTCGTGTACCAACGCCATTCGGTAAGTGGCAGGATACCATATACCTCTTCACACATTGATCATAGCTACCATCCAGTTATTGCTTCATCATCACCTTGCCATCTTTCATTGTGTCCTCTCGAAGTTATATAACCAGATTCTCCATCCAATGTACCCACATTCATGTATACGAAATCGTATGTATTGAAACAAGTTGCTACATGTGAATAAAGCTGCTTCCATATACTAGCTAAACTCTGTTGACGTGAAAAAATCTTCAATGCATGTTGCTGCAAGTAGCTTGAGACGATGCAGTGTAGACCTTGCTAAAAGCAACTGCTGTTACGTTTAGTCATGGTAAGAAGAGAGTACAAGAGCGTGTGTTGTAGTAGAGTGACAAGGTTGTGAATGCTGTTTGATACAATGGCGCAAAGACATTGCTAATAGCAATTGCTGGAATGAATGCCGTTACGATTGGTCGTGGTCGAGGATTGTACAAGAGAAGGTGAAGTGTGAAGAAACGCGAGTGTTGTAGTGAGGTGCACACGGCATGGACCTGCCATTCAGTCAAGGCAATCGGATCAAGACAACTGTGGGATTGACATGATGGGTTGAAGCAGGACAATCGTTCGCAGGTGGTAGATGTGCTTGAATGGGGCAACAGTTGAGAATGGGAGGAAGAGAAGATGAAGTGGGAGTGGAAGAGGTGGAGTTCAAGTAGTTTTCTTTGGTGTTGGATGACATTTCTTTGTTTGAGCGTAGCTCAGTCAAATCCCCTCGGATCAAGAAAGTTGAATGATGGAAATGCTGGGCTGGGGTAGGACAATCGTTCATATGCATTAGTTTGGGCAACAATGGTGAAAGGGAGGAAGTGGGTATTAGCTTCCAATGATGAGCTGTTACTGAATAGTGTATAACGTACCATACGTTGACCCTTCCAGTCATGCAAATCGGCTGGGTTACACAAAGAGGTCTTTCTGCATCCTTTGCTCTGCCAGGGTCCAGCTCCTTGACAATGAACAAAGACCACTTCCCATATAGCATCACGCTTACAAACATAAAGGTGCCTGTATCTCTAAACTTTACAATGAAACGTGGGGTTTTGAATAGAGCAATGGGCTCAGCTTGGCCAACAGCACCTTGGGTGAAAGTTTCACGATCAAGCTTGCCAATCCCAGATTTCGCAATGTCGCTACCAGGCCAATCCAATAGATCCAGGGGTCGACTTGACGACGACGACCAAAAATATTTGGCTGTTGAGACATTGAATGTGAAACTTTCACACAAGGTGCTGTTGGCCAAGTGAGCACATTGCTCTCATTCAAAACCCCACGTTTCATTGTAAAGTTTAGAGATACAGGCACCTTTATGTTTTGTAAGCGTGATACATATGAGAAGTGGTTCTTTGTTTAATGTAAAGTAGCTAGACCCTGACAGAGCAAAAGATGCAGAGGGTCGTGTTGTGTAAACACAGCTACGTTTGCATGAATGAAAGGGTCAATGTATAATTACTTTATGGATCATCTAGGAACAGGCATGTATTGTCAGCTAACGGCCACTTTTATCCAATCATTGTTGCGAGATCCACTGCATGGGAACGATGCCCCTGCTCTAGACATTTATTTCCATGATTAAAGTAGGTTGATCCGAGCGATTTGACTGAGCTGCGGTCGGAGAGATTACATCACTCTGACACGAGCACGCTGATGGGAAGGAATCCTGAGCGCAATCTTGTGAGCGGCAACTCAACCAAATCAGCTCGGATCAACCTACTTTAATCATGGAAATGAATGTAGGTTTACCGTCCACCTATTAGAATGCACAAAGAATGCACAAAAGTGGCTATTAAGCGCCGCCAAGGGCGACCTGAAATATGTTGTGTGCAATTGCCGCAGATGGGTCCCGAAGTCCGTCTTTTAACCCGGAAGTTGCCTAGTTTGAGGGTTCCCTGCACTTTGCTTAGCCAGGTCCAGCTCCTTGACAATGAATAAAGACCATCACTCGCTTACAAACATAAGGCGTACAGATCTCCAAATTTTTACAATGAAACGTGGGCTTTGAATAGAGCAATGTGCTCGGGCTTGGGCTAACAGCAAGCACCTTGTGTGAAAGTTTCGCGTTCAATGTCGCAACTAGCCCAAAAAATATTTTTTGGTCGTCGAAAAAAGTTTCAAGAGGTCACCCCCGGATCCAGTTTGGCTGATAGCGACATTGCGAAATCTGGGATTGGCAAGCTTGATCGTGAGACTGGCACCCAAGGTGCAGTTGGCCAAGCCAAGCACATTGCTCTCATAAAAACCCCACGCTTCATTGTAAAGTTTGGAGATACAGGCACCTTTATGTTTGTAAGCGTGATGCTATATGACAAGTGGTCTTTGTTCATTGTGAAGTAGCTGGACCCTGGCAGAGCAAAAGATGCAGAGGGACGTGTTTGTGTAACTGGGTTAAAAAGTTTGGACTTCAGGGACCATGCATGACAGTTACGCAACCCTCATTTTCAGGTCATACATTGGCAGCTAATAGCCACTTTTGTGCATTCCCAACTTTTGTGCATTCTATTGTGGGTGGACAATGCTCCTGCTCTAGACATTCATTTCCATGATTAAAGTAGGTTGATCCGAGCTGATTTGGTTGAGTTACGCTCACACAAGATTACATCGGTTCAGCTACATCGAGCGTGCTTTATGTCCAGAGTGATGTAATCTCTCTTTGACCGCAGCTCAATCAAATCAGCTCGGATCAAGATAATTGAATCATGGAAATGAATGTCTGGAGCAGGGGCATCGTTCCCATGCAGTGGATCTCGCAACAATGATGATTGGATAAAAGTGGCCGTTAGCTGGCAATACATGCCTGTTCCTAGATGATCCATAAAGTAATTATACATTGACCCTTTCATTCATGCAAACGTAGCTGTGTTACACAACACGACCTTCTGCATCTTTTGCTCTGCCAGGGTCCAGCTACTTCACAATGAACAAAGACCACTTGTCATATAGCATCACACTTACAAACATAAAGGTGCCTGTATCTCCAAAGTTTACAATGAAACGTCGGGTTTTGAATAGAGCAATGTGCTCGGCTTGGCCAACAGCACCTTGTGTGAAAGTTTCGCGTTCAATGTCGCAAACAGCCCAAAAAATATTTTTTTGGTCGTCGTCGTCGAAGAGGTCGACCCCTGGATCGAGTTTGGCTGGTAGCGACATTGCGAAATCTGGGATTGGCATACTTGATCGTGAAACTTTCATCCAAGGTGCAGTTGGCCAAGCCGAGCACATTGCTCTATTCAAAACCCCACGTTTCATTGTAAAGTTTGGAGATACAGGCACCTTTATGTTTTACCTATGCTGTAAGCGTGATGTTATATGAAAAGAGGTCGTTGTTTTCGTTGTTCATTATAAAGTAGATAGACCCAGATAGAGCCAACGATGCAGAGGGGCGTCTTTGTGTAACACAGACTATCATGCAGAAGTGGATGATACGTTTTATACACTATTCAGTAACAGCTCATCATTGGCTGCTAACAGCCCATTCCTCCCTTTCACCATTGTTGCCCAAACTAATGCATATGAACGATTCTCCTGCTCTAGCCCAGCATGCCCATCATTCAACTTTCTTGATCCGAGGGGATTTGACTGAGCTACGGTCAAACACAGAAACATCATCCATTTCACAAAGATCATTTTGCAAAGTTATATGTAAACTGCCACTTGATAGCCCCTTCCTCCCTTTCATAATTGTCGCCGAATCCAATGCATGTGAACCATTGTCCTGCTCCAGCTCAACACTTCCATCATTCAACCTTTCTTGATCAGGGGGGATTTGGATGAGCAACGCTCAAACAAAGAAATGTCATCCAAGCACCAAAGAAATCTACTTGAACTCCCTCCACCTCTTCCACTCCCACTTCATCTTCTCTTCCTCCCATTCTCAACTGTTGCCCCATTCAAGCACATCTACCACCTGCGAACGATTGTCCTGCTTCAACCCATCATGTCAATCCCACAGTTGTCTTGATCCGATTGCCTTGACTGAATGGCAAGTCCATGCCGTGTACGCCCACTACAACACCCACATTTCTTGACACTTCACCTTCTCTTGTACAATCCTCGATCACGATCAAGCGTAAAAGCATTCATTCCAGCAATTGCTATTAGCAACGTCTTTGCGCCATTGTATCAAACAGCGTTCACAACCTTGTCAATCTACTACAATACACGCTCTTGTACTCTCTTGTACGATGACCAAACGTAACAGCAGTTGCTTTTAGCAAGGTCTACACTGCATCGTTTCAAGCTCCTTGCAGCAACATGCATTGAAGCCTTTCTCACGTCAACAGAGATAGCTAGTATATGGAAGCAGCTTTATTTACATGTAGCAACTTGTTTCAATACATACGATTTCCTATGGATATGGATATGGTTATGGTTATTGCTTTGGTAGATAGATGGAAGGAATTGGGTATATGACAACCATAGAAATATGGGAGGATGTAAGGGTCTGGTAGACAAGGTCAACCATGCTTGTCACGATTCAACGCTTCGTTGACAGCAATTCTCAGCACGGATGGTCATGTTAATAAAGCCACAGGATTAAAGCGTTCTACTAATCACGAGTAGGTTGAAAAGAGGCGATGATTGTCACCGTAGTGATAGTAAATTCAATAATGCATGGATGGAGTAAGCTTGGCAATGTATCATGACAACGTTGCTGTATCATCGAAAAGTTCTCCGCCTGCCGAGATTCATGCTTTGTACAAATGGCAACAGGTACCCGACATTCCAATTTTCAGCATCCGACAACGGCAAAGGATTGCCGTGCCCTGAATCTCGATGGCTGGATTGATATTGTAGTTTTTGGTGACACAGCGCGACTTCTAGATTATTATATGAGATCGTCATTGTGGCCGCGTCAGTCAAATTGTCGACTAGTATGCATACCATGAATAGGGTATACATGGATACCCTGATGAATGTGGCAGTCTTAAAAAAAGACGAATCATCTTGCATTTGTTGCTACTACCTGCTTACGTGGTTACACTTTCTATTTTCTGCCATTACGTGTTCTTGCCAATCTGGCACTGAACATCTCAAAACGATATGGCAGGCGATATTGTTTTTAGGAATCAACGCTTGTGTATATAGATTTGGGCTGTTCTGCTTATGGTATGACGCGTAGAGCTACTCTTTTGTTTTCTTGCTTGACATGCGCTTATAGAATTGATACAAGCTCAATGTACAGGGGAGCTTTTGATGATGATACCATCATTAGTCACCATCCGAAGAAGCTCCTCAGCATCGAATGCGTGGAAATCAAGTAGCAAAGCCTACGAGGAAGCAGCTTGTCGGATGCATTTATGCCGTTTTTGCCGCAACGAAACCGATCTTTCCCACAAACAAATAGACAGTGGATGTACCACGCATTAAGTGTCAAGCCTTGGTGCGCATATAAAAGTACCAATCAACTAGGCTCAAGAAGGTTGCGTAGAGCACGCAGCTATACCAATGCATATAACGTGTGTATGGTACCCTGTGCGATTATCATCACAATGATCTGCCGCAGCAACGCCTATGTGCGTATGACTAATATAGGAAAAGTACTTCTCGCACCACATGCGAAAGATCCGTTGCCTTTTCGAAACACAATCCACCAACCTAACCCCGTTGTGTCACAATGGAGTGTGCTCACACGAGAACGTGGCGCACAGGGCGCCGAATCACACTATGCTGGAAACAAGCATTGGTTTTTGATCTCTTTCACCATATCAGCACTAGAGATACCTGATTGCTAAGATATCAATGGATCAACATGCTATATAAATCCCATCCATAAGCTCAATTTGAAGATGAGTATAATAAGCTCTTTGATCTAATCACGCAAGGTTGCGTCAATGTGCGTCGTCAACATATGCGTCCAATGCCAGTGGTCGAGTGCTAACCGATGTCTCGGCTAACTTGGGCATTAAAGACTAAATTTGGAAAATTTTGTCTGGGTTGAATAGGTTCTATTACAGCTGGGGCCGATATTTATCCGACAAAACTTCTTCCGTGTCAGATTATCTGCGCGCATTCGAAAGATTGAGACATGTTTTACTCGTGAATGGCTCTCACTTGGCGTATTATTAGATACATTTTTGATACAAGACCTATGTAGTCATCTATAGTGATAGTATTGTGGTCAAATTTTTGGTAATGGCTGTTGCATAGCAACAATCACAAATGATGCGGAGTGATCTGTGTAGTGTAAGCGTGACACATAGTCGATGGAAAGTCCAATGTGTCCGGATGGAGCGCCGACTGCGGCAACCATAAATATGGGGGAGCCATTCAACACAGGTTCTATTTTGCTTTATTATTCGCCTACTTTATCACACCTACTTTCTTCCCAATGAATGAAAAGGAAGAAATTCGGCCATCACCACCGCCGACTATACCTGACAACAATAACGATGATCCATTCGGTAACGCGGATGATGCCTTGAAAAAGGAACTTGAGGCACTAGAGATCAACAAAGCAATACAACCCAAGGACAACAACAACGACAACAATGAATCAGATCAAGATGGCAAAAAGAAAAAGAAGAAGAAGAAAGAGAAAAAGAAAGCGGTATCGATCTTTAAGCTATTTCGATTCAGCACGCCGATGGATCGGCTCATGATTATCATCGCTATGATCGGATCAGCATACACCGGTGCCATTCTCCCAGTATCCATTTTGATTTTTGGAAGACTTATTCGCAGCGTGGGCCAATCAGTTGTTGATTCAAGTGACCTTCTCGATCAAACGCATCCTACAATTCTCATCATGGTTTACCTTGGTACATCCGTACTTGTTGCTGCCTACTTTGCTTCATGCTTCTGGATCATCACCGGTGAAAGACAAACGAGAAAAGTAAGCGATTCGTAGATCCCAAAATCTTGGTTGCTCGGAGGTTATTAGATTGCTAACCTTAATTTGGTTATAGATTCGAATGCTATACTTGCATAATGTGCTTCGACAAGATATGGGTTGGTTTGACAAAGCGGAACAAGGCTCACTCACGACGCGCTTGGCAGCTGATACACAAACCATACAAGATGGGTAAGTTTTTTGTTTCCTTATGCTAAAAGGTGAACATCGTGATCTCATTTTCTTTTCTAGTATCTCAGAAAAATTCGGCTTGTTTGTTATGTGTATCGCCCAATTCATTACTGGCTATATTGTCGCCTTCGTCAATGGTCCAAAATTGGCTGGTGTCATGTTGGCTGGTGTACCCTTGATGGTTGGCACTGGTATCACTATGGGCAAGCTCATTACAAAGTACACTCTCAAGGTCCAAACATCCTATGCACTTGGTGGCGCCGTCGCTGAACAAGTGTTTGCTGGTTTACGTACAGTGTATAGCTTTTCCTTACAAGAACGATTTACAAAGCTATTTGAGGAAAAGCTCGTTGCATCACGTGTGATGGGATTCAAGCGTGGCATTGTCACTGGAATGGGTATGGCTTGCTTTATGACAACTCTATTCTTCACCTACGCTTTGGCCCTTTGGTGGGGTTCTCAGCTTGTTAACCAAGGTTACTTCGATGGCGCATCAGGTAAGTTCTTTAAAACGACTACTTTACGTAGACAATGGTCCCTAAACAACCGAATTAGTGCTTATTACATTTATGTCGTTGATGATGGGGTCATTTGCCTTGCTTCAACTGTCTCCAAACATGTCTGCAGTCTCTAGTGCGTGCGGTGCAGCATTTTCAATCTTTGAAACTATCGATCGGGTGCCTGAAATCGACCCTGACTCCAAAGAAGGCATTTTTCCTAAGGAACTTAAGGGCCACATTGAATTCAAGAACGTGCAATTCAAATATCCAACACGCCCTGATCTTGTCATCCTTAAGGATTTATCACTCACTATCAAGCCTGGTATGACGGTCGCTTTTGTTGGTCCTTCTGGCTCAGGCAAATCTACGTCTATTCAATTGCTACAACGCTTTTATGACCCTGCAGCAGGACAAGTGCTCCTTGATGGTCATGATCTTCGATCCTACAATGTGCGTGCCTTGCGACAACAAATTGGTGTCGTCGGCCAAGAACCTGTACTATTCAATATGACAATCAAGCAAAATCTTCTTATGGGCGTCGCTGATCCCGAAAAGGTGTCACATGAAGAGATTGTGGAAGCTTGTAAGAAAGCCAACTGCCATGGATTCATTAGTCAGCTTCCCGAGGGATACAATTCATTGGTTGGTGAGCATGGTGGTATGCTTTCAGGTGGCCAAAAGCAACGTGTTGCTATTGCCCGTGCCATCCTCAAGAATCCTACGATCCTGTTGCTCGATGAGGTATGTCGTCAAGTCGCGGTGTCTCCATGGCAACAACAATACTCACACATTTTTTTATACTTAATAGGCTACATCTGCTCTTGATACTCAATCCGAAAGACTTGTTCAACATGCATTGGATGCTGCAGCTGTCGATCGTACCACTATCGTTGTCGCGCACAGATTGAGTACCATTAGATCTGCTGATCTTATTGTTGTTATGCACCAGGGTGATTTGATTGAAAGGGGCACGCATGAAGAATTGGTCCGACTTGGTGGTGTGTATGCTGATTTGGTCAAGAAGCAAGAAATTGCACTCAGCCGCAACGACCAAGATGGAAAAGAGATTCATGAAGATACCAAGACTTTGATACAACAAGAAGAACTCGAGCTAAAGAACGAGCTTACAAAGATGGAATCGATCGATGTACAAGTGCTGCCCAATGGTCGTCGTGTTAGTACCGTTTCCTCAGTCGATGCCTTCCAACTCAAATTGCAAAAGGAAAAGGAGCTCAAGAAGCAAACCAAACAACAAAAGGCTCCCGTATTCAGGGTGCTAAGGGATATGCGACCTGAATGGCCTCTCATGGCAATCGGCTTATGTGGTGCAGCTTTGGCTGGTGCTATCTTCCCATGCTTTGCCTTTGCCTTTTCTCAAGTCATTGTCATTTTGAGTGATCCTACCAAGGCTTACATGATTGATCAAGGTCCAGTGCAAGGCACCAATATGTATGCATTCATTTTCGTCTTTATTGCTGTTGCTGCATTTATCGGTTTTGGAGCCCAAGGCGTTGCGTTTGAATTGGCTGGCGAACGATACACCGAACGATTGAGAATTAGAATCTTCAGAGCTTTGATGCGTCAAGAAGTTGGCTATTTTGATCAAGAGGAAAACAGCATGGGTGCCTTAACGACGAAGCTTGCTGTGGATGCAAAGAATGTCAATGAGCTTGTGACCAAAGTGTACGTATTCCCTTGTATTCATATCTTTGTTCATTTTTACTCATACGATTTTTATTAGATGGGGCGATTTTATTCAAGTGATTGTCACTGCCATTGTTGGCTTGGTCATTGCATTTGTCTACTCGTGGGCTCTTACATTGGTAATTTTGGCTACCAGCCCTATCATCATCTTTGCCAATGGTTCCGAATCCAAAATCCGCAGCGGTTATGAAGACAACACCAAGAAGGCCAACGCACAATGTGGCGAAGTTGCTGGTGAAGCCATTAAAGAAGTGCGTACGATCACCGCTCTCAACAAGCAAGGACATTTTGAAGGCCGTTACGACAAGGCGTGTGAACATCCTCATCGACTTGCTATTCGCAAAGCCGTTCTTGCATCCATTGGATTTGCTCTTTCTCGTGGTTTCAACATGTATGTCAATGCGATTGCATTCTATGCCGGTGTTCGCTTTATTATGAATGGATGGATCGACTTTCAGCAAATGTTTACTGCATTGATGGCTATCATGATCACTGCTACCAACGTGGGTCGTGCTAGTGTGTTCACTGCTACTTACACCAAGGCCAAATTCTCTGCTATTTCCGCATTCGCTGTGCTTGATCGTGAACCCAAAATTGACCCTGATCTTGAAGGCATTGAACCGGAGACCGTGGATGGCAACGTTGAATTCAAGGATATCACATTTGCTTACCCCGCACGCCCTGACAACCCCGTATTCACTGGAAATTTTGGATTTCAAGGCAAGGCAAACCAAACGATTGCATTGGTGGGCCCTTCAGGCTGTGGCAAGTCAACGACTATTGGCATGTTGTTGCGTTGGTATGACCCAACGACAGGTACCATTCGTATCGACGAGCACAATGTCAATAGCTTCAGCCTTGGCAATCTTCGATCGCACATAGCTTGGGTTGGTCAAGAACCTGTATTATTTGATATGACGATTCGAGAAAACATTTGCTTTGGTGTCGAGGAAGAAAACGTGTCCCAAGAACGTGTCGAAGAAGCATGTCGTGCCGCAAACATCCACAAGTTCATCGAAGGATTGCCACAACAATACGATACAAGAGTCGGCGACAAGGGTTCTCAACTTTCTGGTGGCCAAAAGCAACGTATTGCTATTGCTCGTGCATGGCTTCGTAAGCCAAGAATTCTCTTGTTGGATGAAGCAACTTCCGCTCTTGATAGTGAATCAGAGAAATTGGTGCAAGCTGCTCTTGACAAGGTCGTTGGTGAAGGAGGTCGAACAACTATCACCATAGCTCATCGCTTAAGTACCATACAAGGAGCAGATTTGATCTGTGTGGTCAAGGATGGACGCGTTGCTGAGCAGGGAACTCATTGGGAATTGCTCAAGCTGAATGGCATCTATAGTGAACTTGTCCACCAACAATCGCTTAATGTTGCCAACTAATATCCTCATATCCCATCTGTACAGATATCCTTTTCCCCAAGTAGATACATAATTACACAAAATCATCATCATCATCTCACTTCACAATGTAATAATATAAACGCATCTTCTTATTTAAACATATACATGTATTGATTGGTCTCTTGGATTACAGCTATGGGGAGCACTAACTAGGAGTATTCGTGTGTGTGACACGTCCAACTTCAATGCGCGTACATTTTGTAGCATACACAGACACGACCCTTCTTGACTCTTTTCTTTCACCATCCCAATGCAGAACAAGTACGACGGCGATCCAGCAAAGATCGAAAACGATACGCAGTTTTACCGATGGCTAGGTAGCATGAAGAAGGCAAGCAGCGTGCTGATCGAACAAGAATTGGAAAACGAGAAGGGGGATCCAGGATTGAAACGAGCGGTAGAAGAACGTGTTGAAGAGGTCTGTAAGCTCCCATGGACTGTTCATGTTACGCATCGATGAGCTCACCTTGTTCAATAGTCGCTTCGAAAAACAGCAGCCATTGTGGCCGAGAATTTGATGATACGAGAGAGTGGTCCCAGAGGGTTGGATGGTCTTGGTCGTGGTAGGTGCATTATAGGATATCTTCTTGGGGTGTATTAGAGATTGATATGGAATCTATAGAACAATTTGATCATCGGTTGGCATCACAAAAGGATAGCTTGGAGAAGGATGTACGATCAGAGATTCAAGAAGTGCTTGCAAAACGATTGAACCTGACTGCTGAAGTGGAGCCATTGATCCAAGATATGGTGAACAAAAAGTCATCCCAAGCTGAGAATGTCGAGTTTGAAACGAGTGATGCCGAGGATACTGGTAATGGGATGTAATTCTGGTATAAGACAAAAGTTACTTATGAGAGATCCAAATAGATGAAAACGATTATACATTGCCCGAAAACGAGTATCGTGAAGCTCTTAGGTTGCTGGCGCAACTGGAAGAGGTAATGGAAGGGAAAGAGATGATAACCATGGAATGCTCATCATTGCTTGGTTAGGTACTTCCACCGACAAGCGATGCACTTGATACCCTTTACAACCTACTCAACCAATAGCTCGATCACATCACCATTCTGTACAGCCCCCTAAATACCACAGCATACTATAATAAATATCACATAGTTTCATTGTTCCCAAAGATAAAGATCCCTCCAATAGCAGCAGCGCCTAAATATGGCAAGAAGCAACGTTACGCGCTTTTTAGTCCTAAGCTTAAGGATGTTTATAGTTCGGCAGCACGTAACATATCCATCGATTCAACGGAAAGCCCGTGTTACTTGCTGGTATGTTATACATGTATTGATGCGACGTCAATGCTGGGGTGAACTATTATTAATGGTTGCCATGATACAGCATCGGGCGATCCAAGGTCACGTGTCCAATTTAATGTTGTCCCCATATTGCTACCCCGACCACTTTCTCGTTGATCAACTTCTGACACATGTCATTTTGCATGAAAAAGGTTTTTATTGATAAAGGATGGTAAGCAAGTTGAGAGATAGGGTGAAAAGACATAGCATGGATGAATAATGGTTGATCCATAGTTTGGCAAAGAAAAGCACATGCGTTTGTGAGATCAAATTGATGCTGGTGTTACATTGCTAGCAAGCTTGTCATACTTGGCAACTCCACACACTTTCCCTTTCTTTCTCTTCACTTTCTCAGAAGACATTCGACATAGTCATGGCGTCGACAGCAGCAAATGACCGAGATTCCCCCAAGGACGGTGACATGCCACCCGTCATGACAGCACGCAAAACGGGTTGGCGTAGTATACAAATCAGGCAACTCGATCAGCAATCCGACACCAAGCAAGGGAAAAAGGAACCAGCGTCTCCCAAAGCAGAGGAAAACAAGGAGCAACCGAATCAAGATACACAACAAGAGGAAGTGAAGAATGAACCATCACATGAGGAGAAGGAGCAAGAAGAGGATGTGGCCAATAACAACACTACGGGAGAGAACAATGAACTATCTATGGTGCTCAGTGCATTGCGTGGAACAGTAGCTGCTGCCAAGGATGACAACAATGAGAAAAAGGCACATGTGGAGATGCTTCAAGAACCTGAAAGTCCACGACCCAGTCGAAATGCACGTGCGGATCAAATCATTGCAGCAGCCGAAGCAGCTCGTGACAAGGCCGAGCATAAGGGGTATCAGCATATGCATCATCAACCCGCTGAGATCCACATTCCCGAGCCAGAAGAGGCGGTAGATGTGGATAGTGAACCAACTACGCCTGTGCCAGCTCAATTCAGTCCTCAAGAAGAAACAACCAATGACAAGCATCCCGATCATCAACCTCATCAGCAAGTCCATATCGAATTACCCGCTGATAAGAACATGGCCGATTATATCACTCCACCCACACCAGGCACTCCACCAGCCACCAATCCAATGTACAGCGAGGAGTTGCAGGATCAACCATTAGAAGAGGAACCATCATCATCATCACCATCAACCTCGTCTCCAACAAATGAAGAAAACAAAAAGGGATACCAGCCAAATACATTGAATCCAAGAGAACAAGAACAAGCAGGTAAAGATAAGGATGGTACAAGTATTTTGTTGGGTAGTGATACTAATGTTGTGCTAGATGAGACCATGTTGAAAGGAATCCATGCCTTTTTTAGCAACAGCTTTAGTGAAGCGGAGGCATCATTTAAATCGCAGGCGAACGAGTAAGTGTATACGAGAAATGGATCATCTTGGAATATAAATTAAGAGGAGTGATAGTGATCCGCTATACGCACTTGGATTGGGTACCATGGCTTTCATCAAAGGTAACATACATGGCATGGGAAGGTGATGGCAATGGATGCTAACAACACATTTTCTCGTGTCCTCTATTAGCACTTTCGGTAAGCAGCATAATGATTGTTTAGGTGAAATACATTATTCATACGTATATAGACATCTGATGGTGATAACACCGAAGATGCAATTGCTCAGCTGACATCCACCTATCAATTTGCAACCGGCCAAATCGATGCTGCATCCGCAAAGAAGGCTCTCAAAGATACGGTGTCATTGTATATCACCAACCTGATGGGATCCAATACAACAGGTCTGCCAACCAATACTGCACCTTTGCCTCAAGAAGCGCGTGACAAAAAGCCCGAATTCATTCTAAATGGTGCACTACGCGCTCATGTTGTCAGATCGGAATGCTGCTTATTGATGGCTATGTTGCATTTGCATCAAGAGACTGTGGTGGGATATTTGAAGGCGGGTCTAAATCTACGACGTGGTAAGTGTCAAATAGCCCCCGTATGTGTAATCCCAAGATTGCTGATCCATCTCATTATTGATATAGCATACAGCAGCTACAGCTTGGTTTGGCAAGAGTATAAGCGGATGGGACAAGAGTTTAATACATACATGGACAAGAACACCATCTCGGCTATTCAATTTGGGTAAAGAAGGATGAATGATGGACATTGTATTATGGATGTGCTCATTGTTATTGTTATTAGCATTGGCTCGGTACACTTGCTCCTATCTTCATTGCCACCCAAGATCTTAAAGATCATCTCAGCATTTGGATGGAAGGCCGATAAGCATCTTGGATTTGCATTACTCAAGCTATGCATGGATGGTCAACGTATTCGATCACCATTGGCGGCCATGATGTGAGTTATTAGCTTCGGATGACAAACTTGTATATTAACGCTGGATGGTATTAGGCTTCTTTCATATTACGTTACGCTCATGTCGTATTGTCCTCAGGTGCTTACCAGGGAGATGTTGCAACCAGCTATTGAGATCCTTCTTGAAGCACAAAAGACGTTCCCCAACTCGGCGTTATTCTTGTATTTTGCTGGTAGAATCTCGCGACTATCACGCAACATCCCATTATCACAACAATCATTCCTGTACACATACAAAGTCAGCCAAGGTGCCTCGTGGGCTGAATCCACCATGGGTCGACTTGCAACTCACGAGATGGCATTCAATTGTGTGGTGGATTTGGATTGGGCTAGCGCTGCTTTACGTGCCGTGGAGCTACAAGGTCAATATGGATCCCCTGCTTTCAACAAGTACTTTTATGGTACATGCATGGAGATGTTGGGCAACCGTAGTGAAGCTATCCTTGCATTTGCTGAGACAACCACGCTACTTGGAACCAAAAAGACTCAAATTGAACAATTTGTGGCCCGTCGCATTGCCTTCTTTGAGAAGAGCGGATATCAAGATATGGATTTCTTCCTCCCTGGTTTCGAGATTTGTTATCTTTGGAACTTGTTCCCATGCATGCAAAAGAACGAGCTTGAGGAGTGTTTGGAACAAGTGGAAACGACGCTAAATATTATCTACAAGCGAGAAAAGAAGGAATACCAAGTACGCATGCTCGAGTTGGTACCTGACATCCCACCACCGAATTATTATGATCATCGAGCCATCTTGCTCCTTATCAAGGCCAACATCCTAAACTGCCTGGGATGCAGCAGTGACGCCATTGCACACTTGAATTGGATTGTCGATCACAAGGATCGGATCACCTACTCCAAATGGATCATGCCTTACACATACTGGTAGGTTATTATTGCTACCTCTTGGATACCCCATTATTTGCTGAGCCCTTTCTCTCTTTAGGGAATCGGGTATTGTGTCATGGTATCTAGGTGACCTGAAGCGAGCACGACACTTGTGGGAAACAGCATTGACATATTCAAGCTATGACTTTGAATATAAGCTAGCCATTGTAAGTACCGGTTTATGATACAAACACGGACACCATCTTCTCATCTTATGACTACTCTTTTAGCAACTAAACCTTGCAATCAACCATGCCATCGAAATCGGTGTACCTGAGACTCCCACAAAATCAAGGCTCAAAGGACAAACAACATTTGGTCGTAAACGCTTACCACTTTCTAAATCAAACTCGATGCATGAAGCTACTGCTGTCGTGCAGGGGTAAACTTGTCTTTGATATATAAAAATGGCTTTACTTGTAAATAAAAAGAGAGAGAAATCGTTAATGCAAGCTTAATTTATTGATGAAAAAAGATAACTTGGGGTGGGTTGGGTGGGTGGTGGCGAACCATTAGGGATAAACATGACAAATGATAGACTACAAACACCTCAGGTAGTGGAGGAGGAGCTGTGTGATCGTGTGCGACGGCAATGTCGCGCTCGGAATCAAAATCTGGCGACACTTGGTCTTGGCCTGCTCCTTTTCCTCTGTGTGTTGTGTGGCAAAACGAGTTTTAAAGTATGTTTTCTATCACTCTTTTATGTAGTATTCCTTCCACGTTTACTAATCGACGAGATTTGAACTATCGCTTAGATCGCAAAGTTGAGAGAAAAACGGAACGATAATAGACGACGACGACCCAGCACATTACAACGGTAATGAAGAGACTTGTGTACAAAGACTGTCAACGCGTATAAAACAGCTCCCTTATCTTTTCAAAGATTAGACGATTCGCAATCATCTTTCAATGCCTCGATCCTCTAGTCGTGCAACTAAGGCAACGCAGCATGTGTCCAGCAGCAACAGTAAGAAACGTGGTCGCTCTCCAGTATCGTCTACCTCCTCGGTAGAATCATCTTCTGCTATCCCAGCTGGTGCCGCCGATGAATCAAAGAATCCAGTGTTGCAATCATCCAAGAGAAAAAAGCTTGCGACGTCGACGACTCATGATGTCAACAACGACGACGAGGACGAGTTGGAGGAAACAGATGAAACAGCATCACCCATTACTACTACTTCTTCATCATCCAACACTCGAGGCACGATTCAACGTGGAGTACCTGCTTTTTTGAACAAGTTGTATAGGTATGGATTGTTATCATCATTGCATACGTGTATACTCATCATGGATTTAGTATGGTTGATGAGTCTTCAACGAATAATCTTATTCGCTGGTCTCCCGATGGCAACTCATTCATTGGTACGTCCCCACACCTCTCTCACTCTCTCTTGAATGTAACCTATAGCTTACTTATGTCATATCTAGTCGAGAACCACGAGCTTTTTGCAAAGACGGTGTTACCACGCTACTACAAACACAACACGTTTGCATCCTTTGTTCGCCAGCTTAACATGTACGACTTTCACAAGGTGCCAACCGTCCAACAAGGTGTATTGTATCCAGACAACGAGCGTGAACTATGGGAATTCAGCCATGAGAACTTTCGTCGAGGCCGACCCGATTTGCTTTTATTGGTGTCGCGAAAACGCAACAAGGACAAGGACAATGGGGAGAGTGACCAGGTGACATTGGCATCACTTGTGAAAGATATCGCATCGATACGTAAGCATCAATCCGCTATCAGCTCTGATCTACGCACCTTGCAACGTGACAACTCGTACCTGTGGCAAGAATCGTTGGCAGCCCGTGAGAAACATCAGCTTCATAAGGATGTGATTGAGAAGATTTTGCAATTCTTGACGACCGTGTTTTCGAGCGAGAACAACATTTTGGCAGCAACGCATCAGCAATTGAATGGACCCTTTATGCTTGGCAAGAACAATGAATACATAAGTTTGCTTGGGAAATCGGAAGCAGGTATGTAATTTCTTTTCTTTTGTCTCCCCCTTTTTTCATCCTGTCTCGACCATGATATGAGTGGCAAGCAAAAGAGAACCTATTGCTGTATGAGAGAGAAAAGGGAAAGGCACCAACCACATGGGATGTGATCCTTGATGCAAACATACACACACACCACATTCTCTTTATCTCCTTCTCTCGCTCTCTCTCTTTTTTATTTATCTCTATTATTATTATATGTATCCCTTCGCTTTGCCCTCTATATTATGGCATCACACAGGAAAGTTTCTCGAAGGACGTTTACCAACTGCTTTGATTGAAGAAGCTGCAAGTCTCGTTGGGATGAAGGATGCAATCGGATCTCTTCAAGGTGCAACAAGTGATCCTTCGGGTAGGTGTTACATGGATCAAAATGCTCGACTTCAAGGAGCACTATCGTCGGCATTAATGCTGTCATACTCAATGTTACCCGGAATGAGTTCAGCAGGCATGTCATCGACTCCCTCGTCTCCATCCGCGTCGTTGAACCCTTCAGCTTTCCAGCAGCAACAACAACAACAGCAACAATCACCACAGCAACCATTGTCGGAAGGGATGCGTACAGCGGAATCGAATGCCAACATTGAAGCTTTCACCGATACACTCAACACAGCATCCAAGTCGGCTGAATCGATCTCTCAGGACATTGACGATCTCCAAATGGATATTGAAGCATTGGCATCACATATTGGCATCGATCCCCAGCATCTTCAGGACCCAGTATTTGATGGCATGGAACAACTTGGTGATTTTGTGGATGATTATGGTGCAATGATTTCAAGTGCATCTCGCTCAGACAAGATTCGTTTGTATGAGCTTGCTGGTGGATCACATGTTAAGAACAAGTACGACACATCGGCAGCACCATTGGAAAAGGGGAAGCAACCAATCATGAATGCAACGAACGACAATGCTACAAGCTTGCCAGGGACCCAGCCGGCTACTGGAACGTTGCCTATCAATATTACTCCTGCCCCAAGTGGTGATGGCGCATCCACCAGCAGCTTAACGCCTCAATCAGCCATTCCAATCCCTCCTTTTCCTGTAAGTACACATTTTTGGTTCTTTGTTTGATGATGATTTATATATAACATTGATTGTGTATAGAATGTCTCGCCAAATCCTTCGGAAATCAGCAGTGCTGAATCAACACCCCACCTGGCACAAACCAATGCGCATCCTCTGATGAGTCAAGCCATGTTCCAATCATTGTATCCTGGTGTATCCATGCCAACACCTCCACCTGGAACTCCTGGTCAGCAATACGTGGCTGTTCCTGTACCCGTGGCTGTCCCTGTACCATATCATCAATTCCAGCAACACCAACAACAACAACAACAACAACAGCAGCAGCAGGCAGCGGCATCCACAGGCACAAATCCAGCGAATGTTGTCCCAACCTCAATCCCTGGTACTACTTTGCCTCAACATCCCGCAACAACAGCACCTTTGCCAAACTTGTATTATGGAATGCCAAATGTCACCACGCCACAGCAACCACCACAACCTCCACCACCGCCTGGCTTTCCCGATCCACAGCAACAACAACCTTCATCCAAAAAGGAGGATAACGATTCATAATGGCGCCCATTGTCTTTTCTTTTGTTTTGCATATAGCAACCAATTTCGTACATACCATATGCTATGTTTTCAGTTTACTTTTTGAATTGATCAACACGTTTACAAAATCGAAAAAGATTGTATACTCTATATAACCGTTCTTTGGAGGGGGTTGTCGTGTGCATTGAAAATGGGATATGTGCAAGTGGCGGGGTTCTTTTGACAGACAACCAAAAAAGTCCATCTGCAGCAGTAGCAACCAGCTAATTTCCACCCTTTCTTCTTATCCTTTGTTGCACTTGACATGGCTGGGAAACAAGCGATCAAGAAAGCGAACAAGGCTGCCAACAAGAGCAAGCAGGCTGCCAACAAGAAAGGCAATGACAAGTCTATCAAAAAGGCCGTCAACAAGCCAGGATCAAAGAATGCAAAGTCAAAGGATCCAATGGTAAGAGTACCTTCGTGTCATGCCAACGATCATGCTCACCATGCTTTCGATAGGACAAGATCCCAGACTATGTACCCGTTCCTGAAGCCGATAACGAAGACGTTGACATTTCAGACGAGGATCTTGCGTTCTTTGCCGAGAATGAGCAGTTTGGCACCTTTTTAAAGTCCATGGACTCCAAGGCCATCACAAAGTAAGACCACCACGATCCACGTGACATTTGTATATTCATGTTGCAAACTTTAGGAATCTCACACGTGATGAAAAACCACGCATTGAACGTCCTGAATCGAAAAAGAAGCAGCAACAGCAGCAGCAACAACAGCCATCGAGCGAATCAGAATCGGATGAAGAGGATTACGATTATGATGATCTTGAAAACATGGCGAGTGATGATGTGGCTTCCATTGTACTTTCGTCATCGGATGAAGAAGAGGAGGAAGAAGATGCTGCAGAGGCTATGGAGGAAGATGTGCCACCATCGATCAGCGATATTGAAGATGAATTGGAGAACATGGAACAGACACGTCCTTCCAAAAAGCGCAAGCATGTCGAATCGGATGATGAGGAAATGGATTATGAGTTGCAGCCTCGTAAGGTTGGCAGTGAATGGACCCAAAAGGATTTCGTTGAACGCTTGCCTATCAAGTTACCTGGAGGAAAGATCGTCAAGGTGGATCAGGATGAGCAGGAGAAACAAGAGGCATCTGCCGATGAGATGAGCCAAGAGGAAGAGGACGAGAAGGAGGATCAAGCTGTTGAGGAGAAGGTGCAAGTCGAGGAAGAACCAGCACCCAAACTCACCAAGAAGCAATACATTTTGGCCAAGAAGGAAGAGCTCGCACAAATCGCTACTCAGATCCAAGAAGATCCAGATGAAAATGTAAGTCATCATCGAATGTATGATGTTTGGCTAAATGCTTACCATGAATATGATGTTAGATCAATCAATTGAAAGCATTGCGTAAAATTACGGCTGACACCAATCCAACCATCAAGAAACTTGCACTTCTCACTCAGCTTGCAGTATACAAAGATATCATTCCTGGGTAAGTGTGGTTTGAAATGGGAAATCTATTAGCGTGAATAACTTATCGTTTGTATATAGCTATCGTATTCGTCCATTGACTGAGAAGGAAGAAGCTGTCAAGGTATCCAAGGATGTCAAAAAGCTGCGAGAATTTGAAAAGACGTTGCTCCACAACTATGAGCTTTACCTCAAGGAATTGGACACCTTGCTCAGTATGTATTTATTGTTCATATGGGGGTATGTGAGAACGAGCAATACTAATTCGAGATGTTTAGAGAGAAAATCAGCCCAAAGTGATACCAGCTTGATCACCGTGGCAGTCAAGTGTCTTTGCGAATTGCTCACCACCAAGACGCACTTCAACTTTCGATTAAACTTGATGATGTCTATTGTCACTCGGATGAGCACGGTCCAATGGAATGAGGTAGGATGGCTGTTCACATGCTTTTTCTTTGGATCATAGGCTGACAAGGTATATTTATATAGGATGCGGATCTTTGCAGCAAAGCGATCATCAACGTGTTTGAAGAGGATGAAACGGGACGTGTATCATTGGATGCGGTTACTATGATCACTCGAATGATCAAGAGCAAAAACTATCAGGTGCACGAGAATGTCATCAACACGTTCCTTCATTTACGACTCAAGGATGAATTGACACCTGAAGCCAGCAAAAAGCACGGAGATGGGGATAAGCAAAACAAGAAACGCAAAAAGGAGTTCTTGACCAAGAAAGCACGCAAAGCACGCAAGGAGACAAAGGAAGTGGAAAAGGAAATGAAGGAAGCTGAAGCCGTGGTTGACAAGGAAGAAAGGGAAAAAACGGTAAGCACGTTGTGCACCTTTTGAACACGTTGATAGCTCCGTATTCTTATTATATATCTTGGATTTCTCTTAGCACACGGAGACCCTGAAACTGGTCTTTGCCTTTTATTTCCGTATCCTCAAAAAGCAGTCGACTTCCCCCTTATTGCCAGCTGTGTTGCAGGGTTTGGGCAAGTACGTATCTTAAGATATGATTTGAGGGATGAGCTTATGACTGATCATTTCGATTTAGGTTTGCTCACTTGATCAGCGTTGACTTTTTCGATGATTTGCTTGCAGCACTCAAAGAAGTATTGGACAGCCTTGAACATAGCACGAGCAAAGGCACAGCAGGTGCTGGTACACGAAAGCGCTTACTATGCATCATCACCGCATTCGAACTTCTTTCTGGTCAAGGTGAGTAGTACTAGTAACTTGGAGGCAAATCACATGATGTATACTGACTCTGAGGACATTAGGCGAAGCATTTGTCACATACGATCTCAAGGAATACTATTCAGCATTGTATGAGATTCTCTTTGAGTCGACCTTCCATTACATGATTGAGCATAAACCCAATCCCGATGCTGCATCCGAAAGCGACATGTTAATCCGTGGTCTGGAACTGATGTTTGTCAAGAAACGCCAGATACCCATCGATCGTATGGCTGCATTCATCAAGCGATTTTGCATTGTGGCACTCAATATGCCTACCAAGACTGTTGCCAATTGTATGCAATTGGTCAAGCGGCTGATAAATGTAAGTTACAATGAAGGTTGTTAAAGAAATGCAAGTGATTGACAACATGTATAGAAAGATCGACGATTGGATGCACTTGTGCAATCCGAAGATCGCGCAGCAAGTGGTGTGTACATGCCTTATCTCCAAGATCCAGAACTCTGCAACCCATTTGGTACAAGTCTTTACGAACTCTTTTTGTACAAGGACCATTATGATCCCAATATCCGATCCTTTTCACAATCTATCCTTCAACCACCAGAAACCCAATAATAGATTCATGTATCATTCTCGATTTCTTTTTACAATGCATTATAAAGTTTACAAGCATCGCATGCAATTCATTTTACTTTTGAAGAGGGTCTACGGCATTGTTGATCAGTATCATGGATACAGCATTAAGAGGTTGTCAAGTGCTGGGATTGGTGGGTGACGGGGAAGTGGAGCAATGCATCTCAACAGCACCTCGGGTTGTCTCTCTCTCTCTCTCTCCAGCGCTGATTTCTCTTTCTTTGCAGCTGTCAACCAGCCGACAAAAACAAAAGCGATCCTCTCCCAATGTCTCTTTGCAAGACTCTCTTTCGAGTTGTACCAACTCGTGCTTGTTCTCTACGCGCATTGCATACAACAACTCGATGCTTACAACGATCAACGACCGTCTTGGAACGTCCTCCTCTCTCAGTCTTTCAACCATTACAAGACATCGCTCCCACCTTTTATGCTTCGGGCAACAACATTACTCCTTTATATGAACCAAGCGACTTTTACTCGGAACTGAAGGTAGATAGCGTATCATGGTATGATAATACAGGCTGCTCACATCACACTTTATATGTTAGACTCGCATTCTTTCTGCCAAGGAACGTATCTTTATTGCTGCTCTTTACATTGGACATGCTGAAAAGGAATTGGTATGAAAAGTATACATCTTAAGGTGACTTTTTATTGAGTTGACGATGGGATAGGTGGAAACCCTGCATACAGCATTGAGTCGATCCGATAAGCTGCAAGCACACATTTTGATTGATGGACTCCGAGGCACTCGTGTATCCAAAGGCGAAAGTTCTGTCACGTTACTGTCATCGCTTATTCAATCATTCCCTGACCGAGTACAAGTGTCATTATACCATACACCAGACTTAACGGGCGTACTCAAGAAGACATTACCACAACGTTTCAATGAAGGAATTGGATTAATGCATCTCAAGATCTATGGCTTTGATGATTCAGTGATGCTTAGTGGGTAAGTAAACTTGATTACCATGTTCTATCACAATGGTCGCTAATGCCTTTATCCCTCGCAAGTGCCAATTTGAGTCGCGATTATTTCACCAATCGTCAGGATCGATACATGATTTTCGACAAGCATGAACCATTGGCGTCGTATTATTGCGATTTGATGAGTGTGGTGCGTTCCTTTTCTTATCAACTTGACACCAAAGGGAAATTGGCAATACAAAGTGACACACCAGATCCTGTACATGAAAGCCGGCAATTTAAACGACATGCACATGACCGGCTGGTCCGGTTTATCCGACAGCAAATGGATCGACATGATGATAGCCCGGCAGAAGACACTGACACAGCTATCCTTCCAGTAATACAAATGGGTCCTTTGGGCATTCGGCAGGATGAAAAGGCAACCATGAAGTTCTTGGGAATGGCTAAGCAAGATTGGACGATTCATTTGACTTCGGGTTATTTCAACTTTACGGATCGATACAAGGCAATGATCCTTCGTGCACCAGCTCGATTCCGATTCTTGACAGCATCGCCCAAGGTAAATGATATATACATCCATATTCACACGCACGGCTAATGAGAAATTATCATCATCAGGCCAATGGCTTTTTCAATTCCAAAGGTGTATCACGTTATCTCCCACCCGCTTATACATGGATCGAGAAACAATTCTTCAACCATGTCAAACGTGCAGGACGCAGCAACGAGATTTCGATTGAGGAGTATGGAAGAGAAGGATGGACGTATCACGCCAAGGGATTATGGGCATCTCTCCAAGGCAATGATGACATTTCACTTACATTGATTGGATCACCCAATTTCGGTCATCGATCAAGTCAACGCGATCTCGAGGCCCAAGCCTTTGTTATTACCGAAAACAAGCGATTACAATCGGCTCTTCACAAGGTATTTTTCATATTCTCACGCACGCATGGGAGAGAACAAGTCATTCATCCACAGAAAATTTGTTCAATGATAGGAGGTCGAGCGTCTTCATTCACATGCTCAACTTGTAACGGATGCAACATTCAAACAAAAGGATCGGCAAGTTCCATATGGAGTGCGTGCTGCAACAGCCATGATCAAAACCATGCTGTAGAGAAGCTCACAAGGGAGAAGATTATCACATGTATTGCACAATCCACCCTATAATGGGAAACTGTTTGTGGAGTCGTACGCAAAAAGGGAATGGCCGGTTTTCTGGATGCAAATTCATTCTATGGTTTTTCTTTTTATATTACACGTTTTTCACTAGAGAATAGACTAGATTTCTTGATTGAGGAAATACAACTTCATGGCGATACGGGACAATTCTAAAGGAAATGATATGAAGAGGAGGAGGAGGAGGGGGATAAATAAGGGATAAGCAATCCTTTGCTATCATCTTACATACGTACCCTTGTTTGATGATTGACGGATCCACAAATAAGACATTTCACTTGTAACGCTTTTGCCCATTTCAATGTAGTTGGATGCAACATTTTTGAATATGAATACGAAAGAAGAGTAAATGTTGGGGAAAGAGATTCTTATCCACGAGTCTTCTTTGCTTTTATGCGATTCGTCTTATCGATGATGGATGACTCTGCACGACATTTTCTTTTTTGTACACGTCTTTTTTGCAGCAGGCTGATAAAAGAAATCTGATTGGGGTGCTTGATAACTGGGCCCCGGTTGCATGTGCGTGTATTTGGTGCCATCCGATTATATACTATGCAACAATATTGTATCGCCTGATCCCATTAATTCTATTTCTCAGTGGTCCTTTATGTTGGAATGACAGATGATGCTTCACAGGAAGCTTGTAATTCTCATGTGCATACAATGTATCCACCGCATAATAGCGTTGCTCGCGATTCTCCGGGATTCATGCAGCAACTTTAGCTCCAATCACGAGTCGCCGTCGCGTTGTTAGAGTAATATGACAAGCAAGTAAAAGAATGCAATGGCTACAATAGAAGTCTGTAACACAAAGTATGATAACCAGGCATATCCGAATGGATAGCTCGAGTAAAGAAACCGATGCAAAGGTAACTTATCTCTGGTTTGAGCAAATCAAAATTAAATTTTACAATGCCTGGTACAATAACGTGTTCGCATCTAGCAAGAACGCGCCTTTTTTCGGCAAAAAAAGGAGATGGCGGTATTTATTCTATGTCTCTTTTCGTTTGCAATGCACTACACTGCAGGGACCTTCATTAGATATTAGCACATGTTTCAAACCTGCACCAAAATGAATGAGGCTTCTCGATCCTCTCTCTTTCTCTCAAGATGCAGAAAGGGTCGTCCTTTGCACCACCAAGAAAACACCTTGTTATCTTATGCATTAGCATTTTGAATTCAAAAATGGAAAGGGAACAACACTACACTTTTGTTATCATCCACAACCATGAAACGTAACCTTCAATGTGGAGATTGATTGAGAATGGATTTTGTTGTTGGTGTTCATTGTGTTCGACAATGAATGTAATGCTGTTCGTTGTTGTACAACGCCAAGACGTATGTGCGCCAGTGGTCCAAAAATCTTTCTCGGGAAAGGAGCAAGTAGTATAATAAAGTTTTGGGGGGCCCGGGAATGGTTGCAATCAAAACAAGAACAAACAAATCATGCAAATGTCTCGATTTAGCTTCACCACAAAATTAACATGTCGCATGTGAAGAAATGATGCCATCGGCGTTTTGCCTCAGCATTGATCGAAACATGCTATTTATTTGTAACGATTGTATAAGCAAGCAACCCCTACCAAGTAAAAAAGAAGGTATAGGAGAAGATCCGATGCATAAGATACGCCCGGAGGAAATGCCGTGGGGGAGGAATAAAAGAGAGACGATCATACAATCAGGGAGAGTCGATAATGAGGGGAAGGGGGAGGATTGCAAACCATTAAAAAAGAAAATCAAGGGGAAAGAAGATGAATGAAAGAGAGAGAGAGAGAAAGAGAGATAGGGTAAGCAAGGGTAGTAATAATGCACGGATGTTTGGAGTAAAGTGTAACAATGGAAGCCGTCCGCATGGTGATGCCGTTCAAGATCAAGACACCCCCTCCATCTCTTTCTCTCTCTCTTTTCCTCTCCCTCTTACTCGAAAGCCCTTTATCTTTTTCTTACAACCTACCTCTCTCTCTCTTTCTCTTCCCCATTTCACTTGTCTTTTTCTCTCATTCACCTCATTTACTCATTGCCCATTTCGCCATTGCTCAACCTGTTGCTTCCCTGTGTGTGTATCACCCAATCATGCACAACAACGACAACACTGTATCTCTACCTAATATATGCAATGCGATTCTACTTGAATTGAGATCATCAGTCCCAGGGCTTGACGTGCATTATCCCGAACTATCCTCGGCAACAACAACAGCAATCAACGACAATCCTATCGCCAAACTTGAATCTTTATGCAAAAAGGGCGTTCCGCTGTGTCAATTATTCAATGCCTTGTGTCCCCAATCACCTATTGATTATACCCAACGTGATGGATCTACCAAGAACCCACAAGCCTGCGTGGGCCATTTTATTGTGGCATGTCATGGAAGACTCGGCATGGATCATAAGGATTTGTTTACAGTCAATGATCTTTTCCATAAAGAGGAGCAGGGCTTTCCCAAGGTAAAGTTGCATGTGTCCGTGCTTGCTTTTTATGGATGTTGGGATTCTTGTTTTCTGATTTCTTCCACCTCGTCCCTTTCCTTCTCCTTTCCCCTTCCATCAGGTCATTCAAACACTACAACATCTTTTGAAGAAATTGAATCAAGCCAATGAACAGCAACATGCCAAACCAATGGATAGCTCCAACACACGAGAAAGGGTGTTGACAGAATTAATAGACACAGAACGTCGCTATGTACAAGATCTCGATGCATTGGAGGTAAGCAACAAAAACAAACTTGCCAATGCCATGACAACCAGTAGTTGACTTGGTAACACACACACAATAGTATTATCGGATGGAAGCACAATCACAACATGTATTGCCTATCCCACTACTCAGACGCATTTTCGCCAACCTCGACAATTTGCTAAAATTTCAAAGACGACTACTTGCATATGCCGAGGATATCATCAACACTTGTCCACCAGCTGAACAACGCTTTGGAAAACTGTTCATCGACATGGAAGAAGGATTTTCGGTTTATGAACCCTACTGCGCCAATATCCAACGAGCTCAAGATACCATTTTACAAGAAACGGGCAAGCTTCAAAAGTTAGCCTACATCATGAATCCTCATTTCGAGTTGCCATCAATGCTTATCAAGCCTGTTCAACGTGTGTGCAAGTATCCGCTTTTGCTCCAGGAGCTAATCAAGGCAACACCGGAAGAGTGGGCAACGTATGATGAGCTCAAACAAGGATTGGAAGCCATTCAACGAGTCACCACAAAGATCAACGAGACGAAACGTGGTCAGGAGAATGCTACAGTGGTACAAAACATCATCAATCGAGTCAAAGACAAGTGGAAGCGAGAGATCCCCAGCTTTGGCTTGTTGCTCTTGCATGAGAACTTCGATTTGGAACGACACGGTGTTGAGAATCATGTTCAATTGTACCTCTTTGAAAAGGCGTTATTGATTTGCGAGCACGTGCCTTTGAGGAAGTCGAGTAGCATTTCGGTCAAAAAGAAGAAATCAAAGGATATCAATACCCAAGCACTCACGGTGCGTGGCCGTATCCCTGTATCTCAAATGGTCCAGGTGGCTGATACAAGCTTACTAGGTATGTCATCATTCAACCATTTTGCTATAATCAACATCCAATTGACTTTTTTTTTCTCTTTCACCTAGGGCAATACATGCTCAAGATGTTTTGGTCTGAAAGGGATCACAAGACATCAAATTACACCATCACCTCCTGCACAATCAAATGCCGAAACAAAGAACAGCTCAAACAATGGAATGAAGCATTCACCAAACGCATTCAATTTGAAAAGGCACGTGCACGAACGGGATCAACTACAAAGATATCCACTATGGTACCACGGCCTGCTGCACCAGCATTACCTGTTGAAGACAACACGACAACACAATGGGGTCCTCCTCCTTCACCATCAATACATTCTCGTGGATACAACAACAACAACAATGAGCAACAACATCACGATGATGACAACGATACGACACGTTTGGTGGATGAAGAAGATGATGCAGGATACCCAAAAAGCCGACTAGCAGAAAAGGCCATGCAAAATGTCACCAGCACACCTGGAATGGTATTGCCACCTCTTCCCGGCAAAGAAGATTATTTCTCATTTGCATCATCATCGCCACAACCACCCCTCTTTTACCCTTCATCGCCATTATCACCTTCTTATCCGCCAACACCATCTACCATATCCACACGTGCATCCGTATGTAGCAGCATTGGCGGTGTCAGCTTTTCATCATGGTCGATTCCACGTAAGCCAAGTGATTCCTCAGGGCCACCTTTTACCGATAACAGTATTGCTGAAGCTGGCATGGATGAAGAAGAACTTCCAGAAGAGGACGAGGAGGATGACTTTGGTAATGCTGTTGGTGCACCATTAATGACTCGAACACGATCCAAGAGTAGTCCCAACATCAGCCAGTCTTGGTATCAAGATGCTCTTCATCCTTTGGATGTGGTATCACAACAAGCCGCCTTTCTAAGCAGTAGCAGTACCAGCAGTGCGTCCTCATTTGAACTCGTGGATAATATCAAGATCCGGCTTTACTACAAGAACGAGCTGTATCTGGTTATTGCACCCATGAATATCCGCTACAAGGAGCTTCTTCAACGTGCCGAAGCCAAGATGCGACAATGCAGCGTTGGTCATTCTGAAAAATCCTTTCAAGGAAGGCCCATGACACTTAAATATCGGGATGAAGATGGTGACATGATTACGATTGGCTCGGATGATGATATACAAATGGCTTTTGAGTGCCGTCAGGAAACCAATGCTATCAATCTCTACATTTACTAGTATTCCCCCGTTCCCTAGTGTACATAGTAAACATATTTGTAACAAGTATTCCTTTTTATCATCATACAACAATAATATCTCATGCGATTGCAATGGCAAGAGATGTAAAACAAAGTGGTCTTTGCCTTTGAAGGCCATTGAATACCTTTGAAAGATTCCATTACCCTTTTCTTGATGAACTTTTTATTGCCTTACATGGGCCATTTTCTGCGTATAGGATTAAACCTTAACCTGTCGAAAGTCGAAATCCCACTTTTGATTTATGATCCTTGATAATAGGCAACAAACTCAAGGCATTCAGCTCCTAGATGAGATGATTTTGTATGTGAAGCATTGATCAATAGTAGAAATCAAGTATGTACATCCATCATCAAAGTAGGGCGACATCAAAGTTACGTACAGCATCTATCAATGTTTTCCTTCCCCCCCCCCTCCCCCTTGAAAGTTGACCGATCCGCCTCATCTCCTGAAACTCGGCCATTCGTTGCTTCCGGACCCTGGCCCATGCCATTCCAACAACGCAATCAAAGAGAATTTAGATATAGATTGATACCTTTGTTGCAAGGTCACAATGATCACTTGTAATCCACGCGATGATTGCTATAATATTGGATGGGCTCTTTGTGCTTATGAAACAATGAATAGTGACATAGTACGTGCCATATTAAGCATGAAGGAGATTTTTCTTCAATGTTGGAAAGCATACCCTTTGGATACCTTTGAGCTTATTTTACAAGACAACCATGCGAGGATGGTCCGAACGCAACATGTCAAGCTGAGAACAATAGGCATTCAATGTAGAAATGGCCGTCGTCATTGGATGCTGAGCTTACGGCCGAAAATAGCAGATAGCTCATGTCGGGTATAGCTTGTCAACATTCCTCTCCTCTTCCTTTATTCCTTTCTCCCCCTATGCTGCCTTTCCTGCGTGAAAAGGCCGTTCTTCTCAACTCACAATTCCAAGAACATGCTCAAGACATCAGCCATTTACGAGAACGACTTGAGCACGACATTGAATTACTCGACTTTTCGCCCGAGGATCTTCAAGACGCAAGAGATTACTTGCAAGACCATGGCAAGTCCACTTTATTATTGCAATGCTTGAATGAAAGGACAACAAGTCAACTAATGTCTATCGTATGTGCATAATAGTGACACTGTTTCGATACTTGAGTGGGAGCCAGTTTGACGAGACAAAAGCACATGAACGTTTACTGGATACGATACGGTGGCGACAAGAAAAGGGTGTTGCTCGAATGACGTATGAATCGGTGGCAAACGAGTTTTTCGATGATGGTGGATTTGCATTCTTTCATAAGCAAGATCGACTAGGACGACCTATAGCGATTGTGCGGATGCGATACTTTCCCCAATTCCACGACAAGTCTGCGACACTGACTGAGCTCATGCAACCCTACGCTTGTTTGGTTATGGAAATGGTGCGCAAGATCATGCTGGACATCACGTGTAACAATCAATACCATCGTGACCCATGTCCATTGGTCTCACAAATGGCCGTTGTTATCGACATTGGTAAAGCACCTTTTATACCCGTGGTATGGCTCTTTTTTCTTTCGATGCATGAAGGGATGATTGTTTGTTAATTCTCCTTTGTTTGGATACACAGGATGCTCAACTCGTGAGATCTATCATGGACATTATGGATAACCGTTTTCCCGGATCCATGGGATCGATCTATGTCATGAATTTCGGATGGATGTATCAAGGTCTATGGCAAATGGTCAAGTTTATTATCAGCGAGGAAGCACGTAGCCGTATCAGTTTCCCTTCCGCCAAAGAAATGACTGATTTCATTGATCCCGAGAACCTATTAAAAGGTAAAAGAGGAAGACATGGTTGCATGATATGATTTGCTAATGAAGGTATGATATAGAACTGGGTGGAGAGGATGACTTCGAGTGGTCTATGGAAAAGGATACAGCACTACACGAATATGGAACAGGCAAGCCTGCCACGGGACCATCCCTTGTGGAACCATCACCTGATTTGCGATCGGCATCACCGCCATTGAGCATACGCCCATCCCGAAGCACTTCCATCTCATCAGACGAATTCTTTGATGCCAATGATATCTTCTCAACGACACCATTTAGCAGCCTTAGCCAATATGCCACTCCAGGAACAATGACACCTGTGCTATCTGAACAACAACAACAACAAGTTGCTTGGTTCTCAGCCATGCCGCCCAACAAGAGCAGGAACTTTTATCATTGGACTGGATTGCATATGGGTACAGCATTCTTGACATCTTTTCTTGGCTATTCTCATCAACGTCAACAACCTTACACGTTTACATCTGAACAACTTTCAATGGGTATTGATGGACTTTTATTGGCGGATCGGCTGGCTACCGTCAAAGAGGATCAAGAGCAATTCATGCTTCTAGAAGGACATGAAGTTGAGGAATTCAAGCGGCATACACCCCATTTTCCTCATTTGTTACCTCCCGATGTTCCTCAATCAGCATACGCATTATCACCTTTACGCGTACAAATGCAACGTATTGAACAACGTGTGATTCGATGGACACGACGAATATTCCGCCTTTCCTTTGCATACAAAGGTGCTATCTATTGGGTCGTTCTTTATATCTTTTTACGGGGTCCTGTTGAACACGTACTTCGGCGATCCTTGACCATGTTCGTTAGCACTCCACAAAAGATTGCATACACCACAGTCGGTATTACTGCTGCAGTAGCCGCTGCCATTGGTACATCTGTCACTGGATCACTTGAACGACCACGAAAAGACTGAGCCACAACAATCAACCCATTCTATGCATCTCATACAATAGTATTCATATCTCATGCTTGCCTTATTCCCTACATAATCTTCCTTTTATACATCACGCACTCACACACGCCCACCCTTTTCCTATTAACGTGTAATCTAGTACAATCATCCCATCCACTTGCATAAAGTTGCGGACTCCCAAAATTTAACATTACATCGAGGCGCGCATGGACCTCTTGTCACACTGTTGTCAATTGCTTGTTTCACCATGGAGCACAGACACCGTTTTCAATCAGCTACTTTTTCTCGATTCACTTATTGCGATTACTGCTCTGGCTTTATTTGGGGCTTGAAATCTCAAGGTTTACAGTGCACAGGTAGCAAATGACCTAGGGAGAGAGTTGAGATCTACATTGCCATGCTCATCAAGTTGCCATGTCGACGCCTTTTAGGGTGTGGATATACGTGTCACTATGGGTGCAAGAATAAGGCGATATCAACGAACCGAACAGCATGCAGCAACAGCAACAACAAAACACCAGCTGAACGTGCACTCTTGAATATCCAAAACGAGATACCTCATGATCGAATAAAGAAACGACGCGATAGCGAACATGATGATGATGATCGAGCAGATGCAAAACGAGAGATATCAACCGTGGATCTCATCAAGGATGTATTGATTGCTGCCTCTGCTGAAGCTGATGAGAAAGCAGCAAAGCGAATGCCTGTCAGTGAATATCTCGAGCATCAGCCGCCACTCAACCCACAAACCACTGCCAAGAATTTTTCACGCTTTATCGGGAGATGCGGACCCGTCTTTGCTTTACGAGATTCAATCATACTGCTCATCAGTTGGGAAAAGCCATTGGATACATGGATTGCGATATTGGTGTATTCCCTTGTATGTATGTATCCCAAGCTTCTCCTCGTTGTGCCTCAGCTGGCTATTTCCTTTCTTTTGAGACATGGTCCTGTCAAGGAGGAGAATGACGTATCCATGGAGACACAACCATCTGCTACTACCAGCAATCAACAACCAACAAAGAGCACCTCATTCAACATTCGTACACATTCACAAGAACCAACAACATCAGATAATCAACCAGACCTCGATACCAATATCAATGATACGGCTGGATCCAGTAGCAGTGGCGGTGGAGGAGGTGGTGGTGTATTTGCTAATGCACTCAATATGGGTATCCCGCTTTTGGCAATGTCTGGTAATACATCGCCCGAGTATCGCAAGAATCTACAAAACATTCAAAACACCATGGGCGAGTTTTCAGATGTGCATGACATGCTTCTACACTATGCACAACATTGGTCACGATCCGATACACCCATGGCTCAATTCAGACAACTTTTGGTGGTATCTTCTCTTGTCACTTTTATTTTGGTATCCATCATCCCTCTCAACTACGTATTTCTCTTTGCCGGTCTTGCAGTCTTTTTCGCCAACACACGCTTTGCCAAAGCATTGATGCATCTCATACAACAAGATCGACGCTTTTTCAAAAAGATTATATCACCACTGAACGCATTCCAACCACCAACTTCCGATTCAAATGAACCTAGTTCCATTACAACTCGCATAGTATCCATCTTTGAGAATCAACGATCCTATGATGGTGGCAACCATTTTGTATCAAAGGTATGTGACGAGACTATGTGCTTTATTAGGCATGATGATTGATTCAAACTAGCTGGAGCCTGGGGACAAGAGAAGTGCTTGGAGCAATTTGTCGGGATCGCTTTCGTTTCCTCCTCCTTGTAAGCTGCAACCTCCTCAAGGTTTCCAATGGCAACAAGATTCTGAATGGGTAGTGGATAAAGAGGGACCATGGCAAGAACCATATCTTGGAATAGGTAAATACATGATTCATAATTGGATGTTCGGGATAAAGCAATACTGATTGGTATTTATTTATAGAGGTCAATATTGTGGTAGTGGAAGCAACCATGGGTGGATTGTTACTAATACATTTGCATAGGTTGTGGTTCACCCAGGAGAAGAAGGCTGGATCTATACTGATCGATCATGGAAGAATCCTCAAAAAGCACCATCTCAGTCATCTTTATCCACACGCAGGCGCAGATGGATCCGGAAATGCATACCCAACACCATACAACCATCACCAGATAATCAATCCCATATTTGCAGTGATTTTGATGCCATGTTCTTGTAAACGCTGATAATAAAAGCTTTTGGCATGGGTTCCTCATGTATGTGTTTTTCATGTTCCTTCAACTATCTAGAATCTAGAACCTCATTATAAGACACAATCATCAAATTCCACCCACTCTTACCCCACCTCAGATCTAGCTTCGATTATACAACACGACCTCCCGTAAAATACCTCTATATCCTACGTGTTCTCAGCTGGATTTTGATCACAAATGTGTGCTTGCGCTTGTATATTCTTGATTGCCTTGCGTCTTGGTAAGATCGATTGTCGTTCAGGATCTGAGATACACAAGGTCATAGTATTCTTGGTTGCTGCCACCATAAGCATCATCATCCATTGCGGCAAACCGCCCCTCGCCAAATATATAAGCCCTCTTATCCATGCCATCCAATCCATCATCAACCCCAGCCGTATCCATGTAACATGACCCTTCCTTCTTGCTGAAGATGTGCCAAGTAACCAAAGCAACATTCCAAGACTCCCCATCACTGCACTTGATTGCATCCATCCATCATGGGTGTGCTTTCTTTTCCATCCGGCTATTGATCAATCGCTTTCTTGGTCATCATTTTCTATGGTAGCTCAACCAGGTGAAGATTGCTTGCATTGCGGCGTACTTGATGGCTGACATGGTTTCATCCAAACTAGACATCATGCTCTGAATGGGTCAAGGGAACTCAACGTGTTGCGTATACCCAATTCCTTCCATCCCATACACCAAACCAATATTCAGATCCATATCCATATGCATAAGAAGTTGTATGTATTGAACCAAGTTGCTACGCGTAAATAAAGCTGCTTCTACATACAATGGCTATCCGCTGTTCACGTAAACAAGGCTGTAAGGCAGGTTGCTGCAAATAAAGAACGCTGTTGATACAATGGAGTAAAGGCATTGCTAATGGCAATTGCTGGAACGAATGCTGTTACGATTGGTCGTGGTATAGGAGCGTGCAAGATCGTGTGTTGCGTCAAGAGACTCGTGTGTTGTAGAAGAGTGACAAGAAGGCTGTGTACACGCCATGGACTTGCCATTCAGTCAAAGACAATCGGATCAAGAGAGTTGTAAGATTGACATGATGGGTTGAAGTAGAACGAATTGGTTGGTTGTACTTGAATGGGGAAGCAGTTGAGAATGGGGAGGTTGTCAATGTAGGAGGGGAAGAAGCGAGTAGCGGAAGAGAATGGTCCTCATTACAACATTTACTGGATCTGGTTTTGTTAGCATCTGGAGCTTACTTGAATCCTTCTAGTCATAAACGTTCTAGTCAACTGTTTTATTAGAACCTAGTCTCTCCAACTATCTGAACCCTACATAATCATAAGACTTGAGTCATCCAAATTCAAGATTCCTCCCAGACCAATAATTGATACTTGATAATCTACATTTTCATGTAGCTTTTTATATACTTGAGCTGAGTGCTATGGAAAGTGGTCGAAGATTCTAGTTGAAGTATTTACTAGAGCTTAGTTACATCCAACTATGTAGAGCTCAAGTTACTCATAAGACTTGATCACCACCCATCCTCCGACCAATGATTGATCACCCATCCTTCAACTCTAAATTACACAACATTGACCTCCCATATCCATACATTGCTTTTACCATCGTAATCTACGTTTAATCCGCTGCATCATGGTGCAATTTTCATATCAATTGGACTACTTTTTTGGTTTTCGCAAAAGGAAGCTCTTGGATACTTCATGTAACATCCGAAACAAAGAAAACCAATCTAGTCACAATACTTACTAGAGCCTAGTTACATCCAACTATGTAGAGCTCAAGTTACTCAAAAGACTTAACCATCCACCCCTACCTCAAATGCTCCGACCAATGATTGATCTTTCATCCTTCAACTCTAAATTATACAACATTGGCCTCCCATATCCATACATTGCTTTTACCATCGTAATCTACGTTTAATCCGCTGCATCATGGTGCAATTTTCATCCCAATTGGACTACTTTTTTGGTTTTCGCAAAAGGAAGCTCTTGGATACTTCATGTAACATCCGAAACAAAGAAAACCAATCTAGTCACAATACTTACTAGAGCCTAGTTACATCCAACTATGTAGAGATCAAGTTACTCTTAAGACTTGATCACCACCCATCCTCCTACCAATGATTGATTATTCATCCTTCAACTCTAAATTACATAACATCGACCTCCCATAACCCCACATTGCTTTTACCATCATAATCTACGTTTAATCCGCTGCATCATGGTACAATTTTCATCCCAATTGGACTACCTTTTTGATTTTCACAAAAGGAAGCTCTTGGATACTTCATGTAACTTCCGAAACAAAGAAAACCAATCTAGTCACAATACTTACTAGAGCCTAGTTACATCCAACTATGTAGAGCTCAAGTTACTCATAAGACTTGATCACCACCCATCCTCCGACCAATGATTGATCTTTCATCCTTCAACTCTAAATTACACGACATTGGCCCCCCATAACCCCACATTGCTTTTACCATCGTAATCTACGTTTAATCCGCTGCATCATGGTACCATTTTCATCCCAATTGGACCACTTTTTTGATTTTCACAAAAGGAAGCTATTGGATACTTCATGTAACTTCCGAAACAAAGAAAACCAATCTAGTCACAATACTTACTAGAGCCTAGTTACATCCAACTATGTAGAGCTCAAGTTACTCATAAGACTTGATCACCACCCATCCTCCGACCAATAATTGATCATTCATCCTTCAACTCTAAATTGCACAACATTGACCTCCCATATCCATACATTGCTTTTACCATCATAATCTACGTTTAATCCGCTGTATCATGGTGCAATTTTCATCCCAATTGGACTACTTTTTTGTTTTTCGCAAAAGGAAGCTCTTGGATACTTCATGTAACTTCCGAAACAAAGAAAACCAAGGTTCCATAGCACAAATGGCAGTGCATCCGACTCCAGATCGGAAGGTTGGGCGTTCGAGTCGCTCTGGGGCCAACCCTTTTTATGCCCTGGAAAAGTTTTATTTATGGGTGGGCTAGGATTTGGGTCTTTTGGGATGTATTTTTTGGTGGTGTGAGGGTTGTTAAGAGGTTAGTAGAGAAAGGGATGTGGGATCACATAGCCACCAAGGGTAAGCCTTGAGAACCTTGAGAAAGCATCAATGCACAAGTGAGATTATCATTGTAGCAAATCGATGCCATACTATAGAACAGTGATCTGCAAACAAAAGTAAATACACACCAACCAATCTTAGATCATTTTGATTGATGAATAGGATGCAAGCCAACTCAAAAAAAAATAGATCGCATAGCTCATTATGATAAATGGGTGAAACCAATATCTCTCTCTCGGCAGGGTCATGTGCTCACTTGATCACCCGTTGTCCCTCTTAAACTCAGGAGGAGATCACAATTTTATTGCCAAGATACTTCAATGAGAACAGCATTCAATTGGATTCTATAGCTACTATTACGTTCCAGCCACATGTAACATTTGTACGCCACAAGGGGTTTCCCTAAAGTAACATCAAGAATCCCTTGTTATTGATGAAACAAAGAGACATAACAATGGAGCAAGTCAAAGGATAAGAGAGAGAGAGAGAGAGAAAGAGAGGGTGAGAAAAAAGATGGGGTTTAGTAAAAGGGTAAAGATTGGTAATGGATGAGACTAGTAGATATAGACAACAAGAGAGCGAATGAATGCTACGCATGACCATTGGACAACAAGGTTGTAGTAGTAGTAGATTGTTGGGAGGATGATGTAGTACTGTTGTTGATATGATTGGAAGTAATCGAGGGAGATGCAATAGAAATGGTGGTTGAAGAGGAGGCGGGGCTGTATGAAGAAGAAGGTTCCTTGTTGCTGGTATCCACGTCGTCCATTTCCATGTCAACAATAATATCATCGTCGTCGTCGGTAATGTGGATCGATTCATCATCACCAGCTTGATCATCGTCTTCGTCATCCTCATCGCTGCTAGAATGGCGATTTTTTTGTTGTTGTAATTGCAACTGCTGTTGTTGTTGCAACTTTTGTTGTTCTTGCTCGACTCGTTGAGTATCCAAGCTTACCAAAATGGCAGCTGCTTCCAGCATTTGGACTTGTTGATGCTTGGTAAGTAATAGCTTGCTTGTCAATTCCCATTCTTCCGAATGCTCCCATCGATGTTTGGCAAGGCAATTGTAATGTTTGTAGACCTTTCCACAATCTTCACAACGATGAAGGACCTTATTGCCAGCAGCCTTTTTCCCTAGACTTGCACTGGTAATGTTGTTGTTGTTGTTGTTGGTAGTAGTAGTAGTAGTACTTGAGGAGTGGTGGTGATGAGGATGAGATGTTGTTGTTGTAGTAGTAGTTGTAGTTGTTGTATATACAGGCAGAGATGTAGATGCGATATGATTGTTGGCATGGTTATTAAATCGGGCATTGTTTCGGATAGTGCGACCACCAGTGGCGGCTGCCGTGGCTGTGGGAGAACCCAGATAAAACATGGGTGACGGAGATCCAGAAGAGGACCGTGCTATCGATGAATGTTGCCGGCTTTCACTCACTCGCCGAGTAGTGGATGGATGTGGATTGGAGGATGTAATAGGAATAGGTGCAGATGAATGCTCAATAGTATAATTCTCTGGTAGCGACGTCGAATAGTGCTCCAAAGTCAATGCATTAAAATGGGTGGGCAAAGAGTCTCTACGTTCCTGTAGCGGTTCCTTGATAGTAACACCGCCTTGTCCCAGGTCATTGTGAACCGTGGTAGCCTCATCACCATAAGATGAGTTGGGAGGTGAAGGAAGACCGTCATTGCTGCTTGGTGCTAGGACCATGTTCTGATGGGTGGTAGTGGGGTGCTGCTGCTGCTGTTGCAACTTTTGTTGCTGTTCCTGCTGCTGTTGCTGTTGCTGACGGAGCTGAAACGTAAGGGAAGACGACATTCTAAAGCAAGAGGATGAGTGCCAATGTAAAAGAGTCAATGAGGAGTAGCAACCTTTTGATAAAAGAGTAAAAAGTGTGAGTGTCTGGTTATGAGTGTGTGTGTGTGTGGGTGTGTGAATGTGTGTGTAAAAAGGAGAACTGAGCTGGAGAATGGATGGGCACAGAGACAAAAGGCACCCATGTGCGGAGATAGCGTAATCAGCATCACTATGTAGAACAGCACAGAACAAAGGGAAAGGTGTACCTGGTCTCTTTTCAATAATGTTGTCGATACAAGAAGAAAAAAAGAAAGGGGAAAAGGGAAAACACACTTTTTTGGGTGCAAGGCAAAAAAAGTTATTGAAGCCACCACCACAACAGGGATTACTCTCACACAACACCACCACAACAACAACAACATAAACGCATGATCCTACTCCCCCCAATTCCTTTTCTCTCTAATTAGTCTCCCCCTCTTTGATCGGTGTTGTATCTATAAGAATCATAGTTATTTGCTTCCTTTGCGAGAATGGCTAAAAGGAGAGAGAGGTATATTGTATGTGCTTAGCCATACGTTGAACGTGGACGAATGGCACACACATGGCTATTTCACTCTCCCCCAACCATAATGTTGGGGGAGGGGAGGGGTGGAAATCTTGTACAAAGGGGGCTTTCCTTTCATTTTGCACAATTAGCCTTTCTTACAATATCATCAGCGGTGGCTACTAAATGATAGTACAATGTTCAACGACGTCGTTGTGCATGATAACCAATGACTTTTTATTTCAGGATATTGTTTACAAGACGATCCTTTTCAAACAAAACTAATATCATTAAACAACATTCGAGATCATAACATTGGTACAAGTTGTTGATAAGAAGCATCTTCCCCGATGGTCATGTCGTGTAATATTATGTACTAGTTAGGTTTCCCCAATGTCTATTTAGTTTTACACTCAACGTGGGAAATGAATCTACCAACGACACGTAGTCTAGTATACATGCACGGGCCTCTAATGCTTTGTGTGTGTGGGGGGTTGAGTGTCACCTGAATGTGAAAAAACCAAAGCAGTGTTGTCAACACATCCCATTTACGCGCCGCCTTCATAAACAACTACATACTACAGCCCTCGACTACTATGCTTGGACGATTCCCATTTAGTACATGCGCATACTTGCAACAGCATCACAAACTCACAGCATTACCCGCCAAGTACCTTATACCCATGTTCAGTAAGCTATCGCCATTCACAGCCACCCAATCGTCTTTCAATGTCAAAGCGCTATACCCTCCACGTTCTTTCCCTATCAAGCCAAACGACTTTCGAGTCACTGTGATTAGTGGCAAAAAGGCTGTATCCAAGCATGCCGTGTATCGAAGGCGGGCTAGTCGAAGGCTCAAATCAGCTGTCGAGGTCATATTCCCAGAACAAGCACCCAAGGGTAAGTCTTGAATACATTGGATGCAACACATTTATAAACACACGATGTATTAGGGATGGACTATATCTTTTATACGAATGCCAATATAGTCAATCTACCATGGAAAGACTTGTTGCAGCAAGTATCCAAAGCAGCTGGCACCATTCAACACAAGATCTCCAAACGCAAAAAGACATCATCATAGTACATAGAAGATCTATATTCATGCTTTTGTACAAATTCAAATCTAAACAATGGGGATATGATTCTACATGTATACGTATGTATGTTTGTGTGTGTTCTAATATTTGCAATGTCCAACCCATCGAGGTACAGGAACCACCTCACGCACATTTTCGAGACCCGTCAACCATAGCAAGAATCGTTCAAAGCCAATACCATATCCACCATGGGGAGCACTACCATACTTGCGTAAATCGAGATACCATTGATATTCCTCGATATCCATTCCAGCAGCTTCCATCTTGGCTTGTAAAAGTATATCACGATCTTCACGCATCGATCCACCCACCAATTCACCGATACCTGGCAACAGCAAATCAAAGCAAGCAACTGTTTTGCCATCGTAATTGGCTCGCATGTAAAATGGCTTTTGCTCGGTTGGATAATCCGTGACGAAAACAGGTGATTGGCAGTATTCAGATGCAAGGTATCTTTCATGTTCGGATTGTAAACTGGATCCCCACACCGTTGGAAACTCAAACTTCTTGTTGGCCTTTTGCAACACCTCGATAGCTTCGGTGTATGTCATACGTGCAAATGGTTGCTCAACACTCTTCGCCAAACGTTCGCTCAAGGTTGAATCCACAAACTTGTTGAAAAAGGCGATATCTTCAGAACAATGATCCATGACATGACGAGTAGCATATTGTACGCTGCCTTCGGTGACATCTAATAACTGATCCAGCTTGTCGATAAATGTCATTTCAGCTTCAAGCATCCAAAATTCAGCAAGATGACGTGATGTTACGGACTCCTCGGCTCGAAAAACAGGCCCAAAGGTGTATACACGTGATAAAGCAGATGCTAACATTTCAGCATGAAGTTGTCCAGACACTGTCAAAAACACGGGCTTGTTGAAGAACTCTTCGGATGGTTTGCCACTGGGCGTAGATGCTGGTGCCACTTTGAATACTTCGCCTCCACCTTCACAATCATGGGATGTCAAAATAGGTGTATGTACTTGAACAAATTCGTGTTCCTAATAAAATAATATCTATCAGTGAGCCTACCCAATGATGTATAAAAGAGTTATGGTCCTTACAGCAAAGAACTTTTGGAGACCTTCACCAGCAGCATGTCGTACTCGCAACACAGCGCCACCCGTATTGCCACGTGCTCGAAGATGGTTGATGCTACGAAGAAACTCAAGCGAATGACGCTTCTTTTGTAAAGGATAGCTCTGCATACATATACATACATTCTATTTAGCAATGATACCTCTATCAATGATGTTCAACAAGACTTACACTATCACATCCACCCAATACACGCACGCCAATAACTTGCAACTCTTTGCCTTGTTCCTTGCCAGGGCTGTCAACCATGGATCCTTGAAGCTCAACACAAGCACCAGTGCTTAGTCTACCAATAACAACCACACACGTAAGCATTACATACAAGTGACTAATATGGATATGCAATATCTAACCTTTCTGCTTGTTCAGGTGTGAGAATGGCCTGCATTCCTTTCAAGCTCGATCCATCGTTAATGTTGGCGAATGCGACTTGTTTTTGTTTTCTGACGGAACGGATCCAGGCTCTGACAGCGACATTGCCATTGTCTTGTGGTGTGTCGAGGATCGATCGAATCGTACGTGTGGGAAAGAGACATTGTTGACGCTGAGTGGAGTACAAGCGACGTGCTTGGTGTTGACAAAGGCGTAACAGCATGTTTCCAGTGGGCAGGTAAAGAAAGGGGGGCCTGTGTGTGCACCTTCGGCAAATCCATTTTTGTGACCCCGGTGTAACTTGAGTAGATCGAGGCACCCTTCACCAGAGAGTATCAAGCATGTTGCCGATGCTGTGGGTGGTATCATGGCAACATTAGGTTGACAGGTTTGATGGATGTACTAGAAATATAAACCAATAAAAATGAGGAATGATGCCGCTATGGAGGATAGATATTTGATGAATTGTTTGTTGGATGAGCTCCTTTTGCAGGAATGGGATGATGGAACCGGATTCGATATCCGGAGTCAAAATGGTGCCATGTCAAGCCAATCGTTTTTCGTTGACATAGAACTCTTGCTGATTGCGCCATTCTCTTGTTCCGACTTGTTTAAAAAGACACCCTTCAACCCCACAACCACCTTCCTCTTTAACATTAACAGCAACAACCACAACAACAACACCCCCATCACCACTCTCGTTTAAATGATCACTACAAAAACATCGGCCACTACTACTACTACCTCCACCACTATCACCACCACTGACAATCGTTCCTTTTGCTACCGTCATCGACCCGATCTTGCACCCGTGCGAACCGAAGCTACCAATGAAGAATACCTGCATAAGGTAAAGAAAAAGAGTGGATCATCTACACCAATGTTTGTCGTACATATCATCTGACATTTCTCTCTTTCGACATTAGGAGCTCTCTCATTTACCAACGACAATGCAACAACCTATCCTTGATGCATGGGCAACTTTCAGTGCAGCAACGGCTCAACAACGACGCATCATTCTGCAGGGCCTAGTTGCCACGTGCTGCACATCACAGCTATCATTTCTCGCATCCTCCATTGAACCATTACTTCGCATTGATATGACAGCCATTCTTCCACCTGAGATCATCGTCAAAATCTTTAGCTACTTGGATGCTCAATCGCTATGTGCAGCATGCCAAGTCAGCCGACGATGGAAAACGCTTGCCGATGATGACAGCTTATGGCATCGCATGTGTCAACAACACATCGACAAAAAGTGTGCCAAGTGTGGATGGGGATTGCCTTTATTACAAAAACGTCGTATTGTACGTCTTCGCAGTGCTCACAAACGACCCTTGGAAGACGATGATTCACAACAATCATCACCCGCTAAACGCGCCGATCGAAAGCCTTGGAAGCAGGTTTACAGCGAACGTTTGGTAGTAGAACGCAATTGGCGTAAACACCGATTTACGACACGCACCCTAAATGAAGGCGGTGATGGCGGAGTACTTTGTTTACAGTATTGCGATGCGCAAAACTTGTTGATCACGGGCTCAACAAATCGAACAGCTACCGTGTGGGATCTTGAAAGTGGTCAACCCCTACGCACCTTGAAAGGCCATGCACGTTGTGTACGCACCCTCCAATTTGACGATAACAAGCTTGTGACTGGATCCATGGATCATACGCTCAAGATTTGGAATTACCATACAGGCCAATGCATACGCACTCTTGAAGGACACACGGATGGCGTTGTCCATTTGCACTTTGATTCACGTATCCTTGCTAGTGGCTCCGTGGATGGATCTATCAAGATTTGGAATTTCCAAACAGGTCGTTGCTACACGCTCACGGGTCACACCGCCAAAGTCACTCATTTACAATTACATGGTCACCATCAACTCGTGTCAGCAAGCGTGGATGGTACCATTCGTCTTTGGGATCTCAATGCTCAATCTTGTATTCGTACCTTTGAAGGCCATCGTGCTGGTGTTCAAGTAGCCGTTGCAGGACTTTTGCCTCGTTCTTGTTTCCTTGATCATGATGCACCTGTCATTGTGTCAGGATCGGATGACAATACCATCAAGATTTGGTCTCTTGAATCAGGTCGTTGTTTACGCACTCTATTTGGCCATGCCCATGGTATCACCACGCTAGCCTACGACAAGCTCAGGCTTGTATCTGGTTCTCTTGATGGCAGTGTCAAGCTTTGGGATATCGAAAGTGGCTTGCCCATGTATACTCTTACTGAAGGTGCTCCTCAAGCTGCTGTTTCTTCCATTCGTCTCAGCGATTCAAAGGTCATTGCTGCTACAGAGCAAGGCAACATCCACATTTGGGACTTTGGTGCCTCTCAGCAACAGCATCAACAACAAAAAGTTACTGCATAAATTAACCTATCATCCCCTCCTCCTATTTGACTTGCATTATCTCCACAAACATACCCCGGCTCTTGTTTCTTTTTACCTCGACTCGATCCCTTTCCCATTATTACAACACTAGAGCATCCTCAGACTTAATCCCAATCATTTGTAAATACAGCATTCCTTTTTGCCTTTCAATTACTATCACCAAAATCGCACATGCATTGCTTGGCATTGTTTGTGCGACATGAATTAAACCTTCTTCATGCATAAAAACCTTGTCACATCATTCAAAAAATATATGCATTAACAATGATAAAAAAACACTCATCGCAGAGGGAAAAAGAAAAGCTAAGAAACAAGGATAGAGAAGGGTGGAGGGGGGGATAAAGCGGGGCTTGTTGAAGAAAAGGAACAAGAAGGCGGATACGGAGGACGATGGAATGAGGGATATTGCATGTGAGTGCACATGCATCACGTATGGTGGTACAACGTAAATAATGAATAGGAGATGGATTGTGTGTTTACTCTTGACCAAATCCAAGGGTTTCTTCAACGGCCATCGAGAGCTTCGCCACCAATGCATCATATGATTTGTATGGAGGCATGTCAATACGATTGAAACTAAAAAAAAGATACGTGAGTGAGTGCGTGTGGAAAGCTATATTTAACATCGTCGTCCCATCCACTTACCATGTATGTGCTTTGGGCAATTGTGTCACCTCTCCCGCCTTTTCAATAGTGAAACGTCTTGGGCCATCACTACCCTGCAAATCCTTGAATCCATTGACAGGAATACGCGACGTGCCAGTAGTGAATTGTAGCAATCGAGATTTCTTTTCGCTATCCCATGATCGTACACACTAGACAACTAAGATGAGTATTTCATCTTTTGATACACCCATCTCTTAAATCATTACCTTCCAGAACCATTGAATCACATCATCTTGTTCAGTGTATCCACGATAATCGGTATGCTTCTTCCAGTCATCCACATCGATCTCGGCAATACCACCAATGAGTAATTCGAGCTCACGTTCATCAAACACGTTCACCAAATCTTGAGGAATCAATTGGTTGAAACCTTCTTTGAAAGCTTTGAATTGCTCCTCAACGCGCTTAGAGATACGCCATTCAGTGACAAGGCTAAAAAGCACACCCATAGTCAATATCATCCACACGCTGCTGCTGCATGGCAATAACCAAATGACTCACCCAACGTATTCCTTTTTGTTCTCCTCGGTCACTTCAATATCGCGTCCTCCTGGTTTGAGATCCACCGTAACCACCTCACCGAATCGATCATCATCAGTCGAGAACGTCAGCTCCAAAATATCAGTGATATCGTTGTCCCTTAACAGCGTCGTGTTAATACTTTGACAATAAGCATCATGAGTTGTACTTACAAGATCCATTGCAAACTGCGATAGAATTCGGCATCCACACTTTCCATATCAGCAACGGTCACCTTCTTGTTAAGAATCATCTTGTAGAACGACACGATAAAGAAAGCATCAAGGAATCGGCGGTGGAAAATGGCAAGACCCACAACACGACCAATGAACCTAAAGTAGTTCAAGTGCTCGGGATTGATACCAGAATGAGGATTGATTTGCAGCGTGTAGTTGTCGTGAGCCGAATATTCGAACAAGCTAAGTAACATTGTTTGCATAAATACCCATCATGTTAAAACACTCGCTAACCAACACACGTACCAGTAGAAAGGATTGAACATTTCGTGAGAGAGCAAAAAGAAAAACTCTCTATAGAAAGAATCATGAGCCATCACCTATCAACCATGCCTTGGGGTATATAAATTTACCTTGACAAACCACCATAATCCAAACCATCCTCGCCATCAAACTTGATCATGAGACGTTTGCGTAAATCGGCAGGTGCTTGGCGCATAATCTCTGCATAGGCGTCTTCAAAAATGTGTTCACGACGCACTTTGATATGACATTGGCCTGGTACCGGTCGTAGAGCAGGTTGTGATCGGAAGTAGATAAGTTTGCGGCGGAAATCACGCTTGTATTGTGGCACATTTTGGTCCAAACTGCTCGGTAGTCTCGGGTCTATTGCATCAATCCATGAATAAGGAGCATTCATATACACCCTATTTTTCAACAACGTACCATCCCACGTGGTTGTCTTGGTATTGTGATCGACAAAGTACACACGTCCTGTGCTGGTAAGACGCATTTCCCATCCTGATGGTAGTGGCCCAAGTTGTGATACAGGCTGTACTTGAACTTGCAAATTCGATCCAGGACCAATAGTGCTGATATACTGTTGTCGTCGAGGATCCACCCACGTCGTCGTTCGGGTATTATGGTCCACAAAATAGGGTCGACCTTCAGGTGTACTTCGCATTTCTAAATACATGAATAAGCATACATTCATCATTTCTTCTCCATAAGAACATTACCCCATCCTGGTGGAAGTGGTCCTGATCCTGCAGTTGTCATGTTTTGTTGCATCGATAATACATTATTGGATGACCCTTGTTGCTGCGTGCCAGTAATTGATCCAGCAGTAGATAAGCGGTTCTGAGAAGTATCACCACCACCGCCACCGCCACCACCACTTGATCCACCACTTGTGCTGGTTGTGGCTGTTGGTTGACGTTCTTCGGGTAGGCCACGAGCATTGTGTCGTTGTCTTTCAAGCTCGGTCACTTGTTGTTGTTCCTGTGCGCTTTGTGCTCTACAATGGATAGTGTTCATATTAGTTGCATTGGCATAAACATGGTATCGTGATACATACGAAGGACGTTTCCACGTGGTTGTTCGTGTATTGTGATCCACGTAGTAAGGTCGACCCAAATGATCCACTCGTCTCTCCCAACTAAGAACCATAAATCAATATTGATGTTGATGGCGTGAAGAAAGAATTAATTACCCTGGTGGTAAATCGTTTCGTTCATCGTGGGTATTGTTACGAGCAGATGAAGATGTTGCGGTTGTCGAAGTTGGATTTGTTGTTGTAGTAACGGCTGCTGGTGGTACTGAAGGTGATGTAGCAGAAGATGAGACACGTTGATCATTGGAGGTTGCTTGAGAGAGGGATGATGTCGATGTATTGGGTTGAGGACTGCTAGTGCTTGCAGCAGTGTGTGTGCCTGGGACAAGGGTATTGGTGCCATTACGAATAGGAGCATTGACATTGGTAGAAATGTTGAGAATAAGTTTGCCGTGCACGGTCTCATTTGCATTAGATTTCTTCAAGTCGAGAGTCATCATTTCTAAAAGGGGGAAAAGAGAGGAGCGGGGGATGAGCGGACGATGATTAGGCATGGGTCTATTCATGCAATAGAACATTTCTCTTGCACTTACCATCGCCACCAATATCCAAATCAAAGACATTGCCCACTTGCACGTTAATCACTCCAAGAAATCCTTGATCCTTCTTTTTGAACTTTTTCTGATCAAACACTTGCACTGCAATCACACTTTGATTCGTAACTTGGCTACACAACAATAGAGATCCAACTCATCGTCAGCAGATCATCCCCCACACACAACAACATCTTCCCCTCCCCTTACAGGTCAAAGCTTTCGTTCCAATATGGATTGAGCGTCTTTTTCATAACCGTAGTCGTATGCGTTTGCTCCCCGTCCACAGTGACAACGGCTAATAGATAGATACGCACACACATACATAGGGTTAACTTGTATTCATTTTCATAGTATGCTCACTAGACAAATATACCATACCAAATGGGTCAGGCAATTTGAAAAAGAGATCCTTTTTGATGAGCCCATCTGCAGCAATAACCGTAAGACGGACCGTTCTCGTTTGTGCCGAATTCGACATTGCTCAATAATGCACAAGCTGCAAAGTGGAGAGATGCTCAAAAGGCAGGTAGCCGTCAAAAGTGATTCAATAAGAGAGCGGAAGAGAGTTGTTGATAGTGTGAATGTGTGTGTCCCGTGTGCCGATTCAATGAATAGAGGTCTTTGCACAAGGTTGAAAGAGAGAGAGAGTGAGTGAGAGTAAGAGAGAGAGAAAGAAAGATAAAAGGCTAGAAATAGAAGGGATTGTGGTGGTGTGATGACCATTGAAAAAAGTCCGCCATCTTAACTCGGCACTCGTTCCCCTGCACTCCTCACTCATCGCCAACGATTTTTAAAGCTTTCTATTTTCCAACTCTCAAGGCTTATTAGCAATGGGTGCATTATCATCACCAACAATCCTTCTTTTATGGTCAAATACTCGATACTCACAAATGCATGATCGTACTAGTAGAAAGTGGTAGAGCAACGCATCGCTCTTACAGCCATTCAGGTTGTACATAGCGCTTAATGTTCAGCATACAAGAATAGAACCCATCTATGGACCTGATAAGCAAAAAAACATGATATACAACCTGTAGTAGTACATCAAGTTGGAATGTGGCAATAAATGATATACTTTGGAACATAAATGATCCATCCGTCATGCACACGTTGGTCCCACCAGCACGTGAGGATAAGCCGCGATCTTCCATGTGCCATGTATCGTACACTACAATTCGTGGTGTTCGTTTTATGCTGGTAATGCAATCTTTTGTCTGCATAATTCCTATCGTTACACAGCTTCTCTTTCCATCCGGAAAGTACGTGGAAGGTTTTCATTCATATCGAGCTTTACCATTGTAATCGAGGACTATGAAAGTATCCTACTAATTACGTCGCACTATTCGAGTGTGCGATGTTATCAGCCAATTGGTATCGGCAGGTGGTTCGTTCATCATCGAGAAATGCTATTCTCTTCTATCGGGTGAATGAAAGAATCAAAAGGTTTTGAGTGCTATTGATTGCATCTTAGCATTGTTTATCCTATAAAATATCCCGTTATCAAAGTTTGCCAAGCTTTTTCAAGACCACCGAATGCGTAATTCAAAGACATGATGCCGTATTCAAAAGCGTTCAAGGACAGCTCATGGTTACACAAGATGCATGCTTCTTCCTTCAACGAGCTTTTATAGCTTTTGAATTCAATTGAAGGATCTCCAAAAAAGTTTGAGCCCCGTCAAAAGTCAATTGAGCGACTTTTATAGTAGTGATTACAAGCTATTCGCTCTATGCTCGGATGCGAAGGTATCAATGATAGCTGAATAAGCATTCATCATATAGCTAACACCAGCATTTGAGAAAAGAGAAGGTCTACTTTTAAGCATGTCCATTGACCTGAATAGAGTACATGATACGCTCAAGCAAGTTGCCATTGATATCGGTTGCTATGGATTCATGGATGGCAACCAAGCGTTGTCAGAGCAACTACTATGTAGTATGATGTCATTGATGATATTGAAGCATTGGTCAGAACGATCCATGCCAGCCATTTCAGACTCCACTGAAAGAGTCATTTTCCTGCAAGCGCATTGGGCATTGTTCTTGATCTTCTTTTCTAGCTGCGTACACCCACAAATGTCCAACGCACAGTTTTATGAGCTTTATCGTCGCAGCAGGTTGATTTTTATGCATACGATTTAGCCAGTGTTACTAACGACTCACTCAATGGGAAGAACAGCATTGGCATGGCTCTAACCGATTCACTCGATGAGCTCATTCAGAGTGGCCATATCAATCCTCAACTTGCCATGCGGGTGCTTACGACCTTTGACAAGAGTATTTCAGAAGCGCTTTCACAGCTTGTGAGAAACAAGGCTACTATCAAGGTAACCACATCACATTCTACAACCCCATAGTATATTCACATGGCTTGGGTATTTCAGGGCCATTTACACACGTATCGATTTTGCGATGATATTTGGACCTTTATTGTGGAGAATCCCAACTTTAAGTTTGAACAAGAGTCTGTAACAGCTGATAAGATCAAGATTGTTGCTTGCAATGCCAAACGCCCAGGAGAACAATAGCCCTCAATGAATCATAGATCAATCCTCCCTCATCACTTGCTTTATGTGTTTGTGTATATATATATAATTTGAATATAGTAGCTAATCTTCGTCCTCTGATGACGAATCGTCGTATGATGCGAGCATGGATAATCCAGTGGCAGGTTTGCCGTTGCCATTTGATTTTGGTGGTGGTGATGGTGATGGTGTGTTGTTATTATTCGTTTTGCGTTTGACGGCGATGCCAAGTTGCTGTTGTTGTTCTGCTTTGCGTTTAACAGCTGCGACCAATGATGGTTGTGATGGTTTGTTGTTGGGAGTGGTGGTGGTTGCCATGGCAGCCTTTTTGGATGCAACGAGAGAAAAGACATCGGGTTCATCACCTTCGGCCAATTTGCGTACGCATTCACCATCAGCTGATTGGAAAACCTCACTCGCTTCCTTTTCATCCTCCAATTCCTCTTGCTTTAACCGAGATTCCAGTGCTTCCTTGTCGATATAGCTGAATCGTTGTAATACATCATCGACATCCACTCGTTGACTTCGTGCATTGCGTAATCGAATCTCATCCAATGCATCCAAAATCTCCATTTCCCTCTTGGAGTCAAGTGTACGATTCTCCAAAGCTGCCATAGGATCTTCGGCCTCTTCCTCTTCTTCTTCCTCATCACCATCCGCGTCTCGCCATGGTTCAAAGTTACGACTTGCACCATGCTCTGCAACGTAATCGGTGTTCTTTGGATCCGTTTTGAAGGTGATTTCAGCCGAGCATCGGGGACACCTGATAATAGACTCATGTCAGTCATGAATGAATGAAGGAAACTATGCTTGTAACCTACCGAATATAGAATCGAAAGATCTTGATACTTAGATACTGTTCACCTTCAACCGTTTCTTTTCGTGCATTGAACTTTTTGCCTTTATGAATGTATTCGCCACAGGATTCACATCGCATTGAAAAGGGCGCCATCAAACGCACCTTGTGTTGCAGATCTTTGGGACGTTTTCTATTGGGAATTGATTAGTACGGGAGCTGTGACCATGCTAAGCCTGCCATCTACTTACTGTCTTGGGATCTTTGAGGGATCGAAGTTGGGAGGGAAGTACTTGTTGAGCACCTTTCGTTCTGACATTGTGAATGAGCAATAAAGACGAGTAGAGGAGTAAGAGAAAAATGCAAGTTGGATTCAAGCAATTCCACTGCTGTGATGGAAAATTATTGTTGCGCTGCTGCGGCATATCAATGTCCCTGACTTGGCTAGCAACACTCGAGGCCATAGACTTTTGTATTGTGCATGTATAGTAAGAGCTGGTTGACTAGTGATTCTTGGGTAAAGTTGCTGGGGTGCAATGGTATTTACTTTGCTCCGTGAAGATATTACATAATGTTGTGGATGAGCATACGGGTGGTGATGATGATGATGATGGCGTGTATACTACAATTGACTAAATACGGGGACCACAAAGTTCAACCATTGGATGAGTGGATGACCGAGTAAATACAAGGATAGGCAAACCTTGATCCCAATCAAGTGAAAACTATGCAATGCCATCACCATCTATTCTTGGTAAAGCACCATTTATGGAAGTTTCCCCTTGATCGTAATGGTTTTCGAGAATGCTTATGTACCCAATATGCACCTCTCAAACAACGTCATCTGATCTAATGAGACTTTTGGTGGATTATCAACAGCATTACACATCACATAAAACCTTCAAGGAATACAAAACAGTGGTTATCAAGCTAATTATTATGACGGTGATGATGAGGAGTATAAGAAGGCGGAAGCATGTCGGCTAAGATGAGGAGGGAGATGTATTATAAGGAAGGTGTGTGTGTGTGTGAAGAGGGAATACGGGTTTTTAAGACCATCTATTACTACTAGTGCTACCTCGGCGTATGGTATCGGCGACATCTATGGAACGTCTGGTATAATAGTGATCGTGGTTACTGTTGGATGATGTAGTAGCTTTGAGAGATGGGTGTACTATTGTCGTCGTTGTAGGAGCAGCCCCTGCTGATTTTGGATCGAGAAAAGTAGTCGTAGAAGGAATCATCCAAGATTGTGGTCGTTTCTTCTTGTCGACAGGTGGTGTTACTGCATCAGTGGCTATGGTCCTTGAGGATTGGGTGTCAAAGTAATGATACATTTTCTTGCTTTGTGTACTTGTTAATTCGGAAGATGACATTGTAGGCTGACCATAAAATGGGCGTGAAGGCGTTGAGCATCGTCCTACAGGCATTGGAGGTACAGCAGGTGCCACAATAGAAGGAGTACTCGGTGGTGGTAATGGTTGGGTACTGTAATGTTGTGATGAAGGCGTATAATACGAAGGATGCGGCTGTGGATAAACAATGCTGCGTTGATTGTTGATAAGATCTAATGGTGCACGCTTGTCGAGAATGGATGATGCCGAAGGTGACCTTACACGATTATATTGTTGCTGTTGTTGTTGCTGCTGCCTTGGATCGTCATTCACACTTACACGTCGTAAGGATCGTTGTAAATCTGCCAAGCTCATATCATCGTCATCATTGTTATCATCATCCATTCCTCTTGTGTTGAGTGGCTGTGTCGTTGTTGATGATTGCCACATGAGTGCTGGGCTACTGCTACGCTTTGCATAATTGATGTGTTGTTGCAATGCACGCGGGTTATCTGTTCTTGCTAATGTTTGCAATGGCGAATGTCCATGAATTTGCTCGTCAGCGATTAATGAAGCACGATGCGAAAGTTGATTTTGTCGTTCATTGATAGCATGCTGTTGTTGTTGTTGCTCTTCTTCCTCCACCAATTGTACATTTCGACCACGAATCGAAGTATGGTATCGGACAGCTGCTCGGTAATCGGCATCGGCGTTCACTGACTCTTCCTTTTCTAGTACAGTGTTTGCATCTTGGAAATAGTCCATGTCTGGTCCCACTATAATATACATTAGATTCAAGCATGTATGCGTATGTAGATGCCTCCTTACCAATTACAATCTCCTCTGCTTTGTTGCTTGTGATCCAATTCTTCACTTCATCAGACCGCTTCTTTTTCAAGGAGGAGCTTGGTCGATCTTCCAATGGCAGTTCCTGCGGCATAATTGCGGCCGATGATGCGTTGGCTGGTGCAATGCTGTTGGATTTAATGGTACCACCACCATCAGTAGGATGTCCACCACTGCCACTTGCATTACCACCACCACCTCCTCCACCAGCAACACGTTTCATGCTAGCTGTGATGGAACGAATGGATCGTTTCGATGCTTTTCTCCGAGGTGACACAATGGATCGCCGTGGTGCTGTAGCTGCAGCTGCAGGTGGTCTTCCACGATGGCTAATACTGGTTAATCCGCTGATTGAGCTAATTTGATCATCATCAGGGATAGGTTCAATGGGTGGTGGTGATACGGCTTTTTGATCATAAGCTGCAAGCTCAGCAAGCGATTCACGCCATTGATCGATCCAATGTACTTTTTCCATGGATAACATGGGTGCCTTGTAACGTGCATCATATTGAGTGGATGGTTGTTGCTGTTGTTGATGATGGGGCTGTGTAAATGATGGGGCTCCCACAGGTGCTGGTGGTGGTGATGATGTCGTTGGGGCAATCGTATTATCATGAATATGGGGCGGTGGTGGTGGCGGTGGCGGGACAAGGTTACGTGCAGTGATTGTGTTATCAAATGGACGTGCTGTTGCAAATGTCGGCTGCTGTTGTTGTTGTTGTTGTTGTTCCCATGATGATGGTGGATGCATAAACATAGCGTTGGCATGAGGTGGATAAGATGATGTGGGTGGTGGTTGCATGACAACGAGTGGTTGCTGTTGTTGTTGCTGTTGTTTTTGCATTTGGTCGCGAATGGTTTGAACAAATCTCCACATCTTTGTGAGAACAAAGAGCCAACGTTCCAAATCCTTGTATTTTTGTGCTTTCATGACATGGCATTGTCCATCGTAGGTGCGTATACAAAAGCATTTTGACTTTGATGAGTTTGAGCTAAAAGGAGATCGTTTCTTGGATCCTTTCAAAACCGAAATAGCGGAAATGTTGGCAATGTCCACGGTCCATTTTGGTAATTGATAATAGCTGGCTAGCATGGGCTCATTGATATTGTTGGATGGTGTTGTGGCAAGAGCTGGTAAATCTGGCATACTTGCACTTGTCATGGAAACGAGGCGCAATGTCTTATCCTTTGGTGTTGCAAGTAATGGCGATGTGTGGGATGTGTGAAAAGAAGTGGAGTGATTCATATTGTGTTGCTGGTGATGATGATGATGATGCTGATTCAGTTGATGTGATGACAATGACTGAACGAGTGTATTCTCATTGGGAGTAGGATCAACAGGTGTATCAGGTGGTAACTTGATTTTTCGTGTCGAGAGACAAGTGAAGGATGTGCCATCGAAACGAAATAGTCGCCACTGCCATCGGCCGCTCTTTTCTGGATGTTGTAGATACAAGTGACCTTCGAATATAGGGGCTGTTGCAGGCACTTCTTGAGTACCTTTTACAGGCGTAGTCCTCATTGACCCTTGGTCATTGTTATTGTCATCGCGTGGTTGATGATGAGGCATGGAATGAGGTGTCACAGCAGCAGAATAAAAGTTTTGTGAGTTGAGTGAGAGAGAAGATAGGAAAGTGAACAAGAGAGGGAAAGGAAAAAAGAAGCGCACAAAAAAAGAAGGGAGCACTACCCGACTTGAACACACACAAGCAAGCACATCCAGCAACAACTTGCCTTACCTGGTATCCATCACCCCCACTCTTTTGCTCCTTGTCCTTGGTTTATTCTCTTTGTGTATGTGCCTTTCTTTGCGTGAGTGGGTGTGCCTCTCCTTTCCCCCTACTTCACTATTGCGACTTTGTATAAAGAACCCGCCACAAGTGATGAAAAAGTACATATCATCTTTTTCAATTATGCATGCAGTAAATCAAATGAAGGGCTTATCCAACATGCCATGCAATTGAGGCGCGTGCAAAGCATTGGCTGTGTATTTTTGTTGTGTGCGTGTGTCACCAGAGACATTCCAATTGTGAGAATACCCAACCACATGGTCTCTTGCTGAATCATGGACGTGTCTACATGCAGTTACCACTTGTCGCCGATTCAATCCCGGAGAACTTGCATCGCCTTTTAACGACGCCATATGCATTAGCTACACAGACACCGTCATCATTCTAAGGAGAACATCACTTGTTTTCAAGTCGCTCTCTCTTTATAAATAACACAATGCTGCATACTCAATGAGCGCCCTTCCTCATGTCGATCATCGCGCCAGATCTGCAATCTCTCTCTTTCTTTTGTATACGCATAATAATCGTTCCATCTTTATGTAACCTACCACGACGACTTGCCCTTTTCGGTCATGCGCAGATGATTCTTTCGATACGCATAACATGATCCACACATATAATAAACAAGAACTGATCCTCCTTTCCCACCTCCTTTTATCCAGGGCAACAAGTCAATACAACTCTCTCTCTTCTTCCCTTCCCTCCCCTCCTCCTTTTGAAACCCTATATACAATGTCTCCATCGGTAAACGGATAGAAGAAGGGTCTTTATATATACCTATAAATATCTATATGTCTTTTTATTGCAGTCTACATACATTGGATGCCATGTTGGACCATGCTCCCATAATACTTTGAGTGATGAATTCAGTCTTTTCCTCTTCTGAAGAATGAGCTCGAATTTGTTGTAACCAGGTACAATTGAATCGACGATGTTCGTTCCTTGCCTCGCAACGTACAACGGAATTGTATATCTCTCGGATTTGTCGTTGACCGTAGCTGCTCATGCGCACATCTTTGGTGGTTGCGAAAATGACGTTGGGAACAAATGATTTGGGGGACAACTTGTATAATCGTGTAATCTCAGCCACGAAACCCTCTAATGCCAAGCATTTGGTTCAAGAACGATCAGTCCACGTGTCACATTACCACCTTTATCCTATACCTTCGGGATCAAGCACCGCTTCAATGGCATCGTCCAATTCATCTCGAACCTCATCATCCACATGAGTGAATACAAGAACAACAAAGTTCCAAAAGTCCTTGCCAAGAAGTTGTTGGAATAGGCTGAGCATGTCTTGTGTGTAAGCATCCAAACTAAAATAGATTTCATTCATGCAATCATATAATTAGTAAAATGCAGCTGTCATTGTGTAGCATCCACCACCATTGTTCTCTTCTTTGCAACACATGACACAAAGAAAACTTACCGAATATCCTTAATGTCGAATACTAATAGAAATGCACTCACACCATAAGCAAGGCTCTTAAAGTAACGCACCATTTCTTGAACGTTTTGTCGATCACGAGCAGATGAAGCACATAGACCAGGTGTATCAACCAGATGGACATACTTGGTGGTGGGGATGTATTTCCATGATCGCACAACACTAGCAATAGTGGTGGTGGTGGCCTATATGGGAAAACGGCAAAAGGTTGGTATGACACGTTTATGCTATGGACTCCTTCGGGGATGACTTCTTACAAATGTTTCGCCTGTTTCAAATACACGCTCGCCGCACATGGTGTTCAATAGACTGGATTTACCCGTTCCGAGAGCTCCAATCGCGCTGACAACATGAGTTTGTGGATCATTCAAGTGCTCGTTGAGATTGGTCTCGTTCAAAATGGCGTTGGATACTGTCATGCCGGTACGTATAGGATCGAATGAAGACTTCAAGGAATAAGCGTATACAAGGGAAGACGAGGCTGATCAGAGTATGTAGATGCGATGGAAAAGGGGAGAAGGAAAACACAGTTCGTGACGCCTGCTGCAGCCAAGATATGTGTGTAAGTATACATGAGGAAAGCGTAGTAGTACAAGGTGTAACAGTGTATACAGCAGGACAAAGGATCATGCATGAGACAATGGCCGAGAGAGAGAGAGAGAGAACCCTGCCCATCCCCTCCAAGTTCATGGGTCTGACCCACAATCTGGAGCCTAGTTGTAAGTGATGAGTGCCCCAATTTCCCTTTTTTACCCTTTTAACAAACAACCTTTGCTTATTCTTAAGATACCAACAAACACATTGCCCAATGAAGTTCGCACATACGCTAATCCTGAATGCGGTTCCGGATTGGATTGATCAATATGTGGAGTAAGTTTAATTACTCTTTCCATGGTTACACGCACCTGTCATTCATACAAAGCTTATTTTACCTAGTTACGACCGGTTGAAGAAGCTCGTATATCAAATTGAACGGCTTAATGTACAACAAGTGTTGGCAAGACGACCGAGTCTAGCACGTACAGCTGAAGAAGGCAGCCTTGAAAAGCATGATCAGGAAGCTCTGGTAGCTGCTGAAGCCGCGGCTTCTGCTTCACGAGGCGAGCCGTTAGCAGACTATGTACCCAATGACGACGACAAAAAGTTTATTCAAGAGTGCGATCAACAACTGGATAAGGTGTGCAAGTTCTTTGCCCAGAAAGAAGCCGAAGTATTGGATGAAGCTGCCACATTACGCAAGCAATTCGATAGCTTTGGAATACCACTTCAAGATGAGACCCTAGCCAATGCACTAAGGCATGATGAGCCTGGACCAGAATGCAAGCTTGAGAGATTGGATACATTACTTGCAGGAAGAGAAGACTTGACACCACCACACACCACAACAACACAACCAACTACAACTTGCAGCACCACCGCACATTCCACCAATACCACTGAATCCGAAGACCAGCAACTCAACTTACGACGCCATAATACGATTAGTGGTGGTTTACTCAGTCGTTCATCCACTGTGGGATCAACATCACCACCGACGCATCCTATCACACGTTCACAAACGGTTTCCGTTGATGGTCGTACTTCACGCTTTTATCCAAATGCTGCTGCCAACGACGAGTTGACTCGTTCACCATGGGATTGGATGGAATCAGCACCTTTACGCAACTTTCGCTTTTTACAACGACGAGATTCAGTACGCACACTCGATGAAATCGCCAATGTGGATGAATTTAATCGATATTACAACTTTCGAGCTCGATGCACAGACGTCTATATCCTGCTATCAGAGATCAAGTCCTATGTTCAACTTAATCATGAGGCCTTTCGCAAGATCCTCAAGAAATGGGATAAGATCACAGGTGCTCGGCTACAAACGACTTATTGCAAAAACGTCATCGATGTTGCACATCCATTTCAGCAAGGTCGGCTGGATGAGATTGAAATGGCCATGAAGCTTATCCAGAAAATGTATGCTGCCGTCTTTACGAATAATGATGAAACGAGGGCTGTCAGCGAACTCAAGTTGCACATGCGTGAAAAGATCCACTTTGAGCGTAACACTGTATGGAAGGATATGGTATCCAAGGAACGTGAGACATTTGATGCACGTGCAGTGGAAGAGCAACCAGGATATCAGTTGCCATGGATCAACTTTTTCATCAGCAAAAACACCATTCATTGCATCGTCACTTTGGCCGTAAGCTTGGCGTTCTTTATTCCCCTGCTTTGCATTGATACACTTGGTCATGAAGCAGCAAGCAAATGTCTGGCGCTATTGGTCTTTGTAGCATTGTTATGGGCGTTTGAGGTATGTATTAGGATTATAAAGATGTGAAAGGATTATACCTAATACATCATGATCAATAGACCCTTCCATTGTTTGCCACCGCCTACTTGATCCCATTGTTGGTTGTTCCCATGGATATTGTTCGGGATAATGGGCACTCTGTAAATGCAGCGGATGCATCCAAGGCTGTGTTTTCAAGCATGTTCAATGGTACAATCTTGGTGCTCTTGGGAGGTTTTGCAATAGCAGCAGCACTTAGCAAACATGGGATTACCAAGGCATTTGCAGCTGTCGTATTGAGCAAAGCAGGTACTCGGCCTCAATACGTCATCTTGGTCAACATGTACTTGGCAGCTTTTCTTTGCATGTGGATTAGCAATGTAGCTACGCCTGTTCTTTGTTTTTCGCTTGTACAGGTAAAATACATGATGGTATTTGGAGGAGATTGTATACTAATGCTATGGATTATAGCCTATTCTACGCACGTTGCCACCGCATTCTTCAGTGGGCCCATGTCTTATCCTTGGCATTGCTCTTGCAAGTTGCATAGGTGGTCTCTCTTCACCCATTTCATCACCACAAAATATCATTGCTATCCAAATGCTTAATCCAAATCCAGGATGGGGTATCTGGTTTGCTGCCGCTCTTCCTCTCACCATCATTTGCATATTGACAACTTGGGGCATGCTACTTCTTTACTTTCGACCTGGCAAAACAACACCACGGATCAATGCTGTCAAATCAACTGGATACGGATGGCCTAGCTATTCACAAATTTGGGTCTCGGTTGTATGTCTGGCAACAATTGGCCTATGGTGCAGCGAGACAGCTGATCAAGAATTCTGGGGTGACAATGGCACTATTGCGATTATCCCTTTTGTGTTGCTGTTTGGAACAAGGATGCTCAATAAGACTGATCTCAATAACTTTTTGTGGAGTGTGGTCACGTTGGGTAAGTTTGGGCAAGGCGATCCTTGTAATCATGCTAACAAGGATGATACATAGCACAAGGAGGCATGGCTCTAGGATTTGCGGTTGATAGCTCGGGCCTACTTGATATTATCGGTCATCGTATCGCCAATGGCATAGAAGATTTGCCTGTGATTGCTATCTTGTTCATTTTCGGCATCCTGGTTCTCGTATTCGCCACTTTTGTTAGCCACACAGTTTCAGCATTGATCATTCTTCCTATCGTCAAGCAAGTTGGTGAGCAACTATCACCTCCACAACCCAACTTGCTAGTAATGGTAAGTCTATCTTTTTGCTAGGCAACAGCAACAGAGGGATTAAAACCTTGATGATGTATAGGTCACTGCACTGACAGCTTCGGTCGCAATGGGTTTGCCAGTATCAGGGTATGTATACTGCTATCCTATTATGTTGTGTGCTGTGATATTGATGTTTCGTTTATAGATTCCCCAACATGAATGCGATTATGCAAGAAGATGGTACCGGGAAGACATATTTGAAGATGAAAGACTTTATTTGCTGTGGCATTCCAGCATCCATCATAGCCGGTGTTATTACCATTTTACTAGGCTACGGCATTATTAGTGGCATTGGATACTAAGATAGATAGAAAATATATGCATACTATTTATTCTACCTCATTGACACACGTTTACAGACTAAGATTCATAAACTTTCTCTTTGAGAAGCACATCCACCATTTGCTTGGTTTGCCATCCACAAAGATTTGTTCGACCAAACGAGCCACCAACTCTTGACGTAATTGCTGAATGTATTGTCGCATTTGATCTAGTAGACCCAGGATACGGTACGTCAATGACTCACTCCCATACATAACCCATATCCAAGATACTTACCAGCTTGCAATCGATCGGTAGGAGCGGCATACATGGCATTCAAAGGGAAAAATGGATCGCCGGGGATGGCAAAGTTGGATACGGCCAAGGTGTTTAGTTGCTTCATGGCATCGCCTTGGGTGGTGTTCTTGTTGATCTTGCCAAGACATTGAGAAATAAAGAGAATCAAATAGATGAGAACACGATCTGCATTGCCCTTGATTTCAAAGTTGCGGAATAGACAATTGGCACGGAACAAGCTGATAGCTTCATCCACGATATCCTCGGCATTTGGGTCGACTAGATTATGTCGCGTTCAGTAATGTCATACATCCAACTGCTCTATTTATATAGCCACTCACCCGCCATAGGCGCGTTTCCTCGAAAACGGGTCTTTACAGGAAGCATAAACATGTTGCCGACAGACTGATAGTCGCCGTCATTGAACTGTGAGTGGTAGGCCTGTGTATGATGGTGTGTGGCAAGGTGTTGTAACAATGGAGTGAGTGAGCGAGTGCTGTGTGTGTGTGTGCGTGTACATGCTATCGTCGAGAGTATATTTACCGGCATTACTAAAAGACAAGACCATTAGTACTGTGATGACTCGTTTCCTTCAAGAACCTTACTTACTTTGAGTTGAGCAGCAATGGGTAGCGGAAAGATGAGCAAGTCCATTAGCATACCTTGGTTCGCCCTCACGTTAAAGTGCTGAGTTGAATTGGTTAGTGATGCTGCTGCTGCTGTTGGTGCTGCCAAAAAAAGCTGTCGCTGCTCATTTTCTTTATCTCCCTCACCTTTTTCCTTTATGCTGCACATTGACGAGCTGAACCATGAGCTATTGACGGCGATCGCTGGTCACTTGACACCCAAAGATCTCGGGACGTTTGCACAAGTCTGCCGCGAATTCAGATCGATTGCAAGTGGGGATGCAGTGTGGAGAGAGATGCTATACAACACGTTCGGGATCACATACAAGCTACCAGAACATACGTGGAAGGAACAATATATTCGAAAATGCGATGATCCATCCAACAATCGCATGTGCCCTCACCTTAGCATGGTCACTGGAAAGACGCTTGCACCCTACGTCGCTCCATACGATAACGTCATGCACCGAAAACCACCGCAGCACAACTGCGCCACGTGTGGCCAAAACCACTATGCATCAGGCTTATGTCTATATATATACAAAGGAAACATTCGTATTCGTAAGTGGCATGGATATGGCATGGAATGGAATGGCATTGAGCTCATTGATCTATGAAGGCTGCAAGGAATGTGCATATCGATTTCATGCAATGGCACCCAATCGACATGGCATCTTATTACGTATCCCAACCCTGCAAATGTATTGCTTTACATGTTCTCGATTGGCAAGTATCCATGACAACATCCATTATGGATCACGTGGATACTAATTTCTTTGTCTAGTTAGGAGAGACGCGGGGTGATGTGAGCGAAGAGCATTATGTCGATCTTTTACTTGAAACATTGACCCACGACATTGAGATTGGTCGTGAACAGCTCCGAAAACGACGACAATGCTTATATGAACGACACCTTTACAACGAGCATTCGGATCGAGCGTACTTGACAAATGCCATCCCATACTTTTATTTTATCAACCGCAACTGGTTCCGTCCCTGGTTCCTTGCCTTGTGCGACGGCAAGTTGGCATCGGGCCCCGTGATCAATACCGATTTGGAAGATGCAAAAGGAAGGATGAATCCCGATGCTCGACCCCGTGAAGGCAGCATGGCGACATTCAACATTGTCACCCCCGCTCTTTGGCAATACCTTACCGACACATATGGCCTTGTGGGAAAACCTTTTCGTTCAGGTATTTGAAAATCACATCATGGGATCCTTCTTGCTACCTTTGCTGATGACCATGTCATATTTTAATAGACGAATTTCAAGGGCCAGAGTATGAGGATTTATGGAAATCGATCGAGAATTGGAAGCTGATATAAAAAAGAACCAGCATAGATGTTGATTATACAGTCAAAAGTTCATTCTTTGTTTTCTGCATTGATCATTAAATATATACAATTTTGCATGTATGCACGCTTTCAAGACATGCACATGATGCTTCAATTATGAAGAGTAGGAAATATAAAGATGGACAGCAGCATCATCACTAGGTGCCGAGTCAAAGGCCAAGGCAATGTCCTCATCGCTATTGATGGTAACGAGATCACCATCCTCGTCACGAAACTTGAGATAGTCACCGCCAAGATTGTTGACACGGGTTTTGCGTTCGGCCAACACACGTAGATCATGAAGATTGATGTTTCGTGGCGCATAAAAGACAAAGGTACCATTACGACTATAATGGAGCTTCACCCTGACTGTGGAACTGGTGCGTACTGCTTTGGGTGCAGTGCTATTATTTTGGTATTGTTGTTGTGGTTGTGCATGAAAATGAAGATTAGGGCTGCTTTGTGACCTATTACGGATACCACCATTAAAACCATCATATGTACTCTCTTGCCGATTAAAAGGAGTTGGGGTTGTTGGCATGGGTGAAAGTGGTCCTGGATGATGATGATGATAATAGTGATGATGTCTCGCCATAGATGGTGATGCAGCTGGATCGCAACCTGTTTGAGGTGGTGAAGGTGGCAATTGATGCGCGTGTAATCGGGATGTCGAATATGAAGGTGATGGAGGTGATGGAAGTGTGTCGTTGCCATGGTGATAGGTTGCCATGGAAGAAGAATAATGCGATTCCTCACTCAGCATGTCACCAAACTGCTCATAATAAGGTCCTCGTATAGGAAGCCTATTCATTGATGCATATGACACAAAGGTGGGCGACAATAATTCATGATCATATTCCTGCGTTGGTGGGTGTTGTTGTTGTTGCTGATATGCAAGATGCTGTTGCTGCTGAGGAATTGGTGTGGCAGGCGATGATCCAATCACCAATCGAGTCAAGGGTCGTTTCTTTGCCGCCTTTTGTGCCTGTTTTTTAATTGCTGTTTCCCACTGAGCAAGTCGTTCATCGTTTAGAAACTCCATGGTGAACGTTTCGAGATCGAATTGACCATCTTTGACGGAAGAAAAAAAGATTTGCAATGATAACGGTTTCCCTGGTGTAACATAGCATGCATGAATATGATGTCTCCATAGCAACCTGATGACTTGAAACTTACCAAGTTCGTTGCTATCAATCACCTGCACAATACCTCCAAAGCCTATAAGTCCTAGCATGTCCAGCATGCCATCCTTTTTCTTCTTTGTCTTTTTTGTCGACTCGACGCATAGCACGATTGTCTTTTCAAATAAATGTGCTGCCACTTGTCGGGGTATGTTGTTTGATTGATGAATGTATACACGATCATGCAGCAACAAGGCACCACATTGTTTATCGACATCGGTCACCCCACGCCAATCCGATACACGTTCTTTGAGCTCCTTGACACGTTGTTTGTTTTCTTGCGTACGCCTTGTCTCATTGACCTTGAAAGCCACTCGTTGAATAGCTTCCATAGCTTGCTCAAGATCCTTATAGTGGGGCCAATCCTCTGGTGTATTTTTGATGAGTTGCTCCATCAAGAGTGGATATTTGCACACACGTTGTACAGGCTTGATGAGGAATGATGGCAATTCATACGTGGGCTCAATACTAGTGCTGGTCATTTGAGGAGTCCATTGGATAACGAGATCCAGTGCATGTTGTAGGTTTGCACAATAAGGCTCGTATACAGAAAAGGCGTCTTCAAGATTTACAATGCACTGCCCAAAGCTGCTTTGATTTGGAAACTCGGCATGATACTCGGCGTACAATAGGAACCGTAATTGGAAATCAACAAGGGCGCTGAGATTACTAAATATGTGGTGCACTGTATTCAGTGATAAGATACTACCAAGCTCCTTTGCATAATTCTAGAATGTTGGTGCATGTTTGTATGATAATTAGTAAACATGAGATCACGAAAGGGGATCTCCCGAAAAAGGGAAAACGGGTTTACCTGCATCGTTTCAAGATCATGAACATATTTACGTTCTGTATCAAGCAGCTCAAAAACGACCTTATCCCGCAACGATGACGGGGTTGGGCGTTCTTTGGTGGGTGGAGGATACTCCGAGGTGAGTATTCCTCGTTCATTCAAAAGGATCAGCAGCTTGTTCAAAGTATTGACAACCTATTATTATATGTATAGTAATGTAAAGAGGCGGTCTGTGCATTAGTGTGTGCATGTTGGCTTGCCAAGTAGAAGCAAGGGGTGATCAAGGGAATAGGGTGCGTCTTTTTATATGATGGTGGTGGATCAAACGAACCTTGACAAAGGTATTGGTGTTATCCTTATACATTTCCGACACCGTAAAAAGCTCATCTTCTCTAAGGTTGAGATGATTTTGGCAAACGATGATGAATCGATACACGGGCTTTTTGTGTTTTTTGCATGATTGTACGTCAATTGCATGTTGTGGTTCGAGAAGATTGCAAAGATGATTGAGGATTGCGCCATCTCTACAGAGCTTCCACAAGTGGTAGAATGGTCGTGGAATGTAATCATCGTTCATCTCGGCTTTGGATCCATCACTGATATTGGTTTCTGATAGACGTTGAATACCAAATGAAGCACAACCTGGTACGGCTGCCAACCCATCCAGCACAGATCGGCATCTCTGATATATCGTAGATGAGACGGCCATGGTGTGCGAAAAAGGTTCGTGGTGAATAAGGTATATAAAAGAGAAAAGAGCACACAAATAAAAGAGAGATCCAATGTAATAATAAAATGGGAGAAGTAAAGAGGAGCCTGCGTGCACACGCGTGTGTAACCGTATACCCCTAGTATGCTTTTGACAAAAGGGACTAGAAATGGCTACCGTTTCAGGCCATAGGAAGGTTAGAAATCTCATCATTGTCCCTTTTTCTCTTGTCATCCCTTATTGAACAGGAGAAAGAGACATGTGTGGAGGGGTATGATCATCCATCAAATTCGGGAGACGGAGGAAATGTGTGCTTGCTTCGATCCAGAAATGTCGCCTGTTAATGAGCGTGTGCTGATATCAATATCGTCACAATGGTACAAGTACGATCATGTTCATAGCTGAGAGAAAAGTAAAAAGGAGACATTGATCAATCCCGATTTCAACAATGCTATACATATCATCATGGGTCGTTGAGCGATAATACCATTATCTTGATGATGATGGCTTTCTGTTTTAGACTAGGGATAATAATATCAATAGAAGAATAAAAATACCAGCAAGGGGTAACCATCATATATATTGACGCCCTTTGGATCACTAGGTTAAAAGATAAGAATGCATCCATGTTGCTTCTATTCCGACTTTTCGTGTACCTGAAATGGTCATGATGATGATGATTCTTTGGCGGAAATTGATTCAATGATCGATGTATGTGTGTATGCGATGCTCACTATCACATTGTTCTTTCTTGTCAACTACTTGAGGTATATTTCAGGAGTCAAGATGATCTTTTATGCAGGCAATCATTTCATTTCAGGCACTGCTTTTACCATTGACATTCGATTTGGTTATATTATAACCCTACTACCGATAGTCACATTGTATTGCATTTCATCTTTCTTGCCATTAATCATCTTGATCGATTGTTGTAAGGGTCCTTTTCTCAAGGCTTACCTTTGATGGCTATGTGATTCCGCGTCCCTTTCTCTACTAACCACTTAACAACCCTCACACCACCAAAAAATACATCCCACAAGACCCAAATCCTAGCCCACCCATAAATAAAACTTGTCCAGAGCATAAAAAGGGTTGGCCCCAGAGCGACTCGAACGCCCAACCTTCCGATCTGGAGTCGGATGCACTGCCATTTGTGCTATGGAACCTTTGGTTTTCTTTGTTTCGGAAGTTACATGAAGTATCCAAGAGCTTCCTTTTGTGAAAATCAAAAAGGTAGTCCAATTGGGATGAAAATTGGACCATGATGCAGCGGATTAAATGTAGATTATGATGGTAAAAGCAATGTATGGATATGGGAGGTCAATGTTGTGTAATTTAGAGTTGAAGGAATGAAAGGAGGATGGATGATCAAGTCTTAAGAGTAACTTGAGCTCTACATAGTTGGATGTAACTAGGCTCTAGTAAGTATTGTGACTGGATTGGTTTTCTTTGTTTCGGAAGTTACATGAAGTATCCAAGAGCTTCCTTTTGCGAAAAACAAAAAAGTAGTCCAATTGGGATGAAAATTGCACCATGATGCAGCGGATTAAATGTAGATTATGATGGTAAAAGCAATGTATGGATATGGGAGGTCAATGTTGTGTAATTTAAGGATGAAGGATGAATGATCAATTATTGGTCGGAGGATGGGTGGTGATCAAGTCTTATAGCTTGAGCTCTACATAGTTGGATGTAATAGGCTCTAGTAAGTATTGTGACAGATTGGTTTTCTTTGTTTCGGAAGTTACATGAAGTATCCAAGAGCTTTCCTTTTGCGAAAAACAAAAAAGTAGTCCAATTGGGATGAAAGTACCATGATACAGCGGATTAAACGTAGATTATGATGGTAAAAACAATGTATGGATATGGAATTAATGTTGTGCAATTGAAGTTGAAGGATGAATGATCAATTATTGGTCGGAGGATGGGTGGTGATCAAGTCTTATGAGTAACTTGATCTCTACATAGTTGGATGTAACTAGGCTCTAGTAAGTATTGTGACTAGATTGGTTTTCTTTGTTTCGGAAGTTACATGAAGTATCCAATAGCTTCCTTTTGTGAAAATCAAAAAAGTGGTCCAATTGGGATGAAAATTGGACCGTGATGCAGCGGATTAAACATAGATTCTGATGGTAAAAGCAATGTGGGGTTATGGGAGGTCAATGTTGTGCAATTTAGAGTTGAAGGATGGGTGATCAATCATTGGTCGGAGGATGGGTGGTGATCAAGTCTTATGAGTAACTTGAGCTCTACATAGTTGGATGTAACTAAGCTCTAGTAAATACTTCAACTAGAATCTTCGACCACTTTCCATAGCACTCATCTCAAGTATATAAAAAGCTACATGAAAATGTAGATTATCAAGTATCAATTATTGGTCAGGGAGGAATTTTGAATTTGGATGACTCAAGTCTTATGATTATGTAGGGTTCAGATAGTTGGCTGGACTAGGTTCTAATAAAACATTTGACTAGGACGCTTATGACTAGAAGGATTCAAGTAAGCTCCAGATGCTAGCAAAACCAGATCCAGTAAATGTTGTAACGACGACCATTCTCTTCCGCTACTCGCTTCTTTGTCTCCTACATCGACGACCTCCCCATTCGCAACTGCTTCCCCATTCAAGTACAACCAACCAATTCGTTCTGCTTCAGCCCATCAATGTCAATCCTACAATTGCCTTGTTCCGTTTCTCTTTGACTGAATGGCAAGTCCATGGCGTGTACACAGCCTTCTTGTCACTCTTCTACAACACACGCTCTTGCACGCTCCTATACCACGACCAATCGTAACAGCATTCATTCCAGCAATTGCCATTAGCAATGCCTTTACTCCATCGTCTCAAACAGGCGTTCTTTACTTGCAGCAACTCGCCTCACAGCCTTTTTTACATGAACAGCGGATAGCCATTGTATGTAGAAGCAGCTTTATTTACGCGTAGCAACTTGGTTCAATACATACAACTTCTTATGGATATGGATATGGATATGAATATTGGTTTGGTTTATGGGATGGAAGGAATTGGGTATACACAACACGTTGAGTTCCCTTGACCCATTCAGAGCATGATGTCTAGTTTGGATGAAACCATGTCAGCCATCAAGTACGCCGCAATGCAAGCAATCTTCACCTGGTTGAGCTGCCATAGAAAATGATGACCAAGAAAGGGATTGATCAATAGCCGGATGGAAAAGAAAGCATACCCATGATGGATGAATGCAATCAAGTGCAGTGATGGGGAGTCTTGGAATGTTGCTTTGGTTACTTGGCACGTCTTCAGCAAGAAGGAAGGGTCATGTTACATGGATACAGCTGAGGATGATGGTGGATTGGATTGGATTGACGAGAGGTGTTTTACAGCCATGGGAGACATTGGAACGCTCAAGTCAATGCACGCAGCCGCTGTTTTGGGATTATGGATGAAGATTGTTTATGATGGCAGCAACCAAGAAGAGTACAATGATATAGTTATCCCTCTCGACTCTATGTAATTCATCCGTATCATATTCGATTCCTCTACTACCGTTTTACTCGAACATTCACGCTACCATATGTTATTCTTCGATTTTTATTGAATGAAATTTGGATTCAACGTAATAAGTGGGGTATCATACTATCAGCTCATATGGTCAACATGTGGATCTCTTGGTTGCTTTCTGGATTGAATAGGGGAGGGGGAGGGATAGAGGTTGAGGAAGAGGTTGAAAAATGCGTGGAGCGGAGCGCTCATTCAAGACGAACAATGGACATGCATGAAGCCCGCTGATGTGACAGTAATGCATGTATGATAAAATATACCACACCACTTCTGGTAACATCCATACAAACGCAACACTTCTACATTCATCAAACTGCAATCTCATCAGCATTTTATTGCATTTATTCATATTATACGCCTTGTTACTTGATGTATCAAAGTGGTTCATCAACAGCCCATAATGTGGGGTTTTCGTTTCGATGCTCTTGGGGATTCTTCATGAAGTTCAATCACATGTACCGCTCCACTGCTAATGGAAGTTGCCAAAAATTGGTAGCCATATCGTTGCTGAATTCACATGCTCTTCCACCTTGTGGTGCGTGGGTATGTCTCCTCGTTCTAGGATGAATGTATCCTGCAGGATATCCTTGAGGGCCAGGTTGTTGGATGCGCTCGGTCCTTGTTGCGTGTACCACAACGATCATCGTCCTCATCAACAACGCAGCTGGCCACCACAAAAGGACCACGTCGTAATGGCAAGGTGGATACATGTCGCACAACATATCTTCTCGTGACAGCACCATCGTAGAGCCACTGATCGGTTATGGTGTCATTGGGTACACGCAGCAAACCCATACCAGTTGACATGATTGCCTTGTCCATAGCTTGATGCGCTTCCCATTCCCCGTTTCTAGGGCCAGTATCTTGAATGTAAATAGACCCCAGTTCTCCGTGATCGAATTGCCATTGATTGGGACCATTTTTGTTGAAGGATATCAACCCATAAAGGCATTGAAACTTCCATGCACGTCGTAGGAACAATGCATATGTCGCAACTTCCTCGCCCATCTGCGTTGTATCATGGGACGATGGTAAAAGGCCCTTCTTGGTAAGTCGTTTCAAACGTTTCAAGCGTTTCAGCATGTTGTATAGTAAATTGAATCATGGTGTCCACTGATAACTTATGTTGTTGTCTTCCTGATTCGCTCCCACCAATATGTAGTACTCGTAATCCAACGCCATCATGATCATGAATCTCTCGCTTTCGATGACTTGAAACGCTGATAAAGAGTTGCTGCAAACGAGGGCATCGAAGTGTTTCTGTGAAGGAGAAACACATCTTCACAGAGGCTGCACATTGCTTTCTTGATGAGGTTGGCGTCTGGGACATGCATCCACCATGTCTGAAAGTTGACCAATTGTTTGTACATAGAGTATGTAGAGGACCTTTTTCATGGCAATATCATGGACCACCACGTTCCTCAGCTTGATCCAATTCCATCTTCAACCTTGTCCTCCAAAGTTGATCCGCCAAACAATGTGTCCGCCTTCTAGTACCAAAGAGGAGCAGGTGCATAAGTCGTGGTGTTCATTGCTTGTGGAGCAGGTGTTCTTGTCGATTTCAGTCTCAGAAGGGATACATCGCTTCATCAATGTATTATATATGAGTATAAGCTTCGCGCCAAGCGAGATGATTAGACCTTACCTTAATAAAAGAACCGAAAATCACAATGAAAGCAATGACAATGAAAGCGGGAAAGAATGAACGCTAAAGATGATCATCACAAATTTTAGTACATGGATCACTCATAAAGGGCCTATCCATCATTGGTACTCACATTGGATCGGGCCTTGAAGATGACAGTGATCATAGAATGATATGACGGGAGCGAGAAAGAGATGTGTGGGAGTAGAACGATGGGCGACAACCTCCTTGTTTATATCTGCATGGTGGGCGCGTGGGTATTTTTGTGGTCACAAAGAGCCTTGGTGTGATTGATTGCCCATGATAAATCAATATCTGCGATAAACAAGGTGGATGTATGTGAGGGTACTTACAACGAGGCAAGAGTGATGATACACGATGCATTAATAAATTGGATGTTCTTGAATGTGGGCATCATTGGCATCGCTCGGATGTGGTAGAACCGAATCCTTTGAGCACCTTGAGTTCTTGAACCATTGTCACCAGGAAACTGTGCGCGTCGCGTATACGTGCAGTGATCACTTCAATGATGAGATGTCATGCCTTGCAACTTGGATTCCTCCTATGATGAATGTGATTAGAATCGATCATACAACGACTAAGATTGACATACCTGAGTATGTTGTCATTGCAAGTGGCAGGTGGCCTTCCTGCTTCCAAAGGAGAGAATAACGCCTTGTATGCTGACATGTTGCCATTGGTAAAGTTGTTAATGAGCGTTTCCTTTGTTCCCAACAACGCCATTTACAGCGATACCTTTTGAATGGGAGACCATTTGCAGGAGAGACGAGTGCATTGGACATGGCATTGTGGTCATGTTGAGTTGATTGATTGTGGGCGGTGATAAAACACAAAGAAAGGGGAAGGCTACACACGCGTCATGCAGCAAGCCCAATCTGAGTTTCTAAGGATGAAATAGGGTGCACTGATGTCAGTCAAACCCTCTCGAATCAAGAAAGTTAGATGATGAAGATGATGGACTGGAGCAGAGGAGTCGTTCACATGCATTGGTTTGGGAAACAAGGGTGATTGGGAGGAATGGGTTATCACCTGGCAGTTTACAAATAACTTTGCAAAATGATTTTTGTGAAATTGGATGATGTTTTGTGTTTGAGCGTAACTCAGTCAAATCCCATCGGATCAAGAAAGTTGAAGGATGGGCATGCTGAGCTGGAGCAGGACAATCGTTTGTATGCATTGGATTGGTCAACAAAGGTGAATAGGAGGAAGTGATTATTAGCTGCCAATGATGAGCTAGTATATAACGTACCATAAGTTGACCCTTCCAGTCATGCATAATGAGCCGAGTTACACAAAAACGAGGTCCCTCTGCATCTTTGGCTGTATAAGTGCAAGCTACTTCACAATGAACAAAGACCATCTTTCATATAGCATCACGCTTACAGTAATACGCTCTTGGGCGTTGGGTAGTGTGCCATGTTTTCCCTCCCGTTTACGACTATACATCCATTCACCACGTATCCCGATAATAACAACCCTGATTTGTAGCTGCTTTTATTCATCATGGGATGTATATTATGTGTATCTCCTTTACAAAACCGGATCGCTTTCAACTTTGGAAATAGTGCTTGCTTTTGGTTTGATAGGCGATGGCTGTGGTGATGTTTCAGGTGAAAGAGGATCAAGTAAAGCTGGTACTTTGGAATCGGTCACTGTTGAAAATGGAGCCAGCGCTTGGTGTGCATGATATAAACGTTTGTATAATCGCGCCACGCTTTTATCGGCCAACACAATCTCCCTTGCAAACTCAATACCAAACATGAGCTTAATGGCATATGCAATGTTCTCGGCTTCCGCTTCGGTCATTCCAATCGCTTCATCCACAGGTGTCACAGGCATTTGTTGAGGGTCGTGAGCAAGCACATTTTGAATTAAGCGAAGCAAGGTGCGTTCAACCATATCCTTATCGTTCAAACAAGGTGCAGGTGGCACAATGATGTCAAATGGTCCACTACGTGCCATCACGGTGTGTTTGCCGTTGTGGTGGTATCGCAATTCGTAGGTGCCAGTATGCCATGGTAGCTTCATTCCTTGAAATACGAGAGTCCCCTCATTTCCAATATCCCCTTCTTCATGTGGCTCCATTATCCATTGCCATCGGCCTTGTGAACTCACATTGCTGATATGCGTGTGCCTGTTATCTGTGATCTTGTAGATTCCAATCCAATCATGCGTGCTGTGGGTGCTGGGTGCCTTCCAATGGACACGAATCGATTGACCAAGATAGAACTTGTTGGCATCATTCGTATCATGAGAGTGTGCTGCTGGCAATATGATAACCGAATATCCATTCAGAGCATTCATATCCGTGTCGTGAGTGATCAAGGGATGGATCAATCGCGTGCGTGATGATTCGAGTAAATGCATTGCTTCTTGTACAATGTCATGAAGTTTAGGAAGCGCTATTTACGTACCATAAAACGAATTAACAACATGCAAACTATGTATTGTATAATTCACATACCTGCATCCGTCAACATGCCACCCACAGCTCCAGCTGTCTCTTCTGCTGTACGTTCCACTTTTTCAAGCAACTCCTTAAAAGCACGTTCTGCATTCTTCGTTGCATCTACCGCTGATCGTAGCTCTCCCGTGTCATGAACCAATTTGCTCACTTCTTGTTGCAACTTGTCAGGGAATGCGCGTGGCAAGGCAAGTGCAGCTGCCGACTTTAGTGTCTTGGTGAAACCGGCTTCTTTGCGAATCTGATCACCGTACAACTTGCGCATGTGAGGAGCTTCCACATAATTCAGAAACCAGAAATTGGAGATTTGAGAAAAGAGTGCAAGAGCAAAGATGGTCCAACTGCTGGCGATAAGAGTCATTCCCCAAAATGCCGCATGTCCAACAATCTTTTCAGGATTATTCAGGTATCGATAAATGCCATGGTACAAGAGTGATTGATGATGATCCTCCAAGAAAAAGTCGCCGTAGAACCTGGCATAGATAAAAGTTAGCATACTATCATCCATCATGAGGATCAAAGAGTGATGTGAATTACCATCCATAGTCACCGAGAACTTCGTAGATTGACATTGCTGTCCAAACATGTAAAGCAATAAAGGCGAAGCCAAGCGTATGTTGTAATAAGGTTGTGCCATATGTCCAATCAACAGGCAGTGAGTACATCTTGCAACATGCAGCAAAGAAAGTGATATAGGTCATTGATAAGGAGAGGTTGTAAATGCTCTTCCAATTCTGAAAGGCTTGTTGAACGCCACCTCCCCACTTTACAAAATGCCGTGTGAAGTACTTGTTGGTCGATTGAGCATGAAGCAAGGTGCCAAGTCCATACGAATGAAAAATGCGCCAAAATACAGCTTGTGCCACTGCAAACCAGACGCCCTTGGTTCCTCGTACAATGATTGGTGTGACAAGCGCATAGACCATGAGTGCTCCTGATGCCAAGTCCGTGGATCGGAAGAGATCAAAGTTTTTGAATACAATGAGATCTCGTCGAAAATAATAGGAGTAAAAGTCTCGGCTCGCATTTTGATCCAATGTTTGGTTGACTTGATCCAAGTCTTCATAGGACACAATGGTGGAGAGGGTATGAGATGGCATTCTTTTTGGTGTAACCGGAGGATTGTAGGTCTTTTCAATGTCTAAACAGTAACCCCTTTATCAGTTTCATCGTATACTACATGGTGATCAAACTTACGTGGAGTTTCTACCCATGCCAAAAAGGCAAATTGCATAGCGTGGGCTGCAATGCTGACAAATAAGACTGTGTAGCTCGCACTCAACAAGGAGACACCATAATAACCAATATAGCCAACCGAATACATGGGATGAGGTGCCATCTCAAACACACCATCAAACGTGAGTGATTGCTCAATGAGAAAGAAAAAGTCGCCCCAATCTATATAACGATAATGTAAATGATCCATTCAAATCCTTCCAACAAGAACACTTACACCATGCATAATCCTTGACCACGCGCTGTGCATCAATCTTGACCCATATGTTGAATACGATCAAGAATAGCCCACCGCACCAGCGCATAGCATCACCCAGAAACATCGTCGACTGTGACGACGTATTGAACCACGACAATGCAAAGCACAAGTAAGATACGAAATCATTCATCAGGATAAGGTCCACCAATTGTCGAAAAAGTAGCCAAGTGTTGTACTCAAGTGGAGCTGTCTGCATAAATGTCATTTGAGTATTCGTGTAACAGTTGCACCAGCCATCTTCTTTAGGGAAAGGCTTACCGTGAAATCATAGTCGTCTCCCATCTTGATTGACAATTGATGCTTTAACCACTGATACAATTTAGGATGTGCATTCTCTTCAAAGATCTTGTGTTTCTTGGCGAAAAGAACCAGTCCACGAGTGTCGCTCTGATACTTGAGTAAGATGCCCAACCCGACATTGTACGCCAAGCGCCAAAAGAAAAAGACAAAGACGAAGAAGATGCGTTTGGCTTGATGTGACAATGAAAAAAAGAATAGGATCTCGACGGCCATGACACCCAATGTCACCATGTCAAAGACACTTTTGCCTTGTCGTGGATCAAACAACGTATTCACCATGTCACGTGTCATAGGCACTTGGAAGACTATTGTTGTACCGTGGGAAAATCAATGTTAGCTACATTGAACGATGAAGGAAAAACATGGATAAACATTATGCACCTTTTCCTGTAGGCGTCTTTCCATACGATGGTCGAGTCATGTCGCCATTGTTGATACTGGGATCGCTGGAGGATGTCGACGACGATCTCGTGGATTGAGTTTGGTCATTGTTGTTGTTGTTGCCATGGAAGCGATGTCGTAACCCTGGCTCCTCTGCACTCATTGTCGAATCAATCTGGTTGAACAGAAAGAACACAAGTGAAGAAGAAAAGAGAAAGAACAAGGGGTTGAAGCGATGAAATTGGACCCGCCGTGCATCCCAAATCGGGATTGCGTGCTCACACTTGCATGATGCATCCGGTTGGTCCCAGCGATATAGCTGCAGTACTCATGGACCATTCTCTTTGAACACGATTGGATGCAGCTATCAAGTAAAAAGGGACATTTAGATAAAAGTATGCAGAGAAAGGATAGGCCAGGTCGTAGAAGTTGTAGCTTTACGAGATGATCCAAGGTCACGTGAAGAGTTTTTGAACAAAGGGAAAATCGAGCATACTTTTCGTGAAGGAAAATGTGGATCGGGTAGAGTCGTAACTTACGCTGCTGATGCTATTGTTGAGTGCACGTGCATTCCAAAGGGGAGATCATAAATGATGGAGAATGTTCCATTTCATATCTCACATTGCTGACAAAGCAAGGTGGTCATGCTTATGAAGAGTTTAATAATGATGTTACAGCGCATGTGCTTATTTTTATCGTATCAAGCAATAAAAGGGCACAACAAGCCATCATCAAGGTTGGTAACTATTAGCCTCATATGATAAGAGGGTTGCTCTCAGGTTGTGATGCTATTGCCATCATTGACGCTATTGACGACAGAAAAGTAGTGACACAGATCTGCATCACAAACCCTTTGCTGCACGAAAGGGAACCAATCACTGGGGTATTGCCTTTGCTTACTCATTACTCAGACACCAACTCAGTGCTTTATTTAAACCTTCCTCTTTGCGTCTTCTACCCCATTGCACTATGGAAACTTGTTCAGACATCGTCTTTGTCGGCCCGGGAGCGAATCAGGCACGTTGCATCATAACGCCATGCTCATGTTGACTATGAACAAAGGCTGATCGGGTGGTCTATCGAATAGGGTCAACGGCGTCGAGAGTTGAATCGAGAAGCGCAACGAGCCTATCGTGCACGCAAAGAACAACGAATCAAGGATCTCGAAGTCGAGCTTGCTGAACTACAATCGCGTCACTTTGAAGGCACTGACAAGTTACAACGCGAGAATGAAGAGCTTCGTTCGGTAGCCAAAAAGATGGAGTTGGAGCTGTACATGATGAAGGGTGCGATGATGGCTATGGACAAGCTTTCGAGTATACGGACCAACAGTGACAATAGCGGCAGCAGTAGTGGATCTTCGCACAATGGGAGTGTTCTTTCAGGAGATTTTATGGAAGGAGCGAGTGGAGGATCATCATCGCTAGGGGATCACAGCTTATACGACGACAGCGACTGCACTGATTCAACATTAGTGGGAAGTGGACAAGACTTTGTTGCCAGCAACTTTGATGATATATCATTACGCATTGAAAAGAACAATCAACACAACGCCTACGACGACGGTGATCGAATCATGAACTACACCGAGACGTGGGAATATCTTTTGGAACGATCCTTCTTTCAAGAATGCGATTTGGAGGAGCTTTGCAAAGCTGTCAAACAACATGTACTACCGAACGGCGGTGTTCGACTGCAGGATCTTATGCGGATCGCCCATGAGTGGGAGATCAACAAGCGAATGCCTCGATAATTCATACATCACCTCCTCCTTTTCTTTATCCTCGTCATTCTCCCTTTCCTCATGTTTTTTCCCGCGGATCTCCTAAAACTGGTTTGAAGAAAAGAAAATAGCATCTTTGCACGCATTAAGCATTTATTACATTTACATCTTATATATCCCATTTGTACGTATATTCAGTCCATCTCTATTGAATAAACATGCAATCAGCATCTCTTTCTCTAAATCATTCGTGTAAAAGAAAGATGGGTCAAGCAATGTGTAATAGCATAGTACAAGGCGGGCTATTCAATGTCATAGGGGCTTCTCGCCACCCAAAAACCGGTATCATCCGGATGAATTCACTGTATAATTCGAAAGTCGCTTTTTGTATTGTAATTACACTTGTGCATGACAAGGGAGAGAAAAGGAGGTGGTAAGAGAAAGAAGAAGCTGTATTTGCAACGGTCCCACATTGCTGCGTATGTTGGGAATTGCACTCTATGAACGCAAAGCGGCGTAAATGTCCGCACACAAGGAAATCCACCCCCACCTCCTTCAGCTTTGAACATGCACATGTCCTTTTCACCCCCTCGTTACCACACTTTACGCAGCTTTTCCAGCAATAAACCATCTAAAGATATATCAGGTAACTGCGTGTCACCATCTTTTTTAGATTTTGTCCGGCCAACCCGTCTCCTTGTATTAAACTTGACCCCTTCCTTACTACCGAGGATCCATTTATAAGCCTCTCCATTTTCTTGCTTTGCAACTAGAAAAAGAAGATACATACATCTTATCCTCTAGCATACGTATCACTGTTGTGACTACAAAGAGATAAACAATGAGCTTTTACCATCCATATCCACCACAGCAATATTGGCCTACTACTCCTGGTACTCCACCACCTATCCAACAACAGCAACCAATGTTTATGCAACATGCTTTTCAACCACAACCTTATCTTTATTCACCGCCAATGCCATCACCTGCAATGGGTTATTATTTCCAACCAATGCATCATCAGCAGACACCACCACAACCACAACCATTGATCCAGCAACAACAACAACAGCCTCATCGTATGCCCAGCCGATGTCATTCAGCTGAAGTCCTGGTATCTAAAAACAGAATATCACGGCCACTTGTGCCGCCTGGACATCATTATCCACAAGTGAAAGCCGCTAACGCCGCTACCTCGCACCCATCCATGGCTACCATTGCTGAAGAACACCGCCGTTCGCTAGCAGATGATAATGTCCCTTTGGCTATACTTGCTTCTCGCAACAAAAGCCAAGAATCTGTTTCTGGTAAACAGCGACGATCCATCAGCTACAGCAACTTGAGAACAAATCGATCATCATCCCCAAATCGTCTCGTTCGCATGGATCCTAGCTGTAGTAATAGTAGTAGTAACATGATCAATCCACGAAATGCCCCACCAATCACACCACCAGGCAATCATAGTGGACCACCTTCTTTAAGCAGTAGCAGGTTCAGCAGCACCACCAGCAGTAGTAATAGTGATGCTACTAGTAGTGTGGGCGAAACAGCATCAATAACGTCTTCTTCATGTCCACCCAAACATGCCAACAAGCCATCTATTGCCAAGCGTTTAATGAACCGCCTCTCTCGTTCAACATCTACCACAAATATTCAACAGCACCATTAATACACACACCTCTCCCCCCACCTCTTTTCTCCTTTGAGTCACACACACACACCAAAGTACTTTACATTTTCCCATCCTCATCATCCTCATCCTGCATTAGTTATCTACATCAACATCAACACCCTCGACGATCTATCATGTGCCATGCATGTATGTAAACCCTTGGATCCCTTGCTCTTGTCCCCATATTCTTTGTTTGCTCCGCAGATACATGTCTTTTTTAATCAGGTGCAGGGATGATAGCTCTTCCAACAAAAAGCATGTCTCTATTACTTGAATGCATTAACTATTATAAAGGAAAAAAAAGAATTGTACGAGCGATTTGCTATAGTTCCTTGTCTTCAATGTCTTGTGCTTCATGTTGCATCTCAAAATGATCCTGCTGCCGTGATTTGGGTAACAAATAAAACTCATCGGATTTTTCGAATACGCGTCCATTGCCCTATGTCAAACGACATTAGACGTACATATCCCATTCTTCTCCTCCCCTTTATCTTACCCTTGGCGGTATTGGTACAGGGTACAGGATCGTATACCATGGACTATATTTCATATCAGGTAAGCACTACTTTGAAAAAAAGTCCCTACTCCCCCACAACAACAACTTGCCACCTGCCACCATGCTCCCACTTACAATCGTTCGCAAACATTGAAGAATCGCCTCAAGTTCTCGTTGAACCCAAAACTGTACATATTGACGAACACCTAAAAGGAGAACCTAGTTAGCCACCATCATTCAAATTCTCCTATCTCTTGGTAAGCTTCATACCTCGCCCATTCTCTTGCATTGTTTCTTGTCATAGTGATTGTTGTAAAACTCCACCGTCGTCTGTGCCGTGACAATCTAATTCGACCATGATGAACATCACTCCCTTCCTTTATCAGGTGTGGTTTAAACTCATCCCTCCTTTACTGCTTACCAGGTAATAATGCCATAAACAGAGTCCACCTACACAAATTCGGTCAATCCTATCTCACATGTCCTTCATTGTCACCCCATTGCTTACCTATTGTCAGCCCCATGCAGATGGCTAATATGATTGAGAATGCCATCAATGGGCGAGGATAATAATATGGCCACTGTTGTTGTGCGTGCGTTCGAATGTATATATCCAAGAGTCAATGATCTTTTCTTTTCACAAGCAACGAAGGGCCCAAACTTACATCGTCATTCAAAAGATCCAACGAGAGCATGAATGGCTGCCATCCAAAAAAGATAAAATAGGCCGCAGAGATGACGAGATAGGTCATAAAGAGAACAAAGTATCTGTGGTTAAAGTGACCGACGCAATTGTGTATCCAAGGACCTTGATGTGGTTGTCAAAAGGTATCGTTTGGTCAGCGGGCTGTCATCACTTTGACGCATGGTGGTGGATAAACTTACAATGATGATCGAATCTTAGAATACACTTGTTGCATATGCTGCAATGATGTGCTCGTTCGGATTTAGGCAAATGACCTGCAGCGGATTGTTATGCATGATCAGGGTCGTGTCAAATGATACACACAGCAGCTTGCAACTTACACTTTTTACACATCTTGGGTGCCTCTCCTGCATATTCCTCCATTTCCAAAAGCACTTGTCTAGCAGATGGATCACTGTCGTGCTGCTGTTTCCATATGACATTAATCCAAATATGTCCTATGCATGATATCTATTTTGCATAATAGTACCCCTTCTCCAGTCTCAGTTGCCGTGTTGGGTAAGGTGCCAGGATGGGTTTTGATCGCCATGTAATAGTGAAAGTGAATGCAATAGACCATATACAATGTGAAAATGAAGACGAGTGCTGTAAAGAGCTTGCCGGCAAGTGACGCATCAGACCAAGCATGGGTGTATGGGAAGACGACAAGATAGAATGCGAGAACACACAGCTCAATGAGAAGAACGGCAATGGCAATAAAGACAGGCCCCGATTTCCCAACAGCCCGATCAAACAGCTTCGACATTAGCGTTTGTGTGTGTGTATGTGAATGCGTGTAGAAGCAAGAAGGAGTTGCCTTGTGCCCAAATCAGGAAACGGTGAATTTGTCTCACAGCGACAACCAGGAATTGCATGGACTTTGGTTGCCCCCCTCCATCCACCCATCCATTAGCCCTAATCCATTATGCATATGTACCCAAAAAACGCGACAATGTCAATTTCCCTATCAATAAAGGTGGAGTTGCAATACCACCATGACTATTCCCAGCGTGAGAATGTAGGTTTAGAATCCTGTTTCATTGTCTTTTATATATACGAACGTGAATGACCTTTCTTTTTTCCTGAAACTGATCATGCATGGCGTGATGTTGCTTAGAGGCATGAGAGGTAGCGATAATAATGGATCAAGAGCTTTCTTTTTTCGTATCCAGTTTCTAAAGCCGTGTCGTGAATTGCCAAGACGGGAACAGCTCCGAGTTCAAAAACCAGCACTGCTTCCGATTACATGCAACAATAACTTACATTATGATTAGCAACGTTATTAGCACGTGTATGCCCAACTTTATAATAATAGGTTGGCTTTGATCCATCTATAGTCTCTCTTGTTCTATGGTCACTCCTCCACAGTTAAAGCTATGTCCCAAAAAGCATGCTGGTTTCAAGTTGTAGTAAAACTACAAGCTGTGTATGTGTCCTTTGCTAATCCCATTGTACCATTTGACAACATCATGAAGCGGCATTTTGATAGTTACACAGCTTGAATACAATGAGCCAACTCTGTGGCGTGTACCATTATGCTTTCGATCATGGGCAAACAATGACATTCCACAGCTCCACCACGCGTTTTAATGACAGCCTGAATTGACAGATCAGCCAAACCTTGGCCTCCTTCCGCTATTCTACCGAAAGTCAGGCGTTTCAAATGAAACTTTTCCTTCAGCAGCAGTGACTGGAACAGCATGATGAACTTTAAAAGGCCATTGCAAGTGCGATATGCAAACTAGCGAACGCCAACCTCTCTTTTTTTTGTACAACGACACCTATGTATTAGTGAAGGGATAGCATTAATAGTAGTCATTTAGTCTATTGGGCTTACCTTTTGTGCCTCATGCCACGGGGTTCGCTTTCTTCTTTTTTGCATCTGACTGAAACATGTGTTATCGTGTTGATCAACTTGTCGGGATGCAGCATTGCTCTCTCCGCACCTCCACAGGGAGAGACATGGTTTTACCGCCGATACCAATAGCCCAGGCCCTCTTACCATTTGTCGCCTTGTGGAAAACGAACACCCAGGATAAATATAGCAACAAAAGAAGGAAAAATGACACGCACGGTCGTCGATTACCATGCACAAACGGAGGGAGTGCATATATAAAGATGAAGAGCAGGGGGACTATACCATTTTTCGCGACCCACTTATAATCTCCTCTTTTTTGCTCAGCTTGGCAAGAAGCTACTCGATTTAACTCTTTCCACTTTATCTCACATACACACACACACACACGTAATGCTATATCCATCCTCTTTGTTCGCCAGTGCATCGGCTCTGTTATTAGCTGCTACCGCTGTAGTAGCAAGTCCTCTTCAAGCTCGTGACGATGTCATGACACCCACCCCTGGGGTGCAAGTTATGATTAATAGTGGACAAGATTTTTGTCTCTTTTTGCCTCCCCAGCCTGGATTGGAGGTGGCTCCTCATGAAAGTGATGGCAAGCCTTTCTGCTCAGAGGAAGGTGCTATCACTGGTGCACAAAAGTTTCCCGATGGTATGTTAGTTACATGGATACCTTTGAAAAGTAGAGCAAAGGAATTCACACACACGTATACAACGTAGGTTTCATCACGGTAGCACACTATGCAAAGAAGGAAAACAGCTATGAACAAGTCACTGGCTTCTTTAACCGCGATGCGTATCAACTTTTGGCTACTGATGGTGGTGGACAATACGACAACCATGCCAGTGGCAAACCTACCGGCGCCACATGCAAAGGATACAACTATTTCGTGAGCATGATTGAACCCGACATTGAGCGTTTTTGTATCCGTTGTTGTCAAAGCAAGGTAAATCATCACCCTGAATAATAACATTTATCCATACATAAACTCAACATGCTTGCATTAGGCTGATTGCCCCACGGGTCGCTCCGAATACGGCTGCTTACGTATCATTGATGGTGATTACTCCAAGGATGATGATGGCACAGCTGAGCATCAAGATAACAGCTACCTTGAAGAACCTGTTCATTCGGCATGGGAAGCTCTTCCTGGTGCTGTTCGTACCCTTGAACAACAAACAGCCGATCACATCCCTCAAGATCAAATTAAAGAACAATGGAACAGCTTTTTGAATGACCTTCAAGCAAGCTATCCTGAATCTGCCGATGCAGTCAAGGATTTACAGTCAGCCACTGCCAACATCAGCACCGAACAAGAATGGAAAGAATTGATCGATGCTCTTCGTCGCAACATTGATTCCTCCTCCTCCTCCTCCTCATCCACTGAAGGTGCTCATGATAATCAAGCTACTTGGTAGATTAACTTTAATTATGCCAACCGATATGGGCTTCTCATTGTACAGATAAATTACATTATACGACATCGTAGAATCAAATCAAAGTTTGTGGTTTATAATTGCTATGAAATATATGATTCAAAGTGTTTATTACATATGGATGTGATAGTGATAGTGGTGGTGATGATGTTATTGGGGATCGCAAGAATGAGTACGGTTATTGACATCTTGGGGAATCCAGCCTTTTTCCCAACCCAGAGAATAGTCCCAATGAGGGTTGATATGATCCTCGGTCTTGTAAGTCCAAAAGAACCATCCGACGCTGCTGGTTTCAAAAGCATCCATTTGATGTTCGATGAAAGAGTTGAGAAAATCTTGATATTCCTTGTCCCAATTCTTCCAATCTTCAGTGTGAGCGCATGAGCAGTTGGGGCATACGGGTTGTTGTACAGCTGTGCCTTCTTGTAATGTGCCTTCATATCGAGTGCCAAGACCAACACCGTTCAAGTACTTTCCACAATCATTGGTTGCCATAGAGAATTCACCCACCATGGTAGGTGCTGCTGAATGCATTGCGTTGCGTAGTGTTGTTCGCCATGCACCACAAGGAAACTTGGCTTGCTGATCATGGGACATGGATACCAAATTATCATCAAAGATCATATACATGTGTGTTTCTATATATAAAACGATCGGTTAATTGTTTTGCTTTTGCATATGTGTGAGAATAAAAAACCCCCTCTTACCAAGGAACATCCGCTTGTAAACATGCTCGGTGTCAAAAAAGCCATTCCATGAATCGAGACCAATAAAACCATCATGATAGGTGAGATAAGGACCACCATCCTGAGTGATGTTGCGAAGCGTATGATAGCTATCCTTGTACCATTGTTGGACTGGTTGTGTGTGGATACGGAAGATGGCAGGTTCGTTGAGGACACCAAAGATAGGAGCAACATCTCGCCATGCTGGTTTATCGAAAAACTTGATCATCGATTCGACAATGCGCATAGTACGATTGGCATTTTCTTCGCCATGAGTGCCATTGAGCCAACGAATCTCGCCTTTACGACCTGAGTGATTCCATCCATTCTGCGATCCAGGTGCTGTGTGCAGCTCAATCATCACACGTAGTCCATATTTACGCGCCCATTGCACACCTCGTAATAGATATTGCCATGCCACTTTGGGTACATAGGGTTCATCCTCCTTCGTCTCGATCGCCCAATGACCGGTTGGAATACGTACATGGTTAAAACCCATACGTGCGATTTTGCGAAAGTCATCTTCAGTGATAAATGTCTCGTAATGTTGTGTCAATTGGCGTCGAGCTTCTTCGGGGCCAAGAGCTTTGCATAACGTCCATTCATCAATGACACCAGCCGAGGAATTGAATTGATCATATAAGCTTGGCGTAATAAAGGGTTCAGTCACTAGCCATCCACCGAGATTGATGCCACGAATAGGGGTCTTGCCATATGGAAATGGTTCATTCAATGGTGGTGTATGTGCATTCGCTTGTGCTGTATTGTTGAATGGATCACGTAATGGAGGTGGATGATCATTGGGATCTCGATGCTGTTCTGGTAACGCCGTTGATGTTGATTCGGGTGGAGCAACCGGATTGTTTTGTCGATTCACGAGTAAAACGGGTGGAACAATGGCTGCAACGAGAACACAGCTGATCACAATTGCACACACAAAGCTGAGGCATTTGATATGTCGACGTGCAAAGGAAGGCGGCTTCTTTTCCATGTTTGCTGCCACCTTTTCTCTCTGAATATCCGAGTCCCTCATTGCATCGCTCGTGGTGGTTGTATTATTGTCGTCATGTCCTGTACATTCATCTACCTTTGAGCACGGGCCATCTTTTGTTTCCTTTGTGCAACCTACCTGTCATTGCGACTTGTTCTTTGTTTTTTGAAGAAAAGAAAAGTACTAAAAACAAATATAAGCTTCCAGCACTTACAAAAGGATCGACATGTCTCTTGTGTATATTACCCGAGGTACAAAAACTGAAACTGTTCGCTGAATATCAAGACGTTGCGTGTAGACTACCACTTCTTTCGTCATTAAGATCACATGCCAAGAATCATCCGAATCCCACAGCCACTCAACGTCTTACCTTATTCCTTGCATAGTTGTATGACCAATGTTTAGTCAGTAAAGTGAACACGCTCCTTGATAGTTGAACCCCTTGAAGAGGACAATTGAGGCTTTTGAATGGCGATGGTCAATTTGGATATTCCCCATGTGCAATGTCGACCACACGATTGAACTTACAGAATCGTTCAGCTGCATTTCCTTTTGAATGGGCGAGCAAGCAGTGTGTGTTAAAGAAAATGGAAAGAGGAGTAGAGGAAAGAGAGGTGTGTGGATGTCATGCGTGTTCAGTGCTCACAAAGAGTCCGCTGGGATGAGCTTAGTGCTATCAGGCCCTCTTAAGAAAGAACCCTGGATTGTCCATGCATAAATGAGCATCACCAAACAATGAAATGCACCTGCTATCATGGTGTCATCGACCACTCATTGTGATCCATCATGCCATTGCCATGCTACCCTCCTAATAATAGTATGCGTGAATGTTGGCCCATTCAATTGCTGTAAGAAGCAATGATCCAATTACATTGATATCAACAGCAACATTCAAAAGAATCCTGGCATTGTGGACAACGTGATATAAATAGCAAAAGACCTTTCACGAAACAAAGACCATTTAACCATGAATACAAAGAATCACAGCCCAGGGGTCTTCCTTTTCGAAAATCGGATACAAGGAATGTCATTTTCCCAAAATGGTTTATGATGCTTGATGCACACAATATGACCATAATTACATGCGTGTGTGCTTTTGTTTGAATGAAACGGGATTTATTGCACAAAGGAAGAATAGTAGTAGTAGACCAGCTACAGTGCGCTATTATGTGTGACAAAAAGGATGAGGCGATGGATGATGTTGAAGATTCTAGAAGAATAGATGATGCAGCATTTTCAATTTAAGGGCAAAAAGTGACAGTGTAGGTTGTTGAGCTACAAGCAAAAGTGCTCTTGGCATCATCATATGCAAATGAATAAGCATCGGGACATCCAGCCTTGAAATGACGAGAATACTTGTTTTCGGGGCACTTGTGATCACCATTGTACTTGCCAGTGCAGCAAAATTCGTCCGTGCCAAATGCAGCACATGCACTCCTGCATGAACCATCCTTGTTCTTGAGATCCTCGGGACATTCAGGTAATGATGAACAAGTGGGAGCACCGCAATCATACCCAGAACCAGTCTTTGAGGTATGAGGCTCAATGCGCATAGGGAAATTGAATCCATCCACAAACGAGATATCATAAAAGTCTTGACCTTCGAATCCGCTGAACAAAAACTCGGCAAGTGAAGAAGCCGAACCATACTTCTCGCAGGAATCATCACCTTCCTTGCATCCCCAGAAGCGTCCTTTCCATTGAGAGTCGACCTTGACATCATGAGAACCTTTAGGTGATAGCGTATAGCTACCATCAGGATCGCCTTGGCCATTCGTGAGCTTGTGTACATCCAAAGAAACGTCGCACTTGTTCTTCAGGGTCACCGTGACGCTGTCACGCTTGACGATAGAAATGCCATTGACAGGAGATGAAGTAGGTGCAGCCATGGCCATGCCAGCAAGAGCCATGATGGATGCAAACTTGATGATGCTCAGCATATCGTTAAAGGGAAAGAAAGAATGGGGATGTGTGAAGAAGAGAAGAAGGTATGAAGGGTGATGATGGTGGTTAGCAATGGTGCGATCCATCACTGCTTTATATGCATTTTTTTCATTTACTTTCAGCTCAGGTACAAGAAAAAACAGAAAACCTTCTCTTGTGTACCTGATACTTTTCACGCACATCACGCGCATGTTGATGGTTGGTATTTGATTTGTGGGGTGGCGCATTCATCAATCCATATCCAATGACATTAGCGATCAATCCATGCACAACACTGAAACATCTCTTCCCAAGAGAAACCGAATTGCAGGTACTTTTAATCCAAGTGACACATGGCCCATGATCACCTATCTAATAACAATGAGGCTGCTATACCCGTCCATTATCGAAAATCGAAAAAAGCGGAACCTTGCACACATGCCGCATGGTGGATCTCGACACAAGGGGCGGTCGCAGTTATGTTTGATTTCCATTTTCTCCTTTTTCTTTGTGAATCCCCTTTCACTTGCCCCCATTGGTTATTGCTAAACTTATCCACAAGAAGAATGAAAAAGAAAAAGCGGAGCACCCAACATCTCGCGGGATGTTATATGACATCGTATGTATCAGTTTCATTGCTGCTGTTGGGAAAGATCTCAAATCCTATTTGCCAACTGTAACATGTGATTTTACTCACTGATAAGAGTGGTTTACAAGCCGCAAATACAATTCTCATGAAAATTTGATAATGAAGTGGGTATCGTTTCATGATGAGTCAATGTCAATATGTAAACTAAACGATGGCTGTCAAACATGAATTTCGTTGTAACCGCTGCCTGATGGCTGCCAAATAGAAAGAGAAGGATGCTTTGTAAAATGCTTATTTCGACAATGATAAAGAACAAGAAGGAGTGTATATATATAAGTATAAAGGAGAGAAGGCTACAGTACAGTGGTATTGAGATGCTTTTCCACGTCAGAGATGGGATATTAAGGAAGGGAGTGTATATGTTACAGCTGACGAAAAAAGAATGCAGACTCGAATATGTGTGTTGTGGTTTCAGCATCTTGATTTCCTGGATCAAAAGTAAAAATCAGCGGCTACATCGGCAGCGGCAGAATCCATATCAACGGGAGGCACCATGAATCTATCAAAGTAACGGCCCAATCCCGGTAGTTGACAAGGAAGCCTTATCCGTGCGCCCATGTAATCATCAGGTCGCACAATGACAAGGGTGGGTTCATTGATGCTGTAGGATGAATGAGCCTGATTATCGTGATCCAAATAGAGCCGTTCAAGCCCATGAGGAAACATGTGACGAAGGATGTTGGGAGGTGTTATAGAGAGGAAGTCGGCCACTTCTTGTCGTGTGGAAGAGGTGATATAAACAAACGAAAACAAAGAAGATGGCATACTGGATGTCGTGCAAGGCGCTGTGTTGCTGGATGACAAAGATGGTACTGACACTGTGCTATGAGATGATGCAGATGACCATGATGAGAAGAATCGAGATAGACGGCTGCCTGCTGACATGATAGAAGAGGAAGATCGAGGAGAAGACATGGTTGATTCGGTGGAAGACGATGATGAAAGAGGGCGGGTCAATGGTTGTTGAGGTTGTTGTTGTTGCTCTTGTTGGCGATGTTGATGGCTCGGATGAATGTCGTATTGCATGATTGATGATGGCAAATCCAAGTACTGCTTGAGTTGTTGCAAAGCATGTTGGCAATCAGTGATAGATGTACAAAAGATCAAGATGGTAAAGCAGCCTGGTGTATTGCGATCGGCAGTGATACGATCAAGAAGGTCATAATGGTTGGCTTTGATGAACCGCCATCGATCTACGTGCGGTGCAACAACAACTGAATCTTGGTCGTAGTGTTGATATCCTCGAGTTTTAACCTTGGTCTTGTTCCGAAAGACGGGTTTTCGAAAGAGCCATGAGCTTCCATTTTCAAGGTTGTTCATATCAGCCATAGGAAGTGATCGATGTTTACCATTCAACCCTGTCAACGAGCGACTTCTTGACAACATGGAAGCGGTACTGCTATTGGTGATTGAAACCACGCTGCTGGCGGGATCAGACATTGAGCTAGACGTGGATGATCGGCTTCCTTTTGGTTTGACATTTTGAGAAACGAGTCGTTGGGCAGTGTATGGCTTCAGCTTGGAATTATAAGCAATTGTCAAGGAATTGCTTATGCTGCTCGAAGGATAAGGTGCACCACCAATGAACCAGCTGCCGCTTCGTTTCATTCGCTGTGTTGCTGTGCTGGCAACGCTGCCTCGGTCATCATCACCATCCTTTTCTTCCTTGTAGTCGCCACAAGTGATCAAAGCCAACATGGCATTGGACACCATCATATAATCTCTCACATGCGATCGGGCTTCAATATCATACGTATCGAGGATGTGTGGCGATGCATAATGCTTCAGGTACAAATTCAGCTTCCAGCAGAGGTTGTGGACTTGATCAAATGCAAGATTGACAGAAAGCATGTCATGTGGACTCAATCGCTGTGCTGCACTGCCAACAATGAAATATCGACGATGAAGGCTGAAGATATCGGTCATAGGATCATTGGCTGCATTATAGGAATGGGTATTAGTATCATAGCAACGAAAACGGAATCATAGCAACATGTACCTTGCCAACGCTTATAGGAGTGCACCTTGGAGAATTTGATGTCATAAGGTTGAAGGATGGATTTGACATGAGCTTCTATAGCTTGAAGTAGCAAATCATCGTGATCAAGTAAAGAAAACTGGCTCCAATCTGAATGCTCCTCCATGGTGATGATGAGGTGCTTTCGGTGGCCTATAATCCAATGTCAATGATATGTGAATGGGTGTTGTGCATTATTATCGTACCAACAAGCATAACAGCCTTGTTGTCCTTGGTGACCACTGACAATGCACGCATGCCGGGAAAGTTGCCTTCTGCCGATACTTTGAGCGTGTAAAACGTGCCTGACTTGCCACCACACCTTTGCTTGCATCCTTTTTCATCAAGACTATGTTAGTTTTGCGATCGTACGATACCCATTCTTCTTGCCCTTACCTATTTTTTGTCTTACAAAGCTATTGACACCATCGGCACCAAGTACAACGCGTGAACGGTGGCAACTGAGTCTTCCAGTGGAAAGGTCTTTAATGCTGGCAACGATTGGATAGTCAATGGGCTCATCGGGAGTAGCAGGACCGTTGCTGGTCATCATGTCTTGAAGATTGACGAGTTCATGTTGGTATTCGACTTGGATGTGTTGACGTGTGTGTAAAGTATCTCTTAGGACGTCTTCAAGATGTGCTGCATCACAAGACAAGGCCCAATTAAACTGTGATCCTTTTCTTTCCCAGACACGGTAACTTTGCCGTTCTACTGATGCTGCATTGGCCCCTTGTCCCTGGTTAAGGTATGTTTGAAAACGCCAATGTCGCATCCCATTTTCCATTAGAAGTTCAATAAGTTGATGTGCTTGTAGATATTGCAAGGTGTGCGGTGAGATTAGCAAGGATGATGATGACTCGTCTGTGCTGTTGTTTGTCAATGCGGGTGATGGCTTGCTATCTAGTAAAATAATATGATCCACCATGTCAGCTATTGATCATGCATAGACACAAGTAAATAAAGAGCTATTACCAATGATGCAAACAGAGACATCCATGCTCGCTAAAAGTAAAGCAGCGTACAATCCTGAGGCGCCTATTATTACATTTACAACATCATGTTAGCAATCAACAAATCCAATACACGATTCCTATTAGCAATTTACCAGCGCCTACAATAAGAACATCCGATCGTAGTGCGTTAGACATGGATGATTTGCATAAATCCTTGAAACGAGTGGGAAGGGAAAGAAAGAAGCAATAAAAATGAGCATTACTCGAATGTGCTACACATAAACAAGAACAAGTTACTACTACATCGACAAGCGGACACAAAATGTTACATCAAACGGTTTGAAGTAACCCCTTTGTTGAGCCAATAAACCTTATTTGGCGTGGTGATCCATCAGGCAATGTCTGTGCAACGTGTAAATAACCGCCTTTTTGGTATATGAAAAGCAAAAAGGAGGTATCCATTGTCTTTTCATAAGCTACAAAAGGCTAACCACCCATATGCCATTCCCTTGAATCAACGAGATGTGCCCCTTATGTTATTGGATGACATCAATGTCTTTCTCTCAATATGGTAGATATCGTCTCTCTCACAAAAAAGAAACCTGCGTGCTGTATTAGTGAGTCGGGCTAAGATACATGTACTGTTGCGGTTTCTGATTCATATCCAAGACGATCCATTGTACCGGTCAAAGCCATCTTAAAAATGGTGGTTTATGGTAATTAAATGTCATTAATCAACGAAGCCGAGGGATCGTTGCATGAAGGAGTAGGCATTGTTCGGGAAGCTGAAGGCAATTGGTGCGCGCAATGTCCCCGGCCGTGTGCAAAAAAGATTTAAAATGAACTGCTGTGCAACTTGACGCATATCAATTTTGGTATAGATCAGGTCATCGCGTTAATAAGAATGCACAGCATACTTGTGGGACATGGAATAACTTGGATGCGTATCAGCAAGTAAATGGATGTATAAAGGAGGAGGGGGTTGATTATGAAAGCATTGCTGATCAATTTTGTTGAGCTTATTGAGATTAGACGGAAAGTGAAAAACATCTTGACATGATTGTATTTCATATAACAATCAACCCCTATCCTTGTTTTTAGGAGAGGAGAATATGCTTTATGGGTAAGGCCAATGTTTTACCTTTGCAACACACACTTTAAATCAACCTTCCCTTTGTGATTTCCTCCCATTCTCCCACTCATCCCAACCGTGATCCAATCATATCAATCAAGAGGAAAAAGCGTTATTAGGTTGTATTGAGAGTCTCTGTGTAAGAAAGAAGACAAGGGTAGAAGTTTAACTAAAACGAAAAAAGTGTATGTATGTGTGTGTGTCTGTGTCTGTGTTGTATGCTCACGCATGTTGTCTGGTATCCGCTTAGCAGCAGCCGCCTGATTGTTTAGGTTGGACAGCTGCACCCTGACCCACCTTGACGGTTGACTTGGGTTGTTGCTGTTGCATAGTTGAGCCCATTCGATCTTTGATTTGCTTGGCCATAGTCAAGAAAGCTTGTTCAACATTGCTGGAGTCCTTGGCTGAAGTTTCCAAGAATGGGATACTGAGTGATTCAGCCAATTCCTAGAAAATTGTGCGTAAAGCAAATAAATACATGGATCTTTGCTCCCCCTTTTTTTATCCCTGTAGACATGCATACCTTGGCTTGATCCGTTTCCACCACCTTTTTATCAGTCATGTCATTCTTGTTACCAACAAGCAGCTTGTTCACACCTTCTGCAGCATATCGATCGATTTCTTGCATCCATTGCTTGACGTTGTTGAAGGTATCTTCATCCGTCACATCATAGACAACAATGATACCATGGGCACCTCGATAATAAGATGATGTAATCGTGCGGAAACGTTCTTGACCAGCTGTATCCCACTATGAATCCCCCACATGCGTTAGTATTCCTCCTCATTTCAATCCACGTGTAGCATCATACTCAGCTTTATACTTACGATTTGAAGCTTGACGGTCTTGCCTTCGAGTTCGATCGTGCGGATTTTCTATAGCGATGGATATATAGATATCAGTATACCTTGAGAGTGGTCGATAGAGAAGAAGTCGAGTGGAAAAGAACCCCCTTACAAAGTCAACACCAATAGTGGAAATATAGCTCTCGGTGTAAGTGTCGTCTGCAAAACGAAGCAACAAGCAGGACTTGCCAACGCCAGAGTCGCCAATAAGCAAAAGCTTGAACAGGTAATCGCTACATGACAGTGTCAATTGTAAAGGAAAGCAAAAGTTAGCGTCCGTGCGATTTGCCACCTTCATCCATAGCCTCATCTCCCGTCATAGTCTCATCCCCGGTGATTGAAGCTGCCATTGCTCCTGTTTTCTGCTTTCAATGCCTATTTCCATGGGGTGGAAACTTACTATTCAGGGTTCATGTCGTTGTCACAAAAAGCGCTTTGCCAAGACGTAGCGAGTGTCCAAGACCAAGCACTCCCGATATTTGACCCCCGCATGAGCAGGCCGATGCGCGTGATTGCCTATTGCATGATGACCTAATGCCATTCGATCCATCACTCATCTAGACCCACCAATCGATACGCGCAATGATACATACTTGAAATGCTTAAATCGGCGTAGCATTTAGCGACCAACTATGTAATGGCTGTAGCTAGAAAGGGGATGATAAGGGGCATGATGCTTTAATAATAGTAATAAAAACCCGTCCCGTCGTTGTAGACAGGCCTTACAATATAGTGTGATCTTTAACGTTATCATTAGGAACTTATCATAAATGCTCTAGATTGCTTGTTGTATACACAAATCCTAATGTAGGTTGTTGATTTCATTTGTTGTAGTTGATGGTATATAGAATTCACTAAGAGTACTCGTCATGATAAATGCATCATAAAGAAGTTGCCTTTATACCCCTCATAAACATCAACAAGGGCGTGTGAACCCCACTCTTTACTCTCTTAGATAGCGTAGAAAAAGTGCTATACACACCTTTCTATATCAACGTATCATCGTATTTGCACTGGATAGGAATGTAACACATGTAGTCAACGTCAACGTTGTTACAGGATATTCAAGATTGCACACCAGCAAGCTGCAGGTTTCTCATGTGCAACTTTCTATGAGAGAACCCTTTGAAAGATCATATGCGTTCTACACATGCAGTGATAATCTCCCGGTTGCTATGCCTCTCGAGCGTTATCATAGGGTAGCACCTGTGCAGCGTTGTGGAATGCGAGTTGCACATGAGAAAAAAAAAAGAACAACACTAAGGCATGTTGATCATGGTTGCGTGGTAGCACACTAGGTGGTAGAAAGAACCAGTTCCTTTTATCCTGAATGTGCAGGTGAAGTGGCTGATGCTATTTTGCGCTATGCCGAGATGGCGTTTTCGTTACTAAAACACCTAATTGGGGTATAATTTGCCACATTCAGATGCATTGTGTTTCAGTGTAGTAGCCAAAAGCCGTATGACACTTGTCTCGACAGGGATTAGGTTGCTGCCAACAACCCAAAAGAATACGCAAAAGCTCATACACACTCTCTTGCCATCCATATCGTGCACACAGTTTGAGCCCATATTGTATATTACAGCAGAAGGACAAACGATACGTTGTTTAATCAACAAGACGAAATTTCGAATTTTCCATTTATTGAGAGTAATGCTGGTCACATCCTTCGTTGATGCTGTCCTCAGCGTGCTTCTTGGCCTTGACGGAGTCAAGGTAATCCAAGCCCTTGGTCTCGATCCTATCGATGAATAACGGACAAGATATTAGTCATATGTATAATCGTATTCTTTGTGCATTATGCCTCTACTTACATCTTGTCAATGAAACCGCCAGCGATAGCAGCCATGAACTCCTTGGCTTTTGCATGGTTAGGTTCCTCACTAAAGGTAGACAAGAGAAGTGGTTAGCTCTGTAACGATGCTAATGGCTTTCATAGGCTTACCCATTTTCTTCACAGTGCTTGTTGTATGCCTTGGCGGCTTCGTAGGAAGCTACAAGAGTATGTTCAATAACTCATGTACAATAAAAACGTCCCGCCGATAGCCTACATACCAGCAGCAGCGATCAATTCGTGAGAGAGCTTGCCTTCATGGCCACCTTCGGTGTTGACGACTTCTTCGTGTTGGCTAGAGAAATGATCGAACAAACCCCTATAGAGAATGATAGGTGAATCCACGTGCATGAATCCATGGTGGTTGAGTATACTTACATTGTTATTGTTATGAAAGGAAGATGAAGTCTTGGGTGAAAGGTGGGATGGATGCCCTTTTATAAGTTTTCGTTGCCCATCATCATCATCATCGGCGCTGGGTTATGAATTGCAGCAGTAGCTTGGCGCTTGTACAAGAATGGCATTGCTTTTTCTCTCATGATCCTTTCTCTAACACATTCGTTTGGCGATGTTAGGTCATACACAGCAGTTGCAGTTCCTGTGCGTCATTCCTGAATTCTCAGAATTAGGCAAGAGCCCATCATCTAGTAAAGGAGAACGTGACACCAACATGGGATATTGTTAAGCCGTTACATGATTCTCACCATAATGAGCTTACATTTTTCCATTCTTGGTACTTTTTTTGCGGTGTATCCTTACATCAGTCACCTGCATCCAATTTCCGATTTTGCGTTGAAGTCCTAATGCTCTTGTCGCGTTTATCCAGTGGGGAGATTGATACACGTAGAGAGGAATTCACTAACAAAACCATATACTGCGTTGTATTGCATTCATCCAACCACGTCGTTTCGTATGGCTTTATGCATGAATGATCAACATTGATGCGAATCATGTGCATAGAAAAGTGAGCGTGTATGCGTATGCGTTGGTGTAAATGCTTGATCACCCTATTAGATGTTGAGGATGTCTTGGCGTAGTGTCCCATAAGTTGTTATGCTCCGCTTTCCTCTCTGACACACTCTTTTACTTAAAAAAAGACATGACATGGCACTTTAACCCCTTATCCGAAAACATCAACCTGCATTGAAAACCACAGTGTACATTTAATCCCTTTCAGATTTCAATTGCTTATATACATTTTCTCCAAAAAAGAATTGGATCTCATTCCTTGCTGTCTCATCCGAGTCTACATGATCCAGCCATTGATGAGACGTCTACTTTGACTATGGGCTTGCTTGCTTATCATGGAAACATACCTGAGCCATGGAAAGAATTCCGTGTATCCGTTAATCCATAGAGAGCACGCAACGTGGTGGGTTGATGTATCCGTGCACTACATAAACAATCGGGGGGGGGGTGGAGAAGAAGGGGGTACATGCATGAGATAAACCTTAAAAACATAGTTGAAGCATATCTCGATACTCACCGAACAGGGTGTGTCGGACCAATCAATGCTCGCCAATCCTTGATGGCATTAGGTGACTCCAATATTAATGCTTCAAATGGACCACTAAGCAAAAACCATCATAAGCTATCATAGCCTCCTCATCATTTCATTCTTGATTACCTTGTCATGTATCCACAGAGTCGTTCATAGAAAAACTTGCCCTTGTGCTCAGCGTAAAAGGCACCTGCTTGTTCTTGCGTCCACAGCACTTGTCGCTGCTTGAGGATCTTCATGTTGTTTGCGCTAATGGCGTCGAAGATCTTTGGTGGCAATGAGGCATCGGCGCAAATGTCAGGTTTAAGCAATGCCAATGTCAGCTGTCGTTTCAAGGGTTGTGCCATATTAGTGGAAAGGAGGAGGAGGAGGAGGAGGAGAGGGAAAACAAGAGTGGATTCTCCGCAACAAATAAAGAAGCTGGGATGTATACAAGTGTTTTATTCAGGAACCAATTTTCAATCGATGGCATCAAAAGGTCGTTTGCTATTCCTAGTTTGTATTGCGTCCTTCTCCAATGCATCGAGATCGGCTGCATCAAATGATGAATCGAATCCAAAACTATCATAATCCTCATTCAACTGTTTTCCATCGGCAGGGTATAATTGAGCACGAAGTGGGGATCCTTTGTCATTCGTTTTTGTTGTATTCTGTACTCGAGTGATAGGCGTGGATGAAGCAACAGCATGATCAGGCGACCAATTCCATTGATCACTGTCACCAAAGTCATTAAACAAGTCGTCATCGGTGATCGATAATTGTGATTGAAGTAGATGTGTGGTAGGTCCGCGGGTTGGTGATGGTTGTGATAACAGGCTTTGATGCTGACCTTGGAATAGTCGATTGAATGATGGTTGTTGTTTATGAGGCTCGATCTCTTTATCTCGTAAAGGTGGTTCAAATGCTGTTGTACGATCATTGTCGATTGTAATAGGTGGCATCAGTGTGGTTGCATCCTCCTCTCCTCCATTGACTGCTAATGCTCTAATCCAATGGTATATCTCCATATTAAGATCATGTTCAATGTGGAACCTATATAAAGTATATGGAAGAAGGAGAAGGATTTGTAAGTTGAACCTAGGAATAGTACTTGATCCATTGCCACCACACGATCCTTTCCCTTTCTTACTTACCCGCCGCATCGGACAACAAGAAGTTTCTCTAATGATAATCGGTCAACAGTGCCGAAGAGTGTCACAGATACAGACATCCGCAGCTGCTTGGCATCCGGTCTTCGACAAAGCCTTGGATTCAAGACGACACAAATAGTATCCGTACTGTCATCTAATAAAGTGTGCAACATTGAGAAACCCATTTTCCATAACGCATACAAGAAGTTCTCATAATGTGCGCGGAGACATGTGTCATACCCACTACTACTCCCCCACCTCGCAACCATCCCCCAATACGTGTATCTCCATGGCAACTTACCCACCCATATTCTACGTTCCCCGGTTTTGCTATCGTATTTGTCAAGTACTATCACCCCGTTGATCCTACAAGTAATAAAGGTGTGTGTGTGTGTGTGTGTGTGTGTGAATGGTGCTGCCAATGGGTTCATGCATCCACTCGATTAGCGTACCTCACTCTTTCTGGTTTGCCTTGGCTACTTGATCGGCTCGCGTCGTTCTGGTTCTTTGTCAATTGCCATGCCGACGTAATGTCGCGGATAAAGAGTGGCCGATGGCCCCCAGTCGCGGTCATTCGATTGAACAATAAAATATGGGTAGAGACAAGGGAATAAAGAAAGGAACAAAGAGACCAAATTTCATGGAAACGATGTCATATCAAAAGTCGTCTTCATCACTCATCGCTTTGATTATGCATTTACAATATCTAATATGAGAACACAAAGACGATGCACATGTTTGAGCATGCAAAGCAAGTAGTACGTCAACGCACGATTATTCTAACTGCATATGGAATTGGCTATTGCAACAACCAATGCCGGGGAAAAAAGTGATAGCAGGCTAATAAGCACCAATGCACGTATCCATGGAAAAGTTTATATTGGGAGCTTTTCTGCAAATATGGCAACAACATGATCATAACGACTATTAAGCTTTTTAAGGCTATAGCTGGCAGTGAACACATCATCAGCGGGAAAACCTGAGCGATTTTCGCTGATTGGCTTTACTCCCCATTGCAGGGTGGATAGGCTTTTCATGTGTGTCCAAACCAAAGCCTTGGTTACTGAAAACAGGTTGATGATATAGAATCAGCCATTGAGATGGATGGGTGGTGGCAATGATGAGGCGTTGCTGGTGGATATTGCAGATAATGTCTTGGCTTAGAAAAGCGAGGCTGAGGTCCACAGCAATAATCATGGTGGCACAAAGAACAAAGACAGAATGTGATTATTATCGGGATCACTGTAATGATTGTTTTTGGAGACATGTCCTTGTATGGGAGAAGAAGGTCTTTGTAGAAAACCAATGTAAATGGGTGATGGCCACAATGAAATGGCTTGTGACCCCATCGTGGATATGCAATGGGGATTTCTTGGAGAGAAGAATCAAGTAGAGGGTAATTGTTGTGCTCTTATCGGAAGCGGAGACACATCCACACGAGCCAGAATGCACGAAACGCCTTTGTCCATTTCACAACATTTCGCAGACGGGTGGCATCCTAAAATTGCCCTGGACCACAGGTACACAAAGAAAAGCATATACAGTTACACGAGTTTGATGAAGGGAAAAAGGGTCGCATCGGCCGCCTTTCTCAATTCAGAAAGCGAATGGTAGACCTGACCAGCTGCTGTTGTGTAAAATTGTCGTACCGAAAAAGAGGCGCAGGATGGTACCTCTTATGAAGCGTTCGCTTGCAATTGAGAAGTGATGCATGCATTTACTTTTTTGAAAGAAAAAGAATGATCCTTCTGATTGTCTTTTTTAACGAATAATGTCATTGCCTCGCTATAATATGAAGAATGCAGTAAAATAAAGCTCACCGTTCACGACTAAAAAGAACATTTTCGGTTTCCTCGAGACACAAGATGGAAGGGGTGGAAAGCCCACGTTTGGGGGCGACACAACTTGCCCTGAATGAAGTAATGCAATCTATGATTGTAACACATAGGGACTTTGCACATACGCAAACACAAATGGCGGACAACCCGCCAATGCTTTAAATACAGCTTCATCGTGGCATGCCATTCGATCTCTTCCTCCCTTTCTTATTTTCCTGTCAAGCTTTTTGTTCTCGTAAACAAAAAACACAAACCCCCTTCCTTTCTTTTCACATACACAGATCATACATTACTCTCGCAGCCAGGAGCTGTCATTCTTTTTATAACCTAACAACCATATCGTTACAACCATCCAATGCTTCTTCAGCGCGCAATCACACTCGCAGCCATTGGCATCCTTGCATTCACTGGCAACCATAACACCGCCCATGCCGAACCTCTTGCTATCGTTCACGGCACTTCTGGTTCTGATGCAATCAAGATTTCAGCTAGCTATCTCGCTGCATTTGACAACGACAACGACCCTGAGCCTTCCTTTGAGCTTGTTGATACTCCCAATGACGTTTCTTCCAAGTTGATCTCGCTCAAGAAGCGTGGTAGCGGCTGTGCTGATTACTATACCGGTAAGCACACATCCATTGCAAACACCATGCTTGCCATCAGCCGCTTTTACATGTATTGACAAATCATTTTACAGTCAAGAGCGGTGATACTTGTGACAAGATTGCCAAGAAGCACGGCATTTCAACCAAGGAATTCATGGGTCTCAACTCGCAAATCAACAGCAAGTGCACCAACTTGCACGTCCACAAGAAGTACTGCGTTGAAGAAGGTTCCTCTTCTTCCTCGTCTTCTTCGGGTGATTCTGGATCCTCATCATCTGGTGGCTGCTCAAAGAAGCATAAAGGTAAATTTTGTTATATAAATATCCATCATTTACCTAAATCAATGCTCATCATTATTACCTTTTTATAGTGACCAACTCTGATACTTGCATTTCGGTTGCCAAAAAGTACGGTCTCTCGCTTAACGAGTTTTACAACCTCAACAGCCAAGTTCATCGTGGCTCTTGCGACAACCTTGATACCGGCAAGTACTATTGCGTTGCTTCAGGTGGTTCCAGCAGCAAGTCCTCCGACAAGTCTTCCTCCAAGGAGACTTCCAAGAAGGATGACAAGAAGAAAGATGATGATGTTAGCCACAAGGTGACCAGCATGGCTTCCAAGACCAAGAAGAAATCATCCAAGTCTTCCTCCAGCAAGTCCGAAAAGCGCAAAAAGCTTCAATCCAAGGCCGCTTTCACTTACTACTGGATCGCCCAACAAAGTGACTACAAGGGTGGCTCCAAGGTCCCTATCAAGACTTGTGGTGGCAAGACCATTGCCAAGGTCAATGAAAACTATGCTGATGCTCTCGTCATGGAAGGCACTGGTGTCGTTGGCAACAAGATTGTCAACCTTGGTGGCTGCTCCTGCAACAACTACAAGTGCTTTGAAGAAATCAACCGCTCTGAGGAACCCTATGGCATCACTGGTATGTGTGCACAATTGTACATATACAAGATTTGATTCCACATTGCTCACATGGTCTTTTTTTTATTATAGCTTATGGTTCTCCCCTTCGTCCTTATGTCACCATTGCTGCTAATGATCTTCCCAAGGGTAAGAAGATCTATGTGCCTGAAATCGATGGCTGGTCTGTGCCTGGCTCTAGCAAGAAGCACAATGGCTGCTTGTTGGTCGATGATCAAAGCTGGAGTTTCAGCTCTCACCACATTGACTTTTATGTGTACGAGCAAGACTACTACCAAAAGTTGGATAAGCAGCATAGAACCACCAAGGTCGACATTTACGATGGTGGCAACTGCAAGCTCCTCAACTACCTCTAAACCCATTCGTCGTGAGGATGACATCAACCACACACTCTCCCTACCATATCCATTGTACCCGTTTTTCCTCAAAGTCATTTATTCAGTTGTCTCTTTCTCCTATTCACAGTGAGTAAACAATGACCTTTCACACACACACATATACACACACATGTTCTTGCTTTACCGTTTTACCCCGTTTCACTTGATGAAGCGGGACATACCTTAACCAGCCATCGTTTTGTATTACAACGCACATTGTACTTTTTTACGCTTCATCAACAACAACCAAACAACGATAGGATAACTTTATTCATTAGAGAATGACATTGTGAGTGACGAGTGAGTGATTGAGTGAGAGTGTGCATGCATGTATAGATAAACACCACGTGCGACGTCCATGAATGGCAATACGCAAGTTAATCATGCGATAAGGAAAAAAGATACTTGTGTAGTATACCGTTTGTAGCTCTTTACGTATGTGCAATATTCCCAATGTTCCAATTAATTAATTCTACAAAAGCCCGAGTACATGTTGCGTGATGTATGTGGTGACCGATTGTAACCCCGGTATGAGACTCCGTCGATAAATGAAGGGTAAAAATACACTCATTGCCCAAAACTGGCCAGTGCTTATTTTCCCAAACTCAATATGCATATGGCACTAAGTCTAAAAGGTATGTGACATGCATAGCGTACAAGACGCCAATGTCAATGCATTCATACAACTATGGCACTAAACACGAAAAAGGGATGGTTTATGTATACAAACATTGATGAATCATCTTACATGCCCGCATGTCATCAAGGCAGAAAGGGAATGCTGGAAGGATCCATGCCATTGACGACCTGTTGTTTGCATCACAGTATAAACACATATACAATATCATCATCTCCGCGCATCACCACCATTATGACATCGACCCCTTTGTGATGTGAGACAAGCACGTTGAAGTCTTTATATATAATAATATTTACAGGCAAGGTATAATAAACAGTAGGTGGTACAAGTAAAAGGTAGTAGTCTCAAGCTGCTGCTTCGTCATGATGGTGTTGATTCCTTACACGCAAAGGTTGAATTTCATCCTCGAGACCAAAAGCAACGTGACCACGACGACCATCACTGCGTCTAATTTCGCCAAACCAAGCCTTCACCTTGGAAGCACGGCTGAAAAGTTGAGCTTGACCCGTATGAGAAAATCCTTTGAATCGATATGAGACACGGTGTGTAAGGCCTGTTACCATCAAGGCGATTTGTGAATTGCCACGTGATATGCCGTTGGTTTGGTATAAGCTGATGATCCACAATACAATCCACCACGAAAGCGGGACAATGGAAGCTAATGACAAGCCCAAATACGCTGATTGATCCAAGTCGTATGTGATATCGTTGGCAAAGCATGCCTCACCCAATATGACTCTCGAAGGAGGTTGCTCCTCAGGTGCATAAAAGGTCATGAGCAAATCGCTTCTGTAAAATCCATCTCTGATGTAGTTGGTGAACGTGTTCTCAACATTATCCGGTACAGCAAGAGCCCATCGATCGGCTGCCTTTTGATGAAACTTTATATTGCTGCGATCGGTCATGGTGGCAATAAGGCTGAGTTGATAAGCATATGCGTTGTCTGATAGCCGCTCATCACCCATGTGGCGTAGGCTCATGAAGGAGGCATTCAACAAATCATCGTAATTGATCTCAATCAGTTGTTTGTTCTCCCAAGTGGGCTGTATCTCAGCAGTGAACGTGCCAGACTCGGTCATAGTGCTGTTGGAGACATAGGATCGTAACGTGCATTGTTCAACCGTTGCTTCTTCATCAGGATTGTCCAAAGTGCTACTTGATGCTTGTCCGCCCTTAGTTACGATGACAACCGTTTGCTCACCCACTAAAGGACGATCCTCAGGATGATAATCTGGTGTGTCGAGAATATCAAAGACAAGTCGTTGGCGATCATAATGCGTGCGATTGTACATTGATTCTGCATAAAATATTCGTGGGACATCGATTGGCTGATCAGCTCCCAAATAGTCTCTCAGCGTGCTGACATTCAATGTTTGATCGTCGATAATGCGTGCATTTGCATAAGAATCTGTTACGCAATCAATATCGGTGCGCATTGTTGGCATGTCGTGCCATGTGACATTGATCGATCCGATGCCATATCGATACCTGAGAAAGCCTCTGCTGGTATTGCTAGATGCTGCGCCAAATCCAATCTGTGGGATATAATCCTGCTTGATCCCCTTCAGCTGTGCTATCCTGCGTGGTATTGGTAATGAGTACCACCGATAAAGGTGGAAATCCTTGATCCTGAATGATCGAAGAGGCGGCTCGACATAGCATATAACTGTTTCATCGTAATTTGCAAGAATCTCTTGTGCTGCTGGTCCCAAAGCAATAAGGCCAATTTGGAAGATGACAGCTGGAATAAGGATGGTATCCATTCGAATCGATAATAGCACACGAATTACACCTATTCAATAACCCATCATCAGTTAAACAAAGATAGAGGACAAGAAGGTGGATGTATAATGCTAACCTCCAACACCACGTGTGCAAGCATCATACACATCAAGCAAGCTGAGTTGACCACCATTCTGGAATCGCACCCACTTGTACTCGGAGATAGCACTACATTGTGTACACAATCATTTGAGTCATTGTAATTTCCCATATCCAAGAAGCTTCAAACTTACTATCCAATACCACCCATGACACCCATTTTGAGAAGTGTAGTGATCAGGGATACAAATGTTGGAACGCTCATGCTGCCAATTGTGTAATCCAAGGTTTTCCCATTCGCTGTGGAATATGCATAGATCAAAAGTCCCATCATAACGGCTGTGAAGATGATGTTCAGAATAGGCAAAAAGACTACGCCAAACAAATCCCGTACACCCGAGATACGGGCCATCAGCTTTACGGATTTGCTTTTCTGTCAAATCCAATATGTGTTAAATAATGCGTATAGTGGATCATAGATGGTATATAATTACCTCAGTGTTGGTTGATGCAGCATCATCACCGCTGTCCTTTCTTTGATCATTGTTGTGGAGTGCTGATGTACTATTGGTACTTTGGTGGGAGTTGTGACTATGGATATCGCCTTCCTCATGAGCCATATTGCGGTCTAAAGAAGTTGATAGTCGTGTTGGAAGAAACGCTGAGGAAATAAAAGAGAAAGAAAGGGATGAAGATTCTTACCGACAAAGTTGGTATCCATTGGGCTTCGTGGCTAGTAATCATCAAGCACATGCATCACGCTCATCTTCACAGCCTCATTTCATCATTTCTGACATTTCTATCAGTGCAACCTGATCATAGAATCATGAGAAACCTTTACCGGCACACCATAACTGCACTATAGCAACAATACCTCTGTACAAGACGTGCGGTCCTTTTCGAGTAACAAAGATCGGTGGGAAAAGTGTGCATGTTGCAAGGTAGAAAGTCGTCAATGGTGTGTCTCGTTTGTGGTACGGTGATTCCAATGAAGCAAAAGGGGTAGCGTTGATGCTGTACTACTTGCTGGCGGCGACTCATCACAAGGTTTTCTGCATACGCGTCACCCCAAGGTTCATTTGTGAAAATGCTGTCATGTCATGCAAAGCGTGAGAGCACTGAAATTCGATATAGCTCTGTTGATAGAATGCTTGATGTGTTATGCGACACGGCTGCAGTAACTTGTGAAAATATCCAACATCTTGAAGCGGTATGGATTCTATAATCTCTATGTTAGCCTAAATCATTCAATAAGCGTGTAATGACACTTACAACCCACCGGGGCCGGAGCGCACCACACCACGACTACCGCTGGCCCTTGCCATCTTTGAGTTGATGTCCCCCTTCTTTTGCCATATATAGACGCAAATAGAACCTTTGTTCGATGCCGCATTCACTTCATTCCCAAGCATCTAACAAGTGGAATGCATTAGTCAATCTTCCTTCTACTTCATAGCAACCCCCCTCCACACTCACTCGATGTTGCTGGCAATGTTCGATAACAAAAGTATGGCCATGTCATGGGTCGTCGACTGATTGTCAGTATCCTTGTAAAGTGAAACGCCATCATCCAACCCATCAATAATAGGGTGAGTCTGAGAGCAATATTGGATGGATTGAGTGGACAAAGTTGAGTCGATGGTTATCACTGTGATCGTTCCTTGATGTCGAAGATTGGAGCAGCTGACAGAAAATCGTCAAGATCACATCCATCTGAGCGTTCACTGCATTGTAGTAGGTGTCCTTTGATAATGATCCCCATAGCTAATCCTAACTGCTTCGTCAATGTCAATGTAATACATTCATGCATATGAATCCTGTACCTGCTACAGCCAAATGGATTGGTTGACAACATTGTTCTTGACGACACAAAGGGAGTGATTGTTGTTCAGGCTGTCGAGGATACTGTAGGTTGCATTGGTTGTCCTTGTTGCCTTGCATGTCAAGAGAAGTGTCGTCGTTTTGATTGGCATCAGAGAAGGCAGTGCTGTATTAGGCTGTAATTGACACCCCTAGTTTGACATTGCAGCTGGTAGCGGCTGTGACAAAGGACAAAGATAGACAACGATTGGTATCCCTTTTCTTGTTCCCAACTACTGAATCTTCCTAATTACCATTCATTGAGGAGTACATTACGGTCTCGACGCGAGTTGGTTTGGATGTAGAGTGATGCGGGAATGGGAGGAAGAGCTGGGAGTGGAAAGAGCTGAAAATTTAAGTAGGTTGAGTTGTCAAGTGCTGTCATACAAATCCATGAACACTATAAATCAATCCATGACCTTGAGATTACCCATCTTGAACTTGATATTTGACACAAGGTGCTCTCGGATACGCTGATCAACATTGTTCTAATAGAGACCCCACAATTCATTATAAAAATCTTGAGATATGGCCGTCTTTATGTTTTTACTATGCTGTAATCGTGATGCTATATGAAAAGTGGTCTTTGTTCATTGCCAAGTAGCTAGACCCTGGAGAGCCAAAGATGCAGAAGGACCTCTTTGGGTAACTCAGCTAAAAAGTCAGGACTTCAGGGACAATGCATGAAAGGTACGCAATCCTCATTTGGAATGCATGCATTGGCAGCTAATAGCCACTTTTGTGCATTCCCAACTTTTGTGCATTCTATTGTAGGTGGACGATGCTCCTGCTCTAGACATTCATTTCCATGATTAAAGTAGGTTGATCCGAGCTGATTTGGTTGAGTTACACTCACACAAGATTACATCGGTTGAGCTACATCGAGCGTGCTTTATGTCCAGAATGATGTAATCTCTCTTTGACCGCAGCTCAGTCAAATCAGCTCGGATCAACCTACTTTAATCATCGAAATGAGTGTCTAGAGCAGGGGCATCGTTCCCATGCAGTGGATCTCGCAACAATGATGATTGGATAAAAGTGGCCGTTAGCTAGTAATACATGCCTGTTCCTAGATGATCCATAAAGTAATTATACATTGACCCTTCCATTCATGCAAACGTAGCTGTGTTACACAACACGACCCTCTGCATCTTTTGCTCTGTCAAGGTCTAACTACTTCACATTAAACAAAGACCACTTCTCATATAGCATCACGCTTACAAACATAAAGGTGCCTGTATCCCCAAACTTTACAATGAAACGTGTGGTTTTGAATAGAGCAATGGGCTCGGCTTGGCCAACAGCACCTTGTGTGAAAGTTTCACGTTCAATGTCGCAACTAGCCCAAAAAGTGTTTTTTTGGTCGTCGTCGTCGAAGAGGTCGACCCCCAGATCCAGTTTGGCTGGTGGCGACATTGCGAAATCTGGGATTGGCAAGCTTGATCGTGAAACTGGCACCCAAGGTGCAGTTGGCCAAGCCGAGCACATTGCTCTAATAAAAACCCCACGTTTCATTGTAAAGTTTAGAGATACAGGCACCTTTATGTTTGTAAGCGTGATGCTATATGAGAAGTGGTCTTTGTTTAATGTAAAGTATTTATATGGAGGCTTTTGGCCTCGTTTTATTGGGAGTGCATCGAAGAGTGGCACCCCAAAATCGGAACGATATTGAAAAAACGTACAAGAAATACGTATTGAAGGAATGACTACGTCGGGCTATAGTCCCTCGGTGGCGAGGAACTTCCCGAGAAATGTGTTTAATGTAAAGTAGTATGACCCTGACAGAGCAAAAGATGCAGAGGGCGTGTTTGTGTAACTTGAGTCATTCAGCACAAGCGATGCATGATTCTTGTACACTATTTAGGAATAGTTCAAAATGCCAGCTAATAGTCCATTCCTCCCATGCACCTTTGTTGTCCAATCCAATGCATACGAACGATTGTCCTGATCCAGCCCAGCATGCCCATCATTCAACTTTCTTGATCCGATGAGATTTGACTGAAAAACGCTCAAACACAGAAACATCATCCAATATCAGAAGAATCAAATTGGTAAGTTATTTGTAAACTGCCGGCTAATAGCCCATTCCTTCCATTCACCTTTGTTGTCCAATCCAATGCACACGAATGATTGTCCTGCTCCAGCCCATCATCCCCATCCTTCAACTTTCATGATCCGAGAGGATTTGACTGAAAAACGCTCAAACACAGAAGTATCGCCCAATATGAGAAAAATCATAAGTTATTTGTAAACTGCCAGCTAATAGCCCATTCCTGCCATTCGCCTTTGTTGTCCAATCCAATGCATACGAACGATTGTCTTGCTCCAGCCCAGCATGCCCATCATTTAACTTTCATGATTCGAGCTAACCTGGTAGTAAGGTAATGGTTGTTGTTGGATCATCATTATCATGTAAAGTGTAAAATGGAACACACCCTTTTGCTATACGTGAGGATCATTTCTTTTATTTACGTGTACCGATTGTCTATCGTGAGGGTGATGATGACGATAGGTGGATGGGTGTGTTTGGGGTCATTGAGTAGCCTCAGTGTAATAGCAGTAGGGGGATTTAAACTTGGGGGACAGCAGCTCCACGACTTGAGACAACGCTTCTCTTCTTTTTCTCCCACCTTTCCTTATTCCATTCACGACATCTCGATCAAGGTAATGTATTATCAAAGAGTGCTCTTGTTGGCTGTGAGGTGTTAATGTAGTTCTGAACATGCATTGTCAGGGAGTGAGTGTGTGTCCAAATGCTGAGGAATGAGCGTGGTTGGTGGTTGGTGGTTGCCATGACGACATGGCTGCTTCCTTTTGCTCGTTGCTATTCCCGCTCTACGCTTGGTGTCAACAGGTACATTCAGAGTCCAATGTTGCAATCGAACTGGTTCCATGACGTGTTAGCTTGTATAGAGGGCAAGTTTGGTATCAAGGCGTTGGCTGGTTTGGCTTCTTGTTTCGGCTCAAAATCACTACACCATGGTTTTCGGTTTCCAGCAACCCAACAGCAAAGGTCTTTATGTGTATGAACAAACGTATGTGCAGCGAACAAAGACAATGGAAAAGGCGTTTATTGTAATAATAAATGCTGGTATTATTGAATAGGTTCTTGGTCAGGTAGTGCAACTTTGGGCATCATCTCTCATTGGGTTCGACTCCCAGCCTGTACCTTTTGGCCACTTGATATAGCTATTAGAGTACTGTTAGTGATGCTCACGAATGCGTAAAAAATACATAAATGATAAGGTGGCAAATTAGCTTCCATGGAAACCCATGTACTGACAAGGATGGCCACGCGAAGGCTTTGCCGTCACCCTCTCCCCTACGGTGCACCAAGCCGGATAACGGGGGCTGCCATTGTAAACAACAGCATCTTCTATAGGTGCTGCTCGAGCCAACATGTTCGGTCTGATAAAAGGATAGCATCCCACGCCAACAGAGGCCGACCCATAAGAGCAAAAAGCAATACATGATCCCATATCTACCACAAGGCCACTGAGTAACAGTCTAACTTCCAACGGCTAAGGCAGCAATCATCAAATGCAATTGATAGGGCCAAGATAGGGCTGACCACACTGTCGCATGTAAATCATAACTGCCAACGATGCTTTACACAAAAGAGCAAGGCACCATCCCGTTCTACCCATAGCAAATAAACATCCGCCATATCAGTAGTTGCTGCCATCAAGCGACCTTTTTAGGTTGGCGTCATCAGAGAGACACATCATGCACTGCAACAAATAAATCCGGTCTTGATGAAAAGCATACGCGAGAAGCCAAGAGAACGTCCAAGGTATCCATACAAGTACTTGAGGAATGAGATCCGCCATGGCACCGATAAAAACATTGCTCTGAAAATCCACCGATAAAGAGACGACTTGCAGGTAGCTGATTTCCAAACCATGGAAACGGTATCCTTGACCACCACAACTATAAGATAGAGATCGCTTGCTTGCTTGCGAGACACCCACCCAAATTCAAATGTTGATCTTCGTCTTCCAATTCAATAGGATTTGCCATTGACAACTGTAAGGAGAGACTTTGATGGCACCAAAGAGCATGCGAAATTATAGCTTGATGGAATGATGGGCCTATAAAGCTGCATATTACTAATTTATCTTTGAGGTAATGGTAGCAATACTTAGCCAGTGTCATATGAGAATCCACGATGTTTGATGCCACCCAGTAATCAGAACACATTTCCTTGCTGTAGAGATGTCGACACAGTGAACAATTCTGATAGCCGTTTCTCCGAGCGATACTTGATGATGGATGCCATGAGAGATGGATACACCTTGACAGCACCAAAAGGACACGTAACATTGTTGTTTGTTGCTGATGTGATAAATCCATAAGATACATGCGGTGAAGAGGGCTCTTGAAATCAACTTGCCAATAATGAGAACCACCAGAGGATCAAATAAATGTTGCTGACACTAAAGATGTGGGCTCTGTTGTTCATTGCTGCTTCTTGCTTGTAGCTGATATGATCCACCAATAACAGGCATGCGTAGCAGGATATCCATTTAAAGGGTTGTCAACAACTAGGACCACAATAAGACGAGACAAAACTTGGCGACACCAAAAGGTATAGAACTTGTTGCCTTGCCGCTGCAGATGCTTATAAAAGGAAGTGTCCAATAGGTGGTACAGTGACGAAAACCATCGAACGATGTAATAAGGCAAGCTGACACTGAAGGATGCTGTAGACGTTGCTCTTTGACCCTGACATGATTCACCTATAAAAGATGCACGGTTAACAGTTTCCCGAATCCATAGAACGATACTTAGCAATGATAGCTGCATCCATGAATATTCCAAAGGACCAAAATACAAGTAGCTTGCTGAATAGCACACATACCATAATAAAAGAGGGGGTTGGATGGGATTGGAGCCAAAAAACGGGTGACCCACTATTACCAATGAAAGCCATATGAATAAACCCCTGTCGACATCCAATGATAGCTGCATCCATCAAGAATCCAAAGGGAACAAGACAAGTAGCTCGCTGAATAACTCACATGAAAGAGAGTGTTAGTAAGCATTGAAAGAAAGAATGGATCATTATTTACCAATGACAGCTGCATCCATAGAAATCCCAATGCACCAGAAGACAAGTAGCTTGCTGAATAGCCCACATACTATAATAAAAGAGGAGGTTGGCAGGCGTTGACGAAGAGAACGGACCATCATTTACCAATGATAGCCATACGCACGGAAACATGTAGGCATCCGATGGCAGCTGCATCCATAGAAATCCCAATGCACCAGAAGACATGCAGCTTGCTGAATATCCCACATACTATAATAATAGAAGAGGAGGTTGATTGGGATTGGAGCCAAAACACGGATCATCCCATATTTACCAATGATAGCCATACGCACGAAAACAGGTTGATATCAATGACAGCTGCATCCATGAAAACCCCAAAATGACCACGAGACAAGTAGCTTGCTGAATAATCCGCACGCTATAGTAAAAGAGGATGTTGGTAGGCATTGTAGAAAAGAACGGATCATCAGTTACCAATGATAGTCATATGCACGCAATCCTGATGATATCCAAATCCAGCCGGTTCTTTGCAATCGTCCGCTTGTTGATAAGGCCCGCTACGGTGGTACTCGGCTTGAAAGCGATGGAACGATACTTTATGGGCATATGCAGTGAGAAGGTTGAATAATATCGATACCACCAAAGATAGCATACTTACATGATGCCGAAGAGCCCTTACAAAGAGAGACAACGAGACAATCCTTGCTGCCCAAGACCACATGCAAATCGAGAAAGCATTGTGCATCGAAAAGCCCAAACCAGATCCTAGCTGCGGAGTGACGTACATATGGCTAAAGAGCGATGTGAATGGCAATCGTTTTTCATTGGAAATCGAATGCAGCTTGACGATGAATGCCTTGAGGAGATGCATGAATGACCTTGGCAACACCAAAGATGTCAACGCGGGTTCTCATTGCTTGTTGATGACATGATCCATCCATAAGACATGTATAGTTGTAGAGATCCATCAAAGGAATCGCCAATAACCAGAACCACCAAGAGATAGAAAGGTTGCTGATATCAAAGATATACAAGTTGTTCCTTGCTGCTGACATGATGATCGATCGATAAGAGACCTTTGTTTCTGGAGGTTCATCAAATTGCAGGTAATGGGAAGCACCAGATGATGGGATGAGGGTTGATATAGCACCAAAGATATGCATGCTGTTGTTTGTTGCTGATACAACCCACTCACAAGAGACTTGCATTGGCTGACATTCTCCAGAGAAATCGCCCGTTGTTTGGTAACCAACCACCCGAGACGCAATAAAGGTTGACATCACCAAAGACATACACACTTCCCCATGGCTGACATGATTTACCTATAAAAGATGCACCATAAATAATTGTCCAAACTCATCCAACAATACTTAGCAATCATAGCTGTGATCTTGTAAACTCCAAAGCATCAAAAGACAAGCAGCTCTCTGCAATGGTCCCTCTAAATAATGGTAGGCGTTTCAGCAAAGGTCTCCAAAAAGCATGAGAGTCATACATACCTGAATCACGCAATCATCACCCGCAGACTTGGGAACCAAATAGGCCATCAGGATGTAAAGTAATAATAAAAGCGCACAGCCAAAGAAACATCAAAGTACCAGCACTCTCCTGTGGATCGACGCGATGAAGTGCATCAATAGAGATACCATCTTCTCTCTAAAGGCAAGGAGATCAATAGCCGTAAAACGATGGAGCCGTGCGAACAGAGGATGCATTTTCAAACCCCTGAGGCCGCAACATGAGTCGCACTGTCCCCGGGCACAACATGTAGAGCTCCACAGGAAAGTACAGTACAATGACGTCCTTGACGTGCAGCCTTGATAATAATAGTATCGCCGAAAGAGGCTCTGCCACTGTATGGTGTTTGGTAAGTCCACTTGAATCTAATCAATCCCACAATGAACAGTCTTACATTGTGCTATTCCCAATACTATTGTCGCTGCAAATAACCTGGAATTCATCCGATCCAGTAGATGCTGCTGCTGTTTCATTGTAAGTCTCGTTAATTAACAGGTTTCGCTTTGTAGATCCAATACCACACATACCATTGAGCCAACCATACAGCATTCTTGCTTTGAGATCCGTATCCTGTTGCTGCCAGAGGTACCATCATCCAACATGTTCACCTACCATAAACGCAATGTGGGATAAGAAGCAAACCCAATCCACACGCTTTTGTTGTCAGCATACCCAAAAGAGGCAATGTAAAGACGTCTTGAGAACTCTCGTTGTGGACGACTCGGTAAGGAAGGCACACGACGCTGCACAGTCAACCGCTCTGGGATCAAGAAAGTTGAAGGATGAGAATGTTGGACTGGAGCAGGAAAACCATTCACATGCATTAGTTTGGGCAACAATGATGAAAGGGAGGAAGGGAATATCAAGTGGCAGTTTACGAATAACTAATCAACTGATTCTTTTTGAAGTTGGATGATGTTTCTTTGTTTGAGCATTGTTCAGTCAAATCAGCTCGGATCAAGGAAGTTGAAGGATGGAGATGATGGGTTGGAGCAGCACAATCGTTCACATGCATTGGTTTAGGCAACAAAGGGGAATGGGAGGAAGAGGCTATTAGCTGCCAATGATGAGCTGGGTGCTGAATGGTTTGGAGGTATCATGCGTCGGCGCTTCCAATCATGCAAAACCGGTTGTGTTACACAAAGAGGTCCCTCTGCATCTTTTGCTCTGTCAGGGTCTAGCTACTTCACATTAAACAAAGACCACTTCTCATATAGCATCACGCTTACAAACATAAAGGTGCCTGTATCTCCAAACTTTACAATGAAACGTGGAGTTTTTATTAGAGCAATGGGCTCGGCTTGGCCAACAGCACCTTGTGTGAAAGTTTCACGTTCAATGTCGCAACTAACCCAAAAAATATTTATTTGGTCGTCGTCGTCGAAGAGGTCGACCCCCAGATCCAGTTTGGCTGGTAGCGACATTGCGAAATCTGGGATTGGCAAGCTTGATCGTGAAACTGGCACCCAAGGTGCCGTTGGCCAAGCCGAGCACATTGCTCTAATAAAAACCCCACGTTTCATTGTAAAGTTTAGAGATACAGGCGTCTTTATGTTTTTACTATGTTGTAAGCGTGATGCTATATGAGAAGTGGTCTTTGTTAAATGTAAAGTAGTATGACTATAATAGAACGAAAAATGCAGAGGGGCGTGTTGTGTAACTTGAGTCAGTCAGCACAGGCGATGCATGATACTTGTACACTATTTAGGACTAGTTCCTAAACTGCCAGCTAATATCCAATGCATATGAACGATTCTCCTGCTCCAGCCCAGCATGCCCATCATTCAGCTTTCATGATTCGCGCTTACCTGATAGTAAGGTATTGGCTGTTGTTGGATCATCATTGTCATATAAAGTATTAAATGGCACACACCCTTTTGCTATACGTGAGGATCATTTCTTTTATTTACGTGTACCTATTTTCTATTGTGAGGGTGATGATGACGATGGGTGGATGGTGTGTGTGGGGTCATTGAGTGGCCTCAGTGTAATAGCAGTAGGGGGATTTAAACTTGGAAGACAGCAGCTCCACGACTTAGACAACGCTTCTCTTCTTTTTCTCCCACCTTTCCTTATTCCATTCACGACATCTCGATCAAGGTAATGTATTATCAAAGAGTACTCTTGTTGATTGTAAGGTATTAATACAGTTCTGAACATGCGTAGCCAGGGAGTGAGTGTATCCAAAGGGCTGAGGAATGAGCGTGGTGGGTGGTTGGTGGTTGCCATGGCGATATTGTTGCTTCTTTTTGCTCGTTGCTATTCCCGCTCTACGCTTGGTGTCAACAGGTACATTCAGAGTCCAATGTTGCAACCGAATTAGTTCCATTGACGCGTCAGCTTGTATAGAGGGCAAGTTTGGTTTGAAGACGTTGGCTGGTTTGGCGTTTTGTTTCGGCTCAACTACACTACTACACCATGGTTTTCGGTTTCCAGTAACCAACAACAAAGGGGTTTTTTGTGTATATGGAAAAGGCAAGTGCAATGAAACAAACAATGAAAAGGGTGTTTATTGTGTGTGTGAGTGTGTGCTAATAATGAATTGAATAGGTTTCTTTGGTCAGGCAATGCAACTTGGGGCATCATCATCATCTCTTTGGGTTCAAGTCCCAGCCTGTATCAAGTGGTCGTTGCGTCGCTCTGCACTAGCCAAGTGTGCTGGAGCTTCTTGGAACGCGTCCAGGGCTCTATAGGCCTGCGCTGAGTTGAGGATGGGTCGATGACGATGGGCTTTTGGAAGAGCATGGTCACCGTGTTGAGGTAAAAGGGGATTTGCAACAGCTTGTGAATGTGTTGACATCATTGTGAACCAACACGCTCTTCTCGTGATAGGCTTGTTCTTTCCCTTTGAGGATTTCTTTTCATGAGATGGGAAAATGATTGGATCATTCTCTCTTTGGGAAGGATGAATGAGGACAACGATGAGCCTGGACTCTACGTAAGTGATGTCCTTCCTTGCCATGGATCGAACTGGCCTTGCGTGATTCGTGCAGTGCCTTCTCAAGAACAAGGGATCGCCCGACGTTGCTCGTATGGTGGTGATTTGGTTTGTGAATTCCTTCTGATTTGCTTTCTTCCTTAGAGAGGATCGCCTAACGGTATACCAAATCGTCATCATTCCGGTACCAGATGGTCTAACTTGCCTGCTTTCTTATCTATAGAGACGACGATTACGATGATTACCACATTCACAACAATGACGATTACGATGATCACCCCATCTACAACAATGACAGTGATGACGACAACGAGATTCAAAAGGAAGCCTGCAAGATCCTATTCTTTTCAACTTGTGTATTTTTGGATGTTGGTGTGACGGATGAGATTGACGACTGGTGACGAGTACGAGTACGAATGATGACGGAGGACGACTACGACGATGGTGGTGGCAATGTACAGTAGCAAGATAGCTGGATGAAATAAAGCATTGTTTATTTATTACACGCTTGTTGGAGGTTGCTAGCTTGTGGATTACATACTATTGCTTCGAAGATGGAATAATAAAGGTGGTCCGGTTATCGGTCATGCAAGAAATACATGGCTTTTGTGATACAATAAGGAGGAGTGGGAAGTGGGATGAGCTTGAGAAGAGAAAAAGGAAAATGATCCCTCCATTGAGTTTCAGGACGAGTGACCCATCAACATGTATACGTATCTTTTTACATATACAAATTGGTTTATGCAGCTCGACCTTCTCCTACAAGCAAATGTGATATGGAACCATTATTGTCATACGCATACCTTGACACACATTCATTATTGGTATGCTGTTTCACTTACGTACCTTCACAAAAAGCAATCATCGTCATCACCATCCATTTGTGCAGCAATCTTTCAAGGACGTGTTTATGTAACCACCAGGTGCCAATGTCGCCAACCACCCGAAGTAAACTGTTCCATCGAGTATTGAGTGTTGATAAAAGTCCACTTTTGAAGTTTAGTGTGCATGGCCCATATGTGTGATGTATCATTTCTTTTCCACTCCTTGTTGATTACAAACATAGAATGTTTACATATAGATCATCCTCTTAAGCAAGTTCCAGCATATCCTTCTTATATTCTTGTTGCCCCCAATAAGGATACGAAATGAAACATCGACCTGATATCGTGCCCATAATCCATAATCCCATCCATTCATAAGGTAAAACAAGTAGAATTTATTATATTCATAATACAAGCCTTCTCTCAGTTCTTGAGGCAAAGCGAATGCTATTACATCAATTAACAGGACCAACCAACGAGAAGGTGGAAGACATCTGATCCCAAAAGGTTTGGATTGCTTTCACAGCAATACGAAAGGTGTAACCAAGGGAGACTTGCAGCCAGCCGAACCATAACTACAAGACGGCATCAGTGAATGACCGGATCAAGAAGAGTACCTTTGCATTTGAACACGACCGATCTACACCCAAACACCAACTAGCCAGCCGAGCTGTAACAAGAAGGGAACTTGCAGCCAGCCGAACTGTAACCACAAGCTAGGTGCAATCTTGAGACCGATCGTGCAATGCCATTGGGAACAAGGACTCCATGGGACTTGCTGCATTACGACAACCTACAGGATCACCCCCACCCCATTGCATGGCAAACCACACCGCGTAGTTGTATGTGATTTCGCACTATCGCACACTTGTCGTTCCTTAGGTTCTTTCAGGCACTCAACGCGAACGTGTATTACCATTTATCCTCATGACTTGGTTGCCTTGTCAACGTGAACAGCGAGGCTGAGGAAACCCCAGGGTTGCCAGGATATGAAGAACCAGTGAAGCTGTGGAACTCCCAAAGCAGACATTCACCAAAAGAGTACCCCTACTCACTCCAATGAAAAAAAAGTACCTCGCCGTCCTTGGACTTGCTGCCTATTCTTTTATTCGCACCGGGCACATGCTGTACCAAAAAGAGAAAGGAAAAGTTAGTAAAGAGGCGCTCATTGTTGCGCAGCCTGTTTTTATATTAAAAGTGCTGGGCTTGAAATTTTTCGGTTGCTGACGCGTACCACAAGACCGCTTTTGACGTTTGGCAGATCGAGTTAGTTGTATTATTGAGTGATGTGCATGTGTTCGAGTGCGTCTATTCTTCTATGGTGCTGGAAAATAAAAGGTTTTATGAATACAATCTTGCAAGTGACGCTAGTGAAACTTTCACATTGACACAAAGCACCCCCTTAATGCCGATGCGGGAGACAAATGTCTGTGCGCAAGCGGCGCATGTACTGGTACCACTGCAGCACCTAGTACAAGTCATAACAATATAACTACCATGCTTAACTGCCTTGTACCATATAAAAGACCACGCAATGTAATGATGCACTTTCAACTTAAAACGAAAAAGTAACCCTTTACTCTTTCAAGCTTACTACAATGGTGGACCAAGCTTCTGTGACAGCCATTATTGTTGGGGTACAATTACTATAGGTTTATTATCTTTGAAATTACAGTGTCTATTTAAACATGTATACAATAATCCTTTGAAAATTCCACTGCCTTTCGTCTATCAGCATATGAACAAGGAAGCTTTAATGAATGTAATATGACAAAAGGAACAAACCATCTCGATACAATAATGTAGGTAATCCAATCTTGCCTTCCAGCCTTCAAATTTCTATCCTGCCTTTCATTCCAAAAGCCAACCCGTGGACCATATAGAATCAGCGGGCATCGTTGTGACATTGTATTCTTGGTTGCTGCCGTCATAAGCTTCTTCATCCATGATTGTAAAATAGCTGCTGCGTGCATTGACTTGAGTATACCAATACCATCCATGGCGGCAAACCGTCTCTCGTCAAAGATACAAGCCCTCTCATCCAATCCATCCAATCCATCATCATCCTCAGCCGTATCCACATGACGTGATCCATTTTTCCTGCTGATGATATGCAGAGTAACCAAAGCGATATTTCAGGACCACCTATCATGCTCGATTGCATCCACCCATCCATAATCATTGCAAATCCAATATGTTGGTTGAAAAGAGCCACGTGATCGCTGCTGATATGCATCCTTTTCCATCCAGCTGCTGGTCTATCGCTTTCTTGGTCATCCTCGATCGCAGCTCAACCAGGCGAAGATTCCTTGTATTGCTGTGTATTTGATAGCTGATATGGGGATTATCCATTGGAAGTCGTATGCATCAAAGCAAAGTTGCTACACGTAAATAAAGCTGCTTTTAAACAATGGCTATCTGCTGTCCACGCAAAATGGCTGTAAGGCAGGATGCTGCAAGTAACGTGAGACAATGGAGACCTTGCTAACAGCAACTGCTGCTACGTTTTGGTGGCGGCAAAGGAGTGTGCAAGAGAGCGTGTGTTGTAGTAGAGTGACAAGATTGTGAACGTTGTTTGAGACAATGAAGTAAAGACTTTGCTAATAGCAGCTGCTGGAATGATTGCTGTTTCGTTTGATTGTAGCAAAGGAGTATGCAAGAGAGTGTGTTGTTGCACTAGATTGACAAGGAGGTCGTGTATACGCCATGGGCTTGCCATTCAGTCAAAGACAATCGGATCAAGACAAGTGTAGGATTGACATGATGGCTTAAAGCAGAACAATCGTTCGCAGGTGGTAGTTGTATGTACTTGAATGGGCCAACAGTTGGGAATGGGAGGAAGAGGGAAGAGCTGAGAGTGGAAGAAGTGGAATTAAATAGATCAGACACTGCCCCACAAATGCATGAACACTGTACATCAAACCTTGATATTATCATTTCCCCCTGTTGAACCTGAAACTTTCACACAAGATGCTCTTGAGCACGCTGATCACCTTTGCTCTAATAAAGATCCATCATTATGAAAACATTGAATGCGAGCGTCCGAATGTAGCAGAGAGGATGAACGGATAGGAACGTAAGTAGGTTATATGGTTCATGGACCGACATGTTCCCTGTTCCAATGTTGGTCATTCAAATCCTCTCGCATCAAGTCCATTGAATGATGAAATGTTGGGCTGGAGCAGAGGAACCGATCACATGTAGTGGATTGGGTAGCGTTTGGGAATGGGAGGAAGAGGTTATTAGCTGATAGATCATGATGTTGTATATTGTAGAATGACAATTTCCTTATTAAGTGGAACAAATGTATGGGTTCTTTTAATATTATGAGTAAGGTATAAAAATAATGGTACAAGTAAAAGATGATTTTATGCTGCTGCCTCATCATTGCGTTGATTCCTTACACGCAAGGGCTGGATTTCATCTTCAAGACCAAAAGCAACGTGACCACGACGACCATCGCTGCGTCTAATTTCGCCAAACCAAGCCTTCACCTTGGAAGCACGGCTGAAAAGTTGAGCTTGACCCGTATGAGAAAATCCTTTGAATCGATCTGAGACGCGATGTGTAAGGCCTGTTGCCATCAAAGCGATTTGTGAATTTCCACGTGATATGCCGTTGGTTTGGTATAAACTAATGATCCACAATACAACCCACCACGAAAGTGGCACAATGGGTGCTAACGACAAGCCCAAATAGGCTCCTTGATCAAAGTTGTATGTTGTGTCGTTGGTGAAACAAGCATCGCCATAGATAACTCTCGAAGGCATTTGCTCCTCAGGTGCATAAAAGGTCATGAAAATATCGCTCATGTAGAATCCATCTCTGATGTAGTTGGTAAACACGTTTTCAACATTGTCCGGCACAGCCGTAGCCCATCGATCAGCTGACTTTTGGTGAAACTTGACATTCTTGGGATCGGTCATGGTGGCAATGAGAGAGAGTTGATAGGCATAGGCATTATCACTTGTGTGGTCTCCTGTTTCAGAGAAGGACAAATCGAGGACATCGCCATTCAGCAGCCTGTTATAGTCGATATCAATCAAACGCTTGTTCTCCCACGTAGGTCGAATTTCAACATTCAGTGTGCCGGATTCGACCATAGTGCTGTTGGTGATATAGGATCGCAAGGTGCATTGTTCAACCGTTGCTTCTTCTTCAGGATTGTTTAAGCTGCTACTGATTGCTTGTCGGCCTTCGGTTACGATGACAACCGTTTGGTCACCCACTGAGGGTCGATCTTCGGGACGATAGCCAGTTGTTTCAAACATGTCAAAGGAAAATCGTTCACGATCATAATGCGTACGATTATACATTGACTCTGCATAAAACATACGTGGGACATCGATCGGTCGTCCACTTCCAAAGTACTCGCTCAGCGTGCTGACATTCAATGTTTGGTCGTTAATGATACGTGTGTCTGCGTAGGATCCTGTCACGCAATCAATATCAGTGCGCATGGTTGCTATGTCGTGCCAAGTAGTATTGATCGAGTACAAGTTGTATCTGTAATTGACAAGACCAGTGGTGCTATTGGCGGATGATGCACCAAATCCAAGCTTGGGCATATAATCCTGCTTAACACCCTTCAGCTGTGGTGCACGATGTGGTTGTGGTACTTTGTACCACTGCCAAGTGTGGTAGGCTTTGACATTCAATGGTCGACCAGGAGGATCAACATAGCATATAACTGTTTCATCGTAATTTGCAAGAATCTCTTGTGCTGCTGGTCCCAAAGCAATAAGGCCAATTTGGAAGATGACAGCTGGAATAAGGATGGTATCCATTCGAATCGATAATAGCACACGAATTACACCTATTCAACAACCCATCATCAATTAAACAAAGGTAAAGGACAAGAAGGTGGATGTATAATGCTAACCTCCAACACCACGTGTGCAAGCATCGTACACATCAAGTAAGCTGAGCTGACCACCATTCTGGAACCGCACCCACTTGTACTCCGAGATAGCACTACATTGTGTACACAGTCATTTGAATCGTTGTAATTTCCCATATCCAAGAAGCTTCAAACTTACTAGCCAATACCACCCATGACACCCATTTTAAGAAGTGTAGTGATCAGGGATACAAATGTTGGAACACCCATGCTGCCAATTGTATAATCCAAAGGTTTCCCATTCGCTGTGGAATATGCATAGATCAAAAGGCCCATCATAGCGGCTGTGAAGATGACGTTGAGAATAGGCAAAAAGACGACGCCTAGCAAATCACGCACACCCGAGATACGAGCCATCAGCTTTTCAGATTTGCTTTTCTATTATACCCAATATGAATTAACGAATGTGGGATCATGGATCATGGATGGGTATAAAAGTACCTCTGTGTTGGTTGATGCAGCATCATCATCTTTCTTCCGCCGTCTGCTGGTATTATCGTCATGAAGGGCTGATGTGCTATTGTTGGTGCTTTGGTGGGAGTTGTAGCTACGGGTATCGCCTTCCTCTTGAGCCATGTTGCGATCTACAAGGGCTGACAGTAGCGTTCGAGGAAGGAGGCTGTGGGGAGCGAGAAAAAGGAAAAGAAAAATGAGAAGAGAGAGAAGCTGAGATCATCACACACAAGCTTTGATTTTGATTCGACTTCCTAAAATGGTAAATTAACGAGTATGCGCCACGCTCATCCTCACAGCCCCAATTTACTACTTCAAATGCTTCCATCAGTGATACCTTATCATAACGCCCGAGGCAAGATTTATTGGCATGATGACAATACAATCACACGTAAGATGAATCCATGTACAAAAAAGATGTTGCTGGGGTCCATTTCGAGAAATAGGGATTGGTACGGATGATGATGCAGGGCAGGGGAAAAAGGTCGGTGATGTGCAAATGTGTACAAGCGTGTGTCACTATGATCCCGTGACCAAAGAGACAATGGAAAGTGTTGATGCTCTGCTTCTAGGTGGCGTCATTTGTTGTTTGTTTGCTCCTCTATCTTTCTTGTGGCGCAGCTTCGATGTGAATGAACATGTGGTGAATAAGCTTCGCTTTGGATAGAATCGCTATGGCGGATATTCCATTTGCTGCATCGATAACATTGCCCATCCATAACAAACGTCGAGGTGAGGGTAGGTAGGTTGCTGCATCGTCAATCCCCAAGCATCTACATGATCACATGTATTAAACAACCTGATACATGATGGACACCCTCCATACTAACCCTATTTCATTATCGGCTTGTATCGATGGTTACCATCCATGGTCGTTCCTTGACGTAGCTTCTTCCTGCGTACGAAAAGGAATAAGAAAACCTTCTCATGTGCAATGGTACTATAATGCCTACCTCTCTGCTAGTAATCCTCGTTCCTTTTGTCATCGATAACGAAGCAAGTCAACAACAATCCTTGTATCTCTTTCTTTCGATTGAGGAAGCTGTTCCAGATGCAAAGATAGCGGCGATTGGCAGAAGAAAGCCATAATCACGTCCATTTGAAGGTACACCGCATTGTTGTCCTTTGATAATGTCCCCATAGCCAACCCTAACTGATTCATGAATATCCATGTAATATACATTCATGCATATGAATCTTGTACCTGCTGAAGCCATATTGACGACACGAAGGGTGATTGTTGTTGAGGCTGTCGAGAAGAGGTGCTATTGCTGCCTTATTGCCTTGCATCCCAAAGAACGTATCGTCCTTGTGGTTGGCGTCAAAGGAAGCTGTATCTGTCACGGTGTAAATGGCGTCTGTACTTTGAGCTTGGAAGGGCTGCAACCAAGGGCACATGTAGACAACAATTGGTACTCCTTTCTCGTTTCCAACAAGCTGAAGCTTTCTAATTACCGCTCATTGAGGGACGCATTGCAGTTTTGACACGAAGCGGTTGGACATGATGGCGTTATGCACTCCTTTGCTGAAATGGGTCGGTTGTGAAGAAGAGTAAAACGTGGCGGTGCAAGTGTCATGCAGAAGCTGACTATCCCCTCCCTCCCTCCCTCCCTCCCTGGGATTTCATGGTACTGCTTCATAGCTCTGCTATGCATAATCTTTTAAACAATGAAAGGCTCTTTGAGCATGTCTCCTTCATGTCTTTATTTTGGACAATGAAAACGCGCTTTGTGAATGATGGTTGCTTTTGATGTTCGTATTCCAATAAGATTCATCCAAGCTGTTCCCAAATGGGCAGCTATCTCTTTCCATGTCATCAACCATAAGTTCGGCAGTGGTATTTTATCGGCCGATGGCGGATGGATGTGAACCAATCAAACATTTGAGTCATGACGAGCGGGACATAAATCGACAAAACGATTTGCGTAATCCAAATCAAGGGAAGCTTGCAACCTTGAGATCCCTTTTTGTGATAACTTTCCCACGCATCATTATGCTAAGTGTTCATCTGTACCACCTTTGCCATGTTTGCAGAAAATTGCAATTCATTACCTATCGATGTTTTATCATAATGCAGTAAAAGGATACAAGAAGCTAGGTAGCGGCTGTTATTGACAACTATCGGATGAATTACGGTTACCATTTGCTCTCGGCGGACCGCGTTGCCGTTTGCATATGATTGGAGCCTAATCATCTGTTATCAATAACCATTTCTGGTTCCCGCCTTGTCAATTGCTGCCAACACGAACCCAATCTTTTTATCCACCACCTATTTCCCCCCTGTAGTGTTTAATTGCAGCATCCCCAGTACGCTGTAACACACCACTACACATCTTATAGGTATATCCTACACGTCATTAGAGAGAATAATGCCAAGGAATATAGTCAAAAGTAAGCTTTCGGATGTAGGCAAAAGTGGCTCCGCTTTCTCACGACAATCCGATCTTATCGTTTACCTTTTTTGAGCAAATACTCTGAATGGGGTCACAAGCCGATGTCATAATATGTACTCTTATGTAGAACCCTGACAGGTAGGTTTTGAATATAGTTGTAGTACATGATGCATGTTCAATTGGGCGACGCGATTCGTTGTTTCTTCCTCATTTATAGAAGTCATATTCAACCAGTAAGAAGGGAAAGCATTCAAGCACGAATCACCTGTCACCAGCAGGCTAAAATATTTCTGCCCTGTCTTAGTATATAGCATAGTCCGCTATTGAAGGGAAAACAAAAAACGAAAGACAGCAACGGTTCCGCTCGGTATATAGTTACCAATTGCTTTGCTGGTAATTGCTCCTTCTTCTTTTCTCTTTTTACCAACCAACACCTCTCTCTCTCCTCCGCTACGGCAATAATCGGGGCAGCCATCTTCTTCACCCATGGACCAAAAAATTGAGCAAGATGTCCAGGTGACAGACACATCCGTATCCGTGAAGGGTTACAAGGAAGAATACGAGCTCGGGGAATCCGTTCTTGCCGAAAATGATTACAATGGCCCAGAGCCCACTGAAGAAGATTACAAAAACTTGCGCGAAGTCACCGATGCCATCCCCTATTCTGCATATCTCATTATTCTTATCGAATTTTGTGAGCGCTTTACCTACTACGGTCTTAGTGGTCCTTTCCAGAATTACATTCAGTATCCCGATCCTGTGGATTGTACGTTTCTTTTATCATCCTTTATGAGCGAACGTGTCATGAAATGTCTAACACAAATTACATTGTAGATCCTGCCGACCAACCTGGTGCCATGGGTAAAGGTCAACAAACCGCTACCGCTTTGAATACCTTCTTTCAATTTTGGTGCTATATCACACCTGTAAGCTTCATTGGAAATGGCGCAATTTTGAACTCTATACTTATCGTTGACGCAATCTTCAGATTATTGGTGCCATCGTTGCCGACCAATTTTTGGGCAAGTACAAGACCATTGTCGTCTTTGCTTTCATTTACCTAGTTGGCTTGGTCATCCTCGTATGTACATCCATCCCCATGGCTATCGCTTCAGGTGCATCCTTCCCTGGATACATCGTTGCTATCATCATTATCGGTCTTGGTACTGGTGGTATCAAGGCCAACGTATCACCACTCGTCGCTGAGCAATATCGAAGCAAGACTCCTTATATCAAGACATTGAAAAATGGAGACCGTGTTATTGTATCCCCTCAAGCTACTTACCAAAAAATCTTTAACTACTTTTATTGGGTAAGACCAACTTCATATTTACATTTACGCTGTATGCTAACAACTCTTTTGCACAATGATAGGGTATCAACATCGGTTCTTTGTCTGCTATTGCCACCACCGAATTGGAAAAGAACGTTGGCTTTTGGCCTGCCTTTTTACTTCCTGCATTGATGTTTATCCCTGGTATCTTCGTCATTATCCTTGGTCGTAAACGTTATGTGCAAACACCTCCTCGTGGCTCTGTATTCGTTGAAGCATTCAAAGTCTTTTGGATCTCGTGGTTCAAGTGCAAGACCAAAGGTATCGATGCTGCAAAGCCATCCAACCTTGCCGAAACACATCCTCACATCACGGTCACGTATGATGATGTCTTTGTTGACGAGCTCAAGCGTACCATGCGTGCATGCCTTGTATTTTGCTGGTATCCCATTTATTGGTTGTGCTACTCCCAAATGACAAACAACCTTATTTCGCAAGCCAGTACCATGTTGACGGGTAGCGTACCAAACGATATCATGCAAAACATTGACCCAATTGCTCTTGTCATTATGGTGCCCCTTGCCGACAAGCTCTTGTTCCCAGGTCTTCGTCGTATTGGTATCCCACTCCGCCCCATCAAGCGTATCGTCCTTGGCTTCTTGTTTGCTTCTGTTGCCATGGGCTACACTGCTGGTATCCAGGCAAAGATTTATCAAACCGCTCCCAACTATGATCATCCTGATGGCCCCAACTGGATTTCAGCTGCGTATCAGATTCCATCCTACTTTTTCATTGCCTTGTCAGAGATCTTTGCCGTCATTACTGGTTACGAATATGCCTTCAAGAAGGCACCCGAGTCGATGAAATCCATTGTCATGGCTCTGTTCTTGCTCACCAACTGCTTTGCTTCCATTTTGGCCTTTGCCCTTGTATCGGTTGCTGTGGACCCCAAGCTCACATGGATGTACACGGGTATTTCAGCAGCAGCAGCTGTTTGTATGGTGCTCGTCTATGTTTGCCATCACAAGCTTGATGACAATGATGTGCAAGATGATATGATTGGTCGTAACGAAGAACAACGTCAAGAGTATCAACATGCTCAAAACACTACTAATCCTGAACCCAAGGAAGAAGCATAAAAAGAACTAGTTCTTCCTTCCTCCTACCACACACCCACATTCACACACCACATACACACACACACACACACACACACTTATCCCGCTTGTATTGTATCTTTTTTGTTTCCTTCCAAACAGCAGGATCTGTACCCCTTCATTGTCGTTTTTTGTTTTTGTCGTTCTCCCCTGAGTATACTTTTGCCATTGTAGATTCCCCATTTCCCTCTTGTACCTTTATGTTTTCTTTTCAATTGATAAAAAGATGATATATACACTTGTACTATAAGGTTAGCTTCACCAAATTTCTCACGATTAACTCCACCATATGGATTGATAATTGAAGATGCGAATGTTGGGCATTGTATTGAGGAAAATGATAAATAGTCTCGTGCGTGGATACACAACATGGGTTGGGTGATAGTTGAGAATAATGAATTGATATAAAGTTGGAGGATGAATGACGTTGATGATGGGTTTGTGGGTACATAGGCTGGATTACAAGTCACCGATCTTTCAATGCGTTCAACTCTCGGACAAGCATCTCGTATGTCAATATGGTCATAGCGGATGATGGTACTGTACGCAATAGGTTGGTGGGAAGGCCTTTGTAGAATCCACGAATGCTTTCTTCTGCCATGATAACCTTGATGGCATGAAAAATCCCCTTGTATTTGAAAGGCTTGACTGATTGGTTCTGTAACCGTGTTCGTATTACTTCATGTGGATAGGTTGCCATACTAGCCGACATTTTGGATAAGGAAGAAGCGAGAAGAATGGCTAGTGATCCAGGAGACCCAGCATCAACGTCTATTCAAACGTATCAATATCAATAAGCAGGCCATCACCATCGTCATCACCACCATGACCCATATGTACTTACGTAGATAAGTTTTAAGCTTCTCATAGAGTGGGAATTGAACTGCTACGTGTGTCACGCCCAAAAGTGATGAACCTAATCCCTTGTAGTAACCACGAATGCCTTCCCGACGCCCAATGCTGATGAATGCATCCAACGTGCTCTTGTATCGATACGCGGTCCTTTCATTTTGAGTCTATATACTGGTATTTTAGTTACGATATCCTTTCAACCCATACACTATATCCCAACATACCATTAATCGTGTCTTGATCAACCACAAAGGGTTAGTCATGCAGCTGGATGTTGCTCCTGCTGACATCGCCGATGCAATATGGACCAGCCAAGCCTTGTCAGCATCTATCGCAATTGGAAGAAGGTTTCTCAGTCGCAGAGAATGCATATACACATTGCCCAAATCAATTACCCATGTTCCTGCCATAGCGTGCTTTACAATAATCATATGCAGTAAAGTAGATTGCCCAGGTCGGGATGTAGCCGACCACCGTAGGTGTAAGACCACGATACAGGCCTCGAATGCCTTCCTCCTTCCAAATTCTAGAGAGGGTGCCTACAATGTACACATCAATCATGACATGCTTCGTTGTATATGTATGTATGTATCCATGCACTTACCGAAGGTGCCTCTATAGAGGATGACACCGGCTTCAGCCTTCCCTTGGTTTTGAAGGCGTGTCTTGACAACGTCGAGAGGACAAGTGACCACTGAAGAGACAACACCAGCTCCTGCACCAGCAAGTGAATGCTGAATGTTTTCATGTCGTTGTCTACATTGCAAAAAGAGGGTGTTCATGAGTATCGAGTGCCGTTTCGGTGAAGAGGTCCCACGTGGGAAGCAGTGTCCAGATTCGGTTCCCTTACGCAAAACGTTTGTACCATTCGGTGGCAGTGCTCATGTATTATAATAGTTGGACGCGTATATAGAACAAAATGTTGAAGAGGTGATCAAGGACGTATATGGGTTGGGTGAGTATGCGTGAGAGAGAATTGACTTGAAGGTGGTACAAGAAAGGAAAAGTGAATTTGAATCTTCTTTGTGTGGTGTCTCTTTGGTAATATAAAGAATGACTTTTTTTATGTTTGATTGAAGAGAGAGAGAGAGAGAGGGAAAGAAAGAGAGAGAGAATCGTTCACTCCACCCGAGATGAAAGTAACATGCCTCCCAGTGTTTAGGCGTAAACTGCTTGCTTGTGTATTATGTGTGTGATCATATTTCACTCCGCAATAGCCTCGGACTATGCATGGTGTCTTGATTGCATTATTCAGCGTGCTAACGAGTAATATTATCATTCCTTGGGTTGGGGAAATGCCTTCAACTACTGTAATACCGATCCGTAAGATTCCTTATTGTTATTGCTCCTGCAAGGAGAAGATCCATTCAGGTTGAACATACGATCAACACACTCAATTGTGCTATGTACCAAAGCAATACATGATAAGTTTTGATTGAATCAGCAATTCAAGGCGTAGTCATTGCGACCAATGTTGTTTTCTAATGAAAGGACATAGAGACAATAGCTTGATAGTAGCTGTAAGGCATAATGAAATCACACATTCAAATGAGGAAAGAATATTTCAATATCTATTTGATAAGTGTACCATGCAATTGTTTTCATTGTAGAAATGGATGACTCTATTAGGGTGGTGTAATGAAAGCAACCATGGATGTTTCATTCGATAATTTAGCTGTTGTTGGTGGGGGCATTAGCTGAGGAGCGGGAATCCAGCAAAGATTTTGGTGGAGATGGCACAACAACCAACTACCTCTCTTCTCTCTCCCCCTCTTTACCATGCCTGAAGACCTATCCGCCAAAGTGGCCGACATTAGCATCAAGGAAAACGAGGCACCTCCTGCTAGCACTGCCGAACAAAACGTAACCCCTTGGGAAGTCGAAGGAGCTGTTGTCGACGGTGTCCAGCAAGCCATTGACTACAACAAGCTGATTGAGCAATTCGGCACACGCGCCATTGATGAAGCACTCCTCCAACGCTTTGAGTCATTGACCGGTCGTAAGCCCCATGTCTTGTTGCGTCGTGGTACCTTTTTCTCTCACAGGTAGGTCGATGGGTTGCGATCAACTACTGAAAGTACAGGAGGAGGGGGGCTGTTCAGGCAGAGACAATGGGTCCAGGTACTAACAAAGAAATGCATTCCGTTCATTGTATAGAGAATTGAACCGTATCTTGGATCGATATGAACAAAAGAAGCCATTTTATCTTTACACCGGTCGTGGTCCTTCGAGTGATTCCATGCATCTTGGCCATTTGGTTCCTTTCATCTTTTGCCAGTAAGTAGCCATCATCAGGTGCTCTCATTGAAAAAAATTGACATGGGATTACTCATAATGACATTGAAATAGATGGTTGCAAGACGTCTTTGATGTACCCATTGTGATCCAGTTGACCGATGACGAAAAGTTCTTGTTCAAGCAGAATCTTACCATTGAAAAAGCCAACGAGTATGCCTACCAAAACGCAAAGGATATCATTGCTTGCGGATTCAAGCCTGAAAAGACATTCATCTTTTCCGATTTGGACTTTGTCGGGTAAGTCAAGGAAGAAGGATGCAAAAGGGACATCGTTCTTATACATTATGTAGTGGTCCATTCTATCACAACATTGTGCGTATCTCTCGTTGTATTACCGCTAATCAGTCAAGAGCTACCTTTGGTTTCAAGGACACGTAAGTAGATTGGACAAAGGGAAGAAGCATTGATCTAACAAGGGGAGGGGCGTTTTCTTTTCCAGTGATGCTGTTGGCAAGTTCCACTTTGTTGCTGTTCAAGCTGCACCATCCTTCTCCAATTCGTTCCCTAACATCTTTGGTGGCAAGAAGGACATTCCCTGTTTGATCCCCTGTGCTATTGATCAAGATCCTTATTTCCGTCTCACTCGTGATGTTGCTCAACGTCTCAAGTACCCCAAGCCATCCTTGATCCACGCTCGTTTCTTCCCTGCTCTTCAGGGTCCTCAAACCAAGATGAGCGCTTCCATTGACTCCTCTGCCATCTTCATGACTGATACCGCTAACAAGATCAAGAACAAGATCAATCGTTATGCCTTCTCTGGTGGTGGAGCTACTGTTGAGGAACACCGTGCCAATGGTGGTAATCCCGAAGTTGATGTCGCATACCAATACTTGAGCTTCTTCCTTGAAGATGATGATGAGCTTAAGCGGATCCATGATGTATGTTATGTTTTATATGCAAATGTGTAGGCTGAGTATCTGACCCAATGTTTTATAGGCATACAAATCGGGTGAAATGATGACTGGCGAGATCAAGAAGATTTGTATTGAGGTTCTGCAAAAGATTGTTGGTGATTTCCAGAAACGGAGATCTGAGGTTACCGATGAAACGGTCAAGTACTTTATGGATAGCAACCGTAAGATTGAGCCATAGACATTTTGTATAATAAAACAAGTATTTGGATTGTAAACATCATGTTGATATTCAAAGCAAGCATGATTGGTTATTAGGATGCATTGGAATGTTTCATGCTTCATCAAAAAGATGTCTGTAAACAAAAACTCATTTTATGCACGCTCACATCGGAGCTAATGTTGACCGGTGCCTGGTACCCGATGATATACATGACATTATTCAGGGCACCTAAGATAGCAATAGAAGCATTTACAAGTAGGCAACACACATGAAAATGAAGAGCAATGCATTTCAAAAAGTGATACTTTTACAAGCTTTTAATGTTGGGCAGATGAGAGTATCTCTATTTGGGTGGATAATGTTGCACGTTGCACACCTCGGAAGGTTGTGGGGTCCAATCCGTCGCCATTGGATCTCCGCGTTAAGAGAGGTCCACCTGGCCTGCTGTTGCCGTCGTCGTTGTTCGTTGTCCTCTTTCTCTCCTCTCATATTCTTTGTTTAACATGACCAAACATTCCGGGTCCCGTGTCGATTACTCTGATCAGAGCACCGTTATCAGTCGTCAGCGTCAGTCAAAAAGAGATGAGGTAACGTCTTTCAATGCTGCCATGGCTCTGTTCGTTGACATTGCTATCCTCTTTTTATAGGCCATTCGTAGAAAGCTTGAACAAGAGTTATCCAAAAAGCGTCATGGATCAACACGTGCTAGACAAACGCGCAAAATCCCAGGCACAGTGTCAGCTCTACGACCTTCTCAAGCCTTGACGGTGAAGGAAAACCTACTTGTTATTGAAGCAGCTCAGTTGATGGCAGCCAAACGAAGCGATTGTGTCCTTGTTGTCGATGAAGAGGATCATCTCAGTGGTATTTTTACGGTAAGAATAACTCAAAGGGGGGTGGTTGGTATGGTGATGTGAGGACTTACTTTGATTTAGGCAAAAGATTTAGCATATCGCGTGGTTGCCGAATCTCTGGATGTAAGGTAAATCAAGGTTGAAAACACGTATAATGATTTGGTAGGATATTAAGTATCGATGAATAATAGAGCGACTACTGTAGCCCAAATCATGACACAAGGACCCATGTGCGTGACATCCGATACATCTGCAACTGATGCACTCAACTTGATGGTGTCTCGAGGTTTCCGACATCTGGTAAGTATCTGGTAACAAGAGTGGCGCGGTTTTTACTGTGGTTAAGGTTCAATAATCTAACAACGGAAAACAAAAAATTAACAGCCTGTGTGTAACGAAGAAGGAGACATCTTCGGCTTGTTGGACATTACAAAGTGCTTATACGAAGCAGTGGACAAGATGGAACGAGCTTATGGATCTTCACGCAAATTATACGATGCTCTTGAAGGTGTTGAGCGAGAATGGAATAACAGCCCTGTTCAGCTTGTGCAATACATGGAAGCCCTTCGTGACCGCATGTCATGTCCCGATCTAAGCACCGTGTTGGCTGATTCTCCACCCGTTGAAGCTTTCATGAAGACCACAGTACATGACGCAGCTCGTTTGATGAAGGAACAACATACCACAGCGGTCCTTGTTACCGATCGTGAAGGCTTGACAGGCATTTTCACCACGTAAGTTTGCTTTAATCGATTCACATCAACAGCTACTAATACTATATCCATATAGCAAAGACGTTGTTTTGAGAGTGATTGCAACTGGATTAAACCCTGCCACATGCTCCATATCACGTGTCATGACTCCTCACCCAGAGACGGCTTCCCCTCGTACCACAATCATGGATGCCCTACATCGCATGTATGGTAAGTAAATGGACGACGACGAGGGAACCCCACTATTGGTCAACCAATACTCATCGTAATCATGTAGATGGTCATTTCTTGAACCTACCTGTGTTGGAGGATGAAGAAATTGTTGGAATGGTTGATGTTCTTAGGCTCACGTATGCAACATTGGAGCAGGTATGAGTGGTAAAACAGGGTGCCAAAATACAAAAGGGATATTAAATGCTTTTGTATATAGATTCACAGTATACAAGGCAATGATGGAGAGGGTCCAATGTGGTCACGATTTTGGGATAGTTTTGGTGCTGATGCTGGAGAGAGCGAATCTCAATCTTCGGACCCTCTTTCTTCCCTTCATCATCCTGGTCATCACGCACCTTCAGCCTTGAATGCTATTTCACCCGAACCCTCTGCATCCTTTTCACAGCTACAAGGATTCCCTGAGATTACTCCCAACGAGTCAGCTAGCATGGTGGCCAATAACGAGGACAGCCTTTCTGCACATTCATCTTCTCAGTACATGTCGAGACAACATAGCAGCCGTGGTATGACGGGTGATGGCACATTTGCATTCAAGTTTACTTCTGCATGTGGCAAGACCCATCGATTTACATCACCTATCAACAACTATAATCAGCTTCTTGAGACCATTCGACGAAAAGTGATTGGTGAACATATTCCCTCGGATGCTGATAATGGCAATGAAGATTGGTTAACCGTATCCTACTTGGATGATGAAAATGATGAGGTATTGATCACATCGGATGCCGACCTGCAAGATTCGGTACAATTGGCACGTAAACTTGGGCAGGATCGAGTGAAGCTTTTTGTGCATGATTCCAGTCGACCCGAAGCATCACGTACAACCACAGCTGCTGGTACTACCACCACCACAACAACACCTGTTATGGGTCTTGCATCCCAACCCGATACACCTGTGCGTGTAGATTCTCCTGTACAAATGTTTCCAAATGGATCAACGACGGCTGCCAGTACCATGTCACCCGTGCCTGATGAGCCAGCTGTAAAGTATATGCCACACCTTGAAAATGGACACATGGAGCGAAGCCATAGCAGCAGCGGTCATCGTCGTAGTAAACGTCGTTCCAAGCGTAGCTCCAGGAGGTATGATAGCGATGATAGTGACTTGGGCTATTATTCCAATGATGGATCAGCTACGGGTTTCCCACAAGAACTTATGCTACCAGCAGCCATTGCTTTCCTTGGTGTGGTCATTCTTGGCGTATTTGCTTATTCACGTGTAAGCCCAAGGCATCGTTAGAGATCACTCACAAACATACACCCCCCTTTTTTCTTATATGTATATGACATTTCCCCTCTACATACCATTATCTATTTTGTTGATACATGAAAGAAATAAAATTGGAATCACAATTTAAACAACACGCCATCATGCATAACTCAAATGGATATTGCTCTGCTCATCCAAGTATCTGGTATCAGGTATTCAATATGCAGATTAGGATCGGCTATGCTAACTCGGTAAATAAGGCTCCTTCTTGTAAGGCACAAGGAATCATCTATAGTAGTGCTCTTGTATGTATGTATATGTTTATTGTGGATGTTGTCATATGCAAAATAAAGTCTTGATTACTACACTTGCTTTAATCGTTTATGCTTCGCCATCCCGGCCATGGTCTTCCTCTTCCTCTTCCTCTTCTTCCTCCTCTTCTTCCTCTTCACTCTCTTCTTTTTCAGTTTTCTTGTATCGATCACGATCGTGTTGGTCGCTACGGTCTTCACGCTTTGGGTGTCGTTCTTTAGGTCCGTATTCCTCGGCTTCTTCTTCGTCAACCTCTTGATGATCACGTTCATCCTCAACGATATCAGCGTTTACATCACGGTGTTGTTGGTCGCTACGGTCCTCGCGCTTTTTGTGATGTTCTTCAGGTTCTTCTTCATCAACATCAGCCTTTTTATCACGATCTTGTTGGTCACTACGGTCCTCACGCTTTTTGTGATGTTCTTTAGGCCCGTATTCCTCGCGTTCTTCTTCATCAACATCAGCCTTTTTATCACGATCTTGTTGGTCACTACGATCTTCACGCTTTGGGTGTCGTTCTTTAGGTCCATATTCCTCGGTTTCTTCTTCGTCAGCCTCTTGATGATCACGTTCATCCTCAACGATATCAGCGTTTACGTCACGATGTTGTTGGTCGCTACGATCTTCACGTCGTGTCAACTTGTGGACATTGGAGATATCATAGGAAGCTTTGGTGATCTTGGTATCAGTGTTTTCAAGACGAGAATCAACAGCTGGTGCTGCATTGGTTACGGCTGCTGTCAGGAACAATGCAATCGCAGTAGAAATGAAAACGAAAGTGCCTCGTGCCATATTTTAACAAGATGATGGATAAAATGTAAAAGCTATGGTGGTGATGTTTTCTTCTATTGACCCATACTTTTTATATCTTTTATTATCAAGACATTAACCAACACCCCTATAAAGACAAGAGATGATGTGATTATTGGAATGTGAAAACGGGGGAGGAAACGGAGGAGGGTGAGGATTCCAACAATGGTGATGGGAGGGAGGCGTGTACATGCTTTATTATCTTTGATAACCAAGATACGTGGAATATGTGATGTACGAGACATACTTGATTGAACATTAACCGTGAGTTGTCATCTGTTGTTCGTTTTATTTCATGCACGCGTTAAAGCATACAATTGTGCATATGAAAGAAGGGGAGAGAGAGGATTGGATGATCCAAGGGAGGAGTTTCTTTGACACCGAACTGGCAATTCAGGGGGGAAGGGGTGGAAAGGATTCTTTACGCATAATGGCTCTTCCAACTTGGGCATCCGTTGTTATCGCCTTAGCAGCTGCATTGCTTGTTGCTGTTTCGGCCGATGTCATTTACAACAGACTCACACGTAAACCCTTCAAACCAACTGGAAAACATTGCTTCATTACCGGTGGCAGCACAGGTCTCGGCAAAGCACTCGCTATCGAACTCATTAAAAGAGGAGCCAATGTCACCATTGTGGCAAGACGTCAATCTGAATTGGACAAGGCTGCCAAAGAGCTTGAGGTATGTTGTCGTTCGTGAGGATATCGAAGCATGATGTCAAATAGCCGTATCTAAAACATATTCGTTCGTTCGTTAAGGCCCACAAGGTAAACGACAATCAACGCGTGGTGACTGTGAGTGCTGATATGACTTCCAATGCCGATGTCGTTCGAGCCTTTGACGAAGCCAAGGTCAAGATGGATGGTGATCCCGAGATTGTTTGTGCTTGTGCAGGTAAATGAATCAGAAGGTATCATTGCATGTCATCACTGACATCGAACCATAGGCGCTGCTTATCCCAAATTGTTCGTCGATCATACTGTGGATGATTTTGAATATCTATCAAAGCTCAACTATCTTGGACAAGTGTATGTAGCACATGTAAGTATCCATCAAGAGACTGGAGGGGATCAAAAAGAGGGAAAAGGATCGAGGATATTGATGACAGCCTTTTGTATTATAGCAAGCAACGCTGCGTATGCGAGAAGCTGGTATCAAGGATGGCAAGATTGTGTTTGTTTCTTCCATGGCAGGTCTTATCGGTGTTGCTGGTTACGCTGCCTATTCCCCAACAAAGTTTGCTTTGCGTGGTTTAGCCGATAGTCTTCGCAATGAACTCAAGATGTACGATATCGATGTCCACATTTATTTGCCTGGCAACATTGACACTCCTGGTTTTGTCACCGAGGTAAGGGTACTATATCAAATACCTTCCAATGCACACAATTACTTATATACTTTATAGAACTTGACGAAGCCCAAGGTAACCAGGATCATTGAGGGAGTTAGCGTTCCTGTATCACCTGTGGATTGTGCAAAGTCGTTGATCAAAGGTAGGCCCAAAGGACGTTGGTGATGCAACAACCAGAGATATGGTTGGTTAACCCAAGTGAATGTTTAGGTCTTGAAGCTGGCCATTACATGATCACCAATGAATTCATTGCCGAAGTTCTTCGTAGTGCCACTCGAGGTATGTGGATCGAGAGGAATGGATACATATCGCAAATGCTAATTCTTGTTGACAGGTGTCAATCCATCAAATAGCTTTATTCTTGATTCGCTGATGGCCATTATTGGACAGGTTTGTAGTCATTCATCTTAAGCGTTAGATCCACCTTGATTAACAAGATGTTTGATGTAGCCCGCAGGATCCATCTACGCCCTTTACATGGATTACGTCGTCAAGCATACTAAATGAAGGAGAACGCCTTTGCCAAAACATTCCCCTCTTTTTTCATATATCCAATTCCACATAATAGGCAATATTGACAATCCTATATAACACTACCATAATTGGTTTGACTTCCCTTGATATAATAGTACTCCTTGTTTTATCATTGCCACTTGCTGCTATTCACCATCTATGATATTATGGTTTGGTCTTAGGCATTACTACTGAAAATCCAGCGGGGAGATAAGAAAGGGAGTTCCAATACAGATGTACGTTTATTGTTTCAATCATTCGGTTGTGTATACTCGTCGTTAGTTTAACCGATGATGGCAAAAATGGAGAGATTGGCAGATTGATCATATATTACTGCTTGGAGCTATCCTTACCTGTGCCATACTATACTAATGCATCCAATGTTGTAACAAAAGATATGCCATTGAACGTGGCTGTGGAAGGGTTATAAGCACGACAACGCTGCTTTTTCACGAGCGATCGTCAAAGCGTACTTCTTTTTTGGGTTTGGCACATCAGCAAATAAAATGAGAGTTGCCCAACCACAGCACATTTTTTTTCCTGACGGAAGGGGAGGTGGAGGAACGAGAACTCGGATCAACCCTGCCAAAGGAATGGGCCGCGTGTGTCTGTGTGCTGGTGGTATTTGTATTTGTGATTTCACGCAACCTGTATCACGGTACACCGCAGCCGTTATAGTGTGATCGAACCACTTTGTACTCGAAAAGCAATACAAAGAAGCTCCCCTTTTGTGTGCTTGTGGTATGATGTTTCATTGTTGTTGATATCTAGCTCCATGGTATGTGGATGTAGGCAGTGAACCGAATACCTCGTGAGGATGAGTACACATGAGAAGATTTTTTTTACAGGTACACAGTCGGAGACAAAAAGGATGATCCCTCTCTTTTTTGTCGAAGCGGTGACCTTGTAACACACAGCTCTCATCTACCATATGGGTTGCAAAAGCGAAAGGATCCCATAACCCAGAACCTGTCCACCCCCAAACGCGTCTCTTTTTCTTTTCTTTTTCTTTTTCTTTGCCTTATTGTACATACGCCCTTATACACATACGCTTCATTTCGCCTACTTTCATCACCTTTTTACTGCGTTTCATATAAAATCTTTTGGATCTCCTTTTTTCTTCTTTCTTGCGAGTCAAAAAAGAACTGCTCAACAAAACCAACGAGATTCGTGATATATGTACCTGCAGCAGTGAACGAACGAACCCACCCATTGTATATTGAAAACAGCCATCAATACTTGCATCATTACACACACATAGCCCAAACTACCACCAAAAATGTACACACCAGACGCGTATGAAATCGTTGCCGAGGTGATCAGTGTCATTTGCGTGACCATCGTATCGCTCCTTTTTGGACGTAAAATTGCCAGCATCGAACGACCCCTTTACTATATCCGAGGACTCTTGTTGACACTCTACACCACCATGTGGATTTTTGATATCATTACATGCATGGCTAACAGCACCAACAATGGCAACTACATCTCTTGTGGTGTGAGCATATTCAACTGCATCATTGTTTATACCATCGTCAAGATCGTGCTGTATTTGTATTTCATCGAAAAGGTAAAAAAAAGCTAAAGGATGCATAAGCGGAGGCGGAAACGAATACTCATAATATGTGATGCAGATCTATATCATCTCAGTACCCAAAGCCAGTCGTCTACGAACACCCATGTACTTGATCCACTTGGGTCTTTTGGTACCCTACCTTGCCTTGTTCGTGTTGCAAATCGTGTACCGTATTCAAATGGTTGCCGACTCCTATCCCTATCATTGTACCATCGGCTTCCAACTCCCAGCTTCAGTCACCACGTTGGCCTACGATATCCTGCTTTCGCTATTGTACACGGGATTCTTTGTCAAATACGCCTTTTACCCAAGCGTTGCTCAACAAACGGCCCATCAAGCTGTATCGCTTCGCATCATTGCCCAACGCAGTATCGTAGCTACCACCATGGCATTGCTTGCCTCCGCTGTCAATTATTGTCTTCTCATTGGATTGGATGGCCAAACACGTGGTTTGTTGGAAACGAGTGTCATTTCAATTGTAAGCATCTTTTCTTTTCTTGTATTGATTCATGATACTGACGATGGGTATTGTAGACTGGTTCGCTCGTCGTTGTTGGTGTGCATTGGGGTAAGTCATCAAATTGCTGCTATGTGTATCACATCGTCGCTAATCATTACTTTATAGTGGCCATGCATCCTTCAGAAATGCAATGTACTGTCAAGGCATCTCAACTTTCTTCAGCCGAAAAGCCCATGAAGCTTGAAATCAAGCAACATCAAGAAGTCGTTGTTCTATCTGAGCTTGCACCATAACTGGTTTAAGGTGCTTGTTCATCCAAAAGAATACCATTCCCCCTCCCCTTCCTATCTCCTCCTCCTCCTTCATCCTTCTTCATTTGCTCATTGTTCTCAAGTTATTCGTTTTTATATATAAGTGTTAATATTTCATTCAACCCATTCTATCGTACAGTACCCATCCTTTCCTAGTTTACATGTGTCGTGATTGCTGGTGGTATGTATGGAACGTACTTATGCCCCTCTTTGAATCTACAGATGCATGACATGAGAAAAAGAAGTGTGGATAGCGATCATATCATTTGAATGCTTACTGGTAAAAACAGCTTGAATTCTGCTGGTAATTCTTCTTCGGCATAAAGCCTATCGGTAAAGTAGATGCGACGTAATCGGCAGTTGGCATGGATGGTGACACGGGTTGTCTCGACATAATTGGTGCCATATGCACGCTTCACATAATCTGCCAAGTCAAAGACGATTTGATTCCATCCTGGATCAAGACGCATAGGCATGGTTGCAATGTAAGGTTTGACTCGTGTTACCATCTATGGATGAAAAAAGGACTACCTGTCAATGTGAACCTTGTCTCGTAACCATACACACACACAATACTTGACCTGGTAATTGGATGCACGAAATCGCCGAGTAATCCCCTTATCATCCAGTACTTGAACTTCAAAAGAAAAGTATTTGCCAAGGTTCTTTGCCAAGAGAACAATGAATGGAAGCTTGATACCAAGTGTGCGATCAGGGATGGAAGGGCACGTGATGTATGTCTCTGCAAGGTTGGGAGAGAGTAATTCAATCACTTTGGAGCTGATAAGATCATCCTCAACGAAATCAATGTGTGCTGTAGGTTCCTTGTTGTTGTTGTTATCATTGTCGTCATTGTCATTGTCGGATATCGGGAGTTGTTGATGCCATAGCTGTAACGGCTCAGTACTGAAGGAATACCAACACGTGTGAGTGTGTCAGTCAATGGCGATCGTGGAGTCCATGGTGGGGAGTGTTGAATACTTGCCCAATGCTGTATAAGATGGAAAGGAAACCAGACTATTTATATTCATGAGAATGCGGTTCTGGTGGCCTGGTGGTTCAATGAATGACGCATGCCTGAAAGGTGTTTTTGAACATGTCAAGTTCCTGCGGGTAAATAGGGTGGTGGAGGAGGAGGACAAGGAAACCAAACAGCTGATTTTGTGTTTATGTGCCGATAACACCACCTCTTTCACTTTCCATACCTTCGCTCTCTCCGCATTTCCGCGCATTGTACAAGATGCTTGTTAGTCGACGCATTACCTCACTACGCCCTACATTCGCACGTGCCATGGCAACAGCAACCAATGGTGCAGGAAAAACAGGTGCAACACAAAGCCAACAAGGTGAACAACAAGAGCAACAACAACAACAACAACAACGACGTCGACTAGGACCCTTGACACCTAAAGAGAAAGAAGTGTTGGACCCAATGATTCGTGTCGACCAATCCGGCGAAGTGGGAGCATACTATATCTACATGGGCCAAATGGCTGTATTGGGACGCGACAAGAAGCTACGTCCTATCTTGCAAGAAATGTGGGACCAAGAAAAGCATCACTTGGAGCGTTTTGACCAGCTTGTGGGTGATATGCGTGTACGTCCAAGTCTACTACGTCCATTGTGGGAAGTGGCAGGATTTGCAGTTGGCGCTGGTACAGCATTGATGGGTAAAGAAGCAGCCATGGCATGTACAGAAGCTGTCGAGACCGTTATTGGAAACCACTACGATGATCAGCTGCGTACCATTGTCAAGATGATAGACGCCAATCCTGACTTGGAAGAACTTGGCAAGGTAAGAAAAGAACCCGTTGTATCCTTCTTTTGCTATATCACTCATTATGCATGTTTATAGACCGTGGCCCAGTTTAGAGACGAGGAATTAGAACACCATGATATTGCTATCGAACATGATGCTCACCAAGCTCCCTTCCATGGCGTGCTCAAATCAGTCATCATGCAAGGCTGCAAGGCTGCTATTTATGTCGCCGAGCGCGTATAGACACTTCCAACAGCATGACAACAGTATCCTCCCCATCTCTTCTCTTTCTCTTTCTCATCATATCTTAATTACCCATTGCACTGTATATTCTTTCTTCAATACACTCATAAAAAAACGCATTAAGAAGATACGTTAATGACCACAAATTGAGTGAATGGGATGATCAGGGGCTCTTTACAGGTTTCCATGCCAACCAAAACCCCAACGTGGTTGGAGTAAAAAAGACCTTGGATACTACCAAAAGAACGACAATCGATTCCTTTCCTTCCCCATTAATTGAGAATGGCTATAGCTGTGACCGATGGGGATGCAATGCATATAGCACACGCTGTCACAAGTTACATACGGTAATCCCCTTTTGGCAAGATGGATTCAAGATGAAAAAGTCTTTTGTATTAAGATGAAGAATGGATCCAAGAACATTGCAGGTTTGTTGTCGGAGAAAGCTTTCATATGCAGCCACGCTAATCACTGTTGGGGATTGTTGTGGATGTAAAAAGCATACTTTAGGTGATGTATCCAAGGCTATAAAGAAAGTTTTAAAAGTCTTAGGAGGCGTTTAATTGATAGCTGTGTATCCAGTTTCTGCCCTTTCTCTATGCAGCAGATCATGAAGAGCGTGAAATGTATTGGGAGGGAAGCTGTAATAAGCATGCAGCATGCGACATTTTATCAGCACGGGCGCTCAAATGCTTTACGACTCATGGTATGACAGAGCACCGCGCGCACGATGGTTAGTAAGAGCCATGTGCTACATCACCACCATTACCATTACCCGTCTCAAGACCCCGTTCAGGAACGACGCACCAGGCTCCTCATCAATGACGACAATCTGGGGTTGCACAATGTGAGTATGAATTGAATGCTGATGTTTGGTGGGTGGATGAAGCTGACAAGAAGAACAAACAACGTGATAAATGACGTGGGAAAGAAAGCGGTAGCCAAATTTCAAGGAAAGCTTACATGTATGATAACGATATCGGTAGAGCTTATGCATGGTGGCGACATGTTTACAGATACAGCACATGATGATAAGCAACATCATCGCTTTTGATATTTTGTCTCCTTATCGAAAATACAAGATTGCATAAGAGGAAAGGGTCCTTGTCGGCGATTACTCATTGTTGAGCCTATAAAACCCAAAAAGCGTTTCACGCCTGCCTCTTCTTTTTTCTTTTTCTTTTTTTTTCTTTTTCTCTTTCTCTTTGGCGAAGATAGCCCCCTGCGGTCACATATTAAACCAATGTTACTTGGCCCAGCGTCATCCACAACACCCACCTCCAGGGGAATGCCTCCAGGGTTTTTAGGTACGTGTGTGTAGAGTGTGTAGTAGCGGGAATAAGTGGTGTGGGATATATGCGTAGGTTGTGGTGCGGAGAGGAACGGATTAGGGTGACATCCATGATTCTCATTGGGTAGCTCACCACGCCTTGTGCCTTGTCTTAGATTTTGCTTCTTCATCATTCGATGCCATCTTTTATGAACGTCTCCCTGAGGATAGTGCAAGGCCAGGCGAAAAACCACCTCCATCTCGTAAACGGGCATCTCACTTGCCTGATTTACTTCCATTTATAAAGCTCGTGACAGAGAAATGCAAGGTACAGCCCGTGTTGCTGGTCATGGCACTTTTATACGTGCAACGCTTTCGCAAAGCGTTACCTCCTGGTAAGTTGCATTTGTGGGATACGTATGTAAATGCGTCGATGACTCATTGTTGTCATGACGGCAAAATGGCCTTATTAGATTACAAGGCAGAACCACAAGCGGCCCATCGTATCTTTGCAGCTAGTCTATTACTTGCCAGCAAATACAGTGAGGATGATCATTTGTCAACAAGGCAACTTGTGCGTGCCACAGGCGATGTGTGGTCTGCCAAAGAAATGACGCGGATGGAACTAGCGTTTCTACGTTTTCTCCAATGGGACTTGCATATTGAAATGGATGAAATGGAGTCGTTCTTGTGTCACCTTGATTTCGACATTGCTCTCATATTACCATCAAAATCCCGCCATGCTGCTTCATGTCCTTGAATGACATCTTGTTTCCCTATTACTATACCCATTGTAGCTTTCCCTAGCTAAGATTCACCAAAGCTGTATCTATGTAGCCTTACTATCACCATTCTTCTCTGTATATAATAGAACTTGCTCCTCCTTTTACCCCGTTCAATTGACCGCTTATTGAAAAATGACATTCAGCTGCATGTAATGAGCCACAGCAAACTCTCTCTCTCGAATTTGGGCTGGGTGTATAGTATGGCAGCAGCAGTGACAGGAGGAGGAGGAGGCTAATTAGATCAATGCCCCGCGCAACATTTTTCTATTTTCTGACATGAAATTTTACAATCCGGTGTCTCTTTTTCCCTTTCTTTTTACATTCATTCTTTCCTTGAATGCCTTTCACGAAGCGCTTTGATGCGGAATGCATCCCAGAGTGGCGAAAGGCTTATATTGATTACAAGAGCCTAAGGGCTCTTGTTTACGCCATTGAAAAGGTAGGCTACTATACATGCATATGCATGTTTTTGTCTCATAGCAACAACATTGATCTCGTTTCATAGCAACAGACAAGCAGCATCCTTCGTAACAACATGGCGACAAGACCTGATTCCGCTACATCATACGTCAACTCACCGCCAACACAGCTATCGGATGTCGTAGCACGCGACATTGAAAGCGAACGTACACAACTATCCAATGCGACCGCTAGAGAGGAACAGCTTTCACAAGATGACCTTGGTTTTTTATATAACCTGCTGACGCATGGTACAGCACAAGAGAAATTGTTCTTCGACATGCTGGATCAACAATTGGATAAGGTTTCCAAATTCTTCAATGGTACATCACCATCACCACCAACGCTGTCAACCACCTTGTGTCGCTCACATGTTGACTACAACTAGAACGCGAGCATGATGCACGATCTAAATTTACGGCGTTGCAAATCCAGATGAAGCTAGTTTCAGACTATGGCCAATTGCTAAAGGATGACGAGGTATCTATAATTACATACCCAGTGCAGGACTACAATGGGGGCTGTGTGTGTGTGTGTTAGTGTTGAGAAAAGTGGAAAGGGCCGAGCCAAAAACAAACAAACTTTAACAAATGCAATCAACCGAAAAAGGAAACCAACGTGAGTGAGACAAGCCCATTGCTACGGCAACATCATCCCGACAACCTGCATGACAATGACACCACTTGGCCACCATTCCTTGATAAAAAACATCACCAACTCGACTACCAGGTACAGCTACAAAGGTGGATAATGGTCTTGTTTCCTACCCCACTAAGTGCTTGAGGATAAACATAGGTTGCACGTGGTCGTTTGAAAAAGGCAATGACCGAGTTTTATCACAGCTTGCAGTATTTACAATCGTTCAAGGTGACTAATAACAAGCCCATTGTACATTGATCTTCCATACTTATCGGTCACAACAAAAGGATTTGAATATGCAAGCATTCCAAAAGATTCTCAAAAAGTTTGACAGGGTATGTTACTACCAAGCAGCAAATGCCATAGTGTACAATCCTCACCATGCGTATTATTCTTTAGGCCGCTGGCTGGAAGGCTGGGTCCGTATACATGAAAAAGGTCAAGCAGCATCATTGGTCAACGTGCAATGACGTTGAGCAAATGATTGAAAAAACAGAGGTACAATAGAATCCCCGTATCTCGACTTCATATCCAATCTCATGCCTGCCATGCCAATAGGAATTGTATACGAGGACTTTTGCGCATGGTAATCGTCGTAAGGCTATTCAGGCACTCAAAATTTACCAAACAGCCGAGGTATGGTATCCTGTGTCTCATGCGAACTGCGGCAAAACGGCAGCCTATTCATCCGTCTTCTAATGTATTATGCTGTACGTAGCCCCATACCAGTGCCGCATGGCGTGTCGGCCTTTACCTTGGTGCATGCATTATTCTACTCATTCATACCGCGTATTTGGGTAAGAAGCTTCATACTGAATAATGCCAATGCGTGTTTGCTAACATAAAAGATGATAAGCTTGGGATCCCGAAACCAGCCAACGCATACCCCACATGGCAACTCACTTGCAGATCTATGCCGCATTCTCGCTTCCTATTCTCTTTTCATTGGGCTTCTCGGTGAACATGATGGTTTGGACACGCTGTCGCATCAATTACAAATTCATCTTTGAATTGGACCCAAGCAACAATCTTGATTACCACCAATTTGCTGAAGTAAGTGTTGGGATCCTAAAGTCATCATCCTATGATACTCACACAATGTGACAGCTCCCGGCATTGTTTCTGCTGATGTTGTCAATGACCATGTATATAGACTTTTCTCAATTATTGGAGCCAACGATCTCTTCACAATCTTGCCCAATGATTTTCTTTATTGCTGTTCTATGCATTTGCGTTTGCCCATTCAACATCTTTTATCGTTCAGCACGTAAATGGCTTGCTATTGCCTTGGTGAGTGATAGGATTTGGTATGCCTTATGACTACATCACTCATTGTATCATTGCTTGGTTCTCTTTAGGGTCGCATCATCTTGAGTTACTTGTTCCCTGTTGAATTCCCTGACTTTTTCATCGCTGATGAGCTTAATAGCTTGGCCTACACCTTCTGGACCATCACCTACTTTTTCTGCGCATATAGCTGTAACTGGACAGGATTAGGTTTGTATGCATGGATATCCCTTTAGAAGGCTTTAAAGCTTAAATCATGCTATCATAGACGAGCATTGCTATGTAACCCATATGTGGATAACGCCCTTCTTGGCAGCCCTACCACCTTGGTGGCGTTTCCTTCAATGCATTCGTCGTTATAAGGATTCTGGAGAACGTGTCCATGTTATTAACGCCATCAAGTATACAACCTCTATTGCAGCCACTTTTGCCACTGCCATTCGTCGTATGAAACGTAAGTTGTCATCATCTTTGTATATACACATTGACTCATACGCTATTCAGCTACGCCTGGTATGGATGTCGTGTGGATTCTTTGCTCTATGGTCAATTCCTCATATACATCGATATGGGATATCAAGATGGATTGGGGATTGCTAGTGCCCCAAAGCAAGCATGCATTGCTTAGAGATGATTTGGTATTCCCAGTGCCTGTAAGTCACCTATGCAGGATGTTATGTATATAAGGGGGGCATGTTGCTTATGATAGACACTATAGATCTATTATGTATGTGCCGTTATCAACGTAGCCTTGCGTTTTGCATGGGCTTTAAACACGGCGGGGTTGACCTTGCACAGTGACATTCTCGGCTATCTCACTGCTGTGATGGAAGCGTGTCGACGTTTGCAATGGAATTTCTTCCGCTTAGAAAACGAGGTACATTTACAGCAACCCCACAAAGGATATGTTCTTTATTAACCATTTTGGTTGTAATAGCATCTTAGCAACTGCGCTGATTATCGTGCCATCAATGAAATTCCACTACCATTTTCTCCACCCGAGGATATCAAGCAACGAGAAGAGCAACCCCTATCACCTGTATCAGAGGAAGAAGGATCGATCGAATGGCCAACGCAAAGACTTCCTCGTCGTATGCAGCATCAACAGCTCCAAAGACAGTATACCTGGGCCCATACCATCAATCCTGCAGTTCCTACACGTGTTGGATCGTTCTATGGTCGTCGTGACTTTGAAGGCAAACGTGAAGTTAAAAAGCTACCATTCGGATACGTTAGCATGGGTCGTAGTCCTAGCCGCAAAACATCCGCGAATAGTAGTGATGACGATGACGATGATGAAGATGATGAAGATGATAATGATGAGACTACCCATATGTCACCTAGACAATAGTTGTGTTTTATTGGATATGTACAAGTATAATGTATTCCTCTCTTTTACATCTATAATCCCTTTTGAATCTTGCTAAGCAAATGATCTACTTGTGCTGCCATGTTGGGTTGGCCTTTCTTTGTCTTGGACATTAAACGACCCCGTTCACGTTCTCGTTGCTTGTAGTATTTTCTCTTTTCATACTCTCGATCGTCACGTTCTCGTTGTCGCCTTTTCCGCTCATCTTGTACTGATTTGAGTCGTTGTTCTTTCTCTTGTATTTGGGCCTTGAAAGGATTGGGTTTACGCCTGATAAGGAAAAACACACGTTAGCAACATGAATGATGCATGAATGATCTCTCTCTTCCTTTCCACTTACGTCTTCTCAGTCTTCTTTTTCTTTGCTTTACCCTTATCATCCTCATCTTCACTTTCATCGCTGTCTGTATCATCGAGATAAAATACTCGGTCATCTTGATCCTTTTTTGATGCTGCAGGCTTTTGACCGTTTGTGTATTCGACAATATTCCCCTCGTCATCAATCGTACGTTCCCCAAAGATCTATATCATTCAAGGTATCAGCAAAAGCTTATTTGAAACATGGTCCAGTCGAGATCTACCTCTTTGACATAGTCGGGTGTGTCTTGATCAAAGTCAACCTTCTCGATCTGCTTATGGTATTTGCGCTTGACCTGAGCCTTGTGGATCAACTCATTCTTTCGTTTCTTGACTATGCAATGGAGCATTGAGTATATGGTTGCCGGGAAATTATGGGTTGACAAGGATACCTTTGCGTTCGTGCGGATTGAGTGGGCGTTTTGGCGGCATCGATCGGGTGAAGGTTGGAAAAAGGAAGAGAGAAAGAGTCTGGTGGTAAAAGGTAAGTCACTCTCAATGGTCATTAATAGCGGCATGCATTGTGCTACCTACGAATGCCAATCATTCCCAAACTCACTTTGTCGCCCTCGTTTCTTTCTTTTCCCTTTTGCTCGTTTTTCCACTCACAATGCTCGACATTCGACGGCACGGCCTAGCTTTGTTGCTTTTGGCTCTTTCCAGTTACGCTAACGACAACACCACTAGCAACGCAACACTCGTATCCAACACAACAGCTCCTGAAGACGAGTTGACATCCACCACTAGTGGAGAAAAGACAACAGCAGTATTATTCGTGGCTGCATCACTCGCATGGATGACGTTTCGAACTATAGGCATTGGAGTGTACATGGTGATATCTTGGATGACATGGCCCGTGCTTTTCGTACTCGGATTGGTGTGGCGTATCTTGATCGTCCGACCTTGGGAACTCTTTGTATCGTTTATCCATGTCGTCTACCCAGTCGCATTGTTTTGCTTTGCAGCCGTATTATGTGGTACCATTATTGGCGGTTGTGCAGGTTTTGCAGCAGAGGCTATTGCATGGTTCTCCATTACAGCAACGTGGGGTCGTTCAGCAGCATCCATTCCAACAAAACGTATCCAAGCTGCTGAGGAACGGCTGCAACTGGAAGGTGGAGGCTATCAAGATGATGTTGATGACGACTATGATGATGATGATGATACAAGTACGGATAACGTTGGATTTGATTGGGATGTCAAGGGCAAGATGCCGGCAGCAGCTCTTGAAAAGTTACGTGAACGCTACCAGAAAGAAAACGACGACATGTATGATGATTGGGCATGGGAAGAAGATGATGATAGCATAGACACGTTCCCACGAAAACGATGGCATCACCGATCGAGTTCATCCACAACACCCATATCCATTGTACGATAAAGAAAACAAATGACTACATATCAGCATTATTACATCTCAGGGTATTGAGCAGGATCAGGTGCCTTCCTTTTGTCAAAAGTCAAACCAGGAGAAGAGATCACTTTTTGTGTCAACATATGGAGCACTGGTTACATCCCTTAAGTAGGATTATTCAGAGAGAGAGCAAGTTTATGCATTCAATGAAAGGGATAGACTCTTTTTAATACCATGTGATAGAAGGAGATGTTATGTAACATTGTCATGTTCCCAATAAAACAGCACATGATGTCCTTGTTTAGAAGAGGCACTAAGCTAACTTGCCGTAATCATTGATGCATCAAAGTGAACGTGATGATAAGGAAAAAATAATGACCCAATGCATCGTCTTTGTTTCTTTCAGCTGATGACCTTACCATAATGCCGATCCCTGGCATGGCAGCGAAACAGACTTTCTATAGCAAGTAAGTGTTAGTTGGTGGTTCATTATTCGGAGTACACGATTCCTCGCGTCGATTTTTGGAAGCGCAGCAACAATGAACTTCGCGACGCGCTCTACTCCTCTCTCTATCTATCTCCCTCAACCAATTCACCCCATTCAACTCATGGACGTCGATGGCCACATTGTCGCTCATTTTGTCGTTCTCTTTACAGCTCAAAAGCTTAAGAAATTCAAGACCTGGCAGGATGGTAAGCAATGTCGTTTACAATGAATATCGAAAGCACACGCTGACTGGACCCATTTCAGGCACAATGAAGTATTACAGTTTCAACAGAAAGGTAGCATTCAACAAGTGCATTGGAATGACTTTTATTCTTATGTTTATTTCTCAAACTAGCTTGTGTTGACTGATGAGAAGGGCTACCATATCGACAAGTAAGATCATGCATGAGCAAGTGTCATTGGTAGTACTAACTTGCATATGCTTGCAGAAAATTCAATCGCAAAGGTGTTCCCGATGTGGGCGATGAGATCGAGTTTGATGGGCATTTGGTGACAGTAGAGTCCTTCGAGAGTCAAGAGCCCTACGTCAATGAAGTGGTTACTCGACCTAGTGGAATGACAACAACATCATCTCGTCCTATTATGCATCCTGTCACTGCAACACCACCGCCACCATCATCATCCATCACACAGGTAACCTTTGCTTTTCATAAAACCTTGGCTACAACGTATTTCTTACATCTTCTTTCAGACGAATGTCAATCAACCTAACGACAATCGACATGGCAGAAAGAGACTTCGACCTATCGGGAATCGTCCTTTAGGGCTGTCGGCACCACGTATTCAGCCATCTTTATCCGCACCACATCCATCGACCACACCAACACCCTCCTCCATCACACACGACACTAATGATCAGCACATACGTTTGTCGAGAGTATCATCTGTAGAGCCAACAAACATAGCAACATCTCCACAACCTCACATATCAAGTACTATTGTCGAGTATCAGCAGCCGCATAATAATAATCAACAACCCAACTCGACAACCAATACCCGAGTTCACACACAGCATATTCCACAATCAATTGCATCTACTCAGCCATCAATTATTACACTTGACCCATCACAACAAATCGCAAACATCCAGCAAGAACCCAATAGCAGCAGCCTTCGAAAAAGACCAATAGAGCCGGATCCGATCGAAACGTTGGACCTTGATTGGGATGTGGATATAGACGAATCGATCAACACAGCACCTTCTACAAAGCAACCATCCTCAATTCAAACTCCAAATCCACCTTCTAATAATGCTTCGACAACGACTACACCTGCCACGACCAATTCAAGAACACCAGCACCACCTCGTCGAATGCGTGTGGGAATTTCAAAACGCAGCTTACCCAATGTCCCAGGAGAGCATCAACCTATCACTACTTCAAATGATAATCCATCCTCCAGTAATGCAAGGTAAATCAGGGATGATTTGGGAACAATGAACGGTTAATTCATATTTTCTTTGTTAGAGGGTCTTTTGTTTCAGCAGCTACCGTTATTCCTGATGAAGCAATGGATCAAGAGCCTGAGGCTGCTAATAATATACCAACCCCAACGTGAGTCTCATTCTATATATGATCTTGTTTTTCGGATTGCATCTCACACGTATTCAGTAGTGGCTCGGCTAAACCTTTCAAATCACCTCTCGCCGAAGGCGCGTAAGTACATGACATGTTTACATCAAGGATGAGTGAATAACAAATCATACTTCATAGACCTGTTCCACTTGTGCTCCAATTTCCTACTCGTGAAAAGACAATGACGATCATGAAGACCAAGAAATACCAAAAAAGAACTCGAGTTGTTCCGTCACGCATTGTAGGTTTCTTTGTGATGGTGATAGGATGCAGGGATCTAATCGGATGAACTTTGTAGCCAAATGTCAATCAATACAAGGAGGTTTTCCGGAAGATGATCCATGAGCATTTACAGGTAAATAGCTCCCTACTTTGAATACACCAAGATTGACCAAGCTAACGTGTGGGTTATTCAAGATCATGTTGACCAATTATGCAGTATACTACTTTTCGGTGCAATCAACCCTTGGCAACCAACAGCGTGGTGATATTGAGCGACAATTCCGCTACAAAGGAATCGGTTTTTATTCAACAACGCTTCACAGGTATGAAGGTTATTATGCTGTTACATTCATTCATGATGTCTAATTGGGTTTTGCAGTGATGGAAGATACCAAGAGTCTTTGAGATTTCGCATCAGGATTCGCAACCGAGAGCATCATTCAAAATACAACAAAGGTAAGTAGAGTGGGGTTGCGGCAAACAAGCGCTCTGACAAGAATGCTTCGTTGCTGTAGATGATATTTGGGTTATTTCTCGGTCATCCAATTTCGAGCCCCACGGCACATTCCTTGCAAGAAGCACATTTTATGGGCCTTTCGCAGATGGCATGCTCGAGGTAATTGAACAACTTTGCACATCACGTTGCACATCACGCTTACACAACAATCACTCACTTGCCTCAGATCGAATGTCTTTCCCCACGTGACGCTCGCGTTGCTTCTCAATTGGTGGTTCAAAACGGCAATCTATGTGCTTTGCGATCAATATCTGCCACCACCGAATTCATGATGCTAGGTAATTCGAATACTATGGCTCGATTTTTGACCCACATCCTAATCTTGATATAATAGACCATCTTGATGACAAGCTGGATAGATTGCCATTGATGCCGTTCTTGCTTGGAGATGGAAAAGGAAAGAAGAAAAAGAAAGACAAGGAGCCCCTACACCAGAATATGACCAACGAACCCGATTTCATTCGATTACGTCGAGAGGACAATATTGATGTGGAGAAGAAAATCAAAGAAACGATCGATCGTTATCATCTCAATGAAGATCAAGAAAGGTAACGTATTGAACATCATCATGTGCCATTTCGGGTCCTGATTTTTGCTTCCAGTGTGCTTCGTCAAGTCGCCAAATCGATCATCATTGCTCCTGGTTGGAATGATGAAACGGCCAATCCAATCGTGTTGGTGCATGGTATGTATTGTAGGGTGTGGTTAGGATGATGGATTGTTAGTAACCCATTCTATCTTTTAGGTGTCTTTGGTTCAGGAAAGAGGTATGTTAGGGATCATGACATAAGCTAAGGTTGTTGGTATCATACTCACTAGCAATTACTATAGTTACCTAGCAGCCGTCATTATCATATTCTTGCGAGACATTATCGACACAGCATGCCTACACCGCGAACCTGATGATTTAATAACGTTTCGTATCCTGGTCTCTTCTAATACGGTAAGCAACACCTTTTTAGCCCACAAAAGAACAATGGACTCATGCCTCCTTTGAAAGAATGTTGCCGTTGATCGTATCTTGGCAGTAAGTATGCTATCATTTTTATAATTATCAATGGCTAATTTCTTATTACCCTCTCTTTTAGTCACTACTCAAATTGGGCTATGATGAATTTGTACGCATTGGAAGGTAAGGATCTCTCACATTAGCCGTATGACAATTTTAGCAGCTAACGTCGATTTCATATCATCAGCCTGAAAAAGATAGCCAAGGCAGTTCTTCCATACACCGCAAAAGCCAAAGCATCCGGAAACGATGGTACGCTTACTACAAACAAGACAAGCTTGAACAAGTTTGCTGATCTTGCTCTTGCTTTATGGTGCTAGAAATCAAGGAACTCGAGCAAATGTTAGAGGATCCACACAACTCAGAAGAAGACGCCGATTTGATCGCATCTACGCTACAAAGGTTTAGGAAAAACGAGAATTCCTTCCAAGTGCAATATGCTCAAGTCGTGGGTAAGTTATATGGCTGGTGACTATTTTATGAGGAAGCGTCAACCAACAATGGATTCAGGTACAACTTGCGTTGCTTCGACATTTGAAGTTTTCAATGGTGTCACGTTCTCTTTGGCCCTCTTGGATGAAGCATCACAGCTGATGGAGCCGTTATCGATGGTCCCGTTATCAAGGTTTTTATGCAGCAGGCTGCTTATGATAGGTGATCCATTGCAGGTACGTTGAATACAGGCCACGTAAACAACTTTTACTTAATCGGGCTATTAGCTACCTCCCACTGTCACTACGGCATGCGATGAACACAATACTGGTGAAGGCATTGATAAAACATTGTTCGATCGGCTGACCGAGGTAAAGTTGTTTTTGAGGAGATCTATGTGTCATTGTCAGGAAGCTGACTATTTTCTTTGATTATCTTGTTCTTAGATGGGTCATCAAGTAAGTTTCTTTGTTTCATATTACAATGAATCACCAATGAAGGCTGACATTACCTTACTAGTCAATCATGCTACGAACGCAATATCGAGTAAGTGCAAAGGAGGATCAACTCGACAAATTGATAACCACGTATGGCTTGTTTCTAGTGCCATCCAAGTATATCAGCAATCAGCAATCATTTGTTTTATGGACGTAGACTTCGGAATGGCATCACTGAGGGGGATCGTTCACCTATCATCAGCGGGTTACCAAATCTAGCTTTCGTGGAAATCCCTGGGCAGGTAATATGGTGTTATTTTTAACTTGAATGAGAATCCAACATCCTTAACATGGCCATCCATAGGAGCAAAAAAGTCCGCGCAACCAATCCTTTTGGAACGAGACCGAAATCGCTATCGCTGCTCATATTACCGAAGCACTATCTAATCTTGGAGTCCCAGCCAGTGACATTGGCATTGTTGCACTATGTAAGTTCATGCATTGGAGTGCTACCCCTTTTCAGGTTGGCTGAGCTGACATTCTTTATCTAGATAAAGAACAAGCTGATCGACTAGCTGCTCATGTTGGCTCGAATGCTCAAGATCGAAAACAGCACGTGCAGGTAAATAACTTATTTATTACCTTCAAACGTGGTATTAAGCATCAGCTATCATCATCATAGATATCCACAGTAGATGCGTTTCAGGTACGGGTTGGAAGAGAGAAAGGAGAAAGGTATACGGGATGTTGACTTTATATATTAGGGAGGAGAAAAAGACGTGATCATCTTGTCCACGGTGAGAACAACCAATAGCGCATTCATTGATAATCCTCCTCGTGTCAATGTTGCATTAACGCGAGCCAAACGGTACGTATGTCTTAAGATGCATCTTTTCCTTCTAGGCTAACGCTTCTGATAGCCATTTGTTTATCCTTGGCAAGCAAGGTCTCCTCATGGGCAGCGATATCTGGTCCAGTATTCTTACACAATGCCAAGGTAAAAAAGACAATCACCTATACACACATCCACTTGCATCTCACATGCTTCGAATCAAAAGATAGTGCCTTCACGAGCCATGACTTTGCACGTTTACTTTCGCAATTGCAATTGAATCGGGAGCTATAAGCTACATATGCCTGAAGCTGAGTGAAGATTGTTATCCTTTATGGTACCTGCTTGGATAAACGTGAGTATAAGGATTCCCCTATGTATACAAACAAGGATACTGAACCTCTCTGCTTTGTAGTAGATGATTGCGAGAGATTGGAAATAAATCATTGATTCTACGAGCAGCATCTTGAAAGCAGACGATTAATGCATTGTGCTTGGTGAATAGGCAGCTGCAGTGGCACGTTGTGTATGGATAAGGCATCGACATGGGATGAACGGCATTTATTGCTCGCTGGCGGTGAAAGCGGTCGGCATGCGTTGTTGCTCTTGCTTGTATGCTACAGCTGGTCGATCCAAATCTTGGGGGATTAACATCTGGAGCTGCGTCATGTTGCACGCCTTCTTTTTGACTCAATCTAGATATCGGCGTATCCATATCTGTGTGCTCGTCCTTCTTGTGTATCATTGATGTCGATCGATCGCCCATGCCACCTTTTTCAGTTAATGTAGATCATTCACTTTTTCGGTCATTGTTTTCAGTAGCGTGATCATTGCCATCGTCGTCAGGTGATGGGGAAAAATAAAGGCGATCAAGGCGTATCACTTGCATCTTGTTGGGAGGAGTACTACTTGTAGCTTGATCATGTTGGCATGGCAACTTCATGTTTCCATGGCTTCTTGTATCCAGGCCCATGGTTACATGCATTCTCATGACACCAGCCTATAGTAAATTCCTTGTGTCACTTGTCACGACGAGTCATTCTTGTTTTCTGGGGACAGCCATTATGTAATCTCTGGTGCTTCTTGAGGATCATTGAATTCTGATCTTAGTAGTTGTTGCATTCATACCAATAAAGCCTTCTTCAAAGAAAGTCATTTCCCAAAGTATAAGATGTCATGTGTATCCATGTATGTCAATGATTGTTTACCACGCGGAGGAGAAATCATGATCCTTGTCGGAAGATAGTATTGAATACCTGTCGGAAGATAGCTTGAATACCTTCTCTCCATTCTTTGACATTCATACCTGAATATGGTAATCCGAAATAACTGATCGACAGATGCAAACGTAAGAGGGGATAAAAGAAGGAGCGAGACCAATTGCGGAGTAAGGGGTAATGATGTCATTAGACAGCAAATACGTAACACCTTGTCAGACTGCATGAAAAGAGAATCTCGACCCAGCCCACAAGGAAATCTGTGCACGCACTGACCACGTTTAAGCCCCACAAGTAATATACTTGTTTGTCGCACCCTTCCGGATTATGAACCAGAAATGTCAAAAATGCATTCCCATTTCTGCTTGGACGCGCGGCCAATGCTCTCTTTCTTTCTTCTCTTTTCATTACCACTCCTCATGGCGTTACAAGCATTATTACATTTTCGTATCTACGTCTTCCCCTTCAATACTATGCAGCAGCAACAATAGCAGCACTATAGTAGAAAGCTCGCCCATAATTCATATACAAAGTCTATGCTTTAAGGCAACGCACAATTGAAAGTTGAAATATGGAATACCACATGGTGACAAAAAGTGAAGCATAGCGAGGGGTGAATGAATGTGGGTAGTTTCAATCTGATAATATGAGAAGCTATGATGCATTATTGTGTGTTGGCAGAAGATTGTGTGCCTTGCCTCGTTTAAACTTTCGTCTGGTTAGTCCGATCGCGTGTGTTACATAATTACTTATTCTAGAAGGCGATCATACAGGGTCGAATGCACGTATCCAGGGCAGCCTTAGGTCTAGACACACATGTGCTATGTTTTCTATTCCTACAACTGACGTACCATCTCCCTCTAACGGCCGTTCAAGTGAATATGGAAAACGCAAGATATGTTATAGAAATGCAAGCAACACAAGCTTTTGCACCACCACTTTACGCCTCAATATTATACCGAATTACATACATACCTTCTTTGTCACTTACCTTTTATGTGACAATGGTTTGGCATACTTCAATATGTAGCCGTTATGGTGAATTCCATGCGTTTAGTTGGTCATAAAAGTTTGGAATCCGTAATAGAGACAAGGTTTATATGAAGGATTGATCCATAATCTTGGTAATGATTGCTCTTAGAAGGTGAAGGGTTGAGCAGCATGAATCATAGGTATCGTATGCATAATCGCTGCATGCACATGGTATATTCCTTAACCCAGAAAGCTGGTTAAGGCAACCATAAAGCGTGTGTTTGATGGTTTCACGGATATCGGAACGATGTCAACTGTCCGGTCAAGGAGGGAAAGGGGATAATCGATGAATGATTTATATAAGCCTCTTTATGGATGACCCTCGTTTACGTCGTGTATTTTTCTTTTTCTCTCTTATCCCATCATCTATTCTACGTACTTAATTGTGCAGCCGCAATCCCCTTTTTCTACCACATATCGCTGTACATATATACCCCTTTACTACGGATATTCCGTTCCACCATATAAGCATCACGCCAAGTATTGTTTTTCTTCTATGCATTCTTACGACCAGCTGGAGCGTCTTTTATCGATTGCCAACCACGCATCGCCTTTATTGTATAACTTCATGTCCCAATTCCCATCCGACAACAAGCAAGCCCCTGATCATCTACCTATTACTTCGACGGCTGATTTGCATTCCTATGATGGATTACAGCCTACAACAGCGCCTTCTACTTTTTTCACGGTGAATAGCCATGGCAACTATATGGTCAACAAAGCCGGTATTCCAGCATTTATGATCCCAGCTCCGCGTATTCGTACACCGGGAAGTATGCAAGAAACGCTCGATTCACTCCGTGATGATTGGATTTCGGTGGACATTGTATTCCGATCCCTGCAAAGTGCCTTCATTGTCAAACCAAGCACGTGCGCTGACTTGACTGAGGACGAGTACCTGGATGATGTCGATCGAGAGTTATCCATAGCTTACGATGACCTAATGGCTCAAGTACGAAGGCTTTATCGTCAACTTAACAGACTTTCAAGAGAAATGTCTCAATACAAGGCGGCATCGTCTAGGGATACATTATGCAACAACGGCGGTCTTCAACAATGACAACAATGGACGTCTGGTACGACCATCCACCCCGCCACGTTTTATTCTCCACAACCACGCGGCTAATCAACTCCGCTCCCTTTCTTCCACAATGGCTTGGAAGCCCTTTTCAAAAATTCTTGATTGTATTTCTTGTTCATATACTTAATAGAAGAGACACCTTGTATGCCTTATGCACATTCTTCGATTTTATGTTTAAAAACGTCCCCCAAATATGCCTGCTTGATGTCATTTAGATTGGGGCTTAATGTCTATGTCTGCCACAAGTGGCGCTTCCTGCCTTTTTTGGATGAAGCTCCGTGAAATCAACCGCTTTACGCCCAAAGACGCTTGTTAAGCTATGAAAACACCTTTATTAAAGCACGTAACAGTATCCTTCATTCATGTCATTCTCATTGTGTGGATTGCGAAAGGTAGATGAAAAACATTCAAAGGTATCCAGGTATTGGGCAACACATCTAGACCGTTACGTCATGGCTATTGATGCATGCAACCTTCTTTTGCCCTTCTTGTTCAACCCTACCATCTCCTGTTTTCCGATCCTAAAAGAATAAACTATGGTCTACCATATTGGATGTATATGCACGTGGATGCATACATCACTCTCAATGCAGGTACAGGCTTCCTTTACGTGTCGTGTTTGTGTAATCAACCAGCATCATCATCATCAAAAATGAGGAGGCACACTTGGCTATACCTGCCGATAGCAATGTGGCAAATTCCATTATCGTCATGGATTTTAGGGAACGTTCTCAGCTATTTCCAAGCGTGCAGGAATCAAAGACATGGAGGGAGGAGATATTGGAAGATTTTGCATGACTACCCGCCGCACTATTTTTTCCTCTCTTTTCCTTCACTCAACGCGTACACAACCATGGACGACCCGATACCAGCTGATAATACAACATCAGATCCCCAAATGAACGACCAGCATGTGGCTATGATGGAGGAATGCACGAATGCAGTGAATCAGGAAGGGGAACAGCAAGAACAGCAGCAGCAACAGGCGTACATGGTCTATAACCACAATGTCAAAGACGAATCGTGTCGACTGGTTGCTACAACAGGTGCACATTACAACACAACGGTTCATATAATATTGGCAACGGAAGCTTCTATTCTCCAGCATCCACTAAAAGAAACACGACCGTATAACGACAACGACTACTTTAAGAACGTAAAGTGGTACGTGCGACAAGCCAACTTTGATGGTGTTTGACATTGACGCGTTCTGGGCTCAGGTCACCTGATGGCACGTGTCTTTTATCCAATTCGAACGACAACACATTACGTCTTTTCAATACGTAAGAAGCATCTTTGGTTGAGGCGTATAGAGTGCATTGCATACGTTGAAACTCATGCATCCCAATAGTCCATATGACCTTTTCGACCATACACAACAACGTATGTATCATCCTCAAGGAATTTACGCACACCATGCTCATATCATTGTAGCACAGCAGCAAATTGATCTACGTACTGGATTTGGTATCCATGAAGGCGAAGCAATCAATGACTTTGCATGGTTCCCATCCATGAATAGCCAAGGTATGCCAGCCAGCGTTGAACCTATTCACTCGCAAGTATGTTGATCCACGTTTTTCGAAAAAAGATCCCGCTACTTGTTGCTTTTTGACCTCTGTTCGTGATCACCCGATGCATTTATGGGATGGATGTACTGGTCAGGTAAATACGCATACATGCAAAAGAGTGAAGGCGGTATCAAGCTGAAGGATGCGTGTGTTAGCTTAGGGCTAGCTATAGTGTGGTTGATCATCGCGAACGCTTTGTGGGTCCCAATGTCATTTCTTTCAATCCAAGTGGAACACAGTAAGTGGATAAAGCGGCGTTCTCTACAAGTTGCTCACTTTCACTTTGCCTACAGCATTTATTGCGGATACGAGAACATGATTGAGATATTTGATGTCCAACGTCCAGGCCAAGGATCCAAGATACCAACCATCCCAAACCGTAAAAGCAAGCAAGGTCAAAAAGGTAGGGTTGTGTGGATATGCATAGGGAAATTGGAGACTAAAATGATAAACAGGGATCATTTCGTGCTTGGATTTCAGTGTGGATGGCCTGTATGCTGCAGGATCCTATAGCCAATCGGTGGGCATTTACGACGAGACGAATCACGAACTCTGCTTGAAATTAACAGGCATTCAAGGTGGAGTTACGCAGGTAATACATATTCAGGAAGGTGTCAATTCAGTTTATTGATCCAAGTTGAGTGACTCTAGGTGCGTTTCACTCCCGATGGCAATTTCCTCTATACAGCATCGCGTACATCCAATGCCATTTCATGTTGGGATATCCGAGACACCGCCAATGTGTTGTATGAACTACCCAGGCCGGGCAAAACGAGTCAAAGAATCACTTTTGATATTGATACGAATGGCAAAACGTTGGTCACAGGTGATCAGGTAAGGAAGGATGCACAATGCTGAAAGGAATTCTCGTGGTATACTTATCACTGGTATGTATAGTACGGAAATGTTTTGTTTTATGATATCAGCAATCCCAAAGGTGAAGAGCAACCTGAGGATCGACTTTTGCACAGGATGGAAGGGCATCGAGGTATGTATAGGATAGGCATCATGATCATTATAGTGCATTGTGTACCAATCAAATCTTTAATGTAGACATCACATCGTGTGCAACATGGAATCCAATGTACCCCTGGCTCCTTGCCACGTGCTCTGGTCAACGCAAATTCGACTTGGATGATAGTGATAGTGATGATGACGATGATGACGACAATGATAGACAGGAACAAGTTATTGATAATTCTCTCAGTATCTGGCAGGTACCAGGCACACCCGAATGGTACTCTTTTGAAGCATCATCATCATAATAAAAAGAACATTCATGTACATAAACGATGTTTGTAAACAAAGATGATTATATTAGAACAATTCGTAGTTGGGATCAAAAAGCATGCTAACACTTTCTCCATTGTGGATGCGTCGGATGGCTTCTGCGAACAAGGGGGCAATAGTAAATGTAGAGATTTTTGAGCACTTGCGGGTGTGATCTTCTTGTGGTACAGAGTCACTGACAATGACCTTGTCGAGGTAACTTTTTTCAATTCGTTCCAATGCATCACCGCTCATGACACCATGTGTGACCAAAGCATAAATCTTGGTGGCTCCATTTTCATGCAGTAATTTGGCAGCCTTGGTAACGGTGAAACTGGTATCCAACATGTCATCGATCAAGATGCAGACACGATCACGTACATCACCGACGAGCATGAGATCATGTTTCTGGGGCTTGTCAGGTCTTCGTCGTTCCTTGTGGATAAGAGCAAAATCCATTTGTAGCTTTTCTGCAATAGCTGTAGCTCTACATGAATTACATAGGATGAGTCATGACAACATAGTTGTACAAATCTCCAATTTTTTTACACACCTCTTTGCACCACCAGCATCCGGAGAAACAATCACGGCTTCTTCAAAATCAGGAATGTTGTGTTGTATATATTTGATCATGATGGGGAGGGATGACATGTTGTCTACTGGGCAGTCGAAATAGCCTTGGAATTGGGGATCATGCAAATCGAGGGTAATAATGTGATCCGCTCCTATATGTACAAGATAGATGTCAACCCATCACATTGACACTATAATCCATCCATTGCCTAAACTTACCTGCGCACATCAAAAGTTCTGCTACCAGAGTACCTGATCGAGCGACCCATTGACGATATCCATTGGCATCAGGCTGAGTAGGTGCTTCATTCCATGGTCCTTTGAGTCGCATGTGTTCAATGGCATCAGCCAACGTATTCTCATAGTTGTTGACATTGCTTGCTTGTTCTTTGGGTGTGGATGGTACTGTATCATGCGGTGTAGAAGGCACTGTCATTGGAGGAGCACGTGTCAAAGGGGCACCACTTCGTTTGTATGGGACATCGGGCTGTCGAGAATAAGGAAAACAAGGAATCACGGCCGTCACCTTCCTGGCAGAAGCAGTTTTGCAAGCTTGGATCATGATCAAGAGCTCCATTAAGTTGTTGTTGACATGGCCACAACCCGATTGTACAATGTAGACTTCTTGTTCGCGAACACTCTCGTATAGTTCCACTCGCGTCTCATTGTTGCTGAATTTGGACAAGAAGGATTTGCCGGGTTCACAGGAGAGTCGCTGACAGATATGCTGTGTCAAGTTCTGATGCGAAGAACCAGAAAAGATAACGATGCCTCGCATGTGGGAATCAAGTGGGGGTGAAAGACGAGAAAGAGAAGAAGAAAACAAAGATAGCTGCTACAACTCGGTCCTTGAAAAAAGTTAAAGACATGTACACTTTTGTGATCCCACCATCACCACCACCACCACTGATCTCAGCTCGCCTTGTACCACACTTCTTGTTTACATCTCTCTTATCCTCAATTTCCCCTTACTCACATATGAACGTTTCCATGGATATAAATGCATAATTGTATATGTATGCCTTGATCTCACTTTCGTCTTCCTACCAAAAGTAACCAAAATGGGCTTTGTAGCTTGATTCAAACTTGCATCTCGCATAATAAATCTTGGAACAATATCATGCAACAAGCAAGTGCGATTGACATTTGGTTGACCCACGTGCTCAATTTCTAGTATACCATTTGGAGTGAGCTCCTGTGCTTTAGATACCATGATAATGAATGAATGCAATACTTATAGCATCAGAGAAGATAGGACTAAGATGAAGCTCTCTCCGTTATCATCATCATACCATTTTTCATTGCTTCACGACGACGTCAAATGTCCAAGCTTTGTGCATGTATCTCATCTCTTGCAATCATATGGACTGTTACTAAACCGCTGTAGTCATTCAGAATAAGAGCTCATTTTCATCCTGGTTTCATTGTCGTGGTTGTCATTGTGCTGTTTGATTCTTGTTATAGCATTTAATCATATCATTAAATGAGCCCCATCCCCATGCCCATATACCATTTTCGATGTAGCCATCTTCTGTGATGCCTCTTCAAAGGTGGACTTGGTGGCAGGATGCTCTTACCCTCGCTCGAATTTCGAGATGTGATGAGGCTTCCTCATTATCGGTGGACCCAATAGCATCCAAACTCAGAACACAGGTAGCTACATAGTTGGTATTCGTCCTGTGGTTTCGGGTAGGGATATGCATTATGAGTTCCCCAAAAGCGAGTTCGAAAGGGATGACAATTTGGAGAAGTGCATTATGGACTGTGTCATGATACGGCCAATCTTAAAGTCAAGGAAGCTGGAACCTTGAAGGTGATGGTGCCTTGGCAAGTGACTAGCATATGCAGCTCAAACTCAATTACATACGATACAAGGAAGAAGGGATAGCGAATTGGCTTCTGTAGACATCCATCCAAAAATGCAACTCGTTTTTGGTTTCAAGAAGCTAAGGTTTTGCTATAGCAACACGGTATAGTAAACCACTCTATGGCACCTTACTCCAAATAGGCAGTAATAGACGTCATGATGTGCCAGGTTTTATTATTGATGATGGTATCCATGGTGATTGTTGTCAGGGGAGATGCTACTTAATGTAAGTGGGTGGGGGTCGGTGAATGGATGTAGCTGAATGGATGCGTGGCTTGGTTGGTCGGATGTCAAGGCCAACTTGACAGGGCCACTGATCTTTTGTTTTCTCAGCACTTGCTTAATACACAATGAAGTTGAAGCAACTCAAGGTTAGGCCACGGAAGCTCTTGGAATCAAGCCCTTGCGTCGTCGAGATGGGTGCATTGTTCGAATGCTGGGCTACCGATGGTATCGATGCCAAGAAATGTACAGCTGCTGCTCAATCTCTTCAGGAGTGCATGTCCAAGCCTGTAGGTCCAAGGTTTCAATAGCTGTTGTGCTCGTATTAACTAGTATATCACGTATCAATAGGTCAAGAAGACAAAGGCAAAGAATACCATCAACTACCACTTGGCACGACTCAGCAAACAATTGTAGAGAGAGAGGGAGATTCAACCTATTTCATATCACACACACACACCCTCACACATACGCACACGCACAAAACACCTCTCGTATCTCTCAAAGACAACAACAGCAACAACAGCAATAATCCATCACCCTCCCCCAACTTCATTGTATCATAGTCGTTAGAGCCGAAAAATGAAAAAAAGCTTATCATCATCAATCACTATGCCGAATGTTTATCTTATGACGTGCAATGAAAGAATGGTCATTGCCATGTGATGGAAAAGAGGAGGATCAGCAAAACAGCGTATGAAGCTCAAAGGATGGCATGGTGGAAGGTTTACTTACAATCATAAGGATCAACATTCATTGACTTGCTCACAAAAGCTTCTTGTCATCATCAATCCGCAATCATGTCAAATGGTTTTGTGATGACAACCTCCTCTTCGTAATAGCACGTAACAAGTTTTATCTTCATGATGAAAATGACATTTCAAATAAACCATCTACAATTGACCCCTATTTGCTATTGTATTCTTTGACAACGATTCAATGATTTAGGTTGCCGTACGTAGTAAGGTTATCATCCTCGTATTTCGGCGGTATGGTTCCTTTTGGTGTCTATCTTGAATTGCTTGAGAAAACGACAATGCAGGATGACTGAGAAAATTGCACGAATATCGATTTCGTATAGGCTGGGGTCCCAACAATATATCCTTTTCTCCACAACATGGAGTATTCGCAACTCGGGACATCGTTTAGCAAGGGCAACAATGGCTTGGCTCAATGTTGGCTTCTTACGACCAAGGTTAATAATGACTTGGCTTAATGATGGCTTACGACGAAGGGCAATAATGTAATGGGTTAATGATGACTTCTTACGACGTCGAAGGGTACGAATGGCCTGGCTTAATAATGTCTCCTTACGGTAAATGGTAGTCCATGTATATTCTGGACGGCTGCCCTCTGTATATAAGTATAATTCGCGTAGCTGTGGCATCCCATAGCGAGCCAACAGAAGAAGAAAGCGAGTGTCCAGCAACTTGTCATCATCAAAGCGGAGGTAGAGTACTGCCAGCGTCTTGTGATGCTTCTTGATCAATGGCACAAGATCCGAAGCCCAGATCAGCGTGTCCTCCATATAATACGAAAAGACGAAACGCTGAAGACCCTTCTTTTCCGAATCAGCCATGTTGCATCGTCTATTATTTGCCATTAGATGAGGATGCAAATCCATTCGTGGAAATGGTACTTACAAATCTTCATCAATGCTTGGCATGCTCCATGCAGGATGGGCTGATACCAAATCCTTCAAACGAGGGCAGTACTTGACAACAGCCGACATCAAATCTTTCATGCGACTAGAGCGTTTAATACTGGCACGTTTGGGTTTTTCATGCGAGACGATATCGTCCGAATCTACCTTGAGCCTTTCAAGATGAGGACACCTCTTTAAAAATCTGGGAAGCAAGCTTAAGGGTTGTAGCTGTACACGTTCAGTGAAACTACGGCCCATGGAAAGATCAAGAGTTGTAAGCATGTAAACATCATGCGGGATACGCTTCAAAAGCGGGTCTTTGGCAGGGTATGAGATGGGGAACGTTTGCTCACGATCAAAGCCCCTAATCCCCACGCTATAGGCAAAGTGTTTCAGTTGAGGACATTGTCCAACAACCTCGAGCAGTACATGTGCTGGATCACCGAGATGAACGTCCTTGAAGGTCAACTCTTCCACAGCGGAGGTGCATGAATTTACGGCATTTACAGCCATGTCGATGTCTTTTTCTTTCAAAAGCATGTCCTCGAACTCTATATAAAAAGGACGTATAAATGTACGCATCATGATAATCCTAACAACAGAAACATACGTATGCTTTTGATGTTGCTTGCACCAGTGGCTACAAGATACCCGAGCATAGGGCTGAGAAGAGCGTTATTGGCTTCGCCTAGCATATAAAATCGATCACCCTTGTCACCCAATAGCGAATCAAAGGCTGTACGCTCAATGACACCATCCAGTAATTCCCAAAACTTGGGCCACTGTAATATAAAATGATTCCATACTTGACAAACGCCAGCGCATTCGATAAGGTCGTCGCGTGTCAAATACCTGAAAATGGTTTCTGAAATATCATATGGAAACAAGGAAACGAAAGAACTCCGTCGCGTATCGAGATTTTTGAGAGCGAGATCAAGTTCATGATAACGTGGATCGGTTAATGGGACCTTTGACAGTGAATTTGCATAGATGGCACGTGCAGCTGAAAGACGATTCCGTTTTTCATAAAATTGCCCAGCCAACAAGTATCCATCTACGTCGTTTGGTTTTAGCTCGATCATGCTCAAAGCCATAGTCTCAGCATCATCTTTTTGAGTGTTCTCTCTTCTTGATGTTGGCAGTAGTGCTGAAGGTAGCAGCTGTTGTCGTTTTTGGATTGCCATATCATTTGAGTGTGGTTGTGGTGACCGTTGTGAAGGGTAAAAAGAAGCTTTAACGGATGAAAAGGGTTTTGAACAAGGCATTTACAGAGGAAAAGAGAAAACAAAGAAAACAAGTGGGTTACTGCAATTGCCTGGATACACTTAATGCTGCTGGTATACTTGATGTAACACAACAACAAGCACATGATCACGTATTTTGCTGAGCTACATTGTATGGCTACGCTTTTTTGGTGAGCTTGTATGTACCCAACAGCCACTTTTTTGACTATATATGGTATCCTTTGCTGATCGTCTTATGATAGATATAGCCAATTTTGCGTGATGAAAATGGAAAATCGTCTTCAACAATGAATCCTGCTGCATTTGCTACTATGGCCGTAAGAACATTCGTGGTGCTTCTAGGATATGAATGACCTGCAGCATGATACCACAGCTACTACAAGGTATCCTTGTGATCATAACCAAGCTCTAGAGTCATTATCGGATCAAGCAAAGCGTATGGGTGCAGGTGATGTAGTCATTCATTCATGCAGGGAAAGAAAGAAGAGCTGTCAAAATGAGCACATGAGCAGTATCAAATCATGGACCTTATGAATAAAGCACCATGCCCCATAACAAGCGGGTTCAATTTACGTACATTTGACACACTACAAGATCCCCCACGCTAAAACATTTGATAAGCAACAAGATCTTTTTAAAAGATGGTACATTGTCACAAGACTGAGGAAGAAGGAAATACTACAAGAGACAATTGGAGGGATGATCGAAGGAGTGAGAAAGGGCTTGTGTGAGGATAGCGAGGGGATAGTTGTGTGTATGCGTGTAAGAGATATCAAGCTAATTGCACGTGTTTTTTGGTTTAATCGGACTTTTCAATCTTGAAGCCTTCAGAGTGGAAAGTACAATCCTCATCACCCTCCTTGGCCTTGTTCGAGGAGATCGACAAACTATTGAATCGATCCATGTTAGTCATTGGCACATGCTAATCATGTATTAAAGCTTACGTGTAGTAATAAGTGGCATCATGGTCGATATGCTCATCATCCAACACAAAGTGATCCTTGACATTGATTTCATCGGTGAAGTCCTCTTCGCCGGTCCAAACGGTTTCAACGAACTTGGCCTCGTTGTCCGAGACGGACTTGTAGAGATCAACCTTCTTGAGGGTGGCAGCTTGCGAAGTCTTGTCACGGGAGGCAGAGATGGAGACGTGCTTATTAAGCTTGACAGCTTGACCCTTGGTTGGAGTAGTGACCTTGAGACCGAAGCAGCCCTTAAAGTACTCGGGGCGATAGAATTGGATGTCATCCAAAGATTCGGTGTAGTAGCTCATGCCAGCAGCATCCTTGTGGACACCCGAGGTGACACGGAAAGTATGCGAGGTTTCAAGACAATCGGGGCCATGCATGCCATTAAGATCGTTGGTGACCCAAACACTGGATATAGATAAAAGAGAGAGCCAATTAGTAAGTAACCATAATGAGTTGGCTAGGGATGTTCCCGGATCATGTCCTTTATATGGCAAGATCCAACTTACCGGTAGTAATAGAGACCAGCAGTCGAGTTGGCAGGAACAGTGTCGCTGATGCTAGCTTGCTTGTTCAAGGGGAACTTGCCTTCCCAGACGTTTTGGATATACTTGGCTTCACCGCTTTCGGACACAGAGTAGAGCTGTCAACGTAAATCGCAATATGGCATCATTGTTATTAGTACGAATAGCAATGACAAGAATAGATGTTTACTTACGTCAAGGCCAGTGATGGTCTTTTTACGCTCATCGGGCTGACGAGCTATAAAGATAGTAACAGTGTCAGTAATATGCATCTACCGATCAAAAACCCCCCTTAAAGTAATACTTACTGACAGTGACCTTGGCGAGACCACCGGCAACGACAACGGAATCTTCGTTAGGAGCGACGACCTCCAAGTCTATACAGATTGGGTGTTAATGGGTTGTAATGATGGGACGATGGAAGAATAGAAACGCACCATGGCACCATTCTTTAATGGCTTTAGCGTACTCGTCACCACGAGCAAGAGTTGCGAGAGTAGTCAAAAGGAGGGCGGAGGTTGCAGCAAGAGAGAATTTCATCGTCGAGTATTATAGTGTACGCGTACAACAACAACAACAAAAAGTGTGAGGGTTTGGAAAGGAAGGGACGAAAAGAATGAAAGAGAGAGGAAAAAGAAAGTAAAAAGAGAAAAGGATATGAAAGCGAAAAAAGGTCAAAGCAAGAATAAAGAGGGGATAAAAGCAATGTCGCACAAACTAGTGAAGGATGGGCGCACCTCGTAAATGAAAACAGCACAAGAAGGAATAGCACAATTTTTATTCTTGGCCTTATGTACATTCATTCTCTCTCGTTTCTGTTATATATCTATTCTGTCACTTGGAAAGAAGGCGACTGGTATACACATTGCTTATCATCTTGTTGAATATGAATCCTAGCAAAATAAACAAAGCGGTAAGCAAAACGATGCTGTGGTTTCAGTTGCTTGCATCCAACGAGAACCGATCAATCCATCCCTTTTTCCCTCCTTCACTTTCCTCCTTTTGTGCGGATAAAAAAAGAATTCAGGAACCGCAGTGGCCCTCGGTGATCCCAAACCATGCCTCTTTTAGTCTCTAACCAACCTATTGACTCACCGGAAGGTAAATTGATCAGGCAATACGGTATTCAATTGCTGGAGATCTTGCTGTAGAACCACAATATTGCTCAATGTTTCATCCTTGTCGATCGCAGTCCACATGTCCTTGACAAGCGTCTTTCCATCCTCGTGTCGTGTCACGGATACTTTGTCAAGTTTGGCATCCTCTAGCTTGTTTCCTTTTCACACCCATCCATATTAGATTTAGCACTATTATACATATTCAATTGATGATATTTACCGAGAATAAGATAGATCGTCTCTTGCTCTGAACGGCTGAAGGAACTACCATCCTTGGGATATAAGACATCGATCCCTATGTACCATCATCATCATCATTCATTAACTCTTTGATCTCTCTCACACCCTCGCCCTCTAACATCAAACTCACCTTGACACCCTTGTTGTTGAGCAGGAGCACCCATCGCTTGTTGTGTAATGAGCGTCATGATGGTCATGGCAGCCAATGTCACACGCGTAATGGAACCCATGGTGGAAAAGAAAACGACCTTTGAGTAGAACCAAGAAAGAATGAAAGAGAGAGAGAGAAAGAAAGAGAAAGAGAAAGAATGAAATAATAGAATACGGCTCTCTACTACAACGACTACTCTTTGCATTGGCTTGTGGAACCGAATCCCATTTTACCACCTTTATTGCGCTGTTTTCAATGCAGCTTCTAGAGCCCCATTCATGGCATGTGGTAGCTCAAATTCTTCTTCGGCCAACGTGTGTCCATCTCGCAACACATTCAATGCTCGAATTCGATCCGTCATACCATGTTGTTGTTGAAATAAAGTCTCCCACGCCTTGTTCATTGCATCAAAGTATTCTTCGTATTCGTATTTTTCTGTGTCGGCTCGGTATCCATGACAAAACTCGTAAAAGTAGCTGGTGAGACTAAGCATCCTCTGCATGGCTTGGGGTGGCGGGAGCTTAACGGCGGCATTCATTACAGGGGCAAAGTCTTGCCATAAATCAGGGAGCGTTTGGTAGCCTGAGGGATCCATGCTGTAATCAATGTCTTAGTTGTCATGGTGATGCGTCGTATCCATGGGGATGATGATGATGACGAACCGTTTACGATATTTGCGAAGGATTTGTAATGTCAAGTCATCCAAAGTATCGATGCTTTGTTGTTCATTAAGCATCACGTTATCGGCAATCGGAGCCATACCGAAATGTGAAGGAGGAGGGAAAAGAGAAAAGGCAAAAGAGAAAACCGGATCAGCACAAGCGTATGGATGGCGGGGGTGGGTACGTAGTAGGCTGTTTGTGTAACCTTCTCATTTGAAACATCGGCTCCACCTCCCCGGCAATTTTATGCATTACACTCAGCGACGACATTGACACGTTCTCTCACTATTCATTATACTTTACATTTTGATCCTGGGTTACCCTAATCCAAATCCACCACAATAAAGCTTAAACTAAGCGCTCATTAAACGTTTTCTTTCGTTGTCTTTCCACCACCAAAATGAAAAGAAGACTTTCTTCACACCATGCAAAAGCACATGGCATGAAAAACTTGCTCAATGTTGCTACTGGCAACAGGGCTTCTGAGAAGCGTAATGTTTTTGGATTTTTGATACAAGAGATGGTTTTAAGTTGGAGTAGATGGTGGTAATCACGTGGTCAGCTATGCTTGCAACAACAATGTACCGAGGTATACCTCTGCTCTGTGCACCCAGACTCTATCCGCCATCAACGGGGAGCTTTCTAGTGCCAGCAATGGTGTTCATTGTTTAGCTTTGATAGCACATACCATGTCAACATTGCCATTTTGAGAGGCCCTTACTATAATACAATACAAAGACGATGCTGAGCATGTGATAACGCATCCACAAGAACAATAGCATATCTAAAATATGCTGATAAGCATAAAAGTTGATAAGAGGAAGGCTTTGGCGGTGCTCACTATCAAGCTGATAACATGAATATTGATGGCGGTATAGATAACAGCAGTCCTGAATATCCCTGATAAGCATTTTTAATCATGAAATGAATTGACCAATCGTTTTGCTACTGCTCAACCCGCATTTGACACGGTGGCGATGAATGCCCCCCTCTCCGACAGCTTCCCGGTCAACCCGATGTTTGTTTTTCTACATGCTCATATCCATAGGTGGTGTTGGATGGTATATGCTTTTGAGTTGCATTGGTGGCAATTATACATTACCCGACGATCAATCACAAAAAGTAACGTTGTGCCATCTTTTTGCATTTTAAAGTTTGTAACGAGTGACAAGATAAGCATCTTCTTTATATGATCGGGGAGGCTGGCCATGAATCAGGGTATACCGAGGAAAAGACATATGCTGGCTATATCTTGGCATTGATAACTTGACACTATGCTATCATAAAATTTTGCCACTTGTGGTATCCATTGATGGGTATCAACATTCTTAACACTTTTTTTTATATCGCAAGGTTATCAAATGCAAGATTTGGGTAGATCGCATCCGTAAAAGGAATACATTCGGATTCTCCTCTTGCGTCGTAATTTGTCACACGGTCATTTAGACTCACATGAGGGAAAATGCGCACTGTCATTGAACGTTTTCCTTGAATGAACAAAAAAGGGACCTGCATAACAAGGGGGACCTGAGGTGGTATTTTCTACATAGGTATCACGGATGAATTCATATTCATATTTACCGAATGACCCATGCAAAATGAGAAGGGAATCGGGTGGTGTGCGTGTAACCTTCCGTTGCAATTGGCTAAGCGGAGCTGCCATGAACGTATAAGGTCGTAACGTCTGAGACAGGACCCACCAGACACCACACCACACACATCCTTTCACCTTTTGAGAGGAGTAAAACTTTTTATTTTCTAGCGGGAAAGGCGGTCTTTCACGTCTTTACTCTCTCTCTCTCTTCTCTCTCTTCCATCTACAGATCTTTATCTGGAAAGAGGATTCACCTCTCTTTCTATCTTTTTTCTCAACTCTACGAAAAACGCTCAAAGGGTTCTTTTTTTCAAAAATGACCTGGGCTGAATACGCCAACAAGATCAACAATGCCGTCGCAGGCTCTCGAGTGGGTCGATACTTTCAACTCGAGGGATCGGGAGCATATCGAGAACGCAAGGGCACCCGATTCTTGACAGAGTTGCGTGCTGGTGTTACGACATTTTTTGCCATGGTAAATAACAACTCGACCATCATTTTCGAAACGCTATGGCCATGTCACTGACTGACTTTTTATAAAAGGCATATATCATTTCAGTCAACGCATCAATCATCAGTGAAAGTGGTGGCACCTGTGAATGTCCAAGAACCCCGGACGATCCTGTTTGCGACAACAATGAGGAATACATGCAATGTGTTTTCCAAGTGAAGCTCGATATGATTATGGCCACTGCTATCATGTCCATGATTGCTTCTGTTTTGATCGGTGTACTTGCCAACTTGCCTCTTGGTTTGGCCCCTGGGTATGTCCCAATATTCAAAATGAAGACGAATTGATGACTCACGATGGTTTATTATAGTATGGGTCTTAATGCTTATTTCACATACAACGTTGTTGGCTATCATGGTTCAGGAAAGGTCTCTTATCAAACAGCTGTCGCCGCTGTGTTGATTGAAGGATGCATCTTTTTGATTCTTTCCATTTTTGGTATCCGTCAGTGGCTCGCACGTGTCATTCCTATGAGTATCAAGGTTGCCATGGGATGCGGTATCGGCCTCTACCTCTGCTTCATTGGCTTGCAATCCTCGGCCGGTATCGGTATTGTTGGCCTCGACAAATCCACGCTTGTTGCTCTTGGTATGCATTGCTCACCATTTGACTTGTCACGTATAACTCATCGATCGTTGTACTATAGCTGCATGCCCCGATCAATACAAGGATGCCGATGGCATTTGTACAGGCCATACTATGGAGAGTCCTACTACTTGGATGGGTATTCTTGGTCTTATTATCATGGTAGTCTTGACCATGTATCGTGTACGTGGTGCCATCTTGATCGGTATCGTCTTCATTGCCATCACATCTTGGCCCCGTGTCAGCTATGTCACCTATTTCCCATACACCGAAACCGGTAACGCCATGTTCGACTACTTTAAAAAGGTCGTAACGGTGCATCCATTGGACCAGTAAGTGTGATTGATAATGCATGTTGATCAAGGTATTGACTCTTTATATAGTGTTTTAGCCAAATTCCACTTTGATTTGGGCTCGCGTGAAATCTGGATTGCTTTGATCACTTTCTTGGTAAGCATTCATAATCAAAGAGTTGGCATGGCGATATTAAGTACTCATTTTTTTATTTAGTATGTGGATATTCTTGACACTACTGGTACCATGTATTCCATGGCTCGCTATGGTGGATTCACTGACAAGACTGGTGATTTTGAGCATTCCACCTATGCTTTCATTGCGGATGCCATTGCCGTTATTGTTGGTTCTTGCTTTGGTAGCTCACCATGTACTGCATTCGTTGAATCAGGCACTGGTATCTCTGAAGGAGGTTCGTATATCATAGAAACATGTGCTCTTATCACATTCGATGCTCATGTGTAACCTTATTCGATAGGTCGTACCGGTATCACTGCCATTACTATCGCTTTCGGCTTCTTTATCTCCATTTTCTTCTCGCCAATCTTTGCAAGCTTCCCACCATGGGCTACTGGTCCTGCCCTTATCGTCGTAGGCTCTATGATGGCTACCAGTGTGCGAAACATCAATTGGGATTATCCAGGAGGTTTGTATGATGATAGTTACTTAATCCACGTTTGTACACGCTTTTAACATCATTCTCGGTAGACGCTATACCGGCGTTCTTAACGCTTACGGTCATGCCCTTCACGCATGTGTTACAAAAACTTGATGATTATAAGACTAAGTAGCTAACGTTATTTTTTATTTTTTATTATTAGGTATTCAATCGCCTGTGAGTATCTAACGACCCAGGAAACGGCGGGGTGATACCAATGTTACAAACCAAAGTACTCACATATATTATAGACGGCATGATCGCTGGCGTTATCGGTTATGTTATCATCAACGGCATCATCTTCATCATTGACAAGATCTCATTTGGAAGAATTCAACCTGATTACACCCTACGTGAAAACTGGTGGTCTGCAGCCTTTAGCCGATCCTTCACACCTTATTGGATGCGCTATGTTATCGCTCGTGCTAAGGGCAAGCCCATTCCATGGCACGAAGACGACTATGACTTTGGATCCGACGATGAAAACGACCACCCGGATGTGGTTGTAAACGACAACAACAGCATTTCAGAAGGGCAAACGGATGTTGATTCATTACACCAAAGCCATATCCGCGAGAAAGCATCAATCTATTAGTGCCCTGCCATTAACTACATCATTCTGAAATCTATCATCTCAGCATTTATATACGATACTCTTTAATACCTCGTTCTCCAATAACATCATTGTAAATGGTTTTTCTTTCATCATAAAAGACTGTGTAATGACGTGATTAAAGAAAGAGTTTTATTATGGTTGCTATGGTGTTTGTCTCCTGGGAGAGTGCGGGGAAGACTTGCATTAGGTTGAGCTATGAATTGCTTTGATTCCCGCACTTGCCCTTTTCAGCTTCCAGTCGTTTCCTTACACTTTGACCCCCTTCGTCTCATTGTCGATTGACGTGTCGCGTCTCCGAATGCAATTGCAACATCCAGCCGTGTTCAGTCAACAACTTACGCGTTCAAGTTCGCTTCGTTTGGACACAATGCCTTGGCTACAAACGCATCAGCAGCTGCCGAGATGGACCTACGTCAACATGTTACGCACGTGTCGTATCCTTGCAGCATCGTAATGTACATCGCGATACCGTAATCACGTATGGAGACTATTATAAGCAGCAGGGTCACAAGTATTGGTCTTCACGGTCTACAGCATTCTAATCCTTACCATATTAATACATAGCTTTGTTACCAAACCATCAACACTGCATCCCTATTGTCAGCAACACTATTCAACCAACGTGACAAGATCATAGTTTTTCCATCACAAGAGCAGAGGTAGGTTTGTAGACCAATATACATGGGAGGCGTTTTTTATTCTAATACACTATTTGTCTATCCAGGACGTAGCAAATCAAAGCAGCGCTCTTGTCACGCATGCAATTTGTCGCATCACAGCACACGTCGCCGTCATCTTTTATGCTGCATCAACATGCCATGCGGGTGGTTTTGATCCTTGATACATCGTTGTCCCCATTGTGCTGCAAAAAGGAAGGCTTGTACAATGTCAAGTATTGGAAATTCTTGTGATGGATCATTCTTTGGAGTCTATCCAACAAGTCTGCCTTCAGGAGTTGTCTTGCATGAGGAAGATCAAGGTTCCGTTACAACAAAGACCTCGACCGGTGTTGTCATAAAGTGGCTCTTTATCATCCTTCAACCGCAACCAGTCATCCAACTGGAACACTCGATCCCTCGGCTACGTATCGCTTTGAAGACTTGGGTCATTGTTGTTCGTTGTATACGTTACACAGCATTCAATGCAAGGATGTCCAGTGGATCTTGTACAACGTTGCTCTTTGAAATCATCATTCAAATCCAGCACTTACCTCTGCATGATCTCCACAAAGGGACGCCATTGTGGGGCCTGGTTCGTTTACATAATCTGGTTTTATTTGGCAAGCTCTCTATTGACAACATACCATCCATAATCCACATGAGGTAGGTCTTCATTGTGCGTCATGGTCATTGCCTCCCTAAAAACGTTTCATACTCGTGGCTGCAGTCAAAGACGCATGAAATTATCGACCTTTGATGCTCATTGTGCAGTATCCCAATCAATGAATGGAGCGCTACAAGATAATCACACGCCTTCAATGGCCATTGTTCCTATGGTACGTGAGTAAATTGAGGCTTATAAAAGAGTGAGAGAATTCATATCCCAATTCGTTTTCCTACATATAGCATCATCTCCATGAAACGTCATTACGGATTGGCCTCCCCAAGCACATCACACTATGCAGAAAGTGACCTGAGTATGTAACTTGCTTTTGGAAACAATGGCTTCTCATCTACTAACCTACTATGCTTACTACTTTTGCTCTTCTACAGGTGATAGCGAATCCACTGCGAGTGCCGAAGAAATACCAACTCTATCGGATACCGAGTTTGTTTCTGGTATGCATTGGCCAACATGTCTCTTTATCAAAACTCATTTCTGATTTATTCCTTTATCATTATGTAGAGCAAGAGGACATTATGATGCTTGATGCAGACAATGATTACGACGATGGATCGATGTCCGATGAAAATTGCGAGGAAGATGGTAAGCACATGATTACTTTTTTCAAAGGCTATCAATCTTACATTTGAAAGTAGATTTCGAAGACGAGCCATATGACAGCGATATTGAGCAAATCGAAGACGACATCGAGCTTGTACCTGCATTCGACGAGATTGATTCGGGCACCGATCACTCTTCTTCAGGAGCACTTATTGGCGTATTACATGGCGAGCAAGGCGCTACGATGAGATTTGCATTCCTAGGCTTCTTTCGCGGGAAAGGATACACTGATCAGAATTCCTTTACGGTGTGGATCAAGTTACGAAGCACTAGCTTTGTATGGCTGGGATCGTTTCTACGTCGCTGCGGCATCGAGTCTCCTAGCCTGAGGTAATTTCTATTGCTCTTATTATACGATTGAAAATTCATAGTAAGCTAATTCATCGATATAGATTTGTATCCACGGGTTTCAACACCAAACTCAAAGCTGCATTGAATGGCAACGTTTTATTTCGAACTTGCAATCCGATATTATACGAGCAACTTCACATCCTCGGCAGCAGCAAAGTCAAGGACTCGGACCTTGATACTTTGGCATCCTTGTTCCCGGAAGCAGATCCTGACAGGCAATACGCAATCCTTGTGTACTTTTTGGGATTCTTTATGGCCAGCGGACATGTGCACTGGTTGCGAGGAAGAGATGGATTGACAATACGATATTCAAGCATCATGTTCACGCGGCGTAACGTACCTTTTCTGGAATTCCTGGAAGATGCCTTGCGTAGCATTGGGTTTGATCGGGTTCATTTGGCTGGAGTTCGCCTTACTATTTATTCGACACCAATCAACAACAAGCTTCTTACCAACGCAATCAGCATCTATCGCGAGCACAATATCCCTTTCGATCAAAAGCTCTCCTTACTTGACGCGCTGTTATCTGGAAAAGAGGTCTTGCTGAAGGATGTCATGAACCAAATGACCTTTTATGACTTCTTGGGATACGACAATATGGAGAAGACGTTTGCCAGGGTGATTGCCCAGTAAGTATACAAGGATTTCTTTTTATGTAGTGAATCGTTTATTCATACTTCTATCGATTATAGGGATTTATATCCGTTACGCATACAAGGTCTGAACGACATCCTCAAAGCTGCTGGTCTCCCTATGGTTAAGCACATGGATGATTTCGATATGGATCGCTTTATAGCGCAAGTGGAGACTCTCTGGGCATCAGCACACGACTCCATGGGACAAGGGATTGAACCCTCTGAACAAGCAATGTTCCTCAATTACATTCGCTCGTGTTTTGAACGCCAAATGGACCAAGTTCCAATCGATCATGCTCCCCGTAAGGTATGGTTATATTCTCATTTTTTGGCTGCCAGGATTGCTAAGCTATCATCATGCGTAGCCAATCATTCGATGTGAGCAATGTGGATCCTGCTTCGTACGAACCAACTCATTACAGAATCACATTCGGGATAAGCATATGGTAAGTGCGTTTATATCTCCATGGTCAACAATGCCAATGTTAATCCATTTTCCATATCATTAGGGACTGGAATTCCCTTGTCGCCACGCTGGTTGTGATAAAGTATACAGCAATCACAGAAGTCGTTTGAGACATGAAAAGCAAGCACACACTGATCAAGTGGATTGCCCTGAATGCGGCCAACAACTTCACGAATCGGCGTTGGAAAACCATATGTTGCATGAGCACAACCCAGTAAGTGTACTATGATGGAATTGGATTAACACGGCAGCGTTTAATGTGAAAAATGCTTGTAGAATAACGAGTTTGTTTGTGACATTGATACATGCAAGAAACGGTTTACAACACAAGGATCCTTGACTCGTCATCGAAAGGTGCTCCATAAGGATTCGTTTACGGTAAGCTAGATGAATTTTCGATCGACCCTATGAATGAGTCTTCTCACATTATCATCCTGCCTATGCAGAGCTGCTCTTTATGTGGAGACGACGTTTGGAGTAGCGAGGTGGAAATGAAAAACCATCTTGATCGTTGGCATAATCCAGCGGTATGTATACAATCCTCTGCCCTTTTCCCTTTTTCTTTTGGACCATATGACTAATCTTCAACCAAGGCTCCATACCTTTGCGATATCTGTCACAAGCGATATTCTAGGAAGGATACTGTCACCAGACACAAGCGAAACGTTCATGCAAAACGTCAAAAGCAAAGCATTGGCTGATCAAGTTCCGCAACGCAAGATTGAAAGTCAAACCGTTTACACTCCTCATCATATTTCACTCGTAGTCTTTTTTCACAAATAAAACATGCTCTATTATCATTTACGAAAAAGAAGTCATCATACTTGCTATTGATAGTAAAGGCGTTAGCTCATTTGGCTTTTGACGCGACTCGGCTACACTACACCATGGCATCGTTTCCCAAGTAACCAGCAATAAAGGTCTTTGTGTATATCAAAACGATTAATGCAATGAACAAAGAAAATGAAAGAGGCGTTTATTGTATATGTATGCTAACAATGAATTGAACAGGTCTTCGTTCAGGCAATCCAAATTTGGTTTTCATGGTTCCCGCCGCCATCAGCAATATCATCCATAGCCGATCAACCTTCCTTCATCAAGGAGAAAAGCCCTCTCGTCAATGTCATTCCAATCCATCACCACCATCCTCAGCCATGTTCATATGAGATGATCCTTCCTTCCTGCTGACGACGCGCCAAGTGACCAAAGGATTCCCCATATCTGTGCTTGATTGCGTCCACCCACCATAACCATTACCATGCTTCCTTTTCCATTAGACTGCTGGTCAATCTTTCTTGGTCATTTTCTATCGCAGCTCAACCACGTGAAGATTACTCGTAATCCTTGATAGCTAACATGGCGCCATCGATGTTAAATTGTGTGTCATAAAGCAAGTTGCTACACGTAAATAAATCTGTTCTGTACCATGGCTATTTGATGTTCACGTAAATAAGGCTGTAAGGCGAGTTGCTGCAAGTAAAGGACGCTGTTTGATACAATGGAGTAAAGGCATTGCTGATAGCAATTGCTGGAATGAATGCTTGGTGGCAGAGAAGCGTGTGTTGTATCAAGAGAGTCGTGTGTTGTAGCAGGGTGACAAGAACAAGGCTGTGTACACGCCATGGACCTGCCATTGAGTCAAAGACAATCGGATCACGAGAGTTGTAGGATTGACATGATGGGATGAAGCAGGACAATCGTTCGCAGGAGGTAGTTGTACTTGAGAATGGGAAGAAGAGGCATGTACGTTGGGAGCGGAAGACCTGGAAATTAAGTAGATTTTTCTGTTGCTTGGATGACACATGTGTGTTTGAGCGTTGTTCATCACATCCCCTCGGATCAAGAAAGTTGAAGGATCGAAATGATGAGGTGGAGCAAGACAATCGTTCGTATGCATTGGATTGGGCAACAATGGAGAATGGGAGGAAGGGGCTGCCAGCTGGCAGTTTACAAATAACTTTGCAAAATGATTTTTTGTGATGTTGGATGATACTTCTGTGTTTGAGCATTTTTCAGTCAAATCCTCTCGGATCAAGAAACTTGAATGATGGGCATACTGGGCTGGAGCAGGACAATCGTTCACATGCATTGGGTTGGGCAACAAAAATGATCGGGAGGACTGGGTTATTAGCTGGCATTTTAGGAACTACTCCTAAATAGTGTACAAGTATCATGCATCGCCTGTGCTGACTGACTCAAGTTACACAACACGTCCCTCTGCATCTTTAGCTCTATTGTAGTCATACTACTTTACAATGAAGAAAGAACCCTTTCCATATAGCATCACGCTTACAGCATATGCAAAACATAAAGGTGCCTGTATCTCTAAACCTTACAATGAAACGTGGGATCTTTAATAGAACCATGTTGCTCGGCGGGGTGAAAGCGATCTTGTGTCAAACTATGAAGGCCATCGTGGCCAATCCCAGATTTCGCAATGTCGCTACCAGCCAAACTAGATCCCGGGGGTCGACCTCTTCGACGACGACGACCAAAAAATATTTTTTGGGCTGTTTGCGACATTGAACCCGAAACTTTCACACAAGGTGCTGTTGGCCAAGCCGAGCCCATTGCTCTATTCAAAACCCCACGTTTCATTGTAAAGTTTGGAGATACAGGCACCTTTATGTTTGTTTGCGTGATGCTATATGACAAGTGGTCTTTGTTCATTGTGAAGTAGCTGGACCCTGGCAGAGCAAAAGATGCAGAGGGTTGTGTTGTGTAACACAGCTACGTTTGCATGAATGGAAGGGTCAATGTATAATTACTTTATGGATCATCTAGGAACAGGCATGTATTGCTAGCTAACGGCCACTTTTATCCAGTCATCATTGTTGCGAGATCCATTGCATGGGAACGATGCCCCTGCTCCAGACATTCATTTCCATGATTCAATTATCTTGATCCGAGCTGATTTGGCTGAGCTACGGTCAAAGAGAGATTACATCAATCCATACATCAGCATACGTGCGAATGTCTCAGCTGATTAATCCTTGTTCGACCGTAACTCAACCAAACCGGCTCGGATCAACCTACTTTAATCATGGAAATTAATGTCTAGAGCAGGAGCATCGTCCACCTACAATAGAATGAACAAAAGTTGGGAATGCACAAAAGTGGCTATTAGCTGCCAATGTATGACATAAAAGTGAGGGTTGCGTACCTTTCATGCATTGTCCCTGAAGTCCTGACTTTTTAGCTGAGTTACCCAAAGAGGTCCTTCTGCATCTTTGGCTCTCCAGGGTCTAGCTACTTGGCAATGAACAAAGACCACTTCTCATATAGCATCACGCTTACAAACATAAAGGTGCCTGTATCTCCAAACTTTACAATGAAACGTGGGGTTTTTATTAGAGCAATGGGCTCGGCTTGGCCAACAGCACCTTGTGTGAAAGTTTCACGATCAAGCTTGCCAATCCCAGATTTCGCAATGTCGCTACCAGCCAAACTAGATCCCGGGGGTCGACACT